AGCCGAACAGTCTTGTCGTGCGAACCAGTGACGATGCGAGTGCTGTCTGGCGAGAACGAGACTGACATTACCCAAGAAGTGTGCCCCCTGAGCACAGTCTGAACAGCTGGCCAATTTATATGATGTCCAGATGCCACACGAAGAGTATTCGAAAACCGTGCAGAAAACTTCCTCGATAGCAGAGAGTTAGTAGGCGAGAATGGGAGTGCTGATACATACAGATGTGGCGTGCTATGTAAAATTATGCCGCCAAAGACTTGAATAAACCTCTGCACGTCCATTGCGGTCGACGAGACATCTTTGAATTCGGAATGGCCCTGTGGTTGCACATGAGCACTTTTTCTGGCACTCAGTAGCAATGCACTCACCTTCAGCCACTGGGGAATGAGTAAGAGGGCAGGAACTGCGCCGCCGAGCGCATTGATCAGGGCGAGCGACTCGAGCCAGAAAAACAGCCGCTCGTTGTCGAAGAACAATATCACTTCTTTCGCGAGCTCCTTGTCAAAGGATGTGGCTCGTACGTGCGAAATCCAAAATCGAGAGGAATATGACAGATGTTGGGGGATACATTTTTGGACTCGTCCTTGAAGCCCAGGATCTTCGCTATTAGGAAGATACGACGACTTTAAATCACAGATATTGAAGCGAAGACCGTGTTCCATCACTCGAAGTGACGCGAATGCAAGGTCGCGTTGCACCCTCGACAGGTCGACGAAAAACTCTCCACCGGATGCTTTGTCCGTCAAGAAATCATGGAAGGATGCATGAAGGGGTCGGATTGGGGAATCCAGGTTGGTGGTGCCGCTAAGGAGGGAACCCATGCATTTTACCATAAGTTCCACGTCGAAATTGTCCTCTTGCGTTGGAAAATGGCGCCTCATGGCGTTCAGGGAGGCTATAGGAAGGGGCTCAGCTGTCCCTAGTATTTGTCCCATCACTGAGCCAAATCTCGCTAGCGCAGTCGAACGCAGTTTCTGCGAATGCCGGATATTGGTGGATGTATCCCCGTGCATGATATCCGTTAAAATGAGGCGATACATGTCGTGCAACAGCGCGCTTGTCTCAGCAGGATCGCGTGACACCACAGCCTTGTAGCAATCCATTCGAGATAGTCCAGGATGAGACTTTTTGATGTATCCGCAAGCGAGACGCGCCCACTCGAAAAGTCCATCAGCTTTCTCAGCGAGAACTGCAAACTCTCTGTCTTGAAAATCCAACCCCTTCAACTCCTTGGATATATAAGTATAGATGTCACGTTTTGCGTCTGCTGGTGGAATATCATCCATCGACATCTGTCGAATATGCTGAATATCACGAAACTCGTCATTGATGTCATCAAGCGGGCGAGAGGTAACAATGAAGCGTAAGTTGCCCGGGAGGTCTGTGATTTTGGGATCAGCGGTGTTTTGATGTTTGCCAGCTAGAATGCTGAGGAGGTCTTTCCGTGTCTCCACTCCACCGCTCTCGTCCAGTGCATCGACTACGATCACGATGGGTTCCCCAGTTGACTCAGATGACTTCTCCAGTGGTTCGATAAGAAGCTTCTTCCACTGCTGGATGATATCCGCCGTCTTCTTGAGCGAATTCGCGGTCTTAACTGCATTTGCCAATGCCCGCCTCATCTCCGGATCACAGTCAGCCAGGTCGCGCGCGATCGTGGAAAAGATCTTTTCATGACGACGATCTGCTTCTCGCTGGCGGTCAAAACAGTAGCACGAACCAAGTCCTCCTACGTCCTCGGACCACTTAGCAATGGTGTGGGCGATGGCTGATTTGCCCTTGCCTGCAGGGCCAGATAGCCACAGCACACGTGGAACGTTGTCCCCAGTGCTGTTGACCCATTCCATGATCTGGGAAAGGATTTCCGTGCGCGTCCCTTCAAGGCATTGTTTCCTGGTATCTAGTCCCGCACCCTCTGCATAAGCCATACCGCTGAGGTCCAATATTTCTTCTGAAAAAGTATGAATATATGTCAAGTCACGAGGACGTCCGGACCCTTACCCGTACGGTGGACGTGTATGGCTACGTCGCGAGCAACCTGGTCCCGGAAATTTTGCATGAGCCCCTCGAACACGTCAATGTACTTTTTGATGGTATCATCCGTTTCCGAGAGGACATCCTTTCCAAGTCTCTTCCCTGTGATTATGGTGGCTCGAGACGGTACAGATCGCAATGGCTTATAACACTCACAAAATTTCTTGGTCTCCGAATAATTTGTGATAAACTGAGCACATTCACGGGTCTGCTGAGAAATCTTTCCAAGGATAGCATGCATCGACAAAATTTGTTCGAGGTTCTCGTCTTGTGTCATGAGGCTGTAAACTTCATGTATCTTCTTGAGAAGTTTGAGTACCGCTGCGTCGCGATCCGCTTGAGCTAAAATAATCTGTACAGATGATTGCTAAGCGGTGGGAGATGGGAACAGATAAAGAGAAAACTCACTTTGGCTGCAAAAGACAACACGCCCAGTGCCATCTTTGCATATGGATGTACCTGTAGAACTAGATTAGTTCGATTACGATCGAGAGGAGGGCCTGCATACATTCGCAATCTTCTCAATAACTTCGTCGAATATCCTGAGGGGTTTGAGATATGTGTCCTGGAAACTGTCAGCAGCACTGAGATCCGCTTGTGCGTCTTGGCCAACAGACGCCACAGTTATCGCAGGTCCAGAAAGTGGATGCATGCGTTTTGTAGCCTCCTGTGCATCCCGAAGTGCCGATTGGGTATCAGCCTCCACTTCCATATCAGACGGCGCAGCCTGATCCTGCGTGACCACCAAAATTTAGAGAGAGCACAGTGACTAAAGGGCAAGTTTGAGAAGCTACCTCGATATTCGGGGGAGCAGGGCTGCGGCTACGGGAATCCTTCGAGCGCTTGTTGCAATGTTAGTCATATGTCAGGACACTCACTACACATGCTCGTTGACTCACCAAGATCCTTAACTTGTCCTTGACCTCCCCAAGAAACCGACGGACTTTGCTACGCCGGGGTTGGTGCTAGACGAAGGATGGGTCAATGTCAGTGTTCGAAGTGGAGTGAATTAAGCGATCCTCGAAAACCACGTACCTCACTTCCACCAGCTGCTGCTTCGCTAGATTTGTGGGTTTGTTGAGTTGAATCCCTCGACGATTTGCCTTTTCTCACTGTGGATAGAAGTTGCTTAAGGGAAGTGAGATAAGAGTCCCACATCATTTATATAAAATAACAGGCCATTAACGCCTCGAGGCAATATTTGTTCCAGTGTTGCAAGCGCTAAGCATTTGAATTTCGCGTTGCTCTGATCGTCGAATGTAGTATGTATGATTGTGACAAAAATAGCCTCGGTAGTGCTTGTGACACCCTTCCTCGGACCTCAAGGGAGTATGCATGATCACTGCTCTAATGCCTGACTACTGTCATCCTCAATTCTAACTCATCTCTACCGAACGCGACATACACATCCCCAACGTCATCAACCCTTTCTGTGCTGCTACTGCGGCAGCCCAATCTCCAAGAGCCACCTCCAACTTTTCCACTTTTCCACAGAAGAAGGCTGGCGCTCCCTTCAAATGGACATTTTCACCCACCATTTCAGTGGGTAGGTGCCCAAGACAGATGACTCTACCATCCACGTCGTCAGCGACATGGTGCGGAAGTTAGCAAGGGTCCCAGGTTCTGATTGGTACCAAGATCAATCCTATGCAGAGTGCGTGGCAGGCTGCAGAGTGTTATCACGTCATAACAACTACTTTTCGTCCGTTCAATCTGCTGTCGGAGAGTAGGCTGTTGTACTGATTAACCCAAAATACATCACTAGCTTAATTCTCACTCTTCTCCTCGTCTCACCCATTGAACGCGACATGCACATCATCAACGTCATGCACCCACCGCACTCTCTTAATCCTCGACCTCCAAGCTACATCCACTTTTTCACCAAGAAGGCTGCTGCTCCCTTCAAATGATTATTTCCACCCGCCACCTCCAACGTGTCCTAGATGCATTCCCGTCAGTCTGGCATCCAAGACAGACAACAAAACCATCCACGTCATTGCCGTATGTCCTGGGCTTTCTAGATCAGATACCATTGCACCGCTATCAACGCAGTTTAGGACAGGATCAGTCATCATTCTTCATTCGACTCGAATACCTAGGTCCTAGATATTCCTCAGATAATCCACGACACCTGCTACGAAATCTGCGCTGCATGTCCTTTTTCTCCCAACGTCTTTCAAGAGCAATGCTTATCAAGGCACCGATCCTCTAGAAGAAGTGCTCAAGGTAGGTGTACTCTACCGCGAGTGTGATATTGTTAACCTACGGATACAACAGTAACATTGTAACTCTACAACTAATGACGGTATGCAAGGCCAAAGAACAGCGAGTATCAGGCAGACGTGGGTGTGGGGAAACCGGGATAGAGAACGGGTAGCAAAGTATTCGGCCAAGATGGCGACATCAAGCGACTGTGGAAATAACAGCCTGTAGATGAAGGTGGTAAAGAACTCGACAGAAATAAACGAAACAGATATTGGACAGTGACTATTGGACAGCGCTACCGTTGCATCTCCCTTGAACGAAGAACCAGTGATGGACTCAGAATCTGTCGCGGTGATTGATTTTGGTGTGCTAATGCTAAGAAGTCAGAAAGCAGAAGCCGGCGACAGTCATGCCGCTTGGGATGGTAATGGCATGACAAGAGAGTACGATCTTGGCGTAGTTCTAAATTAGCGTCTGAGTCCACTCTTTGCAATACAGACTGAGACGGATCATATGTCAGCCCATATCCAGTAGCGGTCAGAGCACCCACCGCAGCGTTCATGACCTTACAAAAGGACAAGGTCTAATCACAGGGTGATGGAGAGATATGCGTTTGGTTCAGAAGGTAGCCGTAGGCCCATATTAGTTTATGGTGCGTTGGGCATGTGCTTGTCATCAGGAATTGAACAAATTCGATGGTGGAATCAAGTCAGACAAACCATTGACCTACGCCGTGCTTGCACAGGCCATTGCTGTTCAGAACATTATTTCGCAATGTTCACAATCTCAGTAGAGATAAGCAATAGTAATATATATGTACATTTTCTCCAGACTAAATTCAGAGTCATAATTTTTGGAACTTCACTACCCACGTCTCAGGGTGCTTCCCACCGCCCGGAACGAATCTCCTTCTCGTAAAAGCCTCATTTTTGACAAGCCCCATGAATGCAACACTGGATCCAAGCCAGTCGACACGGAGAAGCAGCGGCTCTCGCTGCACAGGCCTCTGAAAGCTCACTGTGGGTCTAGTGCGCGCCGCAGAATTTGAGCTCCCGTGTAACGCAAGCTGTATCCATAGACGACGGTCGTGTGCCCTGATCAGACTCGCACGTTTTTCAATTCCAGCAGTGCCCCACTCCATGTCTGTAAGTGGGCGCTGCAATTCAGCGTGCAGAGTAGAGAGAACGTCAAGACACGTCACAAACTCTTCTCCGGCACTTGGGCCGATGTCAAACGCCCAGGGAAAATCTGGGCTGATAAGCCATATTTGCCTAGGCCGCTCTGGCGTAAGTGGGACGCGGAGGAATTCGTACCCGCAGCCCGCAAATGGAGATGAAGGTGGAAAACGGAGAGAAGTGGGGAAATAGCGCAGGTCGTATATCAATGGCACGGATGGTGGCGCGAGAAACGGATGGGGGCAGGCTGGTGGGAGGTATAAGAATAAATCCATAATCATAAGTGTGTCTAAGCCGTACCCTTTTGGGTGTTAATATTTGATGGCATCGTTCGTCGTGTGGAATGGCCATCTAGGAAAACATACAATTGAACATCCTGCAAGTTGGTAAAATGAAGGTGGACGCATACATGTGAGCCATGCGCTCTCTGTATCATGTTGAGCTGTGGTGCGCATCTCAGAAGCGTCTTGGAGAGACGGAGTATAAGTGCCACCTTTATCACCAACATTAGATCGTATAATGACCTGAACAAATGGTGTCAGAGAACGTACCGTTCCATGAATGAGGGACGCTGCGGTTGCGGCGTTGAGAGTCGACGCGACCCGTTATATCAGCAGATGCTAACGAAGCGAATTAAGCTTGTGTAAAGTAGAACCTATAAAAAGGAAATCACCTTGCGCCCCCGAAATTGTGCGATGGTGACTTGCATAGGGAGGTTCTAGTAACAAGTAAGCATGGAGTCCGAATAGATTTAGAATTGCAACTACGGCTATTGGTGGTGGTAACCTCGTAGCAATGGCGCGAGGGGGTATCAATAGCAAAAGCAACACGAGGAAGTTGTATTGGGGGGCGGACCCATCCTGCGTAGCGAGCATTGTGTAAGGGTGGAGGTGAAATGGTGGGCTTAGGGGCAATATAGTGACACTGCGAAGGGAAACGAACTGTAGAAAACATGGGGAGAAAGCGATGGTGTGGTGACTTGGGATGCTCAAGGCAGGAAGGATTAAATACGTTGGGATGTCCTGCATTACTTGGCGAAAGCTATATTCGGTGGACCATCTCCGGCAGGGTGCTATCTCAATTTACATAAAGAGCACTACAAGTTACAAAGACCCACCCAACAAGATAAAGTGAACGAACCTAGTATGACTTCCAAATTAAAAAGATCACAGTTGCCTGTTTAGATATTTGAGTGTAAAAAATCGACGTATTGTCCGATTATAGACTGGGGTGCGATCAAGTTGACCTGCATACTGGACTGCAAGATCTATGACATGTCAACATGTCAGTACTGACAACATAAATTTGCACAACATGTGTTAGATCCGGCGAGTGTCACGATAGGTGTATAATGTACCTGCTGTTGCTTTGGCTCTGACTTTCCTTACTTCCTCAGCCAAGCGCCAATGAAGTTTTTATAAGACGACTAGAGACCCTTTCGGACTAGCTGTGACACAGCAGAACTGCGGGAAATGGCTCATTGCAAGGTGTCGGCTTCCCAGAAAGAGTGCCCACCCCGGAGGTCGCCTTCTCTCTTTGGCAAGTGCAGGATCACCATATGGGTCCCGAGAAACGGAGCTGCCTGATATCGGGCATCAAATCTAACGCCCGCAGAAACTTCTCAACTGCACACCCCTGAAAATTGCCTAGAGGCTCCTTTGTCACATCTGTGTGGGTAGTGTGGATGGCAGAATACCGTCGTCGTCGCAGCCACCTTAACTTTCGGACCGTACACCTTCAAGGCCATGCAAGCTCCGGAAGCCCAAGAATGCGCTTGCTGAAACATTCATCTTTGTTCTGTGGGAGCTAGAAAATCAACGTCTCGAGCTAAAGCGGCAGGCCCTAGTAGTAGGCACTCGTAGCACACACGTCTCGACTCTGGAGATCCTGTGGAAGCAAGTTATTTTAGTCAAACAGTAAAACCGGCAATTAGCGTACGTCTCACGACATCCCAATAGCGCTCAGGCTGGTGATGCAGGGTAAGGCGGAGCTCTCACTTATGGCATCTTCTGCTACTATTTCGGGGAGCATCCTGAAACATCATGATGCATTGACCACCGCAGTACTTCCGCCGTGTCGCGTGCGCACTGCCCATCTCTACTTTTGATTTGTTCTACAACCTTGACGAAAAAAAGTGATCTACATAGACGTAAGACAGACTGTTCATCACGTACGTGTCTGATATGCCATGTGCTGCACATCTTCCTCACAGCCGTCTCTCATCTTCTCCTAATTTTAGACCCTTCGACGCCACTACTCTCAATACCATGAACTGTTCCTGGTTCAGTGAGAGAAAACAGACCGGTTAGAGTGATGGAATGAGGAGGTACAGTTTCAAGACGAAGTGGTACTACTCCGGTGCGTTCGGCGAGTACTTGGGGCGTTCGGAAGTGGGTAAAGTAGTTGGTATCTGATTTGACTCGGAGTTAGTAAACTTGAAAAGTTAGACAGACCTACTTAACGGCTGACCTAGACCTGTGACGGTGCTATAATCCTACAATCATCGTGGATGTATGCATGTCCTTGCGAAGCTCTTCTTCAGTACTAGTACGGTGAGTGACGTTTGAAGTTGTGGGCGACGCAATGCGACTCAAAATCAGTCTCAGCCTTCGGATGTTGTCGGAAACTTGCCATATGAAGAACAATAACCCCTGTAATGCGCATGCACCAATTACATGTCCCAAAATCTCGATAACCGATACCTAAAAGGTATGTACATTTCGTCCAAACATGATTATTATGGTAAGTTCTGGAACCTCACAACCCACGTCTCAGATGGCTCTCTCGCACCCGGAATGAGTCTCCTCCTCGCAAATGTCTCATCCTTGACGAGCCCCCCAAACATAACACGAGATCCAAGCCAGTCCACACGGAGTATCGAAGGCTCTCGTCGCGCAGGTTGCACATCCACATCAGATACAAATCGCACTCTAGGCCTGGCAGTGGTGCATGCCTCGGTACTGGAGCTCCCGCACACAGCAGGTTTCATATTTAGCCGACGATCGCGCGCTCTGACGAGGCTCGCATGTTTATCCTCTGCAGCGGCTCCCCACTCTGTGTCTGAGAGTGGACGCTGCAATGCAGCGTGTAGCGCAGTGAGGACGTCAAGACACGTCACGCCCTGTTCTGCGGCACCGGGCTTGGGGCCAATGTTGAATGCCCAGGGAAAGTCTTGGCTGATCAGCCGTATCTGGTTGTGTCGTGCTGGCGTGAGTGGCACTCGAAGGAACTCAGATCCCCGTCCCTCATATGGAGATGATGGCGGAAGACAGAAAGAATTGGGTGGGTATCGTAGATCATATACCAGTGGCACGCAAGGTGCTGCGAGGGGGTAAGCTGGCAGGAGGCATCAAGATCAATCTAATCTAATCAGGGTTACAAGCTAGGTCTGGGCCGCACCGATTTGTGTGTCCTTGTCGATCAATGGTATTGAATTCTTTGCTCGTCGTACAGGGTCATCTAGGAAAGTGCGCAATTGAACATCTTGGCAGTTGCAACTAAACGAATGAGAACGCTTACGTTTGATCGCTGCGTTCTCTTTGTCGTGTCGAGCTGCGGTGCACATATCAGAAGCGCCTTGATTCTGGTGGGTGCCACCTTTATCATCAAGTCAGATTGTATGAGAATCGGATCCGACAACAGGAACCTACCGTTCCACATGCACGAGCTAGAAACGTTGCGGTGTCGGTATTTGACTGGCCACAAATGAGCTGGGGGTAGAACAACTAGGAGGGGGGAATACCTTGCACCCCCGAATTTGCAGGTGGGTGAGTGTCATATCGAAGATGAACCGAATGAGGTTCTGATAACGGTTGAGATAGGGAGTCACATGCCACGTGAATAACTGCTTACGGGTATGAGTGGCGTTACCATCACGGGGACGACGGTTTGACGGGGTGTCGGTTGCAAATACGACGCGCCGTTCAGCAGGCTTGTTGAACGACGGCAAAGCGACACGGGGAAGCTGTATTGGAGGGCTGGGCCACCCGTCATAGCGAGCATCGTGCAAAGCTGGAGGCGAGGTGTTGGGACCAGGGGTATCCCGTGAAGAACGAGTTAGATTATGCATGGGAGACGTGATGTTGCTGTACGATAACTTGGGATGCTGTAGGAGGCATCGTGGTGAAGATGGGATTATATACGATCGGATAATAGGATGGCAAAGCCTTGCCCGCTTTACTTTTTGAGTGCAAAAATTGGACGCAACGTCCAATCGAACCAGATGGAATCGAGTTGGCTGCACATGCTGTGAAAGAAATTACCCTCTATCATTTCCAACAATAAAAATGTCTGCCTGTACAACCCAGCGAATGTAGGTCCTACTAGTACTGGCCAAACGTGAGCACTGCCACACTGCCACCAGAAGTCGATACCTTCCATATATACTCAGTAATAGCGGCAAAACTCTCCTGCAAGTGACCAAAACGTGATGAATACGCCGCCAGCGTTTTCAGTGCTGGTATGTCTTCGCCTTCTGCTCGCAGTTCTGCCTCTTCCAGGTCAAAATCTTCTCAAACATGACCATCAACTTAGCTCTCCATTGACCTCCTACCTTCGCTGTATGTACCAAAGCACTGCTAGCCAAGTGATTCCATTGCTAATGCATGTCAATACTAGTGAACGAAGGTCTCTGGCTCCTCGATAATAATATCGACCCATACGTGGGAGGAGCTTTTCACCATGTATGCCACTCCAGTGGACCACATGTCATGCATGTCGTGTGCTGACCATCTGCGCCATAGTCGCCTCTCCTACTCTCCTTATTTTCAACCATAGTACCTCCCCTTCCAATTGTATGGGCTGTATCTGATGCAGTGGGGACATGGGCACTTCTTCGCATATGGCGCGCACGCCAGGGTTTATCATCTCAAAAGGGTACGAGGTTCGATGTAGAAAACCTCATCGTAAGCGTGTGCGTTCCATCAGCATATTTCCAGTACGCACCTAATGCACCGCACAGCTATTTGCTGAATCCCTACCTCCTCCTTCCATCACTTGCGCTATCGACATCCACATTCGAAAATACCCTCACTCTCCTTGCTCTCATGTTTGCATCTGAAGGTACGTCCTACCGCCTATGTCCAAATTGGCTCACACGCATTCCCCAATTCCAGGCAAAGTATCTTCTGCTCTCCTCGCTATCGCATTCGCAGTTCACCTCACCCCCTCCTCTATCCTTCTACTTCTCCCAATTCTCATGCTCCTCGTCTCGTCTCCTGTGTCTCACCTCGCTTCCCCACGTCCTTTCTATGGTAGCCTCAAACGTATACCGCTCCTCTTTGGCGAGTTCACACTATACTGGCTCGTCCTTGTAGGCGCAGCATGCATCATTGCTGGCGGAAGCTGGAATTGGGTCGGGGCGTCATGGGGCGCAAGGTAAGTCGACTTCCAATTCCTGATAGATTGTCCGTAAACACAGCATCCCAGCCTCACGCTACCAGACCTCACGCCCAACCCCGGCCTTTGGTGGTACTTCTTCACCGAGATGTTCGACCATTTCAGGCCATTCTTCCTTATGGTCTTTTCCGTGCGTTCTCGTTTTCTTCGTGCGCGCATGCCATTTGACTGCATAGTTAGGTTCACCTTATCATATACATATTACCTATCTGCATAAAATTTCAGTAAGGGATTCCTGATAATATACGTGCTAATTTTTATGGGTTCTGACATGCCCCACCTGTAGACACGATCCCCTCTATGCCGCGTTCCTCCTCGTAGGCGTCCTGGGGACGTTCAAAGCGTACTTAACACTCGCAGACCCAGGGTTGTTCCTAAGCATGATATCCATCTTCCCTGAAGTACATGGTTGTAAGTCCCCTTCCCTCCGACAACCCTACCCCATCTCGCACTCACTTCACTCACACTCTTCCAGACCTCCGACACCCCATTATCACCACACTCCTCCACCTTCACGCTGCGCTCCTCCTCCCACTTCAACATGTGCTCTGGGTGAGCGAGGGCCGTGGGAACGCGAATTTTTACTATGCTGCGAGTCTTGTTATGGGCATGGCGGGTGGTGCAGGGCTTGTGGATGCGTGTTGGGCGGGGATGCGGATTGCTGTTGGAGATGCGAAAGCATGGGCTGAGGAAAAGGTAGATGGTGAGAAGGGGAAGGTGGTGTGGTGGGAAGTGGTACAACAATAAGGAGTGAAGAATTGCTCGAGGCTGGTTGCCGTTTTGCGCGTATACTTTGAAAGGACCAAATCTAAAATTGTGTATACCCAGATCGGCAGTAGACCTAGGTTAAACATCTTTTTCCTTTTTTGCGTGCATCACGTAACCACGCCTTACTATGGTGGCAGGGAAGTCAAAATACTCGCAAACTTGAACCAGACGGTGGCAGGTAATCGTTCGTGTGAACGGGATGTACCTCCTCGACTTCACGGGTGAGGTATCTGGACAGCACGTGCACAATCATACACAGTATGATTTCAGCTCTATACAAGAGGACGTTGATGACTCAAAGGTTTCGCTACTTCCACCCTTATTAAATCGGGGACGTGACGCTGAATCACTGAAACAAAATTACAAATGTAGATTACGAAACTCTCTCTACACAGCTCTACACCTCGAATTCTTTCAATGCCTTTCGGGCAGAGTCAGACCCCACAACTACTGTTGAACCTGTGCCCACTCGACTTGCAACTTCCAGAAGGGTCGGTACATTTCCGCACAACGTCGGCTCGATAGCTAGGACGCACGCCAGATTTTCCGAGTCACCAACAAATTCCACTGCGTTCTGAATCCCGGGCCAAGACTCCAGCAGCCAACACATTCTGTCTTGTAGATTTGCCAACTCCGATTCTCCGATGATGTCAGAAAAACCCCAACACTTGAGATATCTGAGAGTGTCGTCTACCCAATCTTGGCTATTTTAGCAGGGAAGATTGTCTCTATTTCGGCGAGCTCTGTCGAGCTCACGCTCCCTACGGAATAGTTTCCACGCCAGTCGTCCGAGTCTTGGAGAGGTTGAGTCTGATATCCATGGCGTAGTTCGTTTGGTTACCTACAAGCTGATAGGTGTTCCCTATGTCAGGACTGGTTTAGACACAGATCGCCCAGTGAAGAGGATAGGGCCGTAGGTGCCTCGCCAAAATTGGACAACTTCGATGTTATAGAATTTAAGTGCGACTATTTCGACTTTAGACGACACCTAGGGACTCGGTAAGTTGCAGTTCGCTAGACTTGTGATAATGTGCCCACCAAGGATTCAGACTTTGAGTCCATAGTTTTTCTGTTTCATACCCAACTTGGCCTATGGCACTCGGCAAGTCGCAGTTCGCTAGATTTAAGATAGTGTACTCACAAAGGATTCAGACGACATATTGAACAAGAATCCGGATGGGAGAATGTGAAGTGCGGGTACATCGATGACCTCGAAAGCTTCGTGATTGTGAATGGGCACTCTGGTATGCTCATTGAATGAAGTTCGACAGAAGCATCCGTTTATTCACCCATCTCAACACGTTTATGACAGCGAATATACGAGGTCAACGCACGTCCACTCGTGCCTGCACCGCTCTTGATTTCGCGACGGAAAAAATATATGCAGGCAAAGCTGGATACGACGCTGCCCGAGCTGCGCTTGTTGCCCTCACACCGTTGCTAGAAAAATTGGTTGGAGCGATATTTTGCGCCCTCTTTTAGTGTCAGATATGAGGCCTATGGGCAACTTCATTAAGGGCGATCTGAAGGTACCCGCAGTATACCATGGATATGAAAAATACTTGGAGTGTTGCAAGACAATGACGAGGGACTGCAAGACCGCACGTGCCATGGTGTTATCTAAACTTTGAAGGTATAGTAGTTTGTAGAGTCCAGCCTCCAAGTACTTTTTAATGGATCAGGTGATAGTGTGAGATTAGAGTAATTTGGCATGTCGCGAATGTGACCACCTGCAGTATGACAATCACAGTGCGATCACAATTTAACGATAATCCAGCATAATCTCATAGGCAATTTGCTGATGTGAGTGACCTCTGTGATAGTGCGAACAAGCTTTTTGAACATACTACTGCTTAAGAGCTCGAAGTTGGTATCGACAATAGGGTGTAAGCACACCGGCTTACCTGAGTTCCCATAATCAGTACATATACTGTTGCTGATGCTGAAAGCTAAGCTTTCAGTATTTCACCTTTTGGTGTAATGGTTATGCGGGCGGTAGTCTGACCAAGTTACATAGGGTCTAACATTCAGCGGTACTTGAGACAACATTTTTAATAACAAAGAGTGAAATACATCATGATGTCTGTTGTACCACAGGACACTATGTTATGTGCTGGCACTGATGCTAATCTCGCCTGCCTATGGTTTGTAACCACTGCCAATGGGGTATTAGGGATCCGGGTGCTAGTGCTGGGCTACACATCAATGGCTCAAGAGTCTGAACTGAAGATAAGAGAGAATTCCAAGGTGTCATGTCACAGGCTATACTGTCATAATGATGCATCAAAACAGGCTAACTAGCATTATTTGATGATGCATCAACTATGATAGCAATCAGTGGTGCATTGCCCTCATCCCTATTGGGAATGTGATGCATAGTGATGCATCAGTGATGCATATTGGCAGTAGTATGACCTTTCTTGCTGTTATCTTGTTTCACCTTCAATGCCATATGCTACACGAGCTTCTTTTCTTCTTGCACCATATGAACTCTACCAGTTGTTGTTCCTCCGTCTCTTACTAAGCATGCTACAGTTCATATTTTACCTAGACGTGTCCTCGAGATCACCTCAGTATTGTTTCACAGCAACTACTGAGGTGTGTATGATTTTTCTCCCGCACCTTGTATTCACTCACTGATGTAACTACCTACAGTTTGCTTAGGTACTTACAATGATAGTATTGTTTCACAACAACTACTGAGTTTGCTTAGCGCACAGGTTATGAGCCCTGAGCTCTAGATCAGCTCAGAAATCGCACAAAGCAAAATACTCAATACTCACATTTAACTAATGGCTAAACACCTCTCGACACAATGGGAAAGTTCGACCATGTTGCTGAATTGACTGGCTTGGACAACTACCCCAGTTGGCGATGAGCTGTAGAGTTAGCTCTTGCAGGAGAAGGACTGTGGAGCCACTGTAGCATGGGCACAGACCTGAATGATATCGCAGAGTATGCCAGTGTCATGCCCAAAGCTGCAACTGCAGGACAACCCACAAGTGCAGAGCTTGCGCTGATGAAAGACTGGATAAAGGAAGACACTCAGACAAAAGCAATTATCAGGAGGAGACTCTTACCCATCATTCAGAACATCCTTGGTGAAAAATTGACCGCTTGCCAGCAGTGGGAGATGCTATCAAAATGCTTTGCCTGCCTTGATGTCACCTCACAATATGAACTCCGTTCCCAACTCTTCTCCAAAAGATTGAAGGATCCAGATGATGCCTCTCGGTACCTTGGAGTGTTTGAGAACGGACGTTGCAGGTTCGCAGAGATGGGCATCACCTTCATGGATGGAGAGAGTATCTTCATGTTCCTCAATGGACTTTCTGAAATGCCTCAGTGGGTCATGTTTTGCAGCCTTACTATGGCGAAAACATCGTCAGCTACAACAACAAGCCCCAACCCAGCTGCAGGACTAACCTTTGAGGAGGTAGCCACATCGTTCACTGAAGAGGTGAATCGCCAACGGGGCAAGCAGAAGATGAACGCTTGTCCAGGGTCGGAGTATGCCAACGCCACCATCACACACAATCAAACCGAGCAAAAGACAAATCCAGCAACTGGGGTATGAATTCACAAGCAAAACCCAAAGGGGGTGCCTTGTGAAAACCCAGCATGCATTGGACTCCCCCACTCATTGACACATGACGTTGAGCACTGCATGCAAGCCTGCGGAGGGATGGAAGGCAAGGCGCCATAGTGAGGTGACAGAGGTGAGTGTGGTGAGTGTGGTGAGTGTGGTGAGTGTGGTGAGTGAGGGGGTGAGTGTGGAGGTAAATGGAAAGATGTATCTGCTGCAGCTACTGAATCCAAGATGACTCCTGCAACCTCCACTTCTACCACTGAAACATCTGCACTAGCCACCTCATCCTCTCACTCACGTGATTGGTCCTGCACCATGGTTGAGGAACTCGTCAGTGAGTCGTTGCCAAAGGATGAGGACATCACCTGCATCACCAGCCAGATGCTATCCACCATCCTAGACCCCGGCACCACGTCAACACTCATAACAGATCGCAGTCACTTCTGGACTTACAACTCAGATGCGAAGGTCTCTGTAAAGACAGCCAACCATGGCAAGTTAGCCACTTCAGGACAAGGCGATTGTGTAGTGGAACTCACCATCAATAACCGAGTCCAAAGGCTGCGCCTTATGGAGTGCCTCCATGCCCCTGGGGCATTGATCAACCTACTGTCAGTAGGGCACATGCTTAAGAAGGGATGGGCGTGTAACTTCTTACCTTTCCCACCCCGCTGTCAAATCGTCTATCACAGGGATAGCCTTGGTGAAGTTCCCATGACTGGGAATCTAGTCTTCCTGGATCTTTGGTTCATCCCACCTTCCACTCCATCTCCGCATCTCGAGATCTTGGCATTCGCCAAGGTTCCCTTATCTTGGGACCTATGGCATGCTTGGCTGGGACATCCTGGAGGTGAGGCTGTAAAGCGCCTTCCTCTCTTCTCCACTAGAGCAAAGGTTGATACATCCCTTCCTCTCTCCACCTGTGAGCCATGCATCATGGCCAAGCACCCTCGTCGGCCATATCCACCTTCCAAGATGCCAAGGGCACCTGCCATGCTCGACCTCATCCACTCAGACTTATGCAGTCCCTTCCCTGTCAAAACACCACACACCAAACATCACTTCATCATATTCCTTGATGACCACATGCACCTCCTTAACCTGCAACTCCTTGTGAGCAAAGACCAAGCTCTGGAGGCCTGGGAAATAATCTGTAAGCATTGGGAGAACCAGTCTGGTTGACGTGTTAAGGTGTTCCATTCAGATAACAGAGGAGAATTCATTGGGGCAGTGTTTACTCAGGCGTTAACATCTGCAGGTATCACTTGTCAGCTCTCAGCACCCTACACACATCAGCAAAACAGTGTAGGGAATGAGATTCCTCCAGGCTTATATCGCCCATATTACGACTCACAACAATTGGTACAGCATACGACTCACCCTCCATGACTTTCCCACAAAACGCGCCAGAGGTGTGACGCATTCCTGCGCATGCGCTCTTCCCATGCTCAATCGCCCTTTGTTGCACAGCATCCTGGAGCATCCATCCATCATCCAACCAGTCCCCTAGTGAGTCCCTTTTCATTTATTCTCATATTTAGCATCATACAATATATTATTCCATCATGGACCCTTACATTACATCATTTACATACTTAGCACACTCCCTGTTCACTTCCAAGCCCTGGGAGTGCGCCTAGGCACAGCTTACCTGTTGCCTAGAAAGTTTTCATACACCTACCACCACCACAGAATACCAACCACCATCATGTCACTTAGCATCTAGCAGTTGGAATCCATCAGAGTCATCGCCCTAGCCATCAGCATCAGTCCATTATCACTAGTCATCATTCACCAGTCTTTACACGTTTGCGCACCACATGCGCTCCATTCCCACGCTTCGCACTCTTACGCACTCAACATTCCTGCGTGCGCACTTTCAGTGCACTTCACCAGAGTTGACCTGGTGTTACTTCATGGATACTTGCTTTCTTTGCTTCCCTTAAGGGTTGAACATATCGCCTGGTGCACTTTGACCAACATTTAGAGAGTCAGTGGCCTTCCTCTCACCCCAGAGGTAGAGGTTTTCTTTCTTTCTTTTGCTCTGCAGCCCAGCAGAGTTGTTGAACCTTCAATGGGAAGGCCAAATGTGTGATTCACACCATTGAAGGCAGACTTTTCGCCATGCTGGAAGCAGCTGACTTGCCTGTGACCCTATGGGGCAAGGCAGCCCTGACGGCCTGCTACCTATGGAACTGCAGTGAGACCTCGACCCTTCCTCCTGGCATCATGCCTTATGAAATGCTCAATGGTCACAAGCCTGACTTAGCTCAACTTCGTGTCTTTGGGGCTAAGTGCTTTGCACAGATCCCCACTGAACTTCAGACCAAAGGCAGCCCACATTCTCGTCCTGCCATTTTTATGGGTTACCCAGAAGGAGTTAAAGGTTACCGTCTTCGTGCTAGGGATAACGGTGCATTCTTTGTTGCACGGGACATCATCTTCGACGAAAACCTGCCATGTGTCACCCATCACACCGACTCTGACGGTGAGGACAACGAACCTCTTGCCCCTGTCACTCCCTTGGCCCCAGTGCCTACCTCCATTCCTCCTCCATCCTCTCTTCCTGTGGCTGAACCACATCGCTTGACATGCACATGAATTCACACTCCAGCAGGGCAATTATTCGCAGATGAACTTGTGGCATCCAAAGCATGCTTGATGGCACTTCGTCATGCCCGTGCTGATTGTGCTGTGGAAAACTCACTTCGCAAGGGGGTGAACCCAGACGATCGCATGGAGGTCATCCCAGAGGATCTCACCAACATCGAGTCCAATGTTGACATCACAGAGGCCATGGCCAATGCCTGCATTGAGGAACAAGCTCATGTCGCAATTCGCAGTAACCACAAACACAATCCTGCTAACCCAGACTACGATATGGCAATCCCTCCCGCCACATACAATGAGGCTATGCAACACTCTGATCATGCACTTTGGCTTGCTGCCATGAAGGCTGAACTGTCGACGATGAAGGACATGAGCATTTATAAGCTGGTGAAGCTGCCTGAGGGATGGAAGGCCATAGGTAACAGATGGGTCCTTGAGTTCAAGGAGGATAACAAGGGGGGGCTGGTCCAGAAGGCACACTTGGTAGCACAGGGCTTTTCACAGATTCCCCGAGTCAACTATGGAGCTACCTTTGCACCCGTGATCAAAACAGCATCGGTACGCTTCATAGCAGCCTTAGCATGTTGCAACGACTGGGAATTGGACACATTTGATGTGAGATGCGCTTTTCTCTGGGGAGTCCTAAAGGAGGAGATATACATGTGTCAGCCCAAGGGCTTTGAAGAAGGCAACTGGGCTACACTTGTCTGGCTCATGCTCAGAACCATCTATGGTCTGAAGCAATCAGCCATGGAATGGTATGAGCAGGTGAGGGCAATCATGATGGAACTTGGCTTCACTCGCTGTGCTGTAGATCATGCTGTCTTCATTTATGACAAGTCCACTCCCTCTGCAGGTCACATTCTCTGCATCATTGGGTGGCATGTTGACGATGGGATGGGCACCTCTAACTCAAAGCCCTTCCTCACATATGTCAAGGGTCATATTGCACAACAATTTGGAATCAAGGACTTGGGACCCATCTCAAAATTCCTTGGCATCCAATTTGAGCACTCGCATTCTACCCATCAACTATGGATGCATCAAGGTGAATACATCACTCACCTTCTCGATGAATATGACCTCCTCAATTGTAACCCAGTCCAGCTGCCTCTCAATGCCAAGAATCCCTTTGGTCTTACATCTGACGTCCACAACAACATCCCAAATCTCCCCACTCAGTATCATAAGATTGTGGGGGAGCTTCTATACCTTTCCGTGTGCACCAGAGCTGACATTTCCTTCACCATCAATGCCCTTGCCCAGCATTGCGCCAACCCTGCATCTTGCTTCTTTGCAGCAGCCAAACACCTTCTTTGATACCTCAGTGGGACACAGAATTACCATGCTCACTATGGGGTGATCGCACAGATGAGAAACTTCACAGTTATTGCGACACTGACTGGGTGGGTTCACCTGATGATCACCTCTCCATCTCTGGGTACACCTGGTTCTTTGCCAGGGGCCTCATCACACATGTCTCCAAAAAGCAGTCCACACACATGCTCTCTTCAACAGAAGCTGAATATATGGCCATTACTCATGCAATACAGGAGGGTATCTGGCTGAAGTCCCTATTTACAGCCCTCCATGTCCCAATGCCTCTCCCCATCATTCTCTATGTCGATAACACTGGCACCATTGCATTGTCCAAGGAGGCGCACTTTCACATCCATTCTAAACATATTGACATTTGCTACTACTTCATTCGCAAGTATATCAAGAACAGCATCTTTCTCCCGAACTGGTTGCCATCTCACAAGAATGTCTCGGATATTCTGATGAAGGCCTTGCCATGTCCCTTGTTCATCAAGCACATCGAGGGACTGCAGTTAGTGTCATGCGAGTAGCATCTCGGTGAGGGGGTGTATTGGCAGTAGTATGACCTTTCTTGCCGTTATCTTGTTTCACCTTCAATGCCATACACTACACAAACTTCTTTTCTTCTTGCACCATATGAACTCTACCAGTTGTTGTTCCTCCATCTCTTACTAAGCACGCTACAGTTCATATTTTACCTAGACGTGTCCTCAAGATCACCTCAGTATTGTTTCACAACAACTACTGAGGTGTGTATGATTTTTCTCCCACACCTTGTATTCACTCACTGATGTAACTACCTACAGTTTGCTTAGGTACTTACAATGATAGTATTGTTTCACAACAACTACTGAGTTTGCTTAGCGCACAATGCATCATCTTTCCGCACCAAATTGGGCTGCACCCAGCTTCTGTTTGCTGGCATTATACTGGACGTGCCTGGTGAAACCTGCTTCCCTTGTCTGTACCTTGCTTACCTATGCTGCACCTTGCTTACTTACACTAGATCCAGGCATCTGGCTATCTAGCTCGTTTTTGGGAGGCCTCTTACCCTTCCAGTCTTCAGTGAAGCTTTTGCTACTCAAATATGTGCATGACATCATTTTTCAGATTTTTATCACCAAGTCCAGCTCCCTTTCTATTCAACAATATATAAGTATGAAACATTTCATCCCGCAGCACCAATTTGTGTGACTCTGTTATACATACAACTGTTATTGTAATTGATTGTAAAACAGACACGACGTCCGAAGGCAACCAGTCTGCTTGTATATGAATTTATTGCTCCTTGAACATTTGAACTTCAAACTGAGTGTCTTCCTGTGCGTCTGCTTGCACCGGGCATGCGGAACAATGTGATAGCACACATTTACATCTCATTCTCGTTTGTTGCACAACATTCAATTAATCACTATTACTGACTTGGATACTCACAACAAGATATGTAGATAAGACACTATTTACTGATTATGTATGTTGAGCACGCCTAGGATGTAGTCATATCAGTGCAATGCAACTTGAAGCACATGAATGACCGACTTACTTCATTGGCCCGCCAATATCATTGTCACATTCTCTTGCATTGAAGGGTTTGCGCACTCGGCAATGCCCTTCTGGGAGTGGTTGGATTTCATTTGCCAAGGAAGTGGGCGCAGTCAATTGTGAATGTTGTTGTGTGTGCCTTCCACGATGATGCTGAGTCTTTGTTTGGACTAATGAAGTTGGTGCTTCTGTGTTCTGTGTACCTTCAGCATCTGGGTCAGCGCCAGCACCATCAGATTCATTAAGTGTTCCCATATTTTCAACATCAGCATGAGGAGCTGGAGGGATAATGACTTGGGAATATTGGTCAGATAATGCATCATCAGTGCGAGGAGCCAGAGGGATAAAGACTTGAGGACATTGGGTAGATGCATCGTCAGTGTGAGGAGCTGGAGGGATAAAGACTTTGGGACATTGGGTAGATGATGGATCATCAGTGCAAGGAGCTGGAGGGATAAAGACTTCAGGATATTGGGTAGATGATGGATCATCAGCACGAGGAGCTGGAGGGATAAAGACTTCGGGATATGGGGTGGATTGAAGGGGGGGGCGTTCAGGGACAGCATCCAAAATGCTGATGTTGAAATTTGGGTCATTGATGAGAGCGGTAAACACTTCATGGTCAAACACAGGTAGGTTGGAGGAGTTGTTGAATGAAGCAAATTTGGAATCACTTGGGAGCTGAGAACCAGGTGATGCATTACCTAAGGTTTGCATATGCGGGAGTGATGCATCAGTTGATGCTATGCTGGCAGCAAAATTGTCTTTGATGGATGACTCAGACTGAGGAGTCATCTGGTACATGCCCACAGTGTTGATTCGATGGATGCTGTTTGGTAGGAGATCATCCAAGTCCTCTTCATCTGAACTATCATGTGAGTCTGATGAATCTTCTGCTTCCTCATTATCTGAGTCTTGGGGCAGTGTTGACTCAAATGCTAGTGAAAAGGTGAGTGTGTGCCTTCGAACTGACAGTTATATTGACGTACCGAGAGCATCTTTGATGAAGGTTAGGAATGCAGCCTGCACCACATCAAAATTGGCATAAGTCTGATCAAACTGCACCCCACTCTCAAGTTCACCAACATGATAGCTTCATAATATTAGTAAGTGCACTTCCTTATCAACACACATCACTCACTTGAAAACAGACACCTCTCCAGTGCTAGGATCATTCCCTCCCATAAGGATCATGAACTTCCACCCACCCATGGCATATGCAAGGTACTTAAGGATCTGATCAAGCATAGGACCAAGCTCACAGATAGCCCTGCAGTTTTTAAATGCGCTTGAGATTCAACCATGTGAACAACGACAGAAGTACATACTTAATCCTGGTTGCATCATCGATTTTTGGCATCTTCCCTAACTTCTGGCATAGACGTGCTTTTGTATGCTTTGCCTTTGCCTTTGGTAACTCCTTTCAACCTTATTCTTGACTTCTTTGCATTCTTCAGAGTACATACGGCGCATGACCTCATGGCGCTTGTTCAGCTTTGGCCTGCAGTCAGTAACTTTCTCTACTCTGATTTTAGCATCTGCAGTGTCCTTGACTTTTTCTTCATAGTATTTGTAGGAGTAAATGTTCATTTTTTGTGGTGTGCAGGTCCCCTTAAGTTTGACACCACCAGCCAACACAGTGTCGAACTTTAAAGCTCCTTTAACACCACTTGTGCAGCCCAGATGAGCAGGGTTTTTCCACCAATGGTACCATGTAACTAGTTGCTGATCAAAATGAGTTGGTGCATGTTTCACATGCTCTAAACACAGATGGTAGTGCTTACCTGTTCATGACTTTCCACAGCGTTTGCCAAATCTTTCACTTGATCTGGTGTAAGGATGTGGTGAGTTGGCAAGTCACCAAAGAGGGCCCTTCACTCTGGCCATTTCTCGAAAAACATTTTGCTGACTTTTTTCCAGAACTCCTCGTATTTCTTGTCTGCAGCATGCATGCGAAATTCTCCCAACATGGAGGTGAGAAATTCCTCTTGCTCATTGCTTGTCCATTTATGAGGCATCTATTATGAGATCAGTAGGAGCGGAGTCACAGCATCCTGGCACATACAGTGGTCAGACTGGAGGGATGAGCTGATAATTTCAGTACATAGTGAGTTAGGGAGGGATGTTTTTTTTCATCTTCATCCTTTGAATATCATAGAGCCCATTTCGATGGACCAAATTGCTGGACCAAATTGCTGGACCAAATCACTAGACCAAATCGCCGTCTTTCTTTACTACCAGTCACTCTATTTTGACGTTTTGAATCTAATTTAATTCAGAGAAGGTCCTCGTTTCTCAGATGCACCTGGCGACATCTACAAGGGTCACTGCCATTACCATCTCTGGGAGACTCACAAAACAATGCTATGTAGTACAATATTTCAACCTCGATATCTATAATCTCTCTGTCACAGTAGATAGTGTTTGCATAAATAAAGGCTTTGATCTGTTTTGTCACCATGAAATAAATAAAACTTATGACCACCACTGAGTGAAAATAAGCATGGTCCATACCTTCACAAGTGACGTCGTTCTGAAAAAGATCAGTCCAACCCATAGCAACAAATGTTGAGCCACAAGGTGGACCTGAGGGACATAGATGCTGTAGGAAGTGCCACTGAAGCCATGGCAGACTCGGAAGCACTTGATCATCAAAGCAGGGCCTGGACTGGACAGTGCTTCAACCTAGTGAGTTATCAGTGCATACCAGCAGTTAGTTCATATGAATACTTACCTGTAAATATTCTGTGAGCACCAGTGTTTGAACATTGATCATTGACTTACGGATGACTCGGAGTTGGCCTGTGAGAGTGCTTGCTTATGGTAAAGTTAGTAATCAGTACATTGAACAATTTGAAATGCAGTCAATTAATATGGTCCTACCATGCTACTAGTTTGCAGTGATATCTCCTCCAGATGTACTATTGTGCAATGAATTGGGTATACTAGTAGCCCGGTCATGTCTGCTGCATGTTCAGCATGAAAATGTAAGCATAGTTCATTTTGAACCAGACAAATGCAACTTGAAACTGATTGCGGTCCTACCATGATTATGATTAGTAGTACTACTTTACAGGTCAAAGCCATTAAGGTCCGACCTATATGTCTAACCTACTCCAGCAATGATTAAGGACTACTCATATCACAATAAGTCACTGAATAACGACTTGGAAAGGTCAGTTCACTCCAAACACAACTTGAAACTTCAATATTGACTCACAGATTAAGGTCCAACCAATAACGCTGCACTTACACTGCAGCAATACTTTAGCAGGTGCGTGCCCATCATCTCACAAAGAGCAGATGTGCTGATTATCATCCATGCCATGCACCGCACTTACAATTAGTTATATCTACAGCATTTGTGGTGTAGTACTCAGCACCATGGGCCATCGACATTTGAATGGAGGCTCGTAATTAATACAGTCTGATGAATCGATGGAGGCTCATAAGTAATACAGTCCAACAAATCGAAGCTTCTGAAGCTCTCTTTGATTTCCTCTTTTCTCTCTCTCCATACCAAACGACACTGTTGCTTCACCATACCCTATGGCCCCTCCAATCAAATACAAAACTGAAGCGGCTAAGCTTCAAGCTATGAGAGCAAAACATTCTCGGTACTATGCTAAGTAAGTATCATCTATTTCATCTAGCCTACGATGCCCTGATCACAGATGCAGGTGCTGTGAAGAGATTCTTGCAAAAAGGAGGGAAAAATACCACATCAACAAAAACCATTGAAAGGACAATGATGGCAGCGACGACAAGCACATGGGTGACAACTCAGATGAGGGCAGCGACAAGTCTGCGAGTGATGAAGAGTCAATGTACGTGCTAAATATTACTATTGTCACTGTGTTTTTAATATAAATATTAGAGAGATGTTAGCTGATTGTATTGCTGTGGTCAAATATGCCAAGGATGACTTCATGCAGCATATTAAATCTCCTCAAATATTCACCTTGGGCATTTTTGCTGAATATGTGAAGTCTATCCCAGATGCTCCCAGAAGCCACAGAGATAGAGAAATTCTCAAGCGTGCGATGTTGAGCATTGAGGACTTCCTTGACAGGGCTAGTCGAGGACAAGACGGTATCCTTCAACTATGTGGGGTCTGTGATGAGTGGTGAGCCGCAGATCAAGTGTGCAGGAGCATGAGGGACACCATTGCTATGGTGGAAGACATCTATTGTCATACGCTCAGTGATGGAGATGCCAAGTTAGCAGTTGTCCATTTACTCAAGGGATTTTTGTACCAGAACTACACAGACTTTTGAATAGGCTCAAGAGGCTTACGCACTAATGCCACTTTGAATCACATATTTCACATTGAGATTCACACTTAGCTACTATGTAAAAGCTTCAGGTATACGTTACATCAACACCTCCATTTCACTGCAGTCAATCGCCTCTTCCATCAACCAAATGCCTTCAGCTACTGAGAGGACCTTTGAAAAAGAGGCCCTGCTCATGCCGATCACATGGGAGGAGGTCTGTTGCCTGTTGGTGAATCCCTAATCAGCCACCATGAATCTGAAATAATGCGAATCACTGACCAAGTAGAGAATATGCCAATGCGGTGGCCATGAGTCACCCAGTAGAAGGGTCCCATAGCGCCAGCCGCTGGCACATGGTAGGTCACATTGACCTGAGGCACTACAGCCAGTGGAGCAGGCACTAACACAGGTGATGGAGTGAGAGTTGGAACAGGAGTTGATGCTGGGGTGGGTGAAGCTGATGCCAAAGTGGTCAAAACAGTGCTGATAATGGAAACAGCGGCAACCAACGCGTTCTGGACCACATCATGGATCGTGGAGGTCATGTCAGACGCTTGATCCCCAGTAATGTTCATTTGGGCCAAGAGTGCAGTGAGACTATCTGTAGAACACTAGTAAGAAGCATGGCACGCTTGGGGACATCATTGCTTACCAGTGCCATTTCCACCATTACCGTCAGCAATGTGCACCGCAGGTACAACATCTATCCTGCTAGTAAGAAGCTGAGTGTGCTCGGGTACATCATTGCTTACCAGTGCCAATACCACTATCACCATCAGCAATGGGTGCTGCAGGCACAACATCTATATCCTGCTAGTAAGAAGCTGAGTGCACTCAGATACATCATTGCTTACCAGTGCCATTACCACTATCACCATCAGCAATGGGCACTGCAGGCATGGCATCTATATCCTGCTAGTAAGAAGCCAAGTGCGCTTGGGTACATCATTGCTTACCAGTGCCATTACCACTATCACCATCAGCAATGGGTGCCACAGGCATGGTGTGACAATCATATTCCCGCTAGGCTTGCAATGGCCATCTTTTGATATAGGTGATGGAAAGCTACAAAACCATTGACTGCTTTTCCTGCACTCAACCCGCTCTGGACGTGTATTCCCATGCATTCACTTCTGCGCTGCGCGCATACCTGCGGTCGATTTCCCGCGCCTTCAGACTACCTTACAGATGTCCCATGTCAGTCCATTGTCCATCCTACCTCATTGGTATGTATTTTGCCTTGCCTCATGTGTTGTAACAAGTGTTGCAGCCTTATTACATGTCTTTACATATTCCTACTGCCTGTCTGTCCTGTCCCTTCCATTTCCAAGAGGGTTAGCTAGTATAAAGTGCCTAGAGTGACTACTTCATATTTACTTCCCTTCTATAGTATTTCCTTCCCTTAGGTTTTACTTAGGAGCAGTCACCATTAGTGCATGCTTTTAGCCCCTATTGTTACCTTATACTTGGACACCTTGTCTTGACTTTCCTTACCCATGCAATCAATACCCTTGCCCTCACTTTTTACCCGCACCATTCCTTAAGACTTCCCTACCCCTTACCTTAGCATCTCACACTCCTGCATCGACTGCTCATCAACCGCTCATTGACCGCACTTCCGCATTCCCACGCTCTACATACCCACGCACTTGTTCCCGCACTCTGCGCACTTTTGGGTCTTTAGTATCATCGGCTGTTCTCAGTAGCAATTCCCTTTAGGGTCGAACATTCTTGCTTGCAAGTGTAGCAGCTAGGCAGAGCATCAACCTACAACAATATTTTTGGTTAGGCACTTTAACAAGTGTCTAGCCATTGTTGTATTTGCACAACAGCATCTATCATGCTCGTGGAGATCATCATTGGGTGTAAGTGGGAGGAGAATTGATGTTGGAACTTTGAACTGACCTCTGACTTTTTGTACTTGGAGAGCCACCCATATTGGGTGATCCAAAACCCTTCAGGTAGCTACTAGCCAGTTCTTGCATTGTGGTTCATGAGTTCAATGAGTCATTACAGTTCGATGGGTCTGAGTTTGACTTCAATGAGTTACAAGCATCTGTCATGTAAACATGTCACATTGTGTAACACCTTCTCATGCACAAGCCCATTGCCTGATCCCACTGCCCAAGAGATGCTACCACAAGTCAACAAATGAAAACAACCCAAGCTGAATCACTATGCACCACTGTCTACCTCACAGTTGCAACAGACTGTCCATACCGCCTTCAGATTTTCAGGACATTGAGATGGGAATATGCAGGTGTCTGCTGGCTGTTTCATTTGTCGCCCATCACCTTTGACCACACTCTGGTCTTCCCAATTTGCAGGGCCTGAGGACAGAAGCACTGAGTTTGATTTTGTGATGTTTGATGAACCTTCAATGTCCATGGATGCTGGCGAAGATGGGACAATGGCTCAAAGTCAGAAATGCAAGCGCACAGCTGGAGTGAGTGGTTGTTATTATTGCTGTTTCTTTAGCTTACTCACTGTCCTTGTCAGGACAATCCCCTCCTTGTTTGGATAAAGGAACATGATACATATCTCTTGAAGATTATCCGGTTGGATGGACATGGTGAAAATGCTAGGGACACATGTCCAGGCTGTTGCACTGATCCTGCAAGATTCTGATGTCAGGATTGCGACAATATGCAACTGTACTGTGGTGGATGCTCACTGGCAAATCATGCCCAGTCTCCCACCCATCGCATACAGGTATGTGATATCAATTGAGAAAGATTAAAATCTACTGATTTATTTGCAGGAATGGAACAGTGTATTCTTTGAGGTATGTTCTTTGAAGACATTAGGCCTCTGAGTGCAACTTGGGCATCCCATTGGTCAACCATGCATCCTCCTGCAGTCAGCATTCAATGATGACTTCATACTGATAGATACAAATGGAATACATGAAATAGGCCTCGACTTCTGTGGTTGTGAAACATCCAAGAGACATATCAAACAGCTACTTCGCCATGGATGGTTCCCTTCAATGTTGACTGACCCTAGGACAGCGTTGATGTTTCGACTTTTGCACTACTATCAAATTCTATCTTTCAAGTTGAAGGCATCGGCTTATGAGTTCTATCATTCCCTTGTTCAACTGACAGATAATACAGGAATGATGAAATGCATGCCGGTATGCCTATATCTATACATGCTCCTTCAGTTTCTTATAGTCTACTTTAGGATTGTTATGACAGATTCATGCGGATGGTTCATGAGTGGTGGCATCTCACAATGCTGAAACATTTCAGACGTGGTCATGATCCCAGTGGTGTAGATGGTACATCGGAGGGTGAATGTGTAGTTCTATGTCCAGCATGTCTGCAGCCAGGGAAAAATCTACCTGATGGCTGGGAAACTGCTACAAAAGCAAAATGGTACATAGTACTATGGAAATTGATCATGATGTAAGCCTGATGTCTTTAGGTGGTTGTATGCAGTATTTTTAGCCATTGACGTGAACTTTCGGTTGAAGAGGCGGAACATATCAAGTGATCAAGCAGACCCAAGTCTTTTGAAAGGCTGGGCGTACTTTGTCAATGAGAAGGACTACAAGGCCTTCTTGGCTGAGCATCTTACTGGTGCGCAGGAGGTATGTGACTTACTGATTAATAAATTGATTCATGCTCACAATGTCTTACAGAAAAGCACATGTTCAAGTCACAATGCTGTCAATATGGCAGATACAAAACAGTCACAAGGGCTTGTGGCTACAGGCATGGGGACAGTAGACTGTGCCCGTCATAATTTTAAACAGCCAAATGGAGTCGGGGATCTGCAGAAAGGTGAGAAGTAAGTCACACTCTCGCTTTGCTCATACGTTCCATGTCTTATCATGCACTTGACAGGTACATCAACATGGATTACTTATTTTTCTCAACTTTATGTGGTATGCAGCTCGAAATGCTCAATGTGTCATATGATATTGCATGCCAATGGCACAAAAACCTCTGGGCCTGCATGAAGTCATTCCCTCAATCCCATGGCTTAGACTATCTCAGCAAGGTCATACACTTCTTTGTACCAAAATTCCACCTCCCCGCACACATTGCCAAATGTCAGACGATCTTCTCCTTTAACTTCACATGTTTTGTTGGCCAGATGGATGGTGAAGCCCCAGAGAGGGGCTGGTCGAATATCAACCCTGTGGCATCAAGTATGAAAGCAATGGGTCCTGGTTGTCATCATGACATGCTGGACGACCACTTCGGAGATTGGAATTGGAAAAAGACCATTGGATTGGGCACGTCTCTCCTGTACAAGATGAAGGATGCTCTTGCTGAGAGGGCTGCGCATGCACTCGCATTTGAGGAATTTGATGCTGTCATCACTCTCGAGCATCACTCTGCATGGTTAGCAGAAATGCAAGCTTGGGAGGATAATCCAAATGACACATCAATCTTCAATCCGCTCAAGGCCAAAGCCATGGGTGAGTATTTTCTGTTATTATACAATTACCTTGGACTAATCATTTTGTCTAGCTATAACGCAAGCAGGAGTAAGGCTAAAGCTTGTGGAGCTGGAGGCCAAGGAGCTTCAGCTGTTACAATCGTGGTTACCCCCCTATCTTTTTATCTCTTACTTGTGTATTATGTCATGACCACACCTTGTTGTGCCATCACTAGACTAACCGCTTTCCTTATCTGTATTACATCACAACTGCCACATGCCGTCGCTAGATGACTCATTCTCTTATCGTTGACTCATCTTCTTATCTCTGACTCGACTGATGACAAATACGTACCTGCCCTAAAGGGCCTACATCTATATAAACTCGGTCATGTACTTAGATAGACTTCACTTTAATCTACTAGGTCTTACCTGAACTATCCTTCGCTTAGGACCTCCAATCCTAAGTCGTCTGATAACCGATATTCAAGGCAGAGACACTCTCTCTAACTTGTCTTATAGAACCCTACATTTGTAAGGCTCAGATCCAGCTTCAGGCGACTCTTATCGAGTACCTGTCGTCGCGCCCATCCTAGTTCGCCATAACAAAAGATTAAAGTCACCCATCAACCCTCTCCATCAGAGAGGTTACAGACCCCAGAAAGAACTCAGCGAGAGAACGACAACATTCCCCTGAACCAGAAACATCACTTGACCAGATGCTCAGGATGTCCACTGTCCCCACCACCCCAGAATTGAAAGCCGGAGCTCCATCTACCTATGATGGAAACCCTCACCAGGCTCTACGATGGTTGTATGCAGTTAAAGTGTACTTTGCGCTTAACGCTATGATCTATAACACCGACGACAAGAAGGTCATTACCACTCTTGCATATATGACAGAAGGAAGCGCCATGGGATGGGCACTTACCTTCTACACTGAAGTTGATAACTCCGTCGCCAAATCCTATGGAACCTTTGTGAACTTTGAAACCAAATTCAAAGAAGCTTTTGCACCAGCCGATGCCATTGGCACTGCCATGAACAAGCTCCAAATGTTGAAACAGACGGGCGGCCTCACTTCCTATGTTGCCAACTTCAAAACCCTTGCTTCACAAGCCTCCATAAAGCAAGATGCCGTTTTAATCATGTTCTTCAACGACGGATTGAAGAAGGGGATCGTCAATTCTGTCTTTCAGATGGAAACCATTCCGACAGATTTCGACAAATACGTCGCTGCAGTCATTAGACTCGATAGCAACTACCAGAGAGGGGCCGTGTATCGATCAAATCATCGAACCATCACTAGACCATCGGGACAGCGATACGTACCCAGACCTTCCATTGATCGGCACAATCCAAACGCTATGGAAGTAGATCAGCTCACTGAAGCCGAAAGAAGTGATCATATGAAGAAGGGACTATGCTTCACATGTCACCAGAAGGGGCACTTGACTAGGGCATGCCCGACGAAGAAGAAGACTCCTATTTGCCAAGAAGAAATAAGCGATAGTGAAGACGAAGATACAACAATCTGTCGTATCACCGAGGATTTTTGATGTGGAAGACTGGATCGACGTCAGTATCTTCCGAAGTACCTGTTAGACTTGTACAAAGTATTGGAATTAGAAAGGAACTACGTGTTCCCATTTCCCTTATTTCAAAGACTTGTCTAAAAACCGTCAAAACAACAGCTGTTGTTGACTCCGGCGCTGCCAGAACCTTTATTTCCGAAGAGTTTGTCAAAACTCACGGAATCCGAATGCACAAACTATTGAAACCACTTTGGGTTACCACCGCGGATGGAAGTTATGCAAAGGGAGGCGCTATCACTCGATATTGCGTCCTTATTGTCAAGATAGACGAACGATCCATGCTAGGAAAGTTCAACATCACGCGACTCAGTCGACATGATCAGATTTTACTAGGGATCCCCTGTCTATGTGCTATGGACCCAGTAATCTGATGGAAAGCAGAAATGCTAGAACTCCAGAGAACGGAGAAGAGCGATCTGATTGAAGAAGACGTTGATAGAGAAAGGGAAAAGAACAGACTCCCCCCCCTTTTCCAAAAACCAGATCGAAAGAAGGAACCAAGCCCAATGGTAGTGCTGCCAAAGGCGCCTCCAGTAGAACCGGTAGCAATACCCAAAGAACCGACACCGCAAGTCACTTTGGAAGAAATCCCCAATGATGACGATGAGTCCTTCGACACCAAAGAAGATGTATGGACAATGGATTATGCACTGTCAGTACAAGAGATCTCGACATATCGCCTAGAAGATGATGAATTTTTGGTCGAGTACCCCATTGACGCTTCAGAGCTCTGGGTAATCGCCAATATTTCACTAGACACTCCGTTAACAAAGGATGGAACTAGCATCGCAGAACAATGAACCACAGTTACACCTCTGGCACGACCTGCCGAATACATCAAAACCAGCAACAAGGCCCAGCAGTTTGCATTAGCTGCTGGGCTTGAGCAACAGAAAAAGCCCTTCGAAGAACTTGTTCCCTCCTACCTTCATGACTTCGCTGATATCTTTGCGAAAGACGGTCTAAATCAGTTACCTCCTGAATGACCTGGGATAGATCATCGGATAGAAACTAAACCCGGTTTTATCCCCAAAATGTCCAAGGTATACCCATTATCTGAGAAAGAACATACCGCAGTCAAAGCATTCATCAATGAAAACGTAAAGAAAGAGTTCATCTCCGAATCAAAGTCACCACAGGCCAGCGGTTTCTTCTTTGTAGGAAAGAAGAGTGGAGATCTCCGTCCTTGCCAGGACTACCGATACATCAACGAATGGACGGTTAAGAACGCTTATCCACTCCCATTACCACTCTCCCTAGTTGCTCGGTTACACAGTGCCAAATACTTCACCAAGATGGACATTCGTTCAGGGTACAACAACATTCGTATTCACCCGGAAGATCGATGGAAAGCTGCCTTCACTACCGAATATGGTCTCTTTGAGCCGAATGTCATGTTCTTCGGCCTTTGCAATTCCCCCACTACTTTCCAGGCATATATGAACAAGACGTTTCAACAAGAAATAAATGAAGGGTGGCTCGTTATATATATGGACGATATTTTGATTTTCTCTAACGACCTCACCTCCCACTGTGAATGAACGCGACACATCCTTGAAAGAATTCAGCAGGAAAAGCTCTTCCTCAAACCGGAGAAATGCACATTTGATGCTCAAGAAGTAGAGTATCTTGGAATGATAATCCGCCCTGGGTGCATAGCAATGGACAATGCCAAAACCGATGGTATTTGGGACTGGCCTATTCCTACGACCATGAAAGAGGTCTGGTCATTCTTGGGATTTTGCAATTTCTATCGAAACTTCATTTCCCACTACTCTGACATCGCCCAACCCTTGATTGACCTTACCAAAAAATCCGTCAAATTCCTCTGGACAGAGCAATGCTCATCCGCCTTCTTGACCTTGAAAGAATGCTTTCTGAAGCAACCAGTCCTTCAGAACCCAGACCCTGGTAAACAATTCACGGTTGCAACTGACGCATCCCTGGTCGCCACGGGCGCAGTATTGCTTCAGACCGATGACAATGGTGTCTATCACCCATGCGGATATCTATCGCAAACCTTGAACCCGGCAGAATGTAATTATCAGATCTTTGATCGTGAACTCCTCACCGTCATTCACGCCCTCATGGAGTGGCGCCACTATCTCAAAGGAAACGCTCACCCGGTAATCGTGTTCATGGACCACAAGAATCTCCTATATTTCTGAACCACGCAGAAGTTGACCTGACGACAAGCTCGATGGCAATTAATCCTGTCATGCTATGATATTGAACTCCATCACGTTGCCGGAACTAAACTCGTCGCTCCGGATGCTCTCTCTTGCCAACCTGATCATGGATCTGATTCCTCATGCGACAATGATAACAAGACCCTCCTCCCCAATTCCATGTTTGTCCGACTGCTCGACGTCAAGCTCATGACCACACTCGCCAATCCCGACCCTTCCAACCCAGACCCCATCTTTGCTGCCACCTCTGATGCATTAGATGGCCTTTCCCTTCCCCCAATGAAATCCGCACTCGCTGATTGGGCGATTAAGGATGATATTCTTTACTATAAAGACCGTGCCTACGTCCGTCCTGCTGGGTGGCATCTTATTCTGGAACGATGTCATGACCACCCCACCACCGGTCACCCCGGTCATTTTAAGACAGAAGAATTGGTCAAGCGCAACTTTTGGTGGCCCTCTATGGGCACCTATGTCCATAAATACGTAGAGGGTTGCGCCCTTTGTCAGCAGATGAAATCCGATACTCACCCAACAACCCCTCCCTTGGTCCCCATCCCATCTGTCGCCGCAGCTCCCTTCACACAGGTCTCCATTGATCTAATCACCGATCTTCCCCCCTGTGCCAGCTTTGATTCTGTGATGGTCGTGGTTGACCATGGCCTTATGAAGGGGGTAATTCTTATCCCTTGCACTAAAACCATCACTTCAGAAGGAGTCGCCAAGAAATTCTTCAAATACATTTACCGACGATTTGGCCTGCACAAAAAAGTCATTTCTGATCGCGGGCCACAATTTGTATCTAAGTTCTCACGAGCCCTCGCCAAGCTCTTGAAATACGACATAGCAGCATCCACTGCTTATCATCCTCAGACCGATGGCCAGACCGAACGACTCAACCAAGAGCTCAAGACATACCTTCGAATCTATTGCCAGAATCACCCAGAAGATTGGGTTGAACATCTTCCGATGGCAGAATTCGTGCACAATCACCGAAAACATGATTCCCACAATGCATCACCTTTCTTCTTGATGATGGGCTATGAACCATGAGCCCTCCCTCATACTCTCCCCAGCTCTACTGTTCCTGCAGCAGAAGATAGACTCCTCTCCCTCCAAAAGTCCAGGGAGGAGGCCCTTTCATGCCACAACCTTGCTATGCAGTGAATGGCTGAATGAACTCATGGACAGAAGTATCATCCATGGAAAGTAGGAGATAAGGTTTGGCTATCTGGGAAGAATCTAATCACCCAGCTACCATCAAAGAAACTGGCGCCTAAACGATATGGGCCTTTCCCAATCACCGCCATCCTCTCTCCCATCACGTTCATGCTCCAACTACCTCCACAGTGGAAAGTTCACCCCACGTTCCATGCTTCTGAGCTATTGTCCTATCGCGAAACAGAGGTTCATGGGCCGAACTTCCACGACCCACCTCCTGACATCATTGATAATGAAGAAGAATATGAAATTGACGCGATCTTATCACACAAAGGGATGGGTAAACGAAGACACTATCTCGTATCCTGGAAAGGATATTCCTCTGCCAGCAACGAGTGGGTTCCAGAAGGAAATCTTACTAACATTTCTGACACCCTCACCACCTATAAGAAAGCCCATGGGCTATAGGATTTCTGACAATGTCCCACATTGAATGACTACGTCTCTGCATTCTCCACATCGAAGAACTTACCGCTGCTATGAATACTGTCGCTGAAGAAAACGCTCACCCATTGTCGCTTCTTGACTATCAAAACATTACCGCCGCCAACCTTGCCCAGCACGCATCACCCCCCGTAACCTCACCACCAGCCTCTGACTCTACCCTAACCCTCACCAACGACTCCATCCTCACTGACTACTTCTCGGTCATTGACCAGGTAGAAACTAGCGCCCTGTTCGAATCCGCTATCACCTCCCAACAGTACGCAATAGAAATAGACTGTCTCCTTGGAGAACGGGGAGCGATATCCAGTGGCCTTATTATCAGAATTATCAGAGATGCCAGCCTTATCGACCGTACCACTGCTCTCCTTGATGATGAGCGCCATCAAACCATTTTCCGCCACCTTCACATACGTATTCGCAACACTGTGATCCGTCTCTTGCCTGAAGAAACTAGAGACGCTATCAGAGAAGCCATTCATATCGTCACCAAGCGCATTGCTCTCGACCCTGTCGCACGACCACCATCCCCCCACATCACCGTTCCTGTACCACCACCAGCTCTTGCTACGGCTACCGTGGAGCATCAGGATGATAATATCCCTCCTATTGCTGTACTCGATGTACCAACTTCTCCTTCTCCTAACCCTATCACGCGTACCACACGACGACTTCCACTCAAATGAAGATCCTCATGCCTCGCCGCTAAGTGAGCTGCCTCCATATCCCCCACTAAAGCACCACTCAAACGATCGAGGTCACCCTCTCCCCCAAACCAGTCCTCTTCCATCACAGTTGTAAAAACGTCGCCAGTCGACAACATCGTATGCCATAACTGCCATGTTGCTGGGCACCATCATAAAAACTGTCCTGCATATTACTGCAGAGTTTGTAAGGAATATGCACCCGGCCATTTATCGGTCTTTTGTAAAGAGTTGAAAGGAGAAGCGGTCATTCCACTGGTATGGACTGACGTTGGTTTCTATGACGCTCTTGCTTGGTGGGAGATCAAGCAAGACACTATCACTCATGCCGCCGAAATAGCGCAGACTACTATCACCGAGGAGCAGGACGACCTGCTTTATTCCAACTACGATGCAGACCCCATTTACTGGGCCAATCAGGATGATTGAAGTCGGTGACTTCATCCCTAAACGAGGGGTAATGTTACAATCATGGTTACCCCCCTATCTTTTTATCTCTTACTTGTGTATTATGTCATGACCGCACCTTGTTGTGCCATCACTAGACTAACCGCTTTCCTTATCTGTATTACATCACAACTGCCACATGCTGTTGCTAGATGACTCATTCTCTTATCGTTGACTCATCTTCTTATCTCTGACTCGACTGATGACAAATACGTACCTGCCCTAAAGGGCCTACATCTATATAAACTCGGTCATGTACTTAGATAGACTTCACTTTAATCTACTAGGTCTTACCTGAACTATCCTTCGCTTAGGACCTCCAATCCTAAGTCGTCTGATAACTGATATTCAAGGCAGAGACACTCTCTCTAACTTGTCTTATAGAACCCTACATTTGTAAGGCTCAGATCCGGCTTCAGGCGACTCTTATCGAGTACCTGTCATCGCGCCCATCCTAGTTCGCCGTAACATCAGCAAGGTATAGACTCCTCTTTGCACCCAGAAATTTCACCCAGCATGCTCATTGCTTCTGGCATAGACCTGGAAGAGGAACAGTAAGTAATTGCCCTCTGACAGTCATAAATAAGCTGACATACTTTGGAAGGCATCATCTGGCCAATATCACCGAGTTGATGGGTCAACATGCTACCAACACGCAGAAAGGCAGTCTCATGCAGATGCAGAACTCACTTTGTCATAGGATCAATATGTGGCGACGTACACAGGTCCTTTACCTCCTGGCCGTTCAAGGCCTTATTGATCAGGCAGCCACATGTGAAGGCCATGAGAACACTGAATGTATACACCTGTGGTTACCTTCATGGCTGGGAACCAAGCCATGCGACCCATGCCTATGAGACAACAAATGGGAATTGCACTACATGCAGGCCCATGATGCACTGGAAGAACTTCAGCAGTGTCTACAGATTCACTGCTCCTTACTGACATTCAAAAGGGAATGGGTGCATGGTCAAGGTGCAAATACTCATGCTCAGAATGCCCTTGCCTGCATCCACCAAAGGTGCACAGCCTGCGTGAAATGATACTGGTCAGCATGGATGGCGCTCAAGAACCTAGCTACAATCATGAAGAAGAATGGTTGGCAGGGCAGGTTGCAGGAACTGGCAGATGATCACGCTAAGCCCCTTGTGGACCCATATGCTGCTGGCGAAGGGAGACATCATGTATCGTGGATTTGGATGATGGATGGTGTTGATCATGGCAATGATGGTGACGACGATGGTAAGCACTCATTGTGGTCTATATTTTGCAAACTAACGTACTATAAGGTGTGTGAATCGAGTGGTGCAAAAGCTGTGTGAGGGCACTGCAATGGTTGGAAGAGGTGGAATTACTCAGGGAAGAGATGCGCAGGGTGCTGGAATTTTTTACCTGGCAGCAAGCACAGTGGGAAGAACAGGGAAAGGCATGTGTTGGGGAGTGTGCCACTGACATCGAAGGTTTGCAAGCTTATGCTGCCTGACAGGCTAACATCTGTCGCAGGCTTGCAGACCATTTTTGTGTCCTATGGGCACCCTTTCTTTCACTGGAAGATCCCATTGACCCGCCACCTCAATTGACTGAACATTCAGTACCAGACCTCATGATTCCCGACATTCCCTAACCTACTTCTGCGCTGTACCTGATCGCTGTTCCTAGTAGTGTACCTGATGTTCAATCCATCACCGGCTGTTATTTGATATTCAAAGTGAACTAAGTTGCTGAAGACTTGACTGGAAAATTGACCAAAATACAAATGACTGAGCTGCAAAGTAATTGACTGGGCTATGGACTATAGGACTGCTAATTAGCATGTTGTAATGCATCAGAAATAAGGCTAAGTAGCATACTTGATGCATCATTGCTACAGGGGCTGGTGCATGTCATGGACTAAATATGATAAGGTGACATTAGTTGTGGCTACTTTAAATCATTAAAATACACACCTTCACAATTTCCTGTCCTTCAGATAAGATGGCAAGGCAAGACTGCAGACCTTTCAAACGCCACTCCATTTCCAGCCAGGGGATAGTATGATCATTCCAAAAAGCCTGGAATATACAATTGAGCATGTCATCCCATGGATTGGGAACATGTGAGACATGTACGATCCAGTTGTGACAGGCATACTTGAGAGTGTCAGAAGCTGATCAACCTCGTTCTTGTGCTTCATTTGCGAACCTCTCAAAGGCATTCATAGCATGAATTATCTCCCTGTCTGGTAGAAGAAGATTTTCTGGTAATATGTTACGGACTAGGATAGTCATAACAACAGCAGCTCAATAAGAGCAATGGCTGAAGTTAAGTCAAGACCTTGCAAATACAAGGGTCATAAGACAAGACAAAGAGAGTGTCTCCAGCTTGAATATCAGTTCAGATGACTTAGGATTGGAGGTCCTAAGCAAGAGAAGATTCAGGTGAAAACCTAGTAAGATTAAAGTAGAGAACTACTGAGTACATGGTTGACTATATATAGTGAATTATAGGTAGTTTAGGGCAGGCATAAGTCAATGATGAGTCAGAGATAAGAAAAGGACATGTAAGTGATAAGAGGGGTCATCTAGCAATGGCAATGACAATCATGATGTAATACAAGATATCAGAGATAAGTCTAGCAGTGGCACTATGTGGCTCATGATGTAATACACAATGATAAGAGAAAAGAGATAGGGGCATTCATGATTGTAACATTACCCCTCATTTAAGGACAAAGTCACCGACTTTAGATATCCTGGTTAGCCCAGTAGATGGGGTCAGCATCATAATTAGAGTCTAGCAAATCATTTTGCTCCTCTGTGACCAAAGCCTGTAATTTATCAGCCATTTCAGTGGTGTGATAAAGAGCATCCTGCTCAATCTCCCAATGAGAGAGGGCCTCATAAAAACCCATATCAGTCCAAACTAGTGGAATGACCACTTCACCTTTGAGGTCTTTACAAAAGACCGATAGATGTCCTGGCACATACTCCTTGCAGACCCGGCAATAGTATATTGGACAGTTCTTGTTGTGTTGTCCAGTTATGTGGCAGTTATAACAAACTACATTGTTGATGGTTTCTGCTTTTATGGTAGTGGTGGATGATTGTGCTGGTGGGGATGGGGATCTGGATTGTCGTTTACAGTTTCTGACTGGGGAAGCTCGCTTGCTAATGTGGGCTGATCTACGCCTAATAGGGTACTGACATGTAGTGGGTGTGATGGGGGTAGGAGTAGGAGAAGCTGGTACGTCAGGTACAGCAGTAGAAGGGAGAATGTTATCTGTATGCTCAGCGGTAGCTGTCAGGAGAACTAATGGTGGGATTGGAATGGCAACATGTGGGGATGGGGGTCGTGCCACTGGGTTTGTAGTGATCTGTTCTGTGATAATGTGGATAGCTTCTCTGATAGCTTCCTTAGTAGCAGAAGGCAGCAAGTGGATTGCAGTATTACAAATGTGTATATGAAGGTGGCAGAAGATGGTCTTGTGACATTCGTCATCAAGGAGATTGGCATTATGTTCAATGAGACTAGTGTCTCTGATGATTCTGACAAGAAGTCCACTAGGGATCGCTCTGTTTTCTCCCAGGATACAATCTATTTCAATCGCATATTGTGGAGATGTGATAGCAGGTTCAAACAGAGTATTATTCTCAATCTTGTCAAGAATTGTGAAGTAGTCAGAAAGACTAGAGTCATTGGAGAGGGTGGTATCAGATAGAGGTGGAGAAGTGATGGGGGGAGTGATATTTTCAGCAGTGGCAAGGTTAGCAGCAGTAGTGGTCTGATAGTTGGCAAGAGATAATGGATGAGTGATGGTTTCAGATATGGAGTTCATAGCAGTGGTCAGTTCTTCGATATGTTGTATGCAGAGTCATAAGTGTTCCAGAGACATTGTTCCTGCACTATAATCAATGGGTTCTTTTATATGTGGAGAGGATGTTAGCGGCATTATAAAGATTCCCTTCTGGGATCCATTTGTTACTGGCAGAGGAGTATCCTTTCCAGGATACTAGATAGTGTCTTCATTTACCCATGCCTTTGTGCGTTAAGATCGCATCAATCTTATATTCTTCTTCATTATCGATGATGTCTGGGGGAGGATCATGGAAGTTCAGGCCATGAATTTCTGTTTCATGATAGGATGATAGCTCAGAAGCATGGAATGTGGGATGAACTTTCCATTGAGTCAGTAGCTGGAGTGTGAACATGATGGGAGAGAGAATGGTGATGATAGGGAAGGGACCATATCATTTTGGTATGAGCTTTCATGATGGTAACTGTGTGATTAGATTCTTTCCCAATAGCCACACCTTATCACCTACTTTCCATGGGTGATACTTCTGTCTGTGAGTTTGTTCTGCCATTCGTTGCATAGCAAGGTTATGACATGATAATGCTTCTTCTCTAGATTTCTAAAGCATGCAGAGTCAATCTTCTGTGGCCGGAACAGTAGAATCAGGGAGTATATGGGGAAGGGCTTGTGGTTCGTATCCCATCATTAGGAAGAAGGGTGATGCATTATGTGAGTTGTGTTTTCGATGATTGTGGATGAATTCTGCCATTGGGAGATGTTCTACCCAGTCTTCAGGATGATTGCAGCAATAAATGCAAAGATAAGTTTCAAGTTCTTGATTGAGACATTCAGTTTGACCATCAGTCTGGGGGTGATAAGTGGTTGATGCGGCAATGTCATATTCCAAGAGCTTGGCAAGGGCTTTTGAGAATTTTGATATGAACTGTGGACCATGATCTGAAATGACTTTCTCATGTAGGCCAAATCAGCAGTAGATGTATTTGAAAAATTTCTTAGTGACGCCTTCAGAGGTGATGGTTTTCATGCAAGGGACCAGAATTGCCCCCTTCATAAGGCCATGGTCAACCACGACCATGACAGAATCAAAACTGGCACATGGAGGGAGGTCAGTGATGAGGTCGACTGAGACCTGGGTGAAAGGTGCAGCAGTGGTGGAGGGAATCGGGACAAGGGGCGGTGTCATAGGATGGGTATTGGACTTCATCTGCTGACATAGGGCACAACCCTCAACATACTTTTTGATATAGGTACCCATAGAGGGCCACCAAAAGTTCCATTTGACTAGTTCTTCAGTCTTAAAATGACCAGGGTGACTGGCAGTAGTGTGGTCATGACAATGTTCTAAAATAAGATGCTGACCAGCAGGTTGGACATAGGCATGATCTTTATAATAGAGGATGTTATCCTTTATTGTCCAATCAGCAAGTGCGGATTTCATTGGAGGGAGGGATAAACCATCTATGGCATCTGAGGTGGCTTTAAAAATGGGGTCAGGGTTGGAGGGATCAGGGTTTGCAAGAGAGGTCATGAGTTCTACATCAAGAAGTCGGATGAACATAGAATTGGGGAGGAGGGTGACATCCATGTTGTCATTATTGGAATTGGTACCATGATCAGGACAGTGGGAGAGAGCATCAGGGGCAGCAAGTTGGGTTCCAGTGACATGGTGAAGCTCTATGTTGTAACAGGACAAGATTAATTGCCATTGGGCCTGCCAATGAGTTAGCTTCTGAGCTGAATGGAAGTATAACAGGTTCTTATGATCAGTGAAGATGAGGACAGGGTGAGGGTTTCCTTCCAGATAATGATGTCATTCAGTCAAGGCACAAATAACAGCTAGGAGTTCCCAATCAAATATCTGGTAGTTGTGTTCCACAGGGTTCAAGGTCTATGACAGGTACCCACATGGGTGGTAAACTCTGTTTTCATCAGTCTGCAGCAACACTGCGCCAGTGGTGACTAGTGAAGCATTGGTTGCTATGGCAAATTGTCAACTAGGGTCTGGATTTTGGAGGACAGGTTGCTTCAGGAAGCATTCCTTTAGCATGGAGAATGCAGAAGCGCAATGATCCGACCACTGGAATGTAATGCTCTTCTTCATAAGGTCAATCAAGGGTTGGGTGATATCAGAATAATGGGGGATAAAGTTACAGTAGAAGTTGCAGAATCCTAGGAATGATCAGACTTCTTTCACCATTGTTGGAACAGGCCAATTGTGAATACCATCAGTTTTGGCAACATCCATTGCAACACAACCAGGGCGTATGATCATGCCCAAGTATTCCACTTCTTGTGCATCAAAGGTGCATTTCTCTGGTTTCAGGAACAGCTTCTCTTTGTGAATTTTCTCAAGGACATGTTGAGTTTGATTGTGATGGGAAGAGAGGTTGTTGGAGAAGATCAAGATATCATCCATGTAGATGACCAACCATCCCTCATTAATCTCCTGTTGGAACATGTGGTTCATATATGCTTGGAACATTGCAGGCAAATTGCAAAGGTCAAAGAACATGACATTTGGTTCAAACAACCTATATTCAGTAGTGAAGGTGGCTTTCCAGCGATCGTCAGGGTGAATCTGGATATTATTGTAGCCGGAACAGACATCCATCTTTGTGAAGTACTTAGCACTGTGTAACCAAGTGACCAATGAGAGCAGTAGTGGGAGAGGGTAGGTGTTCTTTATTGTCCAATCATTGATATACTGATAGTCTTGGCATGGATGAAGGTCTCCACTTTTCTTTCCAATGAAGAAAAATCTGCTTGCCTGCAGCAATTTTGACTCAGAAATGAAACCCTTCTGTATGTTCTCATCAATAAATGCTTTGACAGCAGTGCACTCTGCTTCAGATAATGGGTACACTTTTGATGTTTTAGGAATAAAACCAGGCTTGGTTTCAATGTGGTGGTCAATTCTAGGTCATTCTGGTAATAACTGATTAAGACTGTCTTTAGTAAAGATGTTGGTGAAATTGTGGAGATAGGAGGGGATGAGTTCTTCGAATGATTTCTTCTTTTGTTCAAGTCTTGCTGCTAAAGCAAATTGCTGAGCTTTGTTACTGGTCTTGACATATTCCATAGGCCATGACAGGGGTGTAACCATGGGTTTTTTTTCCACAATACTAGTACCATCTTTGGTCAATGGGGTGTCCATGGAGATATTAGTAAAGACCTGGAATTTGGTTGCATCATCAGGGATGGGGTCAAGGTTGGGTAATTTCAGGGGTTCTTCTTCATCTAGGATCTCTTCAATGGTAGCTCAAGGAAGTGGTTCAATTTTCACAGGAGATGCCTTCAGCAGCACTATGACTGGAGTTGGTTCTTTCTTAAGATGGGAATTTTCCCATGTCTTGTTGATGGGTTTCTGAAAAAGAAGTGGGAGACCTTTTTTCTTTTGTTCCATGTCAACATCTTCTTCAATCAGATTGCTCTTCTCAGTATGGGGGAGTTCCAGTGTTTCCACTTTTCATTGAATTACCAGGTCCATGGTGTGTAACCAGGGAATCCCTAGTAAGATCTGATCATGGCGACCAAGTTGCGTGATATTGAATTTTCCAATCATGGATTGTTCATCAATTTTTACGATAAGGACATAATAGCAGGTAATGGCGCCTCCTTTTGCATAACTTCCATTCGCAGTGGTGACTTGGAATGGTTTCGTAAGTTTATGTGTTCTGATACTGTGGAGCTTGACAAAGTCCTTGGAGATAAATGTTCCGGTGGTGCTGGAGTCAACAACAGCTGTTGTTTCGATGGTTTTCAGACAGTTTTTAGAGATAAGGGAAATGGGAATGCGAAGTTCCTTTCTTATTCCAATACTTCATATAAGTCTGATAGGTACATCAGAAGATACTGATGTCAATCCAGTCTTCCATATCAAAAATCCTCGGCTAGGTGACAGATCATTGTATCTTCATCTTCTTTGTTGCTATCTTCTATTTCTTTGCAACAAATGGGAGTCTTTCCATTCTTCTTCTGAGGGCATGCTCTAGTCATGTGTCCTTTCTGGTGACATGTGAAGCATAATCCTTTCTTCATATGGTCGCTTCTTTCAGCTTCAGTAAGCCAGTCCACCTCCATAGCATTTGGATCATGCCAATCAATGGAGGGTCTAGGCACATATCACTGTCCAGTTGGCTTGGTAGTAGTGCAATTGTTCTGATGGAACATGGCACCTCTTTGCCAATTGGTATCAAGCCTAATGGCTGCGGCGATATACTTGTCGAAATCAGTGGGAATGGTTTCCATTTGGTAAATAGCATTACCAATTCCTTTCTTTAGTCCATCATTGAAGAACGTGATTAAGACGGCATCTTGCTTTACAGAGGCTTGCGCAGCAAGGGTCTTGAAACTGGCGATGTAAGAAGTGAGGTCACCCATCTGTTTCAATGTGTGGAGCTTATTCATAGCTGTGCCAATGGCATCAGCTGGTATGAAGGCTTCTTTGAACTTTGTTTCAAAGTTCACAAAGGTTCCATAAGACTTGGAGACAGAGTTGTCGACCTTGGTGTAAAAGGTGAGTGCCCATCCCATGGTGCTATCTTCAGTCATATACATGAGAGTGGTGATGACTTTCTTTTCGTCAGTGTTATAGATTGTAGTGTTAAGGGCAAAGTATGCCTTAATCAAAAACAACCATCATAAAGCCTGCTGAGGGCTCCCATTGTAAGATGTTGGAGCTCCAGCTTTAAGTTCTGGGGCAGTTGTGGGTGCTGACATCCTGAGCTTTCTGGTCTAGTGATGTGTCGATCTGCAGGGGATGTTATGTCTCTCTCTGCCTGGTTCTGGTTTCTGGGATCTGGGACCTCCCTGATGGAGAGGGTCAGTGGGAACTTTAATCTTTTGTTACAGACTAGGATAGTCATAACAACAGCAGCTCAATAAGAGCAATGGCTGAAGTTAAGTCAAGACCTTGCAAATACAATGGTTGTAAGACAAGACAAAGAGAGTGTCTCTGGCTTGAATATCAGTTCAGATGACTTAGGATTGGAGGTCCTAAGTGAGAGAAGATTCAGGTGAAAACCTAGTAAGATTAAAGTAGAGAACTACTGAGTACATGGTTGACTATATATAGTGAATTATAGGTAGTTTAGGGCAGGTGTAAGTCAACGATGAGTCAGAGATAAGAAAAGGACGTGTAAGCGATAAGAGGGGTCATCTAGCAATGGCAATGGCGATCATGATGTAATACAAGATATCAGAGATAAGTCTAGTGGCAGCACTATGTGGCTCGTGATGTAATACACAATGATAAGAGAAAAGAGATAGGGGTGTTCATGATTGTAACATAATGTAGAGGTGGAATGAGCGTGATATCTTAATGCCAGGAAAACCAGAAACATCAAGAAATCTGGCAAGGTCTTGAATTGCTGGATGACTTGAAAAGTTGGCAGTAAAGAAGCATCACTGATAACAATATACTTGTTGATTGCTTCTGATGTCTTCAAGAATTCTTTCATTGTCACCCAGATGAAGGCTGCAGGAGTGGACTGCCACACCTGACCATGGGCAGTCTGCAGCCAGTCTTGTCCTCCCTCAGTCTGCAGCCAGTCCTGTCCTCCTTGGATCTGTAACCAGTCTCATCCTCCCTAGGTCTGCAGCCAGTCTTCTGCTCCTTGGATCCACAGCCAGTCTCATCCTCCCTCGGTCTGCAGCCAGTCTCATGCTTCCTGGGTCTGCAACCAGTCTCGCCCCCCTCCCTCAGTCTGCAACCAGAGTCATGCTTCCTGGGTCTGCAGCCAGTCTCATCCTGCCTGGGTCTGCAGCCAGTCTCGTCCTGCCTAGGTCTGCAGCCAGTCTCGTCCTGCCTAAGTATGCAGCCAGCCTCGCCCTCCTTGGGTCTGCAGCCAGTCTTGTCCTCCCTTGGTTTGCAGCCAGTCTTCCCCTCCCTGTATCTGCAGCCAATCTTGTCCTCTCCAGGTCTGCAGCCAGAATCATCCTCCCCAGGTCTGCAGCCAGTCTTGTACTTCCTGGGTCTGCAGCCAGTCTCATCCTCCCTCTGCCTGCAGCCAGTCTCATCCTCCTTCTGTCTGCAGCCAGTCTTGTCCTCCCTGGGTCTGCAGCCAGTCTCGTCCTCCCCATGTCTGCAGCCAGAATTGTCCCATCTGAGTCTGCAGCCAGTCTTGCCCTCCCTGTGTCTGCAGCCAGTCTCTCTCCCACTTGGTCTGCAACCAGGATTGTCCTGCCATGGTCTGCAGCCAGAATCGTCCTGCCTAGGTGTGCAGCCAGGCATGTCTGTCCACAGTCTCCAACCAAGATTCTAAATCTGAAGCGCGATCTCCTTGAAGCCACAGCATACATATGACAGATGACAGCAGCTCTGGTGGCTGAACAAGGAACACTAATGAGTCTTTTAACCTATGGGAGTCCTCAGGTCCCATAACCTTGCTTTGCTTCTTCAGTTCTGAGAGTGCATCCAAAAGAGCCATGCTCGCTGGAATTGCCATCATCAAGCAGAGTGATGAATGTGCAAGTAGGTAGTAAGGTGATGCAATATTGCATACTTGAGGGAGGCCGCAGTTTGAGGGGTCAGGAATGTAATCACGAATGGACAAGTGATAGATATTCACAGGGAGAGTGCTATCTGTAGGGATATCCATGACAGACTGTAGCTGTATCAGTGTTGTCTGCACATCCCTTCCCAAACCAGAGCCAAGAAGTATCAAGATTTGCGAGATGGGAAGAGGGTCTGTGAGAGTGGTGACAATGGACAAGTGCATGTAAGCCTGCTTTGGATCAGCACACGTGGAAAGGATACAATCATATAACTTGTACACCTCCATTCCTGGTAGCAGCAAGCTCATGGGCTGGAGCATCAGCTGTAACCGATCATGGGGATCATTGTCTTCATTGTCAATAATAAACTTCATCATCATAGATACCACGATAAAACGTCTGCCTGCTCAGCTCGCCAGCTTCACAAGGTCAACCTCCAATGGCTGCAGGAAATTAGGATGACAACTTTTTAGCTCTCTGAAGGAATGCCACAAGAAAATACAGATGTCGTTGTCAATGTCTGTACCATCTAACAAGATGATGCCACCCTCCCCTGAAGTTCTCACAGGTATCTCCCACACCAATGGGCACACCTCTTTGTTCTGAAAGACTTTAGAGATGTGGGATTCCGAGCAACTTGTGAGCAGAATGTGGGTCACAGGGAGGTCAGGCTCATGAAGAGCCTGTGCAAGGGAAAGGATGAGATCAGTAGACTCAGGTTCAGAAATACATTCATCAAGCACATCAACAACAAATGACAAAGGTGAACATCCATGCAATCTGGGTCGAAGTTTCTGGAGAGGTTGGAGAAAGAGAGCCTCCATCTGGTCACAAAGAGGCATGTCTGTGTCTAGCAGAGCAGGATTGTTATGGATCACTCTGTTCACATCCTGCTGGATACTTGGAAAATTGGTGGCAAGCTGGTAGACAAGCATTGTAAAGAAATATCCAGCTGTGCAGCACTTGGTGTGCTTGTGCAAGAAAAAGAATGTTCCCACTAGCCACTTTTTGACATTTGTCTCCTCTGTCACTTTTAGACCTCTCATATTTTCAGCAACTGTAAATGCAATGGCAGACTTTCTGACACCAGCTGTGCCATGCAGCCAAATGAGTTGATTCTTTTCTGGGTCATCCAGTAAGGTGTGGATGTATTTAAGGAGTTCAACCTGGGTCCCATCCAAACATTTCAGGTGGGGCTGATATTCACAGGAGTTATATTGAGCACCTTTGACAGTGACCTGGGCCAGCCTCACCCAAGTTCCTTCAAGAACTGTCAGAGGTTAGAGAGCATACGAGAGATAAGAGATGGAATCACTGACATTGATCATCACTCATTGACAAAAGTTGTGATATGCTGCAAGATGCAATGAACAATTGAAAGTACTAGCTGGATTCAAGGATGTGGTTAGAAATAATCTGGGCAATAGTTATCTGGAGGGACTCAGATGTACGAGGACTTGAATCCAAGCTTGTAAGTTGTGATTACTAGTAGGTTGTGGAGCGATCCAGTTGTCAATTGATGAAGAGTGCAAAGTGTGATGAAGCTTAAGATGGGATGGATGTAAGGATGTTTCAATCTATTTTGCTATGGAAAGCTTGCTGGATGGTTGTGGAATGCACTAGTTTGAAGGATGAGTAGGTGCCCGCCATCCAGTGCTGTAATACAAGAGGACATCAGGCTGCTGTGCTGCGGCGGCCATACTATTGCACAGCCAGACAGAACCACTGACCGCTGCACTGGTAGAGGTGAACCAGAGATGAGTACTAGTTCGCACTCTCTCTGAGATATAAGCTGAACATCCGAAAATCTAGTTGAGATATGACAGAAAAACTGTACTCAAGTTGAGAATATAGCGAAGCATCTCACTCGTCTCCGTCGCACCTATCATATGCTTATATCAAGGTGCACCGTGATACCTTTTTTCAGGTCTGAGGCATCTATATTATGGAAATATGCTTTTCCTTTTTTGTTTACACTAGTACATCCTCAAACTCACGGGCGAGGCATCCGAGTCTGGGACAGCACTGCACAATACACAGTACGATTTCAGCTCTATACAAGTTGAACGTTGAACGTTGATGACTCAAAGGTTTCCACTAGTGACTTCCACCCTTAATATTAAGGGGACGTGACGCTGAATCACTAATCATAAATGATACAAAATTACAAATGCAGAGTACGAAACTGTCTCTATACCCCAAATTTCCTCAACGCCTTGCAGGTAGAGTCGAACGCCACAACCGTTGAATCCGTTCCAACTCGACTTGCATCTTCCAGAAGGATCGGTGGATTTCCACAGAACGTCGATTCGATAGGACGCACGCCAGACCCTCCGAGTCACCAACAAATTCCACCGCGTTCTGAATCCCGGGCCAAGACTCCAGCAGCCAACACATTCTGTCTTGTAGATTCGCCAACTCCAATTCTCCGATGATGTCAGAAAAACCCCAACACTTGAGATATCTGAGAGCGTCGTCTACCCAATCTTGGCTGTTCCAGCCGGGAAGATTGTGTATGATGTCAACTCTTTGGAGGATTGTCTCCATTTCGGCGAGCTCCGTCGAGCTTACGCTTCCTACGGAATAACTTCCACGCCAGTCCTCCGATTTTTCGAGACGCTGGTTGAATCTGATATCGATGGCGTAGGTCGTTTGGTTACCTACAAGCTAATAGGTATTCCCTATTCCAGGACTGGTTTCAACGTAGATCTCCCAGTGGAGGGGATAGAGCCGCAGGGACTCTTTCTCGCCTCGCCAAAATTGGACAACTTTTATGTTATAGAGTTTAAGTGGGACTGTGTCGACTTTAGAAGACACCTACGGGACTCGGTGAGTCGCAGTTCGCTAGATTTATGATAGTGTGCTCACCAAGGATTGAGGCGGGAGAGTAGGAGGTTCGAGTCCACAGATCTTCTGTTTTATACCCAAGCCCACGGAACCTGGTAAGTCGCAGTTCGCTAGGTTTAAGGTAGTGTGCTGACCAGTGATCCAGACAACATATTGAGCAAGGCTGGGAAAGTATGAGGCTTGAATACATCGCTGACCTATCTTATATTCAAGCTTCTGTGGATTTTTGCTTTGCGAGTGTGGACGCATTATGCTTGTCCACTTGCTCGATGAGCTGTGGACCACCATTGCCTTCCCCATCGAGTCGCCATAAAACAGCCGATTCAGACGTAATGGATGACCTTGGTTTCCACTATACTAGGCCGCAAGTCCACACCCTGTGTTGGCCTCCTCTCATTGTCACTGGTCGCATGGTGGGTTCAAGATTGCACCGAAATTGATCGCATGCCAGTAAATTGGATTAAAATCAACATGTTGCATACTCGAACGTGAGTATTCCAGGCTTCTGATATTATGCCTGGCTCATTAACGAGCTCCCAATAACGACATTTATATTTTGTCATCCACTTGAATTAGGGTACCAACCACGCTGCAAAATTGAGCGCTGAGCACCAGCGCTTGGACGTCACCTCAGTTTGTGGGCGATTTCTCACACCATCCAGACCTGCTATCGCAAAAGCACATCTGAGTTAATGATGCAGCCTTGCTTTGAGCGTTTGAGCGGCGTTGAGATTGCTTTGCGAGTACACTCCAACTGTACAGATTTTCTATGGTACATCTACACGAACCACCCCTTTAAAGGACAACTTACATCTCCTTGTAATTGCTAGTAAACCCACTAAAAATTCCAGTGGCTATATCCTCCATCAATATGGGTATGACCTTCAAACGCAGTCGAGTCCACCTCGACCGTTAAATAACATACTAGGCATGATGCACGCGATGCACCGTTACAAGGCAGAAATCCACACGCATGCGTATGTGGCGCAGACTGTCACGATGCTTTCGGTACCGATGATGTGTTGATCATTTTGGGTACTTGCTCGCTGCTTTTTTGTGTGCATGAAATGGAATGGATAGGGCCTTAAGCGACGGATCTGAGGCTATCCGAGGCTGCGACTGGCGTGTGAATTATTCATATTTTCAGCTCAGCAACGAACTTTGTCAATTATGACTCTTGCTCACCTTGAAGGACTATTTATGATGTCTAGTCGTTTCCGGAGACACGAGGATGTTTGGGGCATTTTGCAAGAATTCTTCTGACCCAGAAGTCCCAAACGCCCTCGTGTTTGATTCATGTCCAAGAGTCGTTATTTCTGGGATCAACCGTCGCATTTGATTGGCAGTCCTCAACTTAGTTTCCCATAGATAGACCAATAGAAGGCAGACAGTCGTCCCTTCTGTAAAACGCACAACGGAGTCCTCAAGTACTACTCACTACTCAGTACAACGTCTCCTTCATCTTGTTCCACATGGGCGATGCAAGTCGCCTCTCTCAATGCGATGGATTGAAAGCCATGGCGCGTCTCGTGATATGACAACCATGGCACAAGACTTCGCTTCGGTCTATCTACACGACAGAACTTGATCGGTGAGAAAGCTCTCTGCTTTGGTCAAGACAACGAAGGTCACTATGATGCTAATGCTAATACAAATGCAGAATGCTGATATCTTAACTTTATGGTGAGTGTTTCCACTCCGGGTACTAGTAACAATATCGAATATTTTGATCAACCAACCAGTGGCAAACCCCTCGCACGCCAGGTCCTCACCCTCTCTAAATTCGGCCATATTCCCAATCCTCCAACAAGCAGTACATCTGCGTTTGAAGATCTGAAAGCCTAGTCTCCCAGCTAATATTAAAACCTTGGTGTCGAAGATGCCTGAGACCCTCCCACACCCAGCTCTGGCAGTTCCATCTGGGATCGTGACGCGTGATAGGAATGCTTGCGAGATGCCGCTCCAATAGGGTCAGCTGATGCGCAGCCACTTTTCCGATGGTAAAGCTCCCGCGCCATGCATCTGGGTTTGGATATGGTTGGTTGCATCTGAATTCCATGGTGTATGTATCCGTGTTTCCTAGTACGTGGTACGTGTTCCCGATACCAGGACCGGTTGGGATATAGATCACCCAGTGAAGTGGATAGGGCTGCAGGGGCTCTGACTGCCCTCGCCAGAATTGGACGACTTGGACGTTATAGTACGCAACTGGGGCAGGCATATGATTATAATGTGACTATGGGATCCGGTAAGTTGCAGTTCGAACGGCACTTGATTCTACGATATGGTGCTCACCGAGAAGGCACAATACTGACTGAGCCAGGACAGGAGAGTTTGAGGTTTGAGTTTGCCGATGTCTCGGATTTATACCCAAGCCCTGGTAATTTTTGTGTCATGAGCGGCTTTGAAGCTTAGTGTGGGTGCAACATGTCACGTCTAGTGTGCTCGAGACTGTGAATAACAAATATGGTGTGCGCTTGAGGTGAACTACTAATTATCGCTCCCGGCATACAATCAACAGCCCATTCAAACAAGATGTCGGTGTCGCTTCTTTTAAATAATCCCCGTTATCGCACAGCCGGGAGTTATTCCGGGCTTCTGAGATTAAGGAAGTGTACTGAAATAAGGAGCTCGGATATCCGGAGGCCTCTATAATGACATTGTTATATTTCTCATCGATAACGTACATTGAGAGGATCAATTCATTCAGACCGCCATTTGGAGTCGAGTTGGAACCAATCAAACTACCGCTTGACTCAGATTTGGGTGTAGCTATTTTGACGCGGTCCTGCTGCGCCTGCCGCGTCAACCAAGCTTCACGATTCCAAAAATTAGTCTTTGCCATTATTAACTACCGTGACAGTCCCAGCTCATATCCTAACTACGTTCCTGTGATCGTGGCGGTCTTGTGGCTAAAATAGATCACTTATGAGGCGCTGAATTCAGGTTTAACCACAGGTATTGAGATATTGGTACCTCACTAAATATATTACTCCCTCACTGGCAAGGACATGCATCAGAATAATAACTTGACCAAGCACAGGGTCATCTAAACGACCAGGATGCTGAAATCATTGATGCGGCACAGGCGCAGCCTTGACACAGCAGTAATACATTTGACTTGGGGCGGACGCGACACGGACGAGGCTTGATGCATTGATGCACGAATCTGCAGAAAATGAATGTCGACTGGACTCCAAGTGGAGTCGGGTCACCATCATGATTAGAGTCAATCTTTAGAGACTGCACAGAAGTTTGCGATGTACTACAAGGCAGTTTATCCTCATTACCTGAGTCCATGTACGACAAGCACATAATATTCCAGTATTTCGAGCAATGTTGCATGATATGCGAATCACAGCTTGAAAGGTTTGTTTTGTTGTCGTCGACATGTGGCGCGTCGATGCTGTGAGTCACAGCCGCGGCAGGCGCGGCACGACCGCGTCATTTTCACCCCAGATTTGTGAACCTTCTCTCACACCGTCCAGAGCTGCCGCCGGATCACTGAATGAATGAAATGTTACATTTGGCCACCTACACTCATGTAAGCTCAGGTACAAGTACCTCGATGACTCAAGCGCTCAGAGCGCTCAAGTCAGAACACGTAAATAACCAAAGCTTAGCAACATTGTAACCTGCCTGGCAATTAATAGGTAGGGAGGGGATGAAGGTCTGGTGTTGAGTGCACGTTCATGTGACCTGCGAGCCGAATACTTTGCACATGCCAAAAATGTGCCCTGTCTTCGAGCGTACACCCAACTCTACATAATTTCTATGGTACATACACAAACATAGCACAACTATTACTGTTGATCGCACCAAAAAATCCGGTGGATATATCCTCCATGAAAACAGCCTCAAAACGCAGTCGTCGAGTCCACCTCGATTGTAGGCACGATAGAAGCGATGAACTTCAAGAACACCACAAGGTAAAAGTCCACGCGCATGCCCTCGATTTCCTCTTCCTCCCCTGCGCCCTTTACGCCCTCCTCCTTCCCCCTTTGCGCCCGAAACCCCATTTCTTCTTCCCGTCCTTGTCTTGGTGCTTGCCAGAATTCTTCCGTGCAGCAAGCTGCTCTTCTACCACACCTGCGTTCATGCGCTCGATGACTTTCTTCATCACGCTTGCGTGTTTGCAGGGGTGTACGGAAGCTGCTTGGAGCGTTGAGGAGTGTGGGAAGGCCTCGATGGTGACAGTCTTGAGAGCATGGTCTGCTGAAACATCTTGGAAGATCTGCGATGGTGTTAAAGGTGTACGATTCTGAATCACAAAATATGAGCGAGAGAACATGTTTACGGAGCGATGGAGACAAACCTCGTCATAGCCAAGTAGCCAGATCCGGGGAGTTTGGTAATACTTGTCGTATGTGATCATCACATCATACGTTCGTACTTGCAGGAGATTGCCATTCGCGACTCCCACCTGCCTGGACATCTCGTCTGGTATCAGACTTAAACAAAGATCAGAGAAGAAAACTCACGATGCATCGATGATGCCACCCGCCTTGGGCGCAACCGGTGCCGCCGTGGCTTCATCTTCGCCGTCCTCCAGCCCCTCCTCTTCCATGTCAGGGATATCATCTAGATCTGGCGTTTCTCCCACCGTAGCACCAGTCTCTGATACAATTGACACATCCGCCATCGCACTCGCCAGTCCATCACCATCCAAGTCCGGAATATCATCGATCTCGCCTGGATTTGCAGCAGAGTCCATTGTGGCCCCTCGCCCTGCATGTGTTTCTACCCACTCGTCGGCAGCGCCCGAAGAATCCCCGAAGGAGAGAAGTCTCTCAGCGTCTTCATCAGCGTCAGTGTAAGCTAGTGATGTGGCTCGTCGAAGGCAAGGAACGCCGCGAGTGACAAGGTATTGTTTTTCAGCGGGGAGGTAATCGCGAGCTTTGGACGCGTCGCCTTTTTCCCTGAAGTATGAGGGTGGGGTTTGAGGGGCTGTATTGAGGTTAAGAAACTGGTTGCACGTACCACGTCCATACTGGGAATTTGTATGATAGGAAGTCTCCTGCTGCGACGAATTCCTCTGGAAGCAAGATTGGGATGCTGATGATTGGTGGTTGGTAGTGATGGAATACGTACCGGGGGTTATTCGTCCAGTGCTCTTTGAACTTGCTTTCTTTGAGGACCTGAGCATTGCTTAGACCTAGCGATAGTCAACTGCGATGGCACATACTGGGCTGAGATAGTCGCGAACGGCCCAATATTGTTGCTAGAAAGGATCTTGAGCCATCTCCGAGTATCATGCTACTTCAGTACGAACCTGAATAGCATGCATATTAAGTTGTGGTATGCTTCGTCTGAAGAGTGGAGATGAGAGGGAGAGCGAAGGACGAACCCTTGCCACAATCACTGAATCAGTACTACATCGATCGGACCTAATCCGGAAACTAGTGATCACGAGGGGTTAATGCACGCGACTGCGGTACTGACTCCTGGCACCTCAGAATAGGACTGTAGCCGCATTTCATGTGCCATGAGCCAGGTATATTGTCAACAGCCTTCTAATGGCTAGCATCGGCCCCGCGTAGAAGCAGCTCATCACCAAACCCAAACGAAATCTCGTAGATACTCAACGAAGCAGCCAATTATACCGAAGCCTTGTCGGATTTTTTGGAGCTTCTCTCCTTCTTCTCTTTCTTAGCCCTCTTCTTCTCTCTCTTCTCATCGTGAGTCGGTGGGGGAGCATCGACATCCATTACCGACACTTTAACATCAGCAACTGGCTCTGCGTCGTGCTTCTTTTTCTTCTTCTTTTCCACAGGCGCAACAGACGGAGTATCTGTAGGTGTTATGTCGACGTCCATGCTGTCCTCGGGGACCTTTTCTGACTTGTCCCTTTTCCGCTTCTTGGTTTTTGTCTCTCCCTCCGTCTCAACCGGCGTGGGAGATGGATTCGACGCGCTATTCGTTGGTGTTTCTTCGACTTTATCCTTTTTGCTCTTCTTCTTTTCTTTCTTATCTTTCTTACCTGCGCCTGAATCTACGGGCTCGTCGTCCCTCTTCCGCTTCTGGGATTTCGACCGGCTCTCGTCACTTTCTTGGTCCTTGGTCTCCTGGCTCTCCAACTCCACAACAGCAGCTTTCCGCTTTTCTTTGTCCTTTTTCTTGGATTTCTTTTCCTTTTCTCCTGGAACCTCGGTCGGTACTGGGGTATCGTCGATAGTAGACTCTATAGCGTCCTTTTTATGTTTCTTGTCCTTTTTCTTCTTCTCCGCCTTTTGAGGTGATGGAGATGAAGGCGCAGATAATGGCTCGACATTAATAATATCTTCCGATGTCTTGTACAAGTTAGGTACCACACCATAGATAACGAACTACGCGTACTCACCTTCTTGTCCTTGGTTTTTAATTCTGACTTTGACTTTTTCTGCGATTTAATCTCAGTTGTTTCCGGCGCTGGAGCTGAGTCTTTTGAAGGCTGTGCCTCTATTGGTTTCGGTGGTATGATTGACGGCTCTGGTGGTGTTACAGATACAGGCGACATGCGCTGAGGTGTGCCCAGTGGAGTTCCGTTGGCACCAGTAGCCTGGTAACGCGTTGGTGGTCGTGCCTGGTATCCCCCATGGCCTTGGAACCCACCGCGTCCATTCTGTCGAGGCGCCGCCCCCCAGCTCCCAGCCTGTTGGCATGAAAAAAAGATTTGACATACAGGGATGGACAACTCACCGATCTAGGACCCTTGTACAAGTTTTTCTGATACTTTTCTGCCTCGGTCACGCACGAAGTGTGTCCTTGGTACTCAGCAGGGGTGTGGAAAGTGGTCGAACAGTCGATACAGTCGAAAGCTGCATGGCAGAAACTGTGGTGTTGATTGAGTTTTGGTTTTTTTACGACGTCACTGCAGCCTGGGTGGTTATGGGTGTGTTAGAGTGGGTGTAACTCGAAAAATGAATGATAGCAGATACGAACTGTGACATCTGTGGATCGTGCGTTAAGATCATACTTGTGGATTGCGAAAAAGGGAAATGATAGCGTACTGGAATGATACCATTGAGATATAGGTCTCTTGTAGATTGGACCGTACCGATTTCCTTCCGTGCTCGTAGGTCTAGGCAATCTTATGCCAAGTGTCTGGACTCTAGAGTGAAGAAACAAAAAAAGATGGTAAGTGACATGTAACCCTAACCCTGGTACTGAATCGTGACCGATGTAGACTTCGACTTTTATGTAAATAGGATTTGAATTCGAATCATGATCATGATATCAACATTCAACGTTTCAACTATGTATGTACAAAGAAATGGAGTGGGTATAGGTGTATGATACATCTAACTTGATCAAGGGTCTGGTGAAACGCCGTGATATGGGCATTGCATCAGCAGTGAAACATCATGATGCGCACAATTGCACTCTCGATGATAACCACTGGCCAAGTCATATTTGGATGACTTCCCCAGAAATGCACAGCAGATGAGACTAATAATAAGTAACGGGAGCCGTAAGGCATGTCGAAGTATAGGCATGAGGTCGTATCGGTACACGGTGTCCGAAAAGAAAAATAAGGAAAATAATCATGAAACTCCCATGATGATGCATCATGGTTTCCCAAATCTCACCACCCATGTCTCCGCGACATTCGTACTTCCGGGTAAATGTCTCTTTTTCTCAAATTCCTCGTCTTTCTCCAGCCCCTTAAACATCGGCGTATCCCCCAGCCAGTCAATTCTCTTCAGTCGTTTATCCTTGTCCTTCTCTTGCCTCGACTTCGCAGCTTTCTCGATTGTTTCCCGTCGTGTCTTATCAAGAGCCACGATTGCCCACTCCGAGTCTTCAATCGGCTTTTGTAGCAGTTCATGCAATCCATCAAAGATCGCGCCGCATGTGATTACAGACCCAGCAGGCGCACGGATGACGATTGACCAAGGGAATGCCTTCGAGATGATGAGGATCTCGTACGTGGGCGCTACGAATGCTGGAACGTGGCTGATTTGTTGCCATGTAGATAGCATGATCCCTTCCCGAGCGGGCTGGCGGATATCGTAGCGCACGTAGGTCATGTCTGATGCAAGAGTGGGGTTGAGACTGGGCCATTTTGATTTTGGTACTGAGCGATCGACTGTGGGTGTGCAGATAGCATGGTAAGATCACATAGGTGAGTAATGGAAGTTGAAGGGCACATACAGTTGAATCCATGCCATCCTGTTTGTTGATATGGCTGGTACGAGGGGGGGACATATACATGGGGGTTGTATTGTCCTTGGTGCCAGTCGTTAGGCCAGCGATTTGCGTAGGGATTCATGATGAAGCGTGTGGTGTATGATCAAGGTGGGATATATCATATATTACGGCCTTTATAGGTTCGTACGGGCGTCAATCTGTGACAGAACTGTGACTGAAGCTCCCGAAAGTGTAGGTTTCCGTGGACCTTCTGTATCACCTTGGTAAAGAGTCGCATGATGACAATGACCGGAGATGACATTGTGCGCCGTAATCGTTCAATCAGGGGGAGGGAACCAAGGAGGCTAAGCTAGGCTGAGCTAGGTTAGCGAGGCAGTGCCTGGCAGTTTTTTTTTTAGTCACGTGGTGTAGAACGGGGGAAACAGCCACGAAATTTAAAGCACTGCAAGGGGTAAAGCGCTTAGCTTCAAGTTTCGAGTGACATGACACTGCCCATAACTCAATCATCATTCGAAATTGAGGGCAAAGGCGCTCAGAAGCAATGTAAGAGAAGCTGAATCACTTAGGCCCGTTGTTGACGGGCAGTCCATGGAACTCCGAAGTTTGTCGAGTGCCGCTGAATTGAAGCGAAACCCGGTCGTTCGAGAATCTTCGACTTCGTCAACCTCGTGAACTTGACTTAGACCTCCCAAGGAGAGAATGCTCTGCAGTGTATACGCGCAGTATGACAAATAAAGATACCCGTTGATATGTCTAGGCTAAGGGTGAGTCAAGTTGATGTAAGACAGAGGCTTTTGCGCAAAGACCGCAGGGAGCTGGATTGAGGGTGAACTGACGACGGAAGGCCTGTGAATATTAGCTACTTATAGATGACCTTGAGGCCTACCTCGTACCCTGAGAGAAACATGCATCCGAGACGTGTGAAGGGGCTCATTAATTATAGTACTCGTCCATCGCAAACGTCAAAGGGGCGGTTAAGCTTGCGTATCAGGCAGAAGCATCGACGATCGATGAGTCCTCGGATACTTGATATCCCAATGGGGCTCGTCGCGTTGTGTAAATGGCAGAGCACAATTGGCTGGGGAACCGATAAACAGATTATGTAAACCCTTACATTTCTGCAGCCAGGCGGTCAGTGCGTGATTCAGCGTTAATATTCAGTGCGTTTTCTTCTCTCCATCCTGCTTTTTGCTTTATCCCCCATCATGTCTTTCACCGCGATTCGTGCACCACTTCGCAGGCAGGCTTTGTCTGCATCCTTCAAAAGGGCCCAGCTGCGCACGTCTTCCTTCCGCAAGTATTCAACGGAGGTTCCTCCAGCAACCAAGTCCAACACTGGTCTCTATGTTGGCCTGGGTGCCATCGTTCTGGGTGGTGGTGTTGCATACTACTTTTATGGCTCATCTTCGGAGACGGCAAAAGTGGCTTCTACCGCGTTAAAGTCTGCGGCTCAGTCAGCAAAGGTTGCTACAAACTTTGTCCCGACCAAGGAAGACTACCAGAAAGTTCGTTCTAACCTCGCTATGAAGGTTTGCTGGAGTTCATCTGTTTTATTTCAGGTATACAACCGCATCGCTGAGGTAATTGATGATGCTGGTGACTACGATAGTGCGGTATTTGTGTGTCGGTTTGGTTCCCACTCTCATCGGTTTTTTGTAGATGGCTCTTTGGCCCTGTGGTCCTCCGCCTGGCGTGGCATGCCTCTGGTACATACGATAAGGCTACTGGTACTGGCGGAAGGTCAGTTTTTCCTGTCGGCCGATTAGAAGACCCTTATCATTGACGTAACGGTATAATGAAACACAGCAACTACGCGACCATGCGTTTCCAACCCGAGTCACTCCATGGCGCTAACGCGGGTCTTCATGTCGCCCGAGAATTGATGGAGAAGATTAAGCAAGAGTTTAGCTGGATCAGCTACGGTGACTTGTGGACGCTTGCTGGTGTCGCTGCTGTGCAGGAGATGGCTGGTCCGAAGGTTCCTTGGAGGCCTGGTCGCATTGATGGCTTTGAATCCCACGTACCTCCTGACGGCCGTCTTCCTGACGCCTCCCAAGGGGCACAACATATTCGGGATGTATGTGATTTTAATTTATAATCAAATGCGAGCTGACATTTACGCCAGATTTTCTACCGCATGGGGTGAACCTGCATTCATGCGATGAAATTCTTGGGAAACTGACGTTATTCCTGCAGCTTCGACGACCAAGAAATAGTTGCTCTCTGCGGTGCCCATGCCCTTGGCCGTTGCCACGCTGACCGGTATGGCCTTTGCTGTATTTTCTTTTCTGTCGGTGATTTTGTTCTATCCAGCTCTGGTTATGACGGACCTTGGACCTTCTCTCCCACCATGTTCACTAACGACTTCTACAAGCTCTTGTTTGATGAGAAGTAAGCATATAGCCCCCTCTCAAAGGAGGAAGTACTGACGTATCGTTGGGACAGGTGGGTGTGGAAGAAGTGGAACGGACCTAAGCAGCTTGAGGACAAGAAGACTAAATCGCTTATGATGCTCCCGTATGTTGCTTTGGCTATGCATCGTCAACATGGACTAAAATCTTTCAGAACGGACTACGTTCTTACACAGGACAAGAGTTTCAAGAAGTACGCGAAGGCCTACGCTGACGACGTTGACCTGTTCTTCAAGGAGTGCGTCACTTAATAATCAGCGCATTCATACTCTAATACAGGTTTAGTTTCTCTGCTGCTTTCGCCAAGCTCCTCGAGCTAGGTGTCCCTACCCAGCAGTTTGTCGCATCCGAGTCCTGGATTATGCAGACTGTTGACGACCAGAACTCCTAAGTTGTGCATAGAGCAATTTATCATGGAAGGTAGATTATGTTACCCTGCTTCATAGATCTTACCGATAGATTTACGACCACAATACTATCTTGAGTGTATAAGTACATACAGTACGTACTAACGCTTGGCGGGATCGACTTTTAGGTGCTTTATTCGTAAATAATTAGTCCACAAATATGATGAATTTTGTTGTTGGTCATGTGAACATTGCAACAGTGTACACATTTGTTGACAACCGTCTTGCCGACACTATACGGCTCCCAGATCTCAACGTCTCAACGTGTCGAACGTTCTGAACCTTTCTACTCTGTGGCACTTGTCATATTATCCTCAACTAGGGAAGATCAAACCGTTCATAATGTCTGCCACTTGGGCGACCTCAAGCCAACCAACTATGCCTCCTGCACAGCCCATGACTTACGCCATTGCCGGATGCTCGGAGCACAGCGGGAACTACGTTCCGGAAAACATACTAGTGGACACACCACAGGACCCGTCAAGTAGATGGAGTGGCGCGCAGCAATTACCTACAGCGAAGCAATGGATACTGTTGAAGTTAGAAACACTCAGTGTTGTCAGTTGAGTAGCTGCTGCGCTTCATGATCTTGCACGCGCTGACATACCCTGTTCCTGATGACATAAAGAGAGCATAACATTTGGAAAGGTGACGCCGACCAACCTTGTTATCGATGCAAAAACTAAGTCTGGCGGATGAAGTTTCACAGGAGTATGTGAGCGTATTCCTCCAACATTCAGGCTTTGAACAGATTCAACAGAACATCCATGCAACATGAGGGAGTTCAGGGTCTATGTAGGCCTGAATCCACACCATATGGTGCAGGCGTTGCACACTCAGCTCAAGGACGATACCACACCAGAAACGTTTCCTTTGAAGCATGTGAATAGCGAGGGCATTTGCTTTCCGATACGGTACATTAAGATCGTACCAGTTTCGTGAGTGGGCGTGTTGCATTTTTTTTGTTTGCTCAATCTGTGCATCGGTTAGAGCGCATGGGATGAGTTTTCATATTTCGATCTGGTATGTCTCTGTTTCAGGCATAGCCGATCCTCTATACGTCGACAATATCCGCTCGCGATACGAGGAGGTTTGATAGGCCATTTTTATCACACGCATATTCACTGAACAAATAATCATAGTACCGAGAAACCGTAGTGCTTCGCCACGTGCTTAAGCATCTGAGGCAGCGGAGGTTGCTAACACCATATCAAAACATCCTGGCGCGCTCAAACATTCAGGTCGAGCACCCTGTTGTGACAGCCCTGCACTCGAGCCTTGTTCTCCAAGGGACTTGGGCTGACTCCGAAGCGCTTTTCTCTGAAGCATCTTCAGCTGGCCTTCTAGATGCTTATATCCAATCTTGTCAACCACACTCGCAGTGGAAACGACTTCACGGCGTGGACGCGGACGGCGACGCGCCGAGCAAACGTGGTGGCCACGCAATGGCACTAGACCCTGAAAATGGCCTCATCTACCTTTTTGGAGGCTGGGACGGGCAGAAAAGCCTAGACGATTTTTGGGTGTATGACGTGAGTGCTGAGCGATGGCGCGTGATCAGTCATAGCACGTCTATCGAGAAAAACGGTCCTATCGCTAGGTCTTGTCACAAGATTGTTTATGATACAAAGTCAGGGTGCATCTATCTCCTGGGTCGACTTGGCGATGGGGACATCTTAAAGCCGGACGACCATCAAGAACTATTAAGAAGAGCGGGGGAGATACCGGATGGGTCTAGGTCTACCCCATACTGCTCGGAGTTTTACCGTTATCATACGCGAGGATTGGACGTTGGGACATGGGATCTATTGTCATTTGATACGGCGGTGAGTGGTAGAGCTGACACTGCATTTTTTAAACCAATGATGCTAGTCCTTCGGTGGCCCGCCACTTATCTTCGACCACCAAATGGTGATGGACTGTGAGGCGCAAATATTGTACGTTTCCGGGGGCCGAGTGGTCGATGGCGACTGGAATTCGCCAAAGTACTCTGGCATGTATAGTTATAACGTCCGCACGAGCAAATGGAAACTCCTACAGCGAGTGTTGTCATTATTGGCCGTTTGTTGTCGTTCTTATTGTGTCTGCAGACCCCAACCTACATTATCAATGTCATCGTCGGTACAGCCGCTCATCTCACCCCGCTTTGGTAAGTCTGTCTCGTGTTATTAACTCTAGCATACTGAAGAACGGTAGGCCATTCAATGGTTCTCGATCCAAAGTCGCACACTCTTTTTATTTTCGCGGGGCAGCGCGATGACAAGTATCTGTCCGACATGTACGCCTACGACATCGCGAGCAACACAGTGACGGAATTGTTCAGCAATTTCAGCACAAGCGGGGGTCCCGACGCATGTTTCACTCAGCGCGCGATTATCGACGGACGCTTGAAGGAGATTTATATGTATGCGATCGATCTCATTTCTACTTGGCTGCTCTAAATCAAGCACTTCATCTAGATTTTGTGGGCTGACTCGCGCGCAGCCCACTTGTGCGCTTACTAGCTTACGCGCCGATACGCCAAACTGGGTGTATCAGTATGAGCACCCTTCCAAGCCTGGGAAGTGGACAAAAATATTGCCCGAAATGATACAGGAGGGCGGGGTGCCTGCCGAAGTTCCTCTTCCGCGATATGCACATCAAGTTGTGTACGATGAGGGGACGAAACGTGTATTTATGCATGGTGGAAATGCAGGGGAGGTGAATACGCTGGTGGAGGCTGTGGAGACGGAATTAGAGGGAAGTGGTGATGATGAGCATCCGAGAAGCGATGATGAGGATCGTCCGAGCAGGGTATCAAAGGAGACGAGGCTGGATGATTTTTGGACTATGAAGCTATTGAGGTGAGAAGCGTTGCTGTGCCTCGTTCCATGATATTAATGGCGTGTGCGCTTGCTCTTCAGAGCTGCACCCGAGGAAATTATTAGGCGAGCAAAATACCAGATCCGACAACAGCAGTAAGCTATGAGCTCTTCAAAGGGAAATATTTATGTTGATTGTGTATAGATTCCGAGAGATGTGCGAAGAACAACCCCCAGTGAAAGCACTGCGCTTTTTACAAACGCAAGTGTCTGCCGTGGTGGACCACACAAACCCCGAGGAGACGAGTGTTTTCAGAGCACTCCTGGGGCATCTTTTCTCGCACCCAATTACCACGGATGATGGCTCCGCCGAGTCTATAAGCACACCTAAAGAAATTACTCCAGGCCTCCTTGAAGAGCCACCGAAAAAACGTTCGCGCCCGAACACGCCTGACGAAGCCTGGACGAGCCGACTGGATGATGAAGATGAGGACGAGATGCTTGATGCAAGCACATCGGCCGTTGCCACCTCTAGTGGACAGAAACGGCGGCACGCTGTGCTTTTGATGGAAGAAGATCCCGAGGAGACTGCGTTGCGGGACGCTTCGACGAAGCCGCTGTCACCTGAGCGGTTCAGGCAGCGTACAGAGGTGTTTGAAAGTTTGTTGCAGTTTGTAGGGGAAGATGGAAAACAGCCCATGGGTTCGCTTTTGGATATGGTTGATGCAGAGGATGGGATATGAGGTCGGTGGTGTGATTGACACCTTTTTGTTCTGTTTTCGTGTTTTGAATTTGTGTTTTATTGGGATGTGCAGGTTGTTTCTGATAGGGTCTGTTTTGGAGGCCGCATACGTTTGGCATGTCGTCAAGATTATTTGAAGGGGTAGAACGTTAAACATGGAGATAAGGATCCTGGACGAATTCGATATTGAGGCAAGCCTTGAAATAACCCTGAGCGTTCAGACCGATCAAGCATCCATAGTCTGATTGGAAACCATTCCCTCTTGTACAGTATTCGGCAATCTTTTGGGTGAACATCCCCCACGCAAATTCAAACAAAAGATGTCGGTGCAAGATGATAGCTCGTCTCTTGGATGAAAGGTCATCGATTATATATTCCGGCGTGTATTTGCTGCGAATACATGATCTTTTCTCGGACTTCAAGGTCGTCGGCTGGTATGTTGCCTCAGGGCTTATAGCCCTGCTTGTGCGACTTTGAAACGCAGGTAGACGACTTCGTCCGAAATCTAGGGTGATACAGCAGTAATGAGCTGGTTTGTTTTTGTGGTACATCTATTGTTGCAACACGTTCTACATAAAGGCTAAGTTCCACTAAGGTACAAAAGATCATGCATCGATAGCTGTTCTATTTTTACTCAAGCAAGTGTTTTAGGGAGGCCCTGGGCATTCAACAGCGCCTCACTGTGGCTCAAAACTCGGGGGCCGTCACCTACACGGGTGTGAATAAGCCCCTTGACAGAGCCCACCTCCCACTGCTTGGCAACAGCCTCGTTGAATCCTTCTGGCAATGCAGCATGTACCTCCTGCCCTCCAATGACGACTTTCTCTGCTTGGGGGAAGTAGTACAGAACAAGCTGTGCTATCTCACGGACGTTGGGCGTGAGCGCATAGATGACGGCGTTTGGGCCAGCATCGTACGTGTAAGCAGCCTTGGGCTGCTCCGAGAGGCGATTGTACTCGGTGATGATGGCGATAATGGCGCGACTAACATCGTTCATGTAGAAAATAGGCGGGTAAGTGTCAAGAGCGACAGCATGGAACTGGTTCGAGTCCCTCATGGTGATCTCTGCAAAGTCACCGAAACGCTTGTCTGCGATGGCACTCTCGATGTCTGCCATGCGGGAGGGAACGACGGATCCAATGCGGTGCTGGAGGAGTGCGGAAGTAACGACAGTGCGTTGCATACCGCTGGTGCTGCTAGTGCCTTTCTTGGCGTCGTTGACGACGCAGATGAGGGCTTCCATCTCGGGCCAGTGGGATTCTGGGGCGACTTGACGGGCTTTGCTGTCTAGCCCGGTTGTGTCGTCGCTGCCCATGTCCCAGGCGACGAAGCCGCCGAAGAGGGAGCGACATGCGCTACCGGATCCGCGACGGGCGATGAGGCTGAGTTCTTCAGGGGTTTGGGGGAGGGCGTAGAGTTTAGCGAGTGCGTATACGAGGGCTGCGAAGCCTGAAGCGGAGGAAGCAAGACCTGCTGCGGTGGGGAAATTATTAAAGGAACAAATGTGCACGTTGAAGGTTGCGATCTAGCTGTGCGTCAGTGACGTGGTGCGAGAATCTATGGAGAAGCCGTACCTTTGGTTGATCGGGATTTGCTGCTTCGAAGGCTGCACGGAGACGCTTCATTTCGGAGATGCATGTATGCAGACGACCGCCGGCTTTGATTGGGTCTACCTTGCCATTGAGCCAAAGGCAATCAGCGGCAAAGGAAGGGTCAGCGCGTGCAGTGGTTGTGCTCCGGAGGTTATCCTGGCTCAGAGTAACGGAGAGAGAGGAGTTGGTGGGCAGGATGAGGGACTCATTGCGCTTGCCCCAGTATCTATAATCGCATAATAGATTAGATCTTGTCCGAGCACATAAGTAGCATTAATGATCACTTTATGCAGGCGATGTTGACTGGTGCAGATGTTGTTGCTTGGTAGACGGACATGGTGGATGAGAAGAAAGTTGATGTTGTTGAAATATAATGGCGTCTTATAAGTTTCAATAAAAGGACATCGTACGAGCAAGCATAATCCTTATTCGCGATCGAGGATCATGCAACTTAAGCGATTAACGGTGGCTGTGCAAAGCACTAGTGACCCGGTCACGCCGTCCGTTGCCGGTGTAACAGTGGCAGTGTCCCTCTGGTCGAGCTTTTGACTTGAATTATTGTTTCGTCCATTCTACCAACCCCACTGACGACAACGGCGAGCACGACGACGACGGCAGCAAGATATTTGTCAAAGACACTTCAACTGTCTTTCTTATTCTGTTTATACTATCGTGTAATTCTGACGTCCGACGTGTAGAGGTCTCCTTACAGTGCATATTCCTGCGTGTGATATTGCGCTGGCCCAGATGCGATGTTCTACCCTTCGCAGTCTCCCGCAATTTCACACAAGCTCGCAAATCACCCACACCATGTTAACGTTCAAGACCAGTCCCCTTGGTCTCGAAATGTTAATCACACACATACACATCACCCACAGCAAAGCATAGGCCCACCTCCACCATCCCCAGGTTACCCGCTCTATACAAACGGTGCTGTAAATCCTATTCAGCATCACCCGCATCATCCCCTTTCACACCCCCCGCTCCCTCACCACCAGCACCAGAACTCTTTGTCTCATTACCCTTCCCCACCCAATGGTCATAACCACCCGCAGCATATGGGCCAGGCTTCACCAGGAAGCGTTGGCAGCCAGATCATAACGCCCCATTGGCAGCAGCAGCTTCTCAAGTGTGAGGTACGTTGAGCAGTGCCCCATTTAATTTAATCTCATAATACGTCATACAAAGATGATCAGGTCTTCCCGGTCTTCGCATCACCGTGCCCGTGCTAGCGCCATGGCATCACGCACGGTCATCAAATCCGCTATTCCTATCACAAATCCCAACCTTGTCAAGCCCAGTACGAGCACAAATGCTGACATCACAGAGTCCTCCCCGAATGACCTACCCGGAACACCAGCTCTATCTTCTACCCCCGCCTTGAGTGCTAGCGAGGTCTCACCAAGCGTCGCAAATGCTGTGGTCAATCACCCTTCATCTACTGTTGGTCCTATTGCCGAGGCCCCGCGGCCTACCGCCAAAGCTCCACAGAACACCTGGAGCTCCCTTGACATGGGTGGCATCAATATCAAAACCATCCCACCTTCCTCTGGCCTCTTCACGTTCACTTTCCTCACTAACCTTTATCTCAACCACAATGCCCTCACCTCTATACCCGCCGGAATCGCGAAACTCCGCCATCTTGAGCTCCTCGATCTTAGTGGAAATAACCTCCCAACGGTTCCTGCTGAGCTTGGCATGCTCACTCAGCTGAAGGAGTTATACTTATTTGACAACCACATTGTGACCCTGCCACCTGAACTAGGCAGTTTGCACCAGCTACAGACAATCGGTGTCGAGGGTAATCCCATGGACACGTCTCTCAAGGCCATTGTGCAGAAGGACGGCACGTCTGCCCTTATTTCTTACCTGCGCGACAGTTGCCCCGTCCCATCTCCACCACCGGAGCGTCTTTGGAAGTCTCTCATCTCGCCTCAAGAGCGCGAGGCCCTTGCCACGGATCCTGCTACAGAAACGCTCAGTGCTCTCTGCTACAACATTCTGTGCGAGAAGTACGCGACGGAGCGGCTGTACGGATACACACCGTCGTGGGCACTCAACTGGGATTACAGAAAGGAACTGATATTAACGGAAATAATGAATTACGACACCGACTTTTTGTGCCTGCAAGAAGTGGATATCACACAGTATGAGGACTACTTTGTGAAGCATTTACAGGGGCAAGGGTATGAGGGCATTTACTGGCCGAAGAGTAGGTATAAGACGATGAGTGATGCAGATCGTCGGCAGGTTGATGGGTGTGCGACGTTCTACAAGGCAGACAAGTGAGTGCCTTCTTCATGCTGACCTTAAGTTGACATTATTTATCTATTCTATCAGGTTCTCCCTTGTCGAACGTCAGCTCATTGAATTCAGCACCCTCGCGATGCAGCGCCCCGATTTCAAGAAAACAGATGACATGTTCAACCGTGTGCTAGGTAAAGACCATATTGCCGTTATCTGCCTCTTGGAGGCGAAAGAAACCGGTACTCGCATCATTCTGGCCAATGCCCATATCCACTGGAATCACGCCTATCGCGATGTCAAGCTCGTCCAAGTCGCGCTCCTCGTTGATGAGATCGAGAAGATCGCTGCGAATTTTGCACGGTTGCCCCCAAAACCGGATACACCCCGCGCGCCCGTCTATAGCGATGGAAGCAAGATCCCAGTGATCATTTGCGGAGACTTCAACAGCGTCCCATCTTCGGGCGTGTATGAGTTCCTCGCGAACGGGAGTGTGCCGCCCGACCACCCAGACTTTATGAGTCACCTGTATGGGCGGTACACCACGGATGGGTTGCGGCATCGTTTGGGGCTCAAGAGTGCGAATGCGACGGCGGGTGAGACCCCGTTAACGAACTATACACCAGGCTACCAAGGCGAGATCGATTATATATGGTATTCGACTGCAAATCTGGCTGTGAATGCGGTACTGGGAGAAGTGGACAGGGGGTACTTGGAAAAAGTGGTAGGATTCCCGAACGCTCATTTCCCATCGGAGTAAGTCTCCTCTCTGTCTTTTGGAATATAGCTGACATGCTTGATAGTCACGTATGCATCATCAGCGAGTTCCGCGTGAAGCCTCCAAGACCCCCAGCCTTGCTACCAACGGCGTCTTGAGCAAGCATCCAAATACATCATTTATCGTCTCATTTTTTGTACGCACATGTATTTGGCGGTACATTGGTTCTACATATCGGGGTGCACACATCACATATTCATGATATTCCTTTTCATGTCCAAGTTTCTTTGTTTGTTGATGCTGCTGCTGTCGTCGTGCGTCGTCCTTTCAAGTTTCCGTACGATTTTTGTTTTATCCTTTTCTTCGTTTGTTTTTCTTTTTCTGTTCTATTTGTTTTTTCTTTCTGGTATTCATTATAATGCTGCGCCCCTCTCAAGCGCCATTGACATACATACATACATACAAACATACGACATACGACAAACTTTGTAGCACGTGTTGTACTGTTCCTTGTATATGAGACGGCTATTCCCTCTTCCCCGACTCCCGACGTTGGTGGAGTGTTGAGTACGAACCTCTGCCGGCTGCACCCGTGTTCGGGCCTTTTCGGTTACAATCATTTAACACGAAAGGTCTAGCCTGAGCCTATTCAACACCCAGACCGGTACTACTGACACAACCCGTGTGGATGTTTATCTCTGGATGGAGTCATCTCGCGCACGCCAAGCAGTAGGGTTGCTAATCTAATCATACGCAGGTCATGAGGCGACCCCGTCATGACTTTCTAATAGCTCAGCCGTCGTTGAGTCATGCTGGTCTCCGTACTTGAGATAATTTAACAATTTGAACGTTAGATCCTTGACCTAGCCAGGTTGGTGGTGAGGCTGTGCGTACTTCCCATTCATTTCTTGAGGATCGTCTCAGCAGACGGTTGTATTATTCAGCACGCAGTATTGTCAAAGCACCTTGGAATGCACGGGGTCTTCTGCGATTTCTCACGACTCAGGCTAGACCGTAACCACCCTGATAGAAGGCGAAATCACAATTCAGATGTTCTGGAAGATGATTATCTGCTCGCCGACCGTGTCACAGGTTCTGCCTGTAATCTACCAGACTCGATTTTCCTGATGGAACTCCCGAGTACTAGTACTTGGCGAACTCAGGGTTTTAGGACATAAAGCAAATCGTTTTCCTACTGTTGGCATCGGGGCTGTTATTCGAGTTCATCTCATATTCAAGAACTATGCGTTTCTCGTTCTTCCTCGCTGTTGTTGCTTCTATGACAACATTTATGCCTGGATAAAAACTCATTTTGCGGGTCGTCGAACAACGGCGCAAAATGCTGTCCACCTCTTCAGTGTGTTGGGCGGGTAAGGAGTTGTTCCCTTTGATTCAACCCCGTGACTCACCATTGCGTCTCGTACTAATTGTAATCTCATCGTTTTGGTCTAGTATACTGCTGCAGCTGACCCGGCGATCCGTCGAGCTCGGAAGATTGAACATGCTGTGGCAGTGAGTGATGTTTCCGCTTCCGCGTTGGCACAGTGGTTGATCGCACGATATGCGGCTTTTGTGCAGTTGGTCGATAGCATGCTTACTTATGTACAAAGTTTCCTGCCGCCCTGACTAGTCTTGGACAACATCAAAAACAAAAGAAGAAAGTATGTCCGTGGTAGACCTTGTCTTGGCTAAGTTCGATTAGTGTTCACATGTTCTAGCATTTCCAAACTCTCTTGTTTGATATTTCATCCGTCTTATTAGTTACTGCTTTGGCCTCTTGGTACGTGTCTTCCAAATGAAATATTTGTGCTCCAGGTGGTACCGAGTCAGGAACCTCGCTACGGATCTTGCTCGATCAAATCATCGTGGCGGCATGGTGGATTTGATGTATAATCCCCATTTGCGAATGCTGACGCTGGGGCACAGCGAAATTTGTCCGTAAGTGGTGTGTCTGGTAGTGAGAGTATAGCATTGTAGATGCACAAACATGTTCCACTCAGGACTTTACAAGCGCCACAGCCTGCAAGGTCCTGCAATGGAGAGGCCATGCCTGAATTTGATTTATGGCCTCTTTCAATATTGGTATTATCAGCGTACGACAAACGGGAAATGAACATAACAGACCAGAAGGGAATGACGGTTCCTTCGGAACGGAAGCTGAAATAGCTTATCTGGATTGTATGTATATCCGCCCAAGCTGTGATGGAACATGTCAAAAAGTGCTCGAGTTAGAAACTAGCCATATAGAACTTGAGGCATGGAAATGGAGATATGAATGAACACGTAGTACGTGCTACACAGGTCAGAAAGGCCCGAGTCTCGAGTCTCGATGAGATATCCCAGTACTTGCTTTCAGTACCTTCGGCCCGATGAATGGGGGAGCACCGATATCAAGACTCTGGTACGTAAACAAGGAATTAGAGGAGACCAGAGGGACTGTGAGCTCTGTGTCAGAAAGAGAAGGATTAGTATTACTCATTCACCCCTGAATGCTCTTCCTGTTCCTGTTGTGAGAGTTCAGGCAATGATTGAGTTCTAATAACAGGGTACGACAAATGGGCAATAAATAGGTACAAGCCAGAACGGAACAACGGTCCCTTGAGAATGGAAGCTGAAAAAGGTTACTCAGAGGTTGGTTGTAGACATAGATCTCTAATGAGATGGTTTACATGCTGATGTCGAAGACCGGTGGTATATTAGCAGAATCTTGAGTTGTGGAAAACGACGGGGGCTTGCGGGGCCTCAACCAATACTGCAACGAACGTGCAGATCTTCCTTTTTGGTGACCTTGGCATGGAAAATTAGGCGCCGGGAGCACTTTGAGATTCGGTGTGCCTACATAACAGTGGTGGGAAGAGACAGTACTGACATATCAAATACAATTGAACACTGCCCTATACTTCCTCCTAGTGAAACTCACTATTGCTGCGTGGCTAATTTGAAACCAACGAGGAACACAAAAGACTTTCTCCCGGTGGGCCTAAAGGCCTCACGCCCCGAATATTTCCATACGAAATTGTGGTGCCATTGCATTATGCATGACCCGTCATTGGATAAATTATGCTAAGGCGCCTATAATCAATTACAATACATCCTTCTAAGATGCTAAAGATGCAAACCACATGTACAAGACTGCTCCATAACTACGCAGCAAAGTCAGAGTATTGCCTCAAGCCTTGTACAATGTATCCAAGAACATCGTAGCAAGCTCGCTGACCATCTCTGGACCAACGGCACTGGATTTTCCAAGTCCTGAAAAGAGTAGCAGGGTCAAATCACATATTCATCATGATTGTGACAACTGATGAAGCAAAAGCGGAAAACGGTAAATAATGGATAGCAGACGCGAGTTGTGGACATGATTCTCAGGTCACGAAATAGGATCACAAATAAACTCGATCGATCTTTGAAACGTACCGTAGAGCCTAACCATCGTTCCCTTCCCAGATGGCGTCAATTTGGCCTCCTGCACGGAGTCCCTGAGATCTGCTATGAACGTATCAATAAGCGGGAGTGTAAGGCGCTTTCAGATAAGCATATGATTCAGTCCCCACGGGTGCGGAGAATAAAGTAAGAGAAACCTACTGTGCATGCGATATGTACCGCGGCCGGTCCGGTCAGCGCATTGAGATGCCAGCCTCTCTTCGACATTGCATCTCCAACCTCGTGGGCGTCCACCTCAGGAGACTTGGACCCGAATGCGACAACAGAAGCGGGCGGGGAGCCAAGTACATACAGTTCCGGAATGGAATTTGTAATGGTGTTGGCAATCATACGCGCGCACGAAACAATTTCGCGGCAGGACTTGAGATAACCACTAAGAAATGGGCTCAGGAATTACAAGATTAAATTGAGGAAATAACAAAGATACACACTCTGATCCCATGTATTGCATCGCAGCCCAAGTTCCCGCGATCAACGCACCAGGTCTAAACGCACGGAAAGTCAGGCGCAAAAACAGCGGAACTAGGAATGGACATACCGGGAGCCTGACAAACTCGGGCTGGCATAGACTCCACCTGCAAAGAACTGAAGTTAGTAAAAAAAAAGTTTGCCAGAATGTTACGAACCTGTCCAGTAAGGTGTGATATAGTATTGATGACGCCGTAACGCAGCGTCGCGATACATGATTACAGAAGACCCCTATAGGACCTGGTAAGCATTTACGAGGTGCACATGAAAGAAGCCTGACCTTGGGTGCAAACCCATACTATTATGCCATTGACATCTTCATCAATTACATACAACCGAATTGTATGATGACAATTTACCTTATGAGTGTCACAACTGATACTAGTAACTCCACGGACTCTGAAGTCGAATGGACTGAGTTTATACCTTACACCTCCGTCTTCTCCGTCAGATAGACCTGCTTTCTCTAGGAATGGCACGATGAAGGACCCAAGGCAACAGTCAACATGCAGGCCAACATTGTGCTTTGCAGCAAGTTCGCCCAAAACAACTATATCGTCCTGATTTCCATCCGGGAAATTGACGGCTGATCCTACAAGCTGCAGAACAGCGTTAAATACTACCGCTATGATAGAGGAGATACTTACAAGGATTGTAGTTTCGGTTGCTATTGGAAATTGTCTGAGCAACATCCATTGACGTAGGAAGGGACACTCACATGGCTCTGCGAACGCGTTTGATATTTACTTTTCGAGTAACTGGGTCCACTGGAATCAAGTGGACTTTTACTTTCATGTATGCTGCGCCTTTGTCAAATGCGGCATGAGCGGTTGCTGGAACAATCCTGTAATATTAACATTAGGACTAACCCACGTCTCATGAATCTCAATACCCACATCTCAGGCTCCGTAATACCCTTCACTTCTCGTGCCCAGTCTCTATATGTTTTGATAGCCATGACAATGGACTCAGTACCGCCTGAGGTCATAGTACCAGCTCCATCCGGGTTGTTGTACATCCGTAGGCACATTGAGACAATCTCAGCTTCCATCTTGCGGACAGCAGGAAAGACGTCCGGATGCAAAGGGTTGGAAACTGTATAACGCTCAAAAGCAGCGACGATAACTCTTGACAGATCCTCTCCCCCATCTGTTTAGAAGGGTGAGATAGGAAATGACTGTGGTAATTAACGCACGGTAGACTGCCCCTGATAATTTCCCATGTTTCCAATCAGCATGCGGACCCAGCTCGCCATCCATCTTCTCCATCTCTGCTATTATCCACCCCACTGATTTTCCTTCGTCTGGGAGAACGAGATGCCGCGACACATCGACTCCTTGTGGTACGAGCTTGCCCTCAATATCCAGTCTTGCCTGATTCATCTGCTGCTGAACTTCCTTCTGCACTGAGGGTACTTTCAACGCTAGTAATAATACTTGCTGTCTTTCGGTCAGCTTCATAGTAGTAATACTCAATGAAAGCCACGTACTCTGTAGGTCCATGTCCAGGAGTCTCTCAGAGAGTCAGTTATGCCTCGAGCTTGGACATGCCTGCAGAGCTTAAGGGATTGAGTTATGACGAAATAAAAGAAAAGTGCTGTCTTTGCTGTCTCGAACGGTGTCCTGGTCCGTAAGAAATCCCTGACGATCACCGGGTCCTGCAGAACAAATATGATTGAAGACATTTTGGGGTTGAAATCAACGTTCCGCAGTGATAGTAGTATGTAGGAGAGTGTGAGTTTCGACAACCCGCCAATTGGCTCACGCTGCCAGTTATATTAACGTCGGCCGGCGGCAGATCAATTTACAAAGTGCTTCCGAACCACCATGAACAACATGCGGATGGTATCTCTTTGACATTCAATCATGAAGCGAGGATCACTGAATAAATGCATTTAAGCTTGCGGAAGAGGAGGAGAATGACGACGGCACTGAGGTTACATGGGGTGCGTTCTGAGTCTTTGATATTCGGGGTGCTGGTCGATTGAGTGCTTTTAGAGGATCAGCAGCGTATCAACACGTTCTCCAAACTAAATACTCGTCTCAGGAGCATAGAGGAACGACTCGAGGAACTCAAGGTGTGTTGACAAGCTTAAACGCTTGTTCTAGTCTCATGATAGCTTCCAGCAAGAGAAGGAAGCATTGGATGACCTGTCTACAGAGCTCGAGCTTACTGACGAGGATGAAAGTGTGTTGTGCGTCTGAAGATTGTGCTCGCGCAAGAAGATGGACTAACTTTCTTGGCAAACCAACCAGATACAAGATCGGCGAATCCTTCCTTCACCTGCCTCAACCCCGCGCGATGAAACGACTTGAAAAGGACCAGGCGGTTTTATCTGCTCAAGTCTTAGACCTATCAGCAGGCGCAGAACAATGCGAAAAGGAGATGAAGGAGCTGAAAGTTACATTGTACGCCAGGTTTGGCCGTGCAATCAACCTCGATGAATGATCAGTATCAGCGTAAAGTATTACTCGAACGTTAGGATGTTATCACCCTCATCGTAGCCTTCTGATTCGTGTCATGCAGGCCAGTTACATCTGTATCTCATGGGACATAACCGCGGCACCGTCGATCTGTCGTAGGCGCGTGTCACGATTTGCATGCAGTACTGTACGAGCACGATTAGGAACCTGAATCCTGATATCATCATAAATAGCCCAACCGTCAACAGATAAGGCGAGTTCCCCGATCCAGTTCACAAATGGGGCAACATTCATGCACCATATGACGATCCGTGCTAAGGAATATAGGTCTATGAGACAGCGTTCATAGTATTTCTGTCGTCCTCAAGCCTGAACCGGCCCGCCGAATGCTCCCATCGAGTCCAGTCGGTAGTTGGCTTCGCAGAACTCTGTAGAAAAGCACATCAGTCACCTGAGTTGCCGATGAAGGGCTGCAGCGCTAAAGAATTGTCATTGTCCATATGCCTTGGGCCGCTAGTAGCTATAGTACATGCAACTTCCGTTATCGTTTTGCTGACAAAGCTAGGATGCCTAATAGGGGTTTTGTAAATCAAAATGATAAAAAGGCTAGCGCTAGCAAGGTATAGCAGCATTAGAATGCCCGTTGAACCGGTAGTTTCGAGATTGGCACCAACCCAAGGGATCCGAGGTAACGGCGGTCGCAATCTTCCCTGATGGGCAGCACATGGTGACGCCACGACGAAATCAATGAATGGGTGGTTCGTCTGTGGGACTGGAAGCTTGAAGGACTGATGTGGTGTTGAAACGATTGGGGGACATCAAAGCAGGGTCCAGGCAGCGACAGTTTCCAGAGGCAGGCAACTTATAGGAAGCCGCGAAGGAAATTTGGGATATAGGCACGAAAGACTATCGCAAACTTCGTAGTCAACCGTGATGTTCAGCAAGGTCACTCGCGTGGATGTCTGATAACACACGGAAGCTTCTCACAGGGGCATCTCATCATTGTGAGACATTCAGGAATCGACCTGGTAGCAGGTCCGCCGGATGAACATTGGCCTTGAAGCACTCATTGTATCCGTACCATCTCCGAGAACCCTGCTGGCGCACCTCGTAGTGCATGGCTGGTGATGAAAGTGTCCGCCTCTCGTAGATCTCAGACCTTAGATCGACGAACTGTTGCCAAATTTGAGCATAGGTGAGCAGTGTACTTGCTTGAGACTTGGAATACATTACCGGAGAATTCTGAGGTAAGTTGTTGATTTCTCCCTGGCTAGCGTTCGCACGCAAGATACAACATTGGGAAATGTCGCACATATGTGGCACGACACCAAGTCATTCTCAACCTTGCCAAGCGTCTGCTGTCATCGGAGCCGCCAAGAGATGGTGTTAAGCAGGATAATATTGCACAAGCAGAATAGGAAACAAGATAAAAGCCGATGGATCCCAGATAAGCTGACACCTACTGCACAAGGCGAAGAATAGGTCAACGAATCCCGAATGTGTGGTCGTTGTTTCCCGTCTCGTCTCCCAATACAAGCCACGTCACCTTCTAAATGCCGGTTTCCATACGTTGCAGTAAATCCGGACTACTAGGATGAAGAGGAAAGAGGAAACAGAGAGCCCCCGTCGTCGTCGGTAATTAGGCATCGTGGAAGGAATTTTATGCTCCGCAAGGATGTGGTCATCTTATGGGTTGTCTGGTGCAATCGATTAGTATTCCGTAGTCTAACAGAAAAAAATACCGGGATAGTCATCATGGTACTGCCGCGCAAGCCGCAGATTTTGAATTTTAAGACAGTGATCACTTTCTTGTAGGATGTACACGCATGTGTATCGCGATACGAACATCCGTATATCGTTTCCTAGATTCGACTGCAATATAAACATCCTATAATCGCATTTCCCAACAGGCCATTAGCTTTGCACTCTTCCGTTTCGAGTGAACGTCCAGATATTGAGGGTGAAATTCTGGACGTAGATATCTACTACAATGATTAAAACGGTCATATAGTGTTCGCCCGCTTGCATTGCAGTCGTATTCTTTGCAATAACTTGCCAATAGTCTTCATGTGCACCTCTTCCAGCTAGCCGCACCTCCACTAGCATGGATAGCTGGAGAGGTGCACATAAAGACCCGATAATGACCGATCCCCAGACCGCAACGTCCAACTGAGCGGTCCGCGGAAAAGATGAGGGCAAAATGATTGCCGGTTCCTCCCGATGACGCATCTGTGAATAAATTAGCGTTGTTCCAATGTCCGAGCGACCTCCGAAAGAAAACAGGTCCGAAGTGATCCGAACGCAGGTGCAGGCGCAAACATAGAGCTTTTTTAAAAACTTTCAAGTCAGGGAAGTTGGAGTCGTGTGTCATATGGCGCGGCATCGATCCATACAGTCCGCAATGGATTCTGTCCGATTCGTCAGTCTCGATCTTTTCACAATTGAAATGAGCACAGCAGTCAAACCTCACGTTTCACTTTCATGAATTTCTACGAGATATCGCTCGAGGGGCTTCTTAGAGCGCTTCTAGATTCAATTAGAAGAAATAAGAACGCTAAGAAACGGCTTAAGCATTGAGTGCTCAAAACCCGTCTGAACCAATCTAGGGGAAGCCGGAGCACGGCTGCTGCAGGATGAGTCATTCTCGTGACCTACAAGCTTTCTAAAACAACACCGAATCCGATGGCATGTAAAAACTTTAAAGCTCAATCAACGCATATCAAGTACATATCGAGCGTGAGATTGGCACACATCAAGCGCGCGATCTTACCTTGTTCGTGGTTGGGCATGTTGTTACTGGTGGAGCGATATAGTAACTGTCTCGCTTGTCAATGGACATTGATATTGATTCGTCGAGTCGGAGTATGTGCCAAATAGCGATATTGCGTGCATGAATGGCAGCATCGCGAGGACTACGGCGATTGATAAGAGATAACCACGCTGTGCATAACCTAAAAACACCGCAACAGTCGAGATAACAAATGTGATCCAGTGAGTAGATGACCAGTGGCGGAATTGGAGTCGAAGAATGAAAGAAAGGGAGAAAGAGGGGCGTACAATCTTATTATAGTATCATAACGTGTGAAATAGGATGAGTATGTCGCCGTGCACTCTTGCGCACTATATACCGGAATTAGTGTGGATTTCCACTAGAGATGAGATGGCGTCACTAGAAAGAGTATCGTGGTGTGCTGGCACACAAAGGACTCCGGAGAAACTTCGGGGACGCGCGCTCATTTTGCCAGGTTTGCCTCAGTGAGGCGCCGGGCTATAATTCAAATTGGGCTGGAACGCTGGATAAGCACGGCCTTGGGCTGCTTGAGTCACCGGACTAAAAGCGAGATTAGGACGTGGCTACTTTGCAGCGGTGAACAGTTTCAAGGGTCTGGACTTGCATCGAAGTGGTGGAGAGTTTAAGGGTGTAACACTTTGTAATGGAATGGACGAGTAATTGAGTTGGTGGTTGGCGAGATCCAGTTGATATCCAGCATGATACCGAGATCTTGGAAATGGAGGGTGCGCCAGAGATTAGCGACCAGAAGGTAACACCTGCTGATAAGTGACACACTCATTGATGAAATGGTGTTCGTATCCGCATCAGACGCAAGATGCATCGATGAACCAACGGCTACCAACGGATGTGCCTTTCATTTTGTGCGAACATGGTAGTAGCACTTCAATATGAGGCTGAGGAGATCGAAATTGTAGCCTGGTCCAAGCGACGGCCTAGAACCAAAGGCGAGATAAGTGTTGCGATTATGTAGAACCCTGTAAATGACGATGGGAACAATGGGCGAGATAACCGCTGCAAGACCGAAGGCCGATATCAATGGCAATTCCATTTGAGCAGATCTCTCTGGAGCGTCTATAGTGCTGGAGACAGACTGTAACTCGGAGACGGCCGTGTAAGCCAGGGTCGTCGATCCTGTATACCGGATTAAGAATTAGCAGCCGGCTCATTCTGTGCCGCAAGCAACATTCGGACGAACGATATTTGAAAGCTGTGAGTTTTATTATAAGAATGACTCAAGTCTCGTCTGGCCGACGTTTCCTTTGTCGCTCACAATTGTTAAGAAGGTTCGGTGTCCCATAAAGTTAGGGACTAGGACCAAGTGCCAGGTGAGTTTGACTTGTGCGTCTATCATGATAACTCTCCTCAAATTCCAATCATCCTAACCAGGGTCTCTCCGCCAAGATGGCATTCAGTATAACACGCCCGTCCTCTCCTCAACTCCCTACTTCTACACCCGTAGATGACCATCTTAGCACAGCTCTTCACGCAGCTCTCAGTCGCGTACGTGACGACATGGTCCACCAAGACAGATCACATCACCCACTACCTGACAAGTCTCGCATAGACATAGTTCTAGACTCTGATGTCCTTGCACTAAAAGGCGCAACGGCAGACACAGAACCTGCCTTGCTTTCTGGACATGTAGTCCTCACACTCTCCGAAGCGACATCCATCAAAGAAATAAATCTCCAATTTCGTGGCAAAACCCGCATGCCGCCTCCCCTTCACGAACCGTACGTGCTTTCTTTCATGTTAACCTTCTTCTCTGATTGAAAATTCACTTAGAATTTCCCTTAACCCATCTGGACAGACATACAGCCTTTGCACATATGATTGGTCCTTCCTTGAAGGCGAGAAACGCCACTCTCATACCCTCAAAGCAGGCAAACACCTTTTCCCATTCTCGCTCGCCCTCGGCGGCACACTCCCCTCCTCAATGTACCTCCCCTCCACTACCTCCGCATCATTCATCTCCTATAAACTTCGTGCAACCGCCGTCCGTCCTGGCCTCGCGCACAACCTCCACGCATCACACCCCGTTGCCCTAATACGGAGCTTCGCAGCAGACTCGCTCGAGTATCAACAGACACTTGAAATCGAGAACACATGGCCTGACAAACTCATGTATACTCTCGTCCTCCCTCATCGTGCTTGGGCTGCCGGCGATACTCTCACTGCCCTCTGCAAATTTGTCCCCCTCGCCAAAGGTGTCCGCGTCATCAGCGTCCTCACCAACCTTAACGAGACCGTGAAGATTTCTTCAAGGGGGAGCGAATGCACCAGGGCCGCTGTGACTACAAAACACGAGGTCATCAATGGCAAACTCAAGCTCGTCAGCGAAAGTTGGTATGGCATCAGGCAGCCCCTCGGCCCAGGTGCCACATTGCATCCCCTTGGCGCTACCGGTGTCAGTGTACCTGCATCCCCTGCTCAAGAGGATAGACCGCCAAGTTTAAATCTACCTGATATATCCCTCCATCAAGTCCCCAGTATCCCATCCTCGTCCTCTTCCTATTCCCACTCTCAGCCAACCGCAACCTCCTCCTCTGCCCCTTCACATGATCTCCATCTCTCCCACGACGAACCTCCAGACCCCGCTCCAGACGAATTCACCTTGACAGACCTAATTTCCCCCCTCTCTCTCACCCTCCCACCAACTCTCCCCCCGTCTCATTCCCTCGACCCAATCCACATCTCACACCGAATCCGCTGGTCCATCCTTATGTTAAACCTCGACGGGCATACTTCTGAACTCCGCTGCACCCTTCCCCTAACCATACTCGATGGGCATCTCCTCGCAGAAGCTCGCGCCGGTGGGCGTTGGGTCCGCCGTGTCGTCTTGGGCGATTACGTACAAGGTGAAGGCGAGGGCGCTGGCAGAGGCATTTTCGGAGAAGGAGAAGATAACGAGGAGGAAGGTGAGACGCTCCCCAGTTACACCGCTCACGTCAGGGACCGTGTCGCCAATGCCTTCCTACCCGCTGGATCCACCATGCGCGTCGTCAACCCCTACGTGTCTACAGCACCACACATCTCCCCAACACCAGGAAGTGCCACCAGCGTATCCTTCCCGCTGCGTTCGGGAACAAGTTCGCCACCACACCCACATACGCATGCACATGCACACACACTCCCACACAGCATACTCGATTGGGTCAATTCTGAACTTTTACATCATCCACGATCGCCGCACTCGAATTCTGATCCTACAAGCCAAGTCCAAAGCCGGCTTGTTTCGCGCGCCCCTAGTCCTGAACGGCGTGTGTGGGGAGCAATGGGGCCGCCTGTAGCTATCTCTGCCCCGGATTCACACAGATCTGCCCAGGCTGCAGTACCTGGTTCAGAGACGCACAGACCTCTGGCAGTATCAGACCCTGAAACCTATACCCATTCCCCGCCTGCATCCCGTACGCGAGGCACGTTGCTCACAATCACGATGAAGTCACTTCCTTCTGGGTGGCTTAGTGGGGGCTCGAGGACTGGGAGTCATTCGAATCTTATGGGGATGACAAGCGTCAGTGGGTCGTATGGGGTGTCTGGACATGGGGGCGTATCTGTCCCTGCTGGATCTGGTGGAGGTGGAGGAGCCCATCCCCACTCGCGATCATTCGGGAACTTGGTATCGCCACTTCAACCGCTCGAATACCCGCCAGGATTGGCCTCGAATACGGGAGAACATTCACGTCCGCGCGCTGCATTCAGTGTCGGTGGAAGTGGAGTACATACGCCTTACTTCAGCGGCGCGCATTCTTCGCCGCATAGCCCTCGTACACCTCCTACCGAGATTGCGGAGAGCGCGATTTGGGGGAGGGGGTTTACGGAAGTGAATTCGAGCGGTGGTGGTGGGGCGCGTGAAGAGGAGTTGGATGGGGTCGATGGGGTCGAAACGAGTGTGCGAGGGGTTCAAGACGGGAATCCAAGTGGTGTTCTAGATGGCGAAAACGTTCACGCGAATGCAGCACCCGACTATCGCGTATCATTTCAGGGATGTGTCCCCCCACTGTCGAGTTTAGCGGGTTTGCCGAGTTATGAGGAGGCTGCTGGATCTGGGTCTGGAGTGCGGCAGGAGAGGCAACGGCCTGGTCAACTTGATGGGTTTGGATCTGGGTTACGTTTGAGTTTCGATGGAAGACAGGGGAGTGCGCTGGAGGGGAGACGTTCTCCTCGCGATGGGCGACATCATATCTTGCAAGACGGGTCTCATCATATCTTCCATGATGAGCCACTTTCTATCTTGCATGACGGGCGACATTCTAGCACGCACGACGGTCTCCATTCAAGTCAACACGATAGGCCTCCTAGCCCACATGAAGCGCGGGATGGAATGCGGTTGAGGGTCCCGATTCCTCGGTGGAGGAGGGTGAGCGGTGAGGGGTTGTAACGTTTGTCAATGCTCCTCGCACTCGCGTTGCATTCGGCATCCATTCCTGCCCTATCATTGGGCCCGACCGGTCATCGAGCCGGCATCTTGGCTTAAACTCATACGTCCTCTCATTCGACATCGCATCTTCGTGGACCAAAAGCATTATTAAAGAATGACGAACATCCTCCCCGACCACCTCGTCGTTTTGCATACTTACATAATAGCAATGTTATACATCTTATCTCGCCTCTTGTCCTCAACTCGCATCTCCATTCATTATACATCTCCAATAGACAATAGACTGGGTTATGTGTAGACTTATATTGTATGTATTAGGGTCTCGGGACTTGGTTTCGAGGTTGTAGTGTAATAAGTAACGGGCATATGAGGAATGCATTGCATTTGCTGCTACGACGACGGATTCAGACGAATGCGTTGTGCGCAAGGTGGATACTACTTAATATTAGGAAAGACCAAGTACGAGACGTGCACTGAAAGCTACCGATTCCAAGCACATGTTGGAAGGACGAGGGGTGGGCTACCAGTGTCAGGAGACAAGCCCTTCAAGTGCCTTATCTGAGTAAATCTCATACATCACCTTTAGTCATCCTGCATAAATATATTGTTGTATCTTGTACACAGTCCTCGGCGCTGGGGGTTTGTTTTTGAATCGTAAGTCGTGTGTCAATTAATTCACCACATTCTGGTCTAGACTGTAGTGAGTGATTGACAGACGGTGTGCACGAAGGAGCTTTTCGATGGGACACGGAATTTTGTGCATCCATGCGCGATCGTAAGAGAAGAGGGTAGGGGAAAAGAACCTATCCACTCTCTTGCGAGCCGAATACTAGACCATTATCAAGTAATATGTAAAATATCGAGAGAACAGGACGTTAGATACCTGGAATAGTCGTCCATGCAGAATTACTCCTCTAAACCCTTGTTGCTGATATCATGCAGAGACCAAGAAAAACTTCCAAGCGACGCTCCATGTCCGCGAGGATATGTTTGCGTGAATTCTATAGCAACACTATGATGTAGTTCTGGTTTAAACTAACGATCTGGTAGATTTTAGAGTATCGATTCGATGAGGTATCTGCCGCACACTTTTGACTCGTCTCGTACTTCAACTGGGCGTGATGCTAGTAAGATGTTTAGCCTGGATTTTCCATTTTCCGTCGCGACATCGAGAATAATAACTTTATTCATGGGGAGAACACAGAACTTCCAAGTGAAGTGAGTAAGAACATAGCCAGAGTATCCGATTTGAAACAATGTCAGATTTGTTGAGTTCGGGGCCAATTTGGGGTCGTTGAGACTGGTCTGCACGGTACTGGTGAGTATTATGCCAACTGCGTTGATGAGACAGCGCCACTATCACTTACCTGGGTGAGGACCAAGTAGGACTGCCGGACGTAGAGGATCAGATGGACGATCTGGACCACAACATTGAATTGTTCGCGCTGCAGAATCGGACTCGTGGTATGGATTTTGGCGGAGATCAAATCACTCCAAGCCCGAGCTGATCAAAGGATAAGCACTAGCGAGAGGCGTATTTTCAGCACTCCAAAGCCTGTCACCGCTGATGAAGCTTGGAGGTTGGGTTGCCGTAGTAGCAGCACAGAAAGGGTTGATGATGTTGGGGATGTGTATGTCGCGTTCGGTAGAGATGAGTTAGAATTGAGGATGACGGTAGTCAGGCATTAGAGCAGTGATCATGCATACTCGCTTGAGGTCCGAGGAAGGGTCACAAGCACTACCGAGGCTATTTTTGTCACAATCATACATACTACATTCGACGATCAGAGCAACGCGAAATTCAAATGCTTAGCGCTTGCAACACTGGAACAAATATTGCCTCGAGGCGTTAATGGCCTGTTATTTTATATGAACTCTCACCCTCACTTCAACTGCTATTCACAATGACCAAACGCAAATTGTCGGGGGATCCAACTCAACAAACCCACAAATCTAGCGAAGCAGCAGCTGACAGTCTCCAGGACACATATCTCAAACCCCTCAGGATATTCGACGAAGTTATTGAGAAGATTGCTGATGTATGCAGGCCCTCCTCCCGATCGTAATCGAACTAATCTAGTTCCACAGGTACATCCATATGCAAAGATGGCACTGGGCGTGTTGTCTTTTGCAGCCAAAGTATGTTTTCTCTTTATCTGTTCCTATCTCCCACCGCTTAGCAATCATCTATACAGATTATTCTAGCTCAAGCGGATCGCGACGCAGCGGTACTCAAACTTCTCAAGAAGATATGTGAAGTTTACAGCTTCATGACACAAGACGAGAACCTCAAACAAATTTTGTCGATGCATGCTATCCTTGGAAAGGTTTCTCAGCAGACCCGTGAATGTGCTCGATTTATCACAAATTATTTGGAGACCAAGAAATTTTGTGAGTGTTACAAGCTGTTGCGATCTGTACCGTCTCGAGCCACCATAATCACAGGGAAGAGACTTGGAAAGGACGTCCTCTCGGAAACGGACGATACCATCAAAAAGTACATTGACGTGTTGGAGGGGCTCATGCAAAACTTCCGGGACCAGGTTTCTCGCGACGTGGCTGTACATGTCCACCGTAAGGGTAAGAGTTCGGACATCCTTGTGACTTGATATATATTCATACTCTTTCAGAAGAAATATTGGACCTCAGCGGCATAACTTATGCAGAGGGCGCGGGACTATATACCAGGAAACAATGCCTTGAAGGGACGCGCACGGAAATCCTTTCCCAGATCACGGAATGGGTCAACAGCACTGGGGACAACGTTCCACGTGTGCTGTGGCTATCTGGCCCTGCAGGCAAGGGCAAATCGGCCATCGCCCACACCATTGCTAAGTGGTCCGAGGACGTAGGAGGGCTTGGTTCGTGTTACTGTTTTGACCGCCAGCGAGAAGCAGATCGTCGTCATGAAAAGATCTTTTCCACGATCGCACGCGACCTGGCTGACCGTGATCCGGAGATGAGGCAGGCATTGGCAGATGCAGTTAAGACCGCGAATTCGCTCAAGAAGACGGCGGATATCATTCAGCAGTGGAAGAAGCTTCTTATCGAACCACTGGAGAAGTCATCTGAGTCAACTGGGGAACCCATCGTGATCGTAGTCGATGCACTGGACGAGAGCGGTGGAGTGGAGACACGGAAAGACCTCCTCAGCATCCTAGCTAGCAAACATCAAAACACTGCTGTTCCCAAAATCACAGACCTCCCGGGCAACTTACGCTTCATTGTTACCTCTCGCCCGCTTGATGACATCAATGACGAGTTTCGTGATGTTCAGCATATTCGACAGATGTCGATGGATGATATTCCGCCAGCAGACGCAAAACGTGACATCCATGCTTATGTATCCAAGGAGTTGAAGGGGTTGGATTTTCAAGACAAAGAGTTTGCAGTCCTTGCTGAGGAAGCTCATGGACTTTTCGAGTGGGCGCGTCTCGCTTGCGGATACATCAAAAAGTCACATGTGGGGCTATCTGCAAAGGATTGCTACAAGACCGTGGTGTCACGCGATCCCGCTGAGAGAAACATGTTGTTGCACAGCATGTATCGCCTCATTTTAAAAGATATCATGCACGACGATACATCTCTGCATACGCAGAATCAGTGTTTGACGAGGCTGACGAGATTTTGTTCAGTGATGGGACAAATACTAGGGACAGCCGAACCCCTTCCTTTAGCTTCCCTGAACGCCATGAGGCACCATTTCCCAAAGCGAGAGGACCTTTTTGACGTGGAGCTTGTGGTAAAAAGCATGGGATCCCTCCTCAGCGGCACCACCAACCCAGATTCCCCAATCCGACCCCTTCATGCATCCTTCCGCGATTTCCTGACGGACAAAGCATCCAGTGGAGAGTTTTTCATCGACCTGTCGAAGGCGCAACGCGACCTTGCATTCGCGTCACTTCGAGTGATGGAACGCGGTCTTCGCTTCAATATCTGTGATTTAAAGTCGTCGTATCTTCCTAATAGCGAAGATCCTGGGCTTCAAGGACGAGTCCAAAAATGTATCCCCCAACATCTGTCATATTCCTCTCGATTTTGGATTTCGCACGTACGAACCACATCCTTTGACAAGGAGCTCGCAAAAGAAGTGAAATTGTTCTTCGACAACGAGCGGCTGTTTTTCTGGCTCGAGTCGCTCGCCCTGATCAATGCGCTCAGCAGCGCAGTTCCTGCACTCTCACTCATTCCCCAGTGGCTGAAGGTGAGTGCATTGCTACTGAGTGCCAGAAAAAGCACTCATGTGGAACCACAGGGTCATCCTAAATTCAAAGATGTTTTGTCGACTGCAATGGACGTACAGAGGTTCATTCAAGTCTTCGGCGGCATGATTTTACATAGCACGCCACATCTGTATATATCAGCACTCCCATTCTCGCCTGCCAACTCTCTGTTACCGAGGAAGTTTTCTGCACGGTTTCCGAATACTCTTCGTGTGGCATCTGGACGTGATATAAATTGGCCAGCTGTTCAGACCGTGCTCAGGGGGCACACTTCTTCAGTAACGTCGGTCTCGTTCTCGCCGGACGGCACTCGCATCGTTACTGGTTCGTCCGATAAGACTGTTCGGCTGTGGGATGCAGGGACGGGGGAGCCAGTCGGTGAGCCCTTGCGGGGGCACACTTATTCAGTAACGTCAGTCTCGTTCTCGCCGGACAGCACTCGCATCGTCACTGGTTCTTTGGATACGACTGTTCGGCTGTGGGATACAGGGACGGGGGAGCCAGTCGGTGAGCCCTTGCGGGGGCACACTAATTCAGTAAGGTCGGTCTCATTCTCGCCGGATGGCACTCGCATCGTCACTGGTTCGGAAGATAAGACTGTTCGGCTGTGGGACGCAGGGACGGGGGAGCCAGTCGGTGAGCCCTTGCGGGGGCACACTTCTTTTGTAACGTCGGTCTCGTTCTCGCCGGACGGCACTCGCATCGTCACTGGTTCTTTGGATACGACTGTTCGGTTGTGGGATGCAGGGACGGGGGAGCCAATCGGCGAGCCCTTGCGGGGGCACACTCATTCAGTAAGGTCGGTCTCGTTCTCGCCGGACAGCACTCGCATCGTCACTGGTTCGTCCGATAACACTGTTCGGCTGTGGGATGCAGGGACGAGGGAGCCAATTGGTGAGCCCTTGCGGGGGCACACTAATTCAGTTTGGTCGGTCTCGTTCTCGCCAGATGGCACTCGCATCGTCACTGGTTCGGACGATAAGACTGCTCGGCTGTGGGATGCAGGGACGGGGGAGCCAATTGGTGAGCCCTTGCGGGGGCACACTGATTCAGTTTGGTCAGTCTCGTTCTCGCCGGATGGCACTCGCATCGTCACTGGTTCGTACGATAAGACTGTTCGGCTGTGGGATGCTGGGATGGGGGAGCCAGTCGGTGAGCCCTTGCGGGGGCACACTGATTCAGTAAGGTCGGCCTCGTTCTCGCCGGACGGCACTCGCATCGTCACTGGTTCGTCCGATAAGACTGTTCGGCTGTGGGACGCAGGGACGGGGGAGCCAGTCGGTGAGCCCTTGTGGGGGCACACTGATTCAGTAACGTCGGTCTCGTTCTCACCAGACAGCACTCGCATCGTCACTGGTTCGCACGATAACACTGTTCGGCTGTGGGATGCAGGGATGAGGGAGCCAGTCGGTAAGCCCTTGCGGGGGCACACTTATTCAGTAAGGTCGGTCTCGTTCTCGCCAGATGGCACTCGCATCATCACTGGTTCGGACGACAATACTGTTCGGCTGTGGGATGCAGGGACGGGGGAGCCAATCGGCGAGCCCTTGCGGGGGCACACTTCTTCGGTTTGGTCGGTCTCGTTCTCGCCGGACGGCACTCGCATCGTCACTGGTTCGTACGATAAGACTGTTCGGCTGTGGGATGCAGGGACGGGGAAGCCAATTGGTGAGCCCTTGCGGGGGCACACTTCTTCAGTTTGGTCGGTCTCGTTCTCGCCGGACGGCACTCGCATCGTCACTGGTTCGTCCGATAAGACCGTTCGGCTGTGGGATGCAGGAACGGGGGAGCCAGTCGGTGAGCCCTTGCGGGGGCACACTTTTTGGGTAACGTCGGTCTCATTCTCGCCGGACGGTACTCGCATCGTCACTGGTTCGTCCGATAAGACTGTTCGGTTGTGGGATGCAGGGACGGGGGAGCCAATCGGCGAGCCCTTGCGGGGGCACACTAATTCAGTTTGGTCGGTCTCGTTCTCGCCGGACGGCACCCGCATCGTCACTGGTTCGGACGATAAGACTATTCGGCTGTGGGATGCGGTGATGAGCCAGCCGTCGCAATATTGCGCTGTGTCAGATCCTTCAACCTTATCAAATGAACATCGCGTCATGCATCCCATCGAGTCCACTACTCCCATGACATCGAATACTTGGAACAATCATTTCATTTGCTTCTCGCCTAACTCCATCCATGCATTGCGCAACCCTTCCGAATTAACGGATAGAACATCCCATAATGACCACAGTTCGAACCCCTTTGTCCTGAATGTTAACAGTGGATGGGTGGCAGGACCCAAACATCAACTCTTGTTCTGGGTACCACCTGCTTCTCGGCACCCGTTCTATAACCCTGTGACTACATTAGTGATACCAAGAGGATGTCCCGAGCTTGATTTGAGCCGCATGGCACATGGACAGCATTGGCAAAAGTGCCGAGAGGAGTGAGTTTCTTCAAAGCCCTTTCTGTTACTCGTACTTACTAAAATCAATATTTGCAGACCATAGTACCAACGATGCTGCAGCAATGGAAATTTCACATAGAATTAGACGTGAATGAGTGTACAGTGGATCATACTTCGTGTTCTATTCCATACCCAGGCAATTTAGGATTGCCCATGTGAACGACGCGAGCTGACGGTATGGCACTCATGAGGTTAGAGCTGGTTTGTGAGGGCACATAACGACGGACAAGGCATGGCGATCCCATCAAGAATGCGGTTGCGAGTGCGCCGCACGACCGCGCGTAGTATGATGTCATCATCGCTTATCAAGTCCGCTGTCAATTGTATCTTCAGCACTCTTCTCGACTGATCATGTACATGACCATGTGATGTGGGCAACTTCCGTGGTCAATTGATCTGTGATGTACTAGCCCATATGGGGTCTAGGTGGCGCAGAACTGAAGTTAAAAACCAGGATAGGTTTGAAGAATCTAATGATGGTGTCGCTCTAAGCCGATCTCAGATTATCCCAATTTTCAGTATGGCGACTGACCCGTTTCCCCAACGCTTACCCACACTGGATCGGCTGGGGGTCACTGATCCTTCCAATGTCTCCTCGTCTCAGATAGCCACCGAGTGGCTCAACGCTTTCTCAGCTGCAATAACTCAAAGTGATACCGCAGCTGTCACCGATCTCTTTCTCGAGGATGGCTTCTGGAAGGACGTGGTCGCACTGACTTGGGATTTCAGGACATTCGAAGGAAGGGAGGACATCAAGAAACTCTTGGATGCTCGTCTCGCTGCTACGGGTCTTCACGAACTGTGTCTCTTACAGGAGCCATTGAATGAACCTGTGCTGCAAAAAGTTTTTCCTGATTTTGTTTGGCTGCGGTTTTGCTTTGGCTTTACCACCAAGCATGGCAAGGGGACTGCGGTCGTTTATCTCGTTCCCCTTCCAGATTCAAAGTGGAAGGCCTACAATCTATTAACCTGCCTTGATTCATTGACCGATTTCCCTCAAAAGGTGTGCATTCACCTTCCTTTCTGAGCACTTCCTGACTCTGTGCAAGCTCGGTCCCCTCAGAAACAGAGAGGCCGATCATGGCGGTTGGGAAGAGAAGCGGCGCCAAGAGACCGAGTTCTCGAATAATGACCCAACAGTGATTGTCATCGGTGCAGGGCACAGTGGCCTTGAGACTGCCGCACACTTAAAGTACATTGGTGTACCCACGCTTGTCATCGATAAGAAGCCTCGGGTTGGGGATAGCGTTCGTCCTGTTACAATTTTGGTGTTCAACTAAGGCTAAAGGCTCAGGGGCGGTTTCATAGTGGAGAGACCGTTATAAGGCTCTTTGTCTGCATGACACGATCTGTTCGTGGCTTTTCTTCTACGGAGAGGGATTGACTGACAAACTTACAGGGTACAACCAAACACCATACCTGAAGTAGGTGATTCATCAAAACTTCTTTGATTCTTTTGTGATGCGTTTTGCAGCTTTCCACCAACATGGCCACTCTACACCCCAGCTGCAAAAGTACAATATTATTCACATAATGAACGTTTACTGATTCTAGTTATTACAGTTGGCCAACTGGTTGGAAGGATATGCAAGTTTCCTCGAGCTCGACGTTTGGACTGCCTCAACGATTACTAAGACGTCTTGGAACGATAGCACGAAAACCTGGACTGTCGAGGTCAATCGCGGCGGTAAAGGTACTAGGGTTCTAACCGTTAAGCACCTCGTTTTCGCCACGGGATCCGGCGGTCGCCCGTATGTCCCCGACATTCCCGGGAAGGTATGTGACGATCAATGGCTCCACTGATCGAAATGTAAACCCATGATCGCAGGCGAGCTTCAAAGGGTCTGCCGTGCACTCGTCAGAGTTCAAATCCGCGGCTAATCATGTCGGTAAAAAAGCAATCGTAGTCGGTTGTTGCAATTCTGGTTGGTCTATCACATCTTTCGTATCGAACAAGGTCTAAATATTTCATCAGCGCACGACATTGCTCAAGATTTCTGCAGTCACGGCGTCGACATCACGATGTACGTCCTTTGGTGGTGTCATTTTCATATCTCATCGATTACTAGGTATCAGCGATCGTCGACGTTCGTGATCTCGGCGGAGTCGGTAGCAGCAATGCTAGGCGGTAATTGTTCTCGCGATTTTTGGTAGCTTGGTTTGACTTTCCTTACCCAGCTGTCTATAAGGAGGACTTCCCCACCGAGCTGGCTGATATTTATAATACCTCGCTACCTTGGGCAGTTGTTAGGCGGCTGCATCAACGTGTAGTTCCTATGGTTGCTGGGACCGCAGACAAGTATGTCGGACGATTCGAATGCTCACTTCCAGATGTATTGATCATAATCCTAGGGCAATCCTAGATGGATTGGCCAAGGTTGGCTTTAAGACCAATCTTGGCATACATGGAGCAGGTATCATGTCCCTTTACCTAGAGCGCGGTGGTGGCTACTACATTGGTGCGTGTGCCTCTGATGCACGACGAAGATGTCTCTCAACATCTTCCAGATACCGGAGCGAGTAAATCTATCATCGATGGGGATATCAAAATCAAGAACGGTTCCGCCATCGAGTCCTTCACGGAAAACGGCCTTCGACTTGCTGATGGCACCGAGCTGCAGGCAGATATCATAGTGTTTGCTACTGGGTATGGTAATATTTTACTCTGTCGGGCAGGACTCATACTTGCCTACAGTTATGGCGATCCCCGTGACTTCATGCGCGAGGTCTGTGGAGATGAAGTCGCATCAAAAATCACCAGGGTCTGGGGTCTAGATGAAGAAGGGCAATCTGCGGGAGTGTGGAGGTACTGCGGGCATGATGGTCTGTGGTTCGCAAATGGTATGCGCACCATTGTCGTTATGAGCGCGTCGGTTTCATCTTCTTCGTGAACAGGTAATTTGGCTCTATCGCGTTTCCACAGTCTCCATTTGGCTTTGCGTGAGTTCCTTCCTTGTGGTATATAGAGCGTTTCTGATGGTCATAAATGTAGAAATCAAAGCGATAGAAGAAGGTATTTTGAACAAGGCGGATGTGATTATTTGATGATGTCCCGAGGATATACTCACGATCGGGGCTGGAAGACCTGTAAAATGTACTTGTACTTATACTTATTGTGTGAAAGGTTGTATGTCCAATGAGTTCAAGGGAAATCTCACTGTAGCCCTCTTATTAAAAAAACGAGATTTTTATTGACTCAGTACGGACTAGAGTACGTATCACCAATGTGTTTGTTGTCACCAGTGGCGCCTGGGACGGTGGCAAAAATGTGCAGAATGACAACGTACTGGCACAATACTGGTGAGTCAGAAATCTTCGACAAAGCCGAGATCACGGCGAAACAGGAGATCGTGGGGAGCTGTGTTCCCTGGACTCTGCTGAGCCTTTTAAGTTGGAACCTACATCGACAAAAGAAATATACCACGTACTACCAGGCCATAACAGCCAGTACAAGGTATACAATTGCTACATTGCCTACGAACAACTGACACTGGACAGACTTGTGAGCTACGATACGAATCTGTGCATGTGATTAGTTTTTGTGTAAGCCTTGTATACCATTGTGACTACCCCGGCAATCCCGGGCTGTCGAGCTCAGAAGATTGAACATGTTGTGACAGTGAGTGGTGCTTGCGAGTCTGCTTCCGCGTGAGTACAGCGATTGATCGCAGATTTTGTGCAGCTGGTCGATAGCATGCTTACTTCTGTACAAAGTTTCCTGCTGCCTCGACCGGACTCTTGGATAACATCAAAAAACCTCCGCTAACAAAAGAAGAAAAATATATATCAGTGGTAGACCTTGTCTTTGCAAAGTTCGATTAATGTCCAGATGTTCTGATATCTCCAAACTTTGTTTGATATTTTCCCTGTCTTATTGGTTACTTGTCCTCTTGGCGCGTCTCACATTACAAAAGCCCCAGTAGTGTTGTAGACCTGGCGTTCTTGCAAAGCTATTACCTGGTGACACCGTATGAAATGTCTCTCCAAGTCGCCAACTCAAGTATTAATACTGCCGCCTGCACCCGGCTGACAGCCAGGAGAACGGCGAGTAAAAGGCGAGGAGATGGTTGTTATCGAGATTTGGAGACATGAAGTTTGCATGCGTGTCACAGGGGGTTATTGCTCTTTATATGGCGACCGTGTTTGTAAAAGTTGGCCCGAGGCCAACCCGAGGCTCAATGAGTATCCGAGATCTCGAATTGCATTCGCCACGAGCGGAATACTGAATCAGATACAGCCCATAGTGTTTGGAGTGGGTTGAAAATCAGGAGAGGAAGGACGATTACGGGGAAAATGTACAGTTTGTAGCATATAAGACACGTTGTGCGTGGTGAAAAGTCCATCTAGATCAAGGTTATTTGTCGAGTCGGTGGAATGTAACTAGTACGGCGGGACTGATTGTGTCCGGGGCAGGTGGCATCATCGAATTCTCCTCTTTGATATTTGTTTAAGCCCGATCCTAGACAAGATGTGCGGGAATGTGGGGGTCGCTAACAGTAACCTCCTGCAAGTGCAATGTGTTATCAGAAACGAACGTACGACATGATGAGCACATGCGACAAATGTCTTAACGCCATCCCAGACGTCTCAGCAGACTATGCTCGAAACATTGTCATTACCGATATCTTCCCCCAAGTAGCCTCCATACACCCCCGCAAGCACACAAGCGCGATGATGAAAGTTGAAACACATAAACGCAGGCGTGGTAGAAGAGCAGCTGCCACATGGAATGACTCTGACAAATACAAAGACAAGGACGGAAAGAAATGGGGTTTGGGGCGCAAGGGGGAAGGAGGATGGCGTAAAGGGCGCGGGGAAGGAAGAGGAGCTCGGCATGCACAGACTTTTACCTTGTGGTGTTCCTGGAATTCATTGTGTCCGAGTCTATCATGCGCCATCTTGGTGGAGGGGATGCCCAAAACTGAGATGACATCCAAGCCCTTGTAGCAGCGCTACGAGCTCATGTTGCATCTACATTCGAAACTACGCGCAACACAAAAATCTACCAAAAAGGTACGCGCACTTATTACGTAAGACGTAACAGACAGACTTGTTTGTCTTCATTTGTCCCACTATACTTTGCTCACTGTCTCGGGAAATTCATTGGTGTAGCAATTATGCAGGACGGCAGAGCACCAAGGTTTGCCCCATTAGCTTTTCGTATTATACAGAGACTGACTGGCTACGACTTCCAGAATCAGGAATCGGGCGCCTGCCGCTATCCAGGTTTGTTTCATTGACATATGTGTCTGCATTTGTTGACCCTCCATATTTACATCCATAGATCACTGCAGAGCAACTTCTGCGAGAGGCGCGTTGTTCAAATTCCCCACCTTGCAGTATTTAGAATTTTATGTCCTTTAGGCTCAAGAGCGTCAAGAATCCACCTTCCGCGCTCCCAAACAACGTGTTGAGGATTTTGAAGAACTCCACGAGTACCGCGGCCGCAAGCGCAAGGAGTTTGAAGAACGAGTCAGAAGGACAAGAGGTAGCATGTGAGTGTGGCATTCGGCCTTGGTGGTGCTCCCGCTGAATATTGTATCAGCAAAGAATGGACTCAGTATGCAAACTGGGAGGTACGTGGTTTCAAATCTTTGGTTGATATCACAGTCTGATACACTTTGTATCAGGCCAGCCAAAATGAGTTTGACCGATCTCGTTCTATCTTTGAACGCGCTTTGGACGTGGACCCTCGAAGCGTTCAGCTATGGCTCAGTTATACTGAAATGGAGCTCAAGTCCCGAAATGTCCAACACGCACGCAATCTATTCGATCGCGCTGTGACTCTATTGCCTCGAGTAGACCAGCTCTGGTACAAGTACGTTTACTTGGAGGAGCTTCTGCAAAATGTCCCTGGTGCCCGACAAGTCTTTGAGCGGTGGATGCAATGGGAACCAGATGACAAAGCTTGGCAAGCATACATAAAAATGGAGGAGCGGTATGACGAATCGGACAGGGCCAGTGTTATATATGAGCGATGGATAGCTGTCAGGCCGGATCCGAGAGTGTGGGTGAAGTGGGCAAAGTTTGAAGAAGAGCGAGGGAAGTTGGACAAGGCAAGAGAGGTATTCCAAACCGCTCTCCAGTTCTTTGGGGACGAGGAAGAGCAGGTAGAAAAAGCTCAAGCAGTTTTCAATGCTTTTGCTAAGATGGAAACTCGGTTGAAAGAGTACGAGCGTGCTCGAGTGATATACAAGGTACGTCGTCACGCGCATACTCTGCTAGGGCCGTTTCACAGTCTAAATAATAGTTCGCACTATCACGCCTTCCGCGATCAAAATCAGCGAATTTGTACGCAGCTTATACCAAATTCGAGAAGCAGCACGGCACACGGTCCATTGTAGAATCTACTGTGCTTGGTAAGCGAAGAATCCAATATGAAGACGAAGTTTCACAAGACGGACGAAATTACGACATCTGGTTTGACTACGTTCGGTTGGAAGAAGGTGCCCTACGAACTTTGCGAGAAGAAGGGGGCACCAAGGAAGAGGAGGATGCAGCCATGGAGCGCGTGCGAGACGTTTACGAGCGCGCTGTTGCACATGTACCTCCCGGACAGGAAAAGCGTCATTGGAGACGGTATATCTTCCTTTGGCTTGAGTATGCTCTGTTCGAGGAGATCGAAACCAAGGTATTTTCATTTCCGTATACATCACTTTTTCACTCTGACATTATTCTACAGGATTATGACCGTGCACGCCAAGTATATCGTACCGTTCTGAACCTTGTGCCGCACAAGCAGTTTACTTTCGCAAAACTGTGGATCATGGCTGCAAAGTTTGAAATTAGACAGTTGGATTTAATGGCAGCGCGCAAAATGCTCGGGACCGCCATTGGCATGTGTCCGAAGGAGTCTTTACTCAAGGGTTATATTCAACTCGAGATGGATGTACGTTCTTCACTTTCTCGGCTTTACGATATATTAATATCATGTTTAGCTGCGAGAATTTGACCGCGTGCGGACATTGTACGAAAAGTATCTTGAGGTATGTCGTGAAGGTCCCTTTCTTTCCTCGGCGGTGGTGAAACACCTCCTGCAGTACGATCCTACCAACTCAGCGGCGTGGATCAAATACGCTGAACTCGAGACGGCTCTTGAGGACTTCACCCGTGCAGAGGCGATCTTTGAACTTGGAGTGTCTCAAGCATCGCTATCGATGCCCGAAATCCTTTGGAAGGCATATATCGACTTCGAAGTCGATGAGCAGGGTGATCGGGAGAAGACGAGATCACTCTACGAGCGCCTGGTGGTTCTCAGCGGACACCACAAGGTGTGGATATCCTATGCCGAGTTCGAAGGGTCAAGTATTCCATTGCCCAGGGCTATGCGAGAAGAAGAGGAGGACGAGGATTCCGAACCTCGTGTTGTCGCTGGTGATCACGAACTAGCACGACAAGTCTTTGAACGTGGTTACAAAGACTTGAAGGTCAAAGGCCTAAAAGCCGAGGTTTGAGCAGCATTTTTATGATTGAGTTGGAGCTGAACCGCTTTCATCACAGAGGGCTGCTTTACTTGAGTCATGGAAAGCGTTCGAACAGGAACATGGCAGCGAGAGCGATATAGCCAAGGTGGAAGGCATGATGCCTATCATTGGTAGGAAGCAACACGTCGACAAAGAGACAGGCCAAGTAGTGGAAGGTCAGCGATCTACCCCGTATATAGCACAGCTTCCTGATTACTCTGATACAGATTGGGAACTTGTATTCGCCGATGACGAACGAGAAGCCAACCCAAGATCTTTCAAGTTCTTGCAGATGGCTCATGCCTGGAAACATTCTCAGGCCAAGAAATCTGGGGGGACTGGCATTCTTTCCGGTTTCACTCCTGCGACGGCGAGTGCGCCTGAATCCACTCAGAATGATGATGTACGAATGGAAGACCGTAGGGAGCAGGACGATTCACATAGCGATGTCGCTAGCTCTGATGGCGAATGATAGTTGAGCAGGTACCTGCTGGAACTTTATGTATTCTTTAATTTCTGAATGCATTTGCTTGTTGAGACTCTAGCTTGTAAGCTTGTGGACACGGCACGGTGGAGGTAAACAATGGTGCGTATGCTTTGACACTTGCCTTCGCGGAGTTCAAAGTGGAGGGGTTCCCGTCTTCGTGTTAGATATCTCTCTTGGAAAATTCAGGTGAGTGGCGCAACATGCTGTCTGTGCACAAAAGTAATTGACAAAAGGATAAGACGGTTAAACCCCGTATTTCAAAACACCGTCTTATGTGGGTCCACCAACCCACGAGGAGCTGGGCATATGTACAGATATGGCATTGCACTGCCAAAGCGTGCCCAGCACAATAGCCCCAATCTGGTATATCAGCGGTGAAAAAATAATCCGAAAATGCCCTCCAGAGGCAACCAATACGAATCTTGTTGTCGTGGGTCCAAGGAAAATTCTTTGACTGACACGCGCAAGTTGGGCATCCTATACTCTGTTATCGAAATAACGTGGTCAGCTAGACGGAGTTAACTTGTGACAGCAGTGCTCATTGACTCGAGGCTGCGCATAGACGATCGGATAGATGGCGCTTCTTCCATCCCACGATGTCCTTTTGCACACGCGTCTGCCTGATAATTTTGTCCCTCGAGCAATTGAGGAATGTTTGCGCATTGTGGCACACACTTCCGGGGAAAGATATTGCTGTAGTCGCGATTTTTATTGGACAGTGCTTGACTGTTGATCCCCGTGAATGGCCCACTCCTCCGGAACTCTATGGCTTAAAGGTGTATGAGAATGTGGCGGCGTTCGATACCTTGCAAGACTTCTGGGGCCTCGTTGCTGGTGGCTTCCTCGCCCAGCTCTTGCCTCTTTTTTTTTGGAGATCTATGATCATGGGCACTGGGTAACACTTAACAGGTCAGAATAATCTTTGAATCGCGCGCAATATCCGAATATATGGCATTGCAACGGACCTCCTCCCAACCTCATCCAGCCTCCCGGATATTACTATCGGCTCAAGACATATCTCTCGATCATTCAATGTAAAACGCTGTTTTGGTTGAGTCGAGTAAAACATAAAAATAAATTATTGTGACTCATGTGTATTACAGATGCTAGCGAGAGAATTGTCCAAGATACACCACTATTTTTCGGAAACATTATGCTCCAAGACATTGTTCGACGGCCTCCTTACACACCACATCAATCCTCCACGCGCTCTCCTAAGAATCTCAGTCATACAAATTACCATGCAGTGTAGCCCATATATGATGAACTGGAGGCTGATCAGGCCGCCAGCGATAAAACACATGACCAACACAGCAGTGGGCCAAGCAGACCATGCAACTGAAAGCAAAAAGGCCATTAAGGCGCATGCTGACACAAACATGCATACAGCAGGAAGACGCGACGATATGCAAAAGAACAGATATTTGCCGTATACGTCACGAGCAAATTTCTAAGCGGCTTTGAGCATTGTATCCCGATATGCGTAACCGAGAATTACCTGAAATTTTTTGGCGTTTGCTCCACTGTACACCAAGAGGAACCAACCATCGATTGCAATACCGATGCCTGAAGCAACACTCCCCAGAGCTATTGAGCTTCGGGCGAAAGTGTTGACGGAGAATAACGAGCTGGACGAAAAGCCGAACACAGCCGCGTCAAGCCTAGGAAAGCAGATCAAAAATGCGGAAATCATCTTTTATGATGCACATACCCGGCAAGAGCGACCAGCTACAGATAATCCAGGCTAGATGAGAGCAAGTGGAACAATAATGACATCACGCACCGATGCACCGACAAAATACCATTCGGATGTGAGTTTTTCCAAGATACGCTCGTACTCAGAGTCATTGCGAGCCTCTCGAAGTTCAGCATAAGACGAGAAAGAGTCGACAAGGGCATCAATAAATGTCAACGAATTGTCCACAGATATCTGCTCTGTGTAACTGGGTAGAAGGGAAGGCGCAAGGGGAACAACATCGACCATAGTACTCGAGTCGGCATTGTCTGTAAATGCATAGCTGTCATAGCTGTCGTTAATGCGTTTGACGTGCTCGTCGAGTGGACGGTCATCATCTATGTCCGAGGTATATCCTCGACGGATGCGTATGCCGGATAATTCAGGTAGGACTGGAGGAGTTATAGCGCGACTAGAACAAGAAAAGTTACTTGTCCTATCTGATCCTGATTCAAACCTCGGTGAAGAGCGCCCAAGTGCTGAGATTACAGTTGTCAGCCATTAAACACCACTGATAAGACCGCTCTTACACTTAATGTCATCGTCATACTGGTCATCTGACGTTAATGAATCTTGTAACACGTAAAGTCTCGCCTGAGTCTCAGGAACTTGAAGCATAGCAACAAGGGAAACTGAAACTGTTCTTCCTCGAGCCAACCTATGCACAGAGGGTTGAACCACAGGCCTCAACGGTATTTTGAAAGCTGGAATACGTCAAGCACAGCATAATGGCAATTCAAAACACTTACGATTTGCAGTATCCCTTAACTTAGATAGAGCCTGGAGCGACAAGGAAGTCTTTGCAACTAGATACCGCTTCTTGCGTTTCTTCTTGCTCGGCGCCTGGTAATACACATCGATGTCCACTCGGGAATGGCCGTCTGCACCTCGCCTGGTCAAATGTATCAGTGAGCGGAAGGAAACTGTAATAGTAAAAAGATGACAAACATTATAAAACGTTCCCTGAGGTTCGGGTTTTGTCCGTCACATCCTAGGTTCACTTCATAATGCTGGTGCTGGTCTACCACCACAGAAACAATTGGTCTCCAAGACTTTTCAGGACGCAAAGGCTGATACCCTTGGGCACGAATAACTGTGATTGCATACATAGTAAGTCGAGCAAGTTTTCCGAACTGTTTATAGGTGGTGTATACGTGCCGGTGATTATCCAAGGTCTTAGTTCGAAGTAACGTGTTGCTAGTGAGTAACTTCGACTCTTCTATTAATATTCAACCGATATGCGCACCGCGACTCTGATTCGCACATTGCATGTACAACCTGGGAAAGTGACTGGTGGTCGGATGAAAGTGTGAGATAAGGATGAGTGGCAGTGCTAAACGCTTTGACTTAACTTGCGCTTTCTAAACAAAATATTTTTCAAAATAATAATAATAAGTCGTGTGATAGCCAGCGCCTTACTATATAAAGGCTTCCCAGAACTGCCTGGTCGAACTGTTGAAGACGTGGGTGATCATTCTTCTTGTATAATCATGATGCGGGTCGGAAAATACATGCACCAAGCCAAGCACCTGGTCCATATTTTCAGCCTGCGTACGACCATCTTGCTTCGTGGGTCAATCAGACACCTTGCTGAGGACCCGAGACCCTTGTGAGTTGTGGGACAAATCGGAAATACAATACATACTATATCAGATTTGCAAAAATGGAAGATGGGGATCAACTCCATCAATCAATTATGATACGGTCAGACAATGCGGGTCCTTGCAGGCGCCCTCGAACAAGGCCTCATCGATACAACCATGACATGATGGCTATGTAGCCTTGTGATCGCACTGAAGGCATGAAGTACTGCACCGCTCGTTAGGGGTCTTGAGCGCGACCCCCCATGTTCAACTCCGCGAGTTACGCGTCATGGTATGTATTTCAAATAAGTATTTGTCCCAAACTATTAGTTCTACTCCGCAAGGGCGGTAAACTCTGTAAACCCAGCATGATGCATGATGCGTGAGCATTAATATTGATGGTATACGCAACGGCGGAGGACCTTAACTGCGAACCTGCAGCTCATGACACGGTTCAATAGGCTCGAAAAGGCGGCATAATATTAGTGTATATAATTGTATGTTGACTTTGTTGAGCATTGCAAAATATTTGTGGGCGCATGTTTTTCCCACTGACTTGACTCGTACCAGAATCACGACAGATCCCGATCTTCAGCCTTCTTGTTCTGTCCATGATTTATTGTTCTCGATGTCGCGAGGGGAACTCGAGGCCGAACGCTAGCCTTACTGGTGTTTTGTGTCAGGCCTCGTAGGGGTAGAAATACCAGACGAATTAGAAGTATGTGTTAGATCCCCATCAACATACTCCACAGATTCATCACATCACTAGATTCTATCAGAGCTGCATCATGGTTTCCTTTTGGAAGAACTTTTATCCTTCGCGCGAGCAGGTCCTCGCCGATATAGAGAGCGTCCTGGAAGCTATTCTTACACTCTGCACTGCCAACTTGGACTCGCTAACCCAGGAGGAGCGATCATCTTTCATGGATGAATACTCCAGGTACCGTGCATGCATCATGTCGTATTATATACTACATTTTAATGGCTGCTAGTCTTGCAGATGCCCGTGTTCAGTTGAACAAGGGCAAACCTAATAGCACACTGACCAGGGCACTCGACGAGTGTGAGAAGTTGAAATTGAGGATAGAGGTTCGTTTTTTCTAATTTCTGAGCAAAAACTATTTTAATAGCAGTTTACAGAGAGCATGCAGTAAACACCAAGAAGACAAAATAAGAAGAGGGACAGTATCTCCAGTTGCTATAGGTAGGCGCTATTTACGGTTGCTGTCACTCAAAACTGAGTGCCACAAATCAGCCACCCCTGAATCTCGCAATTCATCTATTGCATTCATTGATCCCGACCCATCCTATAGGACCCCATCATCGGAAGTTTCCATCCCAGCTCAATCCAATCTTGCAGTCTCTTCCGGTACTCCTGTAGTCCGCGAAACAACCTCGAGCACTTCCGCAGGTACGTGCACCACATTTTGACCTTCATGCTAAATAATGACACCATAAAAATTAGTATCCATAGGGGGAAGTCTACATGCACCGCCTACCGACACAGACTGCATGATATTCGGCCCAGACTCGTCTGTTGGGTCACCCACATTCAACATTGACTCCCAGGAGGCAACTGGTGCAAGTAAGCTACATGTTTTTGGGGGCGCTAATCCGGAATACTGATCTGTCCTTTAGCTGTTATATTACCTGGCGACAGTCCATCTCTCGGGCTCCCAGCACAGAGACTGCCGCCCGCAGGCGCTCGCCAGTCGCAGACAGCTCACACCGTGAAGCGTGAGCGCGTCATGTATTTCGCCCCTGGCACGGTAACGGGTAGCCCGACCTTCAACATCCGGTCTCTGCGTGCTTCTGGCACCAGTAAGTTCACTCCTGATTGCAATTGCCTGTTATGAGCTCGGCATTGACCGAATTTATTCAGTCGAACAAGTCGTTTCTCAACGCTCAGAAATGTTGACTGAATGATTCAGTTGAATAAGTTGTTTTTAATACTCACAAGCCTTGCGCTTGGCAATGTGAGCATGGAGAGTATTATACGAATATATATAGTGCTGTGCATGTATTAGCGACCCGTGTTGTACATGTAGATTAGTCTGCAGTCAGACCATAATAGGATGAAGAGAAATTGTTCCTTGTACCTAGTAGCGGATCTATGAGGTATCGCATTTTTAGGAGTACAAAGTACATCAAGCGACATACATAGCCAAAAAAAAGCTGGTTTAAGATTATGAATGCGTATGACTAAAGTTACGTAGTGAGTAGAGGCATAGCAGGGAGATATGGCGATAAAAATCGGAGACAGCGAAGCTAATGAAAGGCATCGTGAAAAGGCCGCCCAACAATCCATTCCTCCTTCACAACTGCCCTGGAGCGTAATTTCCATGCGCTAAATGCTTGATATATTGTTGCGCAGGATCATTCTGCAACATTTCCGAAGTCAGAGGTTCCATAAAACCCAGGCCGCGATAAGCTTATCATTCGTCATAACAGTACCGCCGGGAGTGAATGGTCCTTCAAGTAATTGTTGTTGCGGAGCAACGCCCAGATACCACACGTCAGTCGGAAATGGGTTACAAGGTTCATCAGACAACCGAAACTCTGGGACGCTCCTGTATCACCCTCCCGAAATCGGAAATTCTAGGGGAGCACTCTCCGAAGGTTGATGGTGTTGAGATATTCCGAAGTCGATAAAAAGGCATCGCGGATAGCAATCCGTACGTGAACGATGTTTCACCCGATCCTTCATGTCCAAATGTCTAGAAGGTAGGCATGGATGATACGCCAGTGGATGTGGGTACACCGAAGTTCTTGGGATCCATCATGAATATGTTCAAATCCATGCGGTCACTAGAAAAACACGAATCGACAGCGAGGTAAGAAGATAATTGCATACCGATGGGCTATGTGGTGCTTATGCATGAAAATATTGCAAGTTCTATATGTTGGAAACTAATAATCCACATCACGGACAACTTGACAGGTGAATAAGTACTGATTGTAATGGTGCCAGGGCAAGCAGCCCGCCGGAATGTCCCGGCACCAGGTGTCCAGCTGAGCAGCTGCGCCGGTTCTTTCCTTCGTTCGATTTTCACTCACCTATACTGTCGAGTTCGTCGTATTCCGCACCTCCTCACTCGCCCCTTTGAATTTATCAGGACCCATCCACCTCTCCCATTATATTCGTTTAATGATCGATTAGCGCACTATAGTTATTTGAATTTTTTCCCCTTCGGGCAGTCGTAGTATTAGCAGAGTCCTTCGTTACGTGTTGCGTCGAATAGCTGCTTATTAAGTCATTGGCATGTTCGAATTTTGTGAGCAGGTTTCCCGCCCTCCCGAGCGACTCCACCTGCTCGCGTACCACCCCGAGCTGACGCTCAGCCCAGCCCAACCTATTAGAACATGTCAACGACACTAGAGCTAGACGAAGCTGGATTAACAGTTACTGGTTACATAAGATGTCCTACACAACCGATCCATCATTCAAATAGTTGTAAACATGCCATGAGTCCGATTTGTGTCCACTTCTACTCCGCGATGGCTGTAAACCCAGTGTGTCGAATTTTGACAATTGAATACAGGCCCTATGATGAGGGCTCGCGACTCATAATAATGGGTTTATATATTATATTTGAAAGTTTCAAACACATGCGCTTAGCAGTCCACGTTGTAACCCTGTAACGTGTGGGGGCAAATTTTTAATTTATGGGCATGTGACGACACCTTCCCGGAACCGCCTGCATCGCCGTGAGTCCTTCAACCTTCTTCCAGCGGCTGTGTTATTGTTCAATGCTCTTCAATCGTCGCGAGGGAAACTCAAGGCCAAACAATCTTCTAGCTGGCGTTCCTGGCGAGGCTTGAGTTGTATACTGAGTCCTTTGGCTACCGATTCTAGCATAAATACGCTATGCTAAATGATACCAACGGCCCCGCATGGTTCGGTTCAGCATGTTTCGGTCACTTCTTAGGTTCCCCACCAAGTCCCGTGGCCATGAAGACGCAGAGAAGGAACTCGTTGAAGTCATGGACCTTTTCTCCGAATACCCATTACACCTGGCAGAGGCTGACAAGACTGAGTTCACGAATGAACATGACAGGCATGTCCTTTATGTCGAGTTATTTTTCTTTATCGCTGATATCATCTACAGACTTCAGCATGAAATTCGGTTGTATAAAACCGGAGAACCTACAGCAGAACGGAGAAATGTAGATATAATATTGGGTGACTGCAGAGCCCTCAAATGCAAAGTTAAGGTTACGACCCTGCTTCTCTTTCTTTGCAGATCTGTGCTGATATTAAATTGTAGAAGACGATTGATGATCGTAGGGTAGCTTATGTGAGAGGAGAAGTTTCAGTACTCGCAGGTGTAGGTGGACCTGGAGGCCACCAGAAGTCGAACCCACCACCTGCCAGAGATGCATCAGAGACAAAATCTAGCCACCCAGATCAACCACCGAACGTCAAGACCGTAGCGTCGCTTCCTACAACATCAGCAGCTACGTTGCCCACTGATAAGACTCGTTTCAAACCTCAGTCAGGTGTCCCTTCGGTTAACCCTCGTTCTGGCCTCCCTCAAAGTGAGCGACCTTGCGATCCAAAAGTTAAATTCTGAAACATTTTTAATCAGGCCAACATATTCCTATACACGCTAACTTGAAGCAGACAATTTCCCAAGTAACGTCAGGAATCTCGTGTGAAGTGGACTCGATGGTCATGGTGGGCACCACTGCGAAGTGTCCCACTCTGAATATCGACTCCCCAGGTTGCACCGGTGCTAGTACGATTTTTGATCATTGCTTTTTGACGGCATTGACAACATCAACCACAGAAATCCTCTCGCACGGGCCCCAGGTTGCTCAGCAGGTACCTCAGCAGATACCTCAGCCCGCTCGCCCTCGCCGAGCTGTTGGTAGGCGTGCACAACACCAACCTCGTAACTTCATGCAAGGAAACTATTCGAGCAATAGTTCTATGATACTCTGCGGTTCCAATGTGACGGGCGCTACGTTGAATATCAACGCCACGAACTCCTCTGGAGCTGGTAAGTACTTTTTGTCTAACCAAATTTCAAATCAGCTGAAAAATACGTTGCATAAACGGCAGTGTTTCATCATGATAACCATCCCAAGATAGTTCGATAGAGAAGAAGGATGGAGATGATCAATCCTTAGTATGGGGAGCACCAACGACCTGGTCCGGATGCATCATATGTTCAACCGTTATTATCCAGATAGTTATCTCAGCCTTAATTCGGGCAATGACAATGTTGGAATCTTCACAGTTGGCCTTTGTTGTCGCAGAAAATTGATGGCTCGTTCTGTATTGTAAAATTGCTCGATGATTCCGGCCCGTATGCCATAAATCGATGTAATTTAGCGTCAAAAAAGTCTTATCGTGAATGCGGCCGTAGACTTTCGGAAGTCCACCTTTAGCCAACCATTGGTAAAAAAAAAACCGACGCTGGTAATCGCACAATAGTCAAAATTACGTGCTTTGATGTACTAGAACTGGAAGGTGTGTTATATACCCGTACAAATCAAGCGTCACGAAAGGATAAGATTGCCCCCCGTTCCCATGTGATGGCATCGACCATCCGTGACATCGTGTTGTCAATCTCATTGTTCTCCTTGATAGCATGATGGGGAGAGTTCTTGTGCGAAGGGACATCCCCAACTGCACTGGTAAATTTGATATCGGTGTTTCTGGTGTAATATTCTCAACCTGTCTTCTGTGCGTTGATCACCAAGATGGATCAACGAGTATTAATAACGCCATTTGCAAGGGCTTGTGCCGGTGGATCAGAGAGCGGACGATCAGTGCTACTGCACTCACCCATCACGCGAGGCAGCACCATCGATATGGGAACAGGTGTGGGCTGTCTGAGTGGGTTATAAATAAAGTTTAAAACAAGTAATTACTGTCAGAACCCTTGTACACCGCTTTGATGTATTACTTACAATATATGGATCTCAATTGACCACAAGACGGGACCTATTTTCTTGTAAAATGGAGTTGTCCGACGCGTCGAGCACCTCGGACACCTTTTCATGCTGGCCAACAGGGACAATCACAGCATGTTGAACTCATTGTCGAGTTCTTTTTGGATGATTTCAGTCAATTTCTGGTTACATAGACATTTCTTGGACCAAATCCAACGTGACCCCCCTAGGTATGACATTGAAAACTCCGTGAGTCGCACTGGCCACGATCGCTGTTACATATTCGGAAATCGTGCTCAAAAAATCAATCTCAGCTCTTTCTCCGCGCTGGGGGTAGGGCAACTAGAGGCATGCATTCTCAGTATCTACTGGAGAAACGAGAAGAGGGTACATCGTAGGCGAATGTCATTCCCGAAGGCGAGGTACTGCTGGCGCACGTTTGACAATGAAACCTATTCGTCGACTCCAATGGGTAACACCACGATAAAGATTCTCAAGGGGACCTTCGTCCCGGGATATAATACGAGAGCGTAGTTTCCAAGTGCTAAGTTGCTGTCGAATGGATTCAAATCGCTCAACTACCACCTCCATTGTAGGTCTTTCGTGTGGATCATCGTTAACCATATCGTCAACGAGTGGTTTCAAGAACTCGAATCCCTTTTTCGTCTTGATTACAGTCATAAGCAATAAACGGAGGGTGACTGGGCAAGTATTTACTTACGTTCAGGAACTGTTCTCTGACGACATTGCCAAGATAGTAGACGTCAGTGGGGAAGGGGTTCATCGGGACATCCACATTATTCCGGAATTCCGGCACTGATTTGTCGCCCCCAAATATTGGATACTCTAGTGGGTTTTCTTCACTGGCATCATATCGGCGCGATAAGCCAAAGTCGATAAAGTAATATTTTGGTGGATGCTGAGTGCGAGTATAATAGCCCACATGGCCACTGAAATCGCGCTTCATGTAGGGTATTACGGGATGGTATGGTTCTGTATGGAGGTCTTTGGCATCCATCATAATGTTCATCCACATGCAGTCACTGTCCTCGAGTAAGTTAAATATCTGTGACCCGAAAGTCATGGATAACCCACCGGTGCGCAATATGATTGTTGTGCATAAACCACAGACCCTATATTGAATCGCTAAGGTAGCATGCAAGCTCAAAAGTAGTTGCACGTACTTCAAAAAGTTGCCTAAGGCATTCCACCACTTCGCCGAAGGTATCGAATCGAATCTTGGTGAATGGAAGCAATAATGGCATCACGATAATTTGTATGTCGCTCTCGTCTGGAACTGACAGGACATCGAGAAACGGAACACAGTAGTTCTTGGGATTGGATGAAAGTTCTTCCGACATGAAATATTGCCCAATCTCTACTTCGTGAGGATGCCTTGATTTCTTCACCATTTTGAGAGACACATACGAGCCGTCAGGCACGCGAGTTGCATCCATGACTTGGCCAAACTATGGAGCTGTCAGTCAGTCAGCTGCAGTCCAAACTTTGTCGCCTTACGCGTAAAACACGACCATCTTCACAATCCAACGCATGACGTTTGGAACCCTCCCAGGATGGGACCCAGTCCGGAGCGTACCGAGGACGCAGTAGGTATCCTTGAACTTTCAGCCAGTCATACTGCCGGCGCCACCAAGTCTCACGGACAGACAAAGCTCCGGGTCTTGGTTCGCGTTCTTCCCCAAAAACCGCGATTTCCTTTTGGGCTCTACGTCTCTCAAGTGCTGCTGCTTCCTCAGCCTTGGTCTTTGCGGTACGTTTGCCCTTTGAGGAGGTCGTGATTTCGTTCATGCGCAGAAGTTTAGGCGAGTATTCAAAGGAATGATCCAAGTTGCAGCTAGTTGCAGACTGGTCGCGTAAACAAACGCACACATGAACTAATATACATGGATCCATATTGCTAAATTAATCGCGCAAAGTAGTAACGTTTTGCGGAAAAACAAGATGCCAACGACCCCCAGAAACCATATACTACTCTATAGCATTAATAAGTAATATTTTGTTGGCAACTTGACAACAACTGTGCTCTTACTCACAAACTTACCCTTGCAACAGCCATGATTCCCTTCGGAATATATAATGCTACACTGATACTAGATGGTTGCTTCAAATCAATATCTCACTGCAACCCATGGCCGAACAACCAAAACGTCGAACCCTCCTTTTTCCTATCGATCTTGGTTCACCCGCTCAATATGACCAATCTGTGTTTCCTCTAAGTAAAGTGCAGGGGAAAGACACCATCAGTGAAGTGAACTTATACCTCGAGGCCACACTAGATGAGATCTTCAAGATAAGCCAAATGGCAGGGAACGCGGAAGACTTTCAAGAGCTCATTTATGACGCGAAGACACAGTACGATGAGTGTGTCCGTACATATATTTATTCATGCCGTCTTACTGACTAGTATTTGAAGGCTCATAGCAGGCAAAAAGAAAATAGAACAACAGCGGAAATCTTGGAATCCTGTCAAAAAGTTCTCCGCATATCGTTCAGTTCGGTTGCTTTTGGAAACAGGGAAGGCTTTATTCACGGAAACAAGGGTATGATAGTTTCTTGATATTTACCACTGACTCAAGATATATCACTCTAGACTGTATCCGAGATGGCGAGGAGACAGTTGCTCTCACAGGCTGTCAACACAGAGGATGTACAGCCAGTGGAGTGTATGTTCAATTCCTGTTTGCATTTTGAACACTCTAGGACTTACACCTCATATAGACAATGATCTGCCATCCAATGCTCGTATTGGCGGGGTCGCCATTCCACTGGACTCGGAATTTCAACCAAATGAAAGCACGGCTTCATTTTTTTCCGAAGCAGCCAGCTACATTACCTCCCAAGTAGACCTACTTGGCGAGGGTAATCCGTTCGCGGATGAACATCGAGTGGAAGATTGTAGGAACAACGCTGTATCTATCAGCTGCATACTCACGTGGATGATCAGCTCAAGCTAATGCAGAACACGAATGCAGTTCAACTACTGGCACGGTGACTAACGATGGGGGAGCTGCAACATCTGGCAACAACTATTTTATTTTCCAAAATAGCTATGCTGCCTCGAGGTCTGCCACTCAAGCACTGGCCCTGGATAGCGGCGGGTCACATAATCAAGGAGCATGTTCGTTCTTTGTTTTTATTGTGCTGGGAGGTTATCTAATCACGTACTGCAGCAGCCACTCGTTGACGTTATTAATCTATTGTTGAGTAGCCTATGTGTATACCTAATGACGTCCGGATTTGCGATCGAAACATGAACTCACGATGATGCTGACTTGTAATAGCTTCCCGGGAGTCGGGAACAAGTGCCACATGTTTCACAACCTTTGAGAAGTGCCTTCATCATGGTTTCAAATATCAGTCGATCCAAGTGTTCCAATGTGAATCACTATTCCGATAACAAATCGATATCTTGCGCATTTGGAGCAAGGAATATTTAATAACTGAACAGTGCACAAACGGTCATGCTAACTTACTTACTCAGTCCAGCTACCAGCTTTCATGCTCCGCGACATATCAGAACTTCTCCGCGCCGAGCCAGGTTTAGGTCATGCAAAAGGAAGGAGCACATTCAAATAGGATGCCAGGTTGCTAATGTTATGCGCGATATAGTCGATATTCTGTCAATAAATGACTGGAAAATCTACATAGGTAATCGCCACTCTGATGTGGATAGGACTTGGCATTTGTTCCGAAACACCTTGGATAGACTAGTATAAGAAGCACAGTGGGGGACAAGACCTAGTAGTCTAAATACGTGCCGAAATTCGAGGATTTAGATGGGTAAGATACAACCAAATTTTCTGCATGTGCTAGTGATCGAGTTTCAAGGCAAACCGTTTAATAAAAGCTGAGATGACACTACGCTTATCAAGAGTGACAAGTCATACAGTCATAGTTGACCGGGGGATCGTACGCGCCGGGAAGTTTCTTCCAAGAGGCTACCCGAGAACATATCCAAGGTCGAGGTTTATAGCCTCGCACACTGGCAGCAGTCACCATATTTATGGCGGAGCTGTTGTGTGAGATCTGAGCAAAAGATCACGCAGACGACTACATTCCTGTCTCAAGGGCTTCAATTACATGTGCTTCTGTGGAGAACTTACGTTGACGAAGTTAATAGGCAGTGTCAATTATGATCTATTGTGAGCATGAGAACTGCTGGATGACCTCAACTGTGACTTGGTAGGCAGCGGTAGTGATCTGGGGTTGTTGATCATTGTGATAAGAAGATGGCGGGCTTTTCCTAGCTTGCGCAAGGACTTGGCAGTCACTGAACAACGCCATATCGGGCAGCCACGAGTAGCATCGGACGTCATAATTGTCAGTTAGTTTAGATCCGTATGTCACACCATAGCACGGATATAGACACAGGGAAATTTACCCTTTACACATTACTGATCTAGTGCGATCCAAACGTGAGGATGTAAGATCTATCCCCGGGGGTTGGGCAGAGCGTTTCGCATTGGCATCCCATCATTGCAAGGAGAGGATATGCATCCTTGAGAATCATGAATACAGCAGTCTACTAGCCATCTCAAATCCAAGGAACGTCGCCCCATTCGCAAATGGTGAACTAATGAGCAATGAGTTTGTGAAACATTTCTGAGATATCAGATACGTACCGAATCAAAGTGGGCCCCAGACCACGTGTAAATGCGCCAATTCCCTCAGTTCTCCAAACTTTCCGCACACAATCCCGTGCCGAAGCATATTTTTGCCCAGTAGAAGGAGTAAATCCATCAGTCTGCATTCTAGATTTGATCATGTCTATAGGGTATATCACCGCCCAAAGCTGTCGCAGAATTAACTCAATGCACACGCGAACATGCACTGGGCAGAGGGGATAGGACTTACAGCGTAGCCAGCTGCCGCCCCGTACAAAACGGAGTTCATAGGGTTAATCTGGTCCCGTCGTATGCCCTTCTGGGTCATTTCGCGTTGTACAAGCTTTTCGTATGCCAAGAAGTAGACGCCGTAGCCTGTCGCTTCACGTAGAAAAGTGACAGCTTGTCCTTTAAACAGTCCGGGAATACCGTGTTGTGAGACAATTTGTCTCATTGCGTTAAATGGACCTTTGTATATTGGGTTCGTGTTTGACTGCGTCTGCAGACCTAAAGAAGAGGTTAAAAGCCAGATACCAGTCGTACACGTAACACAGGGGACTCACGAATGCGAATGTGTTCCACTGGACCAGAAACTACACCATTAGCAAGCCCTGCCCCTACTCCAGCAATGACCAGCTGCCCCCCACTAAGCATCTTTCCTTCTTCTCCTCCTTCACCCCTAGCTAGATTTTGAGCCATAAATATCCGTTTTGCATACTCGAGTACTCCAAATTGTATTGATACGCAGACACCAATTCCCAGCAATGGTGTTAACGTGCCCTAACAGAATGTGAGAAAGAACAACATAGAGTGATAAGAACATTACCTTATAGAATGCCAGAGGCCCTTCATTTTTCAAGATACCGCCAGCGCAATGCAGCATGCCACTGTAAGTGCCCTTTGCCGAAGTTTGCATGCGCTGAGGGAGAGTCATAATGGGTATGGAGGTATCCTTGCTCGTATTTTATAGCCACTCTCACCACTTTCACGATGTCGAAGGGTTGTCCAACAAGGACCTAGTACGCGAGTTGAGTCAATACGTAGCACTGAGCCTATTTCATACACACCTGAGCTATTCCTCCAGCCGTTCCAGCCGCAAGGTCCTTGATCGTGTTCGACATTTGCCACTGGCTATTCCTGAGGGAAAATTAACCTCAAGTGCGAGTTTGAAATGTTGGAACCTTGAGATAACCAGCTGGCAGGCAGTGACAGTTGTACAAATCGCGGAGTTTGACACAAAAGAGTAATTGCCGACTACTAGCGCGGACGTAACCTAACTTACTAGCCAGCTCATTGCCACGAATATGATACGTTGAGATACAACATAACAAGTGTGATACTTGGTTCCACCAGGTCAATAAGATGGATGGTTGGCTACGTTGGTGATGAATCGATGAAGTTCAGTATATAACTACTTACTCCGGTCTGCACCCGATCATAATCAAGACTATACTTATAACCTTCTATTAAGGATCTCATCCCAGTACCCAGTACTCAGTACTCATGACTGAACCTAGATCCAACGAAACTGACACGACAGCGAACTCGACTATTAAGCATATTGGAGATGAGGAGGTAGATGAATGGGTTGAAGAGGATGAAAATTATGATGACGATGACTACGATGACGGAGAAGAGGAAGCGGAGGAAATTGCGCGTCGGTTGAAAGAACAACTATGGGCAGATATTAGCAAGGCACAGGCAGACCGCGTAAACATCACTACGACGGCGTCAACTCCTAGTGCACCACTACATGATGGTGTCCCATGTGCGGTTCCTTCTCCAGTCCCAATCACACAACCGCCTCCCAATCATCTACATCGTCCAAGAAGGAAGAGGCCGCCTTGAAGACAATGGGGAACGTGCTGAACATTGCAGGAAAGGATCCTCTGGTTCACTCAACTCTAGCGTCTGCAGTCGTTCCTGGTGCAGGCAATAGCGTTCTGGATATACTCAGTCACACAGTTGCTGCTGGAACAATTTCCAAAGACCTCGCAAAATCACTCAGTATGACCCTTGTATCTTTGGCTCGCTCCGACACTCTTTTTGCCGCAATGCGTCATTCCAATGCGCCCGCACTACAGCTAGACAAAGGCAAGAGGAAACGCGACGAGACCGAAGAAGAACGGCAGAGGAACGAACCGCGAGCTTTCAAACGGCCAACTTTTGCATATGGTTATTTACAGAGCCAGATAACAGACGCAGTTCGCGCAGTTTCAGAAACTCTAGCCTCCCATCCACCTTCCAAGGGCCCGCCAGATCCGTCGATCATATCCTCAATTCAGCTACAATTACACCAAATATTTCTTTTTGCGGTCACCTCTTCTGCGAGAGGAGGACCTGAGACAAACGCCTTGCAGGAGATCAGTGGACTCATTCAGGTGGTTGGAGTCCTGAGTGGTAGTCCCATTGGTCCCACCGCTGTCCCACCGCATGCCCATATTCAACCCCCTGACGTATCGATGTATCCTCCCCGCCCATGGATACCGCCGGGAACTGGCCCTCACCCTGTCCCTTTCAGTGACATTGGTACCGCAGTATACCCTTGCCTAGTGCCAGGTTGCCGCAAGATTTTCGCGCGATTGTTTAACCTGCGAGCGCACCAACAAGTGCACGCAGTGCACAGGCCATATCGTTGTGCTGCATGTCCTGCCTCTTTTGCCCGAAATCACGACCTGAGACGCCATGCCAAACTACACGACAAGACGGGGTACCAGTGTGCTGGCTGCTACAAGTTGTTCTCGCGGCGTGATGCAATAAAGAGGCACAAAAACAGCAGCGCAGCTCGTGGTGGCAAAGGGGAAGCATGTGTCAACGCTGCGATCAAAGAAGTCGAACTGGACAAGGAGGGTGGGGACGATGCAGTGCGGGAAGGTCGACGAACACGGATGTGGGCTGATATTGCGACGCATTCCGTAGCGTCTACAGCAAGTTACGGAACGTTTGGTGATGATTGGGGCCCAGAGGAAGGGGAAATGGATGGCGACATCATCGGCCATGCACAAGAGGCTGTGCTTAGTCTCCACAAGACGTTGCAAGCACATGTGTCCAGCGCGCTAGGAACAACAGCGGATCACAATATTCCCCCCACGCAGGTTGATCCGGCTGGAGGCCAAGCGACCTTGGCTAGCGTCATCGCTAGGGCCCAGTTGCAAAATATGCCGTCTTCGCAAACTCAACAAGAAAATTCAGCGGTGAACGCTGCCAATCCTAGCATAGCCAATTCCCAGCCTCTCCCTCTGGACGACGGATGTTACGCTCCGAGTAATGATTATCCTGCTCCAGTCGCGGACAGTGCAACTATTTCTACACCGCCGCTGTCACTGTATGGTCTTTCGGAGGAGCAAGCGCGACTTTTAGAGCAGGCAATTGCTAATGCTGCATCTGCAGCTCAAGCACAGGCAGAAGCAGAGGCTGCGTTGGAAGAACAGGAAGAGGACTATGACGAGGATTATGACGAGCTGGACAATGGTGACAATGACACGGAGAAAAGATCAACTGTTGGGGCCGAAGTCCCTTCAACGTTGGGACCATAATCTTGTCTAGGTATTGCGAGTGTGCCAAGTATGTATCAATCTCTGATAATTAGAACTATAGCTTTCTGCCACCTCTCAGGCATGTCCTGCAGCCTTCAGCCCATCTGTAATGCATCTATCTAATCGTACAATTGTTGATATCGTCCAAAGTAATGAATACATGTACATGGAATGCGAAGAACTTGAATAGCGATAGCAACGTGAGTAACGAACTGAATTCATGGAGGTCATCGCTTACTGGTCATGCCATCATCAAGATACGGACCCTACATCTTTCCCCGTGGGTTAGGTGATCTGGGTATTGTGTAGAGTTCCTTGCGTTTTGCCTCTGCTTGCCGCCAAAATTCTTGGCTTTGTGGAGACTCGCGTCGCCACGCCTCTGCAATGACTTGAGCAGGCGATAAGTTTGCGTGATATATTGACCCTGTATTCCGATCTTGTTTTGGGCGGGGGTCGGACGTCATCGCATTCTAGAGTTCAGAAAACATACGAGTTCAGGATTCCGAAATACAAGAGAAACCGATGTAGCAAAATTGGCGTACGGCAGCTCAAGGTTCAAACAGTGGGACATGGGCAGGAACCGGGTGATTGGACTTTTATACAAGGTTTGGTTACTGGACCAAATCTTATTTCTTTCCGTCTGCGGGAGCGCGTCGATTCTCGAGGCAGACCAGGGCAAAGTCACCATTGTTGTTCGCCATATATGGAAGGATCAAAGCGGGCGGATAGATTACCGGACGGTATATCTAGGCCTTCTGCGATGAGCGCAAGACTTCGCGTAGTAGCCGAAAAAGGGTAACGAATAAACGAATTGCCATATAAGGAAGTTTCAAGGCGGACGGCGCACGTAACTTTCATGGAATGAGCGCTGTGTTAGAACGCCTCGTGCAAATTGCATCAAGACATGTCATAGATGTGCATTGTCTGAAGTTCACAGGGAGATGTCCGTGACAGAATGACTTGCCTCATGTCCAATATGAGCTTTCAATTGCATTGGAGGAGAGTGAGTCAGAGGATCAGCCAGACCCACGAGTGTGGCAAACGCGGCATAGCGGCGGTGAATAGCCTGGGTGTCAGGGACATATTGCCCAGCCAAGTTGCCAACAAGGCACTGTTCTTCGTTCTGATCACCAAGCTTTGACCGGTTAATAGGCACGGGAAGCACGGAGAAGAAGCACTCTACTTCGAAATCACCTCAAATCTGGTGGTAAGAAGTGACTCACATGCATTGTAACCCAAGTATGGGAAGATCAATGTACATTGTACGACCTCATCTTCGGAACATATGCGTGAGCTGTGTAGAAAGAAGATATGATTGGCGAGTACCTGCAACTCTTCCAGTAGACACAATGGACGTGTCCACACGCTCCCAGTGGAATCCGAATAGAACCTACAGTAAGGTTCGATATGATTGCCATCATGACATGGGCAGCGATTTAGCACTAGCTTAGTTCCGGGGAATGGAGGTGATGAAATGCGGGGTAAAATTGACGTTAGGGCCAGAACACAACAAGGTATTATAATATTTATGGAGAGTCTGTCGTTTGGTCCGAGTTGCGGCACTATAGTGTGTGTCCTTGAGCCTTGAACTTGAGGCACTGGACCGTGTTAACTAATAATGACACCACGCGTGACCCGCTTGCTGCGGCCTGCGGCCTCATCATACTTCAAGTTGTACACTTTTCGATCGTTTGTCTGCAATCATATCCTTCCGACCACCGCACATCATCAAGATGGCCGAAGCGTCAGTGTAATGATTTACATACGTGACACATCGTTCTGATCGGATGGATTTTGTCTCCCAGATTTACGAATTTCCTTGCGGGATCACCTCTCAACCGTCTATCATGGCTGAGAACATCTCATTCATTCCTCAATGCAGTCGTCGTTTCACCTGCTACGAGGTGGATCTTATTTAGTGGGGGCCAGCCACTTATCGCTTCTCATCCTGGTACTACACAGAAACGAAGTCTGGCGTTGTTGACCACCGAGGACGTTAAACCCTTGCTCGGTGCAGAGCCATTCTTTGGTCAAGGCGAGCAGGAAGGGGAACATTGCACATCTGATATACCCGTTCTTGAGGCTGCCCGAGTCCGTGGTCCATCAATAGTATTCCTTGGCTTGAAAGAGACGGAAACTTCAGGAAGTGCTCTCCCATCTTCCGAATTCAAAGATCCCCATTCTGCTGTTGCGAAACTCACTGGAACCCCTTACTTTTCCGCGGATGTTGCAGATCTCGATGAGAACAAGGTTAATGAAGCCATAGAGAACACCGGGCTTGCAAAGGATGGATCGACACTGGCTTTTATGGAGCCACGTGCGGCGATGTCAAGCCTTGATGCATATACCGCAGCGATATTTGCGGAGGCTCGGAGTATGGTAGATTGGAACCAAAGAAACAAGGTACGTGCCAGTATTTACAGAACAGAAGCCTTATACGGAAACAGTGATGATCCAGTTCTGTCCTGCTTGCGGTTCACCCGTATATTCCTTGTGGGCTGGATGGAAGCTGAGCTGTACGTCTCTACTTCCCTGGGCCGATAACACGGATAGGAAACCTTGTCCCTCTGGGTTCGTTCCAACACTGCGTCGGAAACAATTACTCATATGACATGAAGGCGAGGGCTGCATAACTTTGCTCATCCTCGGACGGATCCCGTTGTAATTATGCTCGCCATTGATGAATCAGGAGAGAAAGTCCTTCTCGGGAGAAATGTTCGCATGCTGGTCTTCAATATAAGCTGTTTTTCCTAACGCTCCATGCAACAGAAAAAATTTCCTGGCAAATTCTACTCCGCGCTTGCTGGCTTCATCGAGCCAGGCGAGTCCTTCGAGGACGCCGTCAAGCGGGAGATGTGGGAGGAAGCTGGAGTGAAGGTCTGGAACGTCCGATATCACTCTGGACAGCCTTGGGTACGTTGACTCTGCGCGGCAAAACTCCCACCTATCAACCTCGATATTTTAGCCATATCCAGCCAACTTGATGGTTGGCTACTATGCGACCGCTGATTCTTCTGCGCCAATCCGTACAGATTTGGATAACGAACTTGAAGGTCAGTCGTCTGCCGCCTGAATCGTTGATGTTGTGGTTTAACTCAGGGATGTGCCGTAGATGCTCGATGGTACACCAGAGAAGAAATTCTTGCTGTCTTGAGACATGCTAGTGGAACTCACTTCTCCCGTCGTGACCACCAGAAGCTCGGGGAGATCCAAGATGGTCCCGATAACAACCCCATGTCTCAAGATCAGTCTGTAGAAGTTAATAACAATGACGAGCCGCCCTTCAGGATACCCGCGCCAACCGCAATCGCAGGGGTTCTCATTCAGCATTGGGCAGAAGGAAAGGCAAAGGTACTATTAGAGAGCGGGTCTACAGCAAAGGCATGCATGTGAATAAGTAGATTCTGTAGAAGCATGTCATATAAATAGATGCGGTATGATTCAATCTATTCATTTTAGTAGACAGTGTGAGACTTCGCGCCACAAAGGTTACTAGGGTGTCATCGGAGAACGTTGAAGGAGATCAGAGTAATTGATATTTACGATACGAGTTTCGAATAGTGATTCGGAACTAACTAGAGAATAAGTCTAGTATGGACTAACTAATCAAACTGTAACGTGGCTGTAACCGTGTAACGAAAGATAAAGGCGTCGCGGCTAAGGATGCAACGGCGGCCGCACGGTGAACAAAGGGAAGTCCTTTCGGACAGCTAATAAGTACCAAGTGCTGATAGACTGGCAAAGAGCGTGATCGCGATAAAGAGTGTAACGTACATAGTCACGTCTATATAAACGAATGTGATTCGGCACGGTGGTTCCAGACCTTAATTAAAAAGTGAAGAGATGAATCTAAGCGCACTTAAAAGCATCGATAATAGAGTCAAGGAGCATATCATTGTAATCACCACCCGCTTCCCACATCGAGAAACCGCGCAGCTTGGTGTCTTTGATATACTTGCCCTTGGCAGCGAACGATTGGACGTTGTCGAAGGAGATCATAACTTGCGAGGTCCTATTGTACACATACGGCTGTAAAAGCAATGAAATGAGCACTCCTCCTTCAGGATGGAATATTATATTACCGTTTGACTGCAGGTGTCATATCTGTAATGGATGCCATCAGCAGGCTTGCCTTCTTTGGTGAGGAAACCGTTGTCAATGAGGCCCCAGAAGTTGAAAGTGCCACCTGAGCCCTCGTAAACGCCACATACATCAACAGAACCGGTGTTATCCCATGCATCACCCAAGGGCTGATTGGAGGCGTTGAAGGTGGGGTATGCAGCTAGCGTCTTTGTGTCGGACACGAAAGCGTCACAGGGAGGGACGCTGAATGAGTGACCGTAGGAAGCAACACCGAGTACGATCTTGTCGACTGGCATCCCTGCAGTCCGTCCAAGTCTTGACTGCAGAAACAGCAGAGCCCTGTTGGTTCGCGGGTGCGGCGCAGGTGTCGTTCAATGGTGCGTTAGGCCCCACAGTTGAGAACCAAGAGCCCCAAACGTCGTAGTTCATCACGGCGACGTAATCGAGGGACCTTCGCGAACCCAGGTGACGTCAGTTAAAGGACTTCCTGTAGCATTAAAGAAGGGTGCCAAGTCCTACGGCGGCCGAGAGGGTGAGCTTTGCCGCCACTGGGTTTTGGCGAAGCTCCTGGAGGAATGCGAGGAAATTTGCCGTATCGTGCACGCTAATGGTGTTGCAACCGATTCCCTGATCGTTCGGGGACTCCCAGCTGTTGGAAATCAAGGACAACTAGAGTCAGCGCGTGATGTCGGATTCACAGGAATCAACCTACTCGAATTGGATGCCATCAAGCTTGTACTGTAAAGCAAAATCTACTACAGTCTTGACAAATGCCGTCCGGTTTTTGGCAGTAGGCAAGGTTAGAAGAGAACCACACGCCCCCACTCCAGCCTCCGACAGCAATATGGGCCTCAACACCCTGCGCGTGGGTTAGATATCAAGTGTAGGAGCAGCAAATTCTTATTTACTCACATGTGCATGGGCCTCAGAGACAAACTGAGGGAGCATCTCGCCATCAGAGCCTGACAGGCTCAGACTATTGACACTTTGAGTGGTTTCTCTAAGAGAAATAAACATGATTGCGTTAATCAAAGCTATCTGCATTTATGCCAATACAGGTAACTTACGCAAATGAGTAGTACAACGTGTTGTACTTATCCCAGCTGACTGAAGAGAGCGGGAATCCTCCAGTCGCATGCCATCCGGCATACCAGGTTGCTATGACGGGTGTGGTGGAACGGGCGGCAATGGAATGGGCGGCAAGCGGGCTGGCGGTTATATTAGTCAGGGCAAGAAGCGGTAAAAGGAATGCGGGTAGCATGACGAGAGAACTCGATAGCCTGAGAGAGCCTGATCAAGAGAGATTGTAATTGCGGAGACAAGTTCTTATAGCTTTTCCGCGATCTTCTCGTTTGGAACTAAATTAATAGGGATCCACGTGGTTGCAGACTGGCAGTCGGACTGCCCCATAGATGATCTTGCTGTACGAGTGACTCGGACTCTGGTACTATGGAAGCGGTCACTTGCCGGTGATCGCAGACCAAGGCCGCATCTGATGATCTGCCAGGATGCGGAAAAAGGCAACTTCATAGAACAATGATAGTGCATTCATGACCATATCAGATTAGTCCGAATATCATAACATTGCCTGCAAGACCCCGTCACCATCTCTCAGTATACACTCCCCTTCGAAAAGTACACGGTCAGACATCCCGTTGTCTTTGATGTACTGAACGCAAGCAACGTCAGTTGCTCCTGGCTGGCACCAGACAGCAGGAATCGAAAGCTCCTCGACTTGCTTGAGCAGATCGATAGTTATCTTGTCAAACACATATTCAGTAGCGAAGCTGCGAACGTGGCAATATACTACTAACCTTAGCGGGCGTTATGATACTCAATGACGTCTCGGTTGGGTTCGGAAGGTCAGTTAAAGACCGTATGGTTTTTATGCCTTCCAACTCGTCATTCGACGGGTGGACCGGAGTTACTGGCTTGTTCCGCTGGATATACCATTGCAGAACCTATAGACGGTATTGACATGCTTATGACAAATCTTGAAGCAAGGAGTAGTACCTTCGTGCCGAACTTTGACTGGTCTGTAGAGGCACCGACGACGGCGTAGTGCGGAAATGACAAAAAGAGCTTTTGCTTTCGAATGGTGTTTGTCATGGTGGAGAGAAACCTGAGATGCATATCACAGCCACTGTGTGAGACTTGTGTCTTCCACAGCTGCTTGACAAGGAAACAATCCATTTATAGCTGTTGTGACGCCGTGATGCATGTAGATCTTGGCTTTCATTTCGTGCTTATGCTTGGAATTGAAAATTCACAGTATAATAAAGAAGGAATGGTTGTCTTCCTTATATTCGATACCTAGGAGAGACTAATTCACGTGGCAGGATGTGGCAAATATATCAACAGCCTGGAACAGCACTGATCCCTACTGCTCCCTGCAAAGACAATCAAATTAGAGGGGATACGTGTAGAGATAGATATTTTACCAACCATCCAGTTCGCAACGGAAACAGGTTCCCGGCGAGAGGAAATTCCGAAGGTCGTGCGCACCATAGTGCTGGCGGCATTTCGTTGGACTGTGTCACGGGAATAATCCACCGTTGTTAATAGTAATAGTTACCAAAGACGCGGAACAGACACAAAGACCGGATGATACACGATGTGGGCGATATCTTTTGAGCGAAGCAATCCATACTATCAAAGCACAACGGAGGGTTGGCGAGGAAGGGTGCAAGGTACATAATACGCTTCTGGTTTGTATTTCTGTCGGATGAGCTTGAGCAAGGCAGACACGGGGCAGGGAGGTTCGCGTACATGTGTCATGCGTTGTGAGCAGAGAAAAGAACATCCTCCTGATCTGTCACTGAACCAGGTTATTCTTCCCGTTGAAAGTCATCAAGTCAGTGGTATTTCGCAGGACCCCAACAACTTGCGACGAATTGCCATAGACCACCTCGTGCTTACTTGAATGATCAGATCGATCAAGCTCGATAGGTGACAGTGCACATGCACATGATATTTGTGGTCAAAGTTTCAAGCGCGGTAGTGAGCGAGCCGTGGGAGTGTCGCGCACGGGCCAGGTCGAAAATATATATAAACCTTGCACCCGACACATTGAATCCTTAGAACATACTCAGCTAGGATCTATTTTATAGAAACTAACTCGAGTCTCGCATGTTTACACATGCCACATCCTTCAAATCCACTCGATGACAACCGCGCTCTCTCGTTCGACGGAGAACATGGCCTTCGCGTTTACGTGGGGTTTCGAGGACGTTTGGTTCTGTCCTTCGCGCGACTGCTTGCAGTTTAGTGAATAGGAGCCAGCGAGTAGAGCGTCTGTCTGATGGATCTCTATTTGTATCATACTAGTTTTTTGTAACCGTGCAATGTAATTTTATTTGACCTTTTGAAAATCTGTGATAGCAGAGCCATTACTTGGAAGTTTTGGTGGAGGTGTCCCAGGTCACAGATCTCGCACTGAGTAAGTGGCTTGTTATGATTGTTCTTGAAGTAGTGCATGCCACGCAAATACCAGGTGTTGGAGTCTTGTGGTCAACTATAAGTCTGAGCATGTACTTCAAAGACCTTGTTCAGTTCATGCCATGAAACTTTTTGAGTTGGCTTTGCCTTCTTGGTATTCCAACGCGGTTGTTCGTCATATCACGTTCGGCATCCTCATCGGGTTTACTTTGTCTGTAACGTCGACGTCCATATCATCATATCGGCGTGCTCGACGACGTCAAAGCCTCTTTTCGGAGCAACACGAGTTTCGGCCAATTGTGTTGAGAAGCGATGAAGTTGTATGTGGGGTCACTGGGTTGATAGGTATGTGACCTGGTCGTTTGAGCGTTCTTCAAGGGCATCGAAGTCTGAACGTCCAGGAAATACGCCTTTGGTGAGGATTGACTCATTGAGTGACGCTTTGGGAGTCGAGATTCTTGGAAAGGCAGAGGTGTGTTTCGAGCTAGAACATACCCCTTTAATGTTTCCAACTTTTCGACAATTTGTAGTTTCTGAATCCAGGAGGAAGTGTCAAAGACCGAGTTGCTCTGCGCAGTGAGTCCGTCATGCAGCGATCGACCTAAAAGCTCATTATCTTGCGAACATGAAGTAATCGAGGACGCAGAGCGGCAAGGTTTGCTGCACCCTCATACTGGATCCCGCATCTTTGAAGGCACTGTTGGATCTACTGGCATTTCAATAGCGACGATAGCCAAGGCGAGGTAAGTGACCCTAATTCTGGTGAAAGAACGTTGCATCTAATAATATGATGTTGCAGGGGATATGATACAAGTAGGCAAATTCCTCAAGCTGTTGAACCCATCTCACGTTTCTTAGCGATTATCATGCCGGATGATGTTGCCCAGGAGAAGGTGAACGCCTTGCTGGCCCTTGGAGCTGATGTTCAGCGCGTTCGTCCTGCGAGCATCGTCGACAAAAAACAGGTGCGAGCTCATATCATAGTCACCATTTTATGTATTTACCAGAATCGGCATGATAATCGCAGTATGTGGTGAGCAGATTCTTTGTCGAGGAAAAGTCATGCAATGAACATTCACAAATTTGCAAAAAGAATATCGCCAGGCGAGCAGCCATCGAATTCGGTCGTTCAGATATAATGAAAGGCTTAGAGGACGCCCGTGCCAACCATGAGCTCCATACAGGTTCTGCATCTGTAGTGGTCACGACTACATCGTCGCACATTAATGCAGAAGGCACCATCGACGACCCGCTGGATGAAGATCTGCTAAGCAAGCCAAGAGGCTTCTTTGCCGACCAATTCGAGGTGCTCACCTTGATAATTAAATGGTAACCGAACTCACATATATACAGAATCGCAGTAATTTTGAAGCCCATTACAACGGGTCTGGTCCAGAAATCTGGCGTCAAACTAATAGTCATGTTGATGCATTTGTATCTGGAGCAGGTGCGCGTGTGTTATGTTCAACTTGTCCGGATTTTCAATACTATATGGGCTAGGGACGGGCGGAACGATTGCAGGCATTGGTCAATTTCTCAAATCGATGAATGAGGAGGTGCAAGTCGTCCTAGCGGACCCAGAAGGCAGTGGTCTCTACAACAAGGTCGAAGCCTGTCTTTGTTGGCTGCCTGACTTTCTCTCACACTCCTTCAGGTCAGGTACGGCGTAATGTACGACCGCAAAGAAGCTGAAGGAACAAAACGAAGGCATCAAGTCGACACAGTGGTTGAGGGAATGTGCGTATCTAAGCGCCATCTTCATTGTCCCGTCTGACCTATCTATCTCCAGAGGAATCAATCGGATGACAAATAACATCGACCTTGCGGTTCCGATCATAGATGACGCGTTCCGGTACGTTGAATCCTTCATCTTCGACCACAATGGGGAGTTCACCGACGATGAAGGATAACTGACGTGGAAGCGGTTGCCATGTCCCGATACCTCGTTCAAAATGATGGTCTATTTCTGGGTTCCAGCAGCGCCTGCAATCTGGTGGCATGCATCAAATTCGTAAAGAAAAGGGGATGGCGAGACGGTCAAACACTTGTCACAATCTTGTAGGTTTCCCTGGACACCCGCGGAATGAATGATGTGATTCACCGTCTTCCCAGATGTGACTCTGGTAACAGACATTACTCCAAGGTAAGTGCATGGTATCTAGGAAGAGCGGATGTTCCCTAACGCGTTTGTGCCTGGGTTTTCGTCAGTTCTGGTAAGAAAACCTCATGTCTCATTGGAGAAACGTTGACATTTGTGTAGGAATGACGAATATTTGCGTAAAGCTAATATTCCAGTCGACCGCCGTGTAATCGACAATCTAATTGCCCAACCTGGTTCTGGAGTTTAGAAATCTCAATAATGAATCCATAAGTTGCACGTGGTAAATAATGTATGCGATTGCTATGGTACAAATGCTACTTGATGAAGCAAACGGCGGGATAAAGATAGCAAGGACGTCAAATTGAAGGCCATGGTGGGGCAGATATGCTAGGTGGTGTGTGGTTAGGCATTGGTCTGTGACCAAATCCATTTTGATTAATGGAGAGATTCCCTGTCGCGGGAGGATGTGGTGAAATACGTGGTGTCTCCTTCGATGGGGATACACTTAGTGATGTATGGGAGATGCCGTTCATACTAGAGCATCTAGTTAGTACCCAGCTATAGGGAAAAAGTTACACATACGAGGTATCCTGAGCAGCAGCAGGCGGCGGATCAGGCGTGATTTTGAGGAAACCAGCTTGCACCAAGAAGTCCCAAACTCGACTCGTCTTGTTCACATCAATCTTGACGAGATCCCGCGCTTCCCTGCGGCGAAGCTTGCCTCCACGACGAGCGTACTCCCGGACAAGGGTCTCCTTGATGACAAGATAAGGTTTGGGGAAGATTCGGAGCTGCGAGCAGAGAGTCTGCTCGGCTGGAGTAAGCAAATGCAAGGATGGGCTATTAGCAAGATTGAGAGGGGCGGCTGGATAGTAAGGTGAGCCATTGTACGATACTTTGGAATGGAATAAACGAACGTGGTCTGCGGATTGGAGGACCCGTCCCAGCAGGAGTCCCAAGTTTCGGAGTTGATTCTCTCTCGTGACTCTTGCGACCTTCCGATTCTCCTGCAACAGTGTTAGTAAAGAACATAAACAGAGATAATGAAGAAGCGTCATACTCGCGCTACCCGATGCACGAAGCTGTGCCAGACGTTCTGAAGAATAATAGTCGCGAGATAGGTTTGCTTTCGCTTGAGTCTAACCGTACAGGTAAGCTGCATGACTTAAGAAGGCAATTGTGGAACAATTCTTACCCTGCGAATGGAATCGAGTTCAAACTTATCGATATCGGCCGAAGTAGTAAGTCCCATTCGTCGATAATGCTGCAGATCTTGTATTCTCTTCCTTAGCATGGCTTCATCTGTTGCAGCAAGATCATCAGCGCCTTTCCACCACAATGCTAGAAGTTCTTACAGAGAATATCAGCTGTGAAAACTTCGAAATCCTCAGCAGTCTGAAGTCGAGCGAACGGTCGGAGCCGCTGAACGATGTCCTTTTCTTCCTTCGGACGCTTCTTTTCGGCGGCTTGCATCTGAAAAAGAAGTGAGTTTATGACGTGTGTACACACGCCAACATACCTTTTTGTATTCCAAGAGGCCTCGTTCATACATGATAGCTTTGGCTTCTCGTCGCTTGTCAAGACGCTGATTGTACATCTCCATCAGAGTCAGCTTAAAGGCAAGTGAATTTTCCGTCTCATATGGAGGAGGCAGCGTTGCTTCTTCCGCATTTGCGTCGTCCTCCGTTGAAGCCTGCTGTTCGCCAGACGGTTCCTCTGACTTGACACGTGAATCGCCATTCATTGGAAGATGTCCGTTGCCATTCACAATGCCATTGACACCATTGACGGGTGGTTGACTGCTGTTCCTGGATCCAGCAACAGTTTTGCGCTCTTCCAGCATCCGTACCCTGGCGCGGACATCCGCGTCGTTCTCATCTTCCATAATCTGATCACCGCCCCATGCACGACAAATTCCAAATTCCAGATCCTTCACAAGATCCTCCGCTTCATTATCGAGCTCGTGCTCGAACTCGAGCCTACCAGGAAGGAAGGTGGCAATTTCGTGTACACCAGGAGCGGAGGTTGGGGCTACCTTGGGTGGTGGAGGTAAAGAAGTGGTCATGGCTGACATTCGCCTGCGCTTGCGAGCCTGGAATTCATCCGGGTTGATATTGAATTCGACATCCATCCGCTGTAATATAGTTCACTCAGTGAAGAAACAGGCTTGAACCATATAGGCGTACAGGAAGCGGCCAATCGGGGGAATCAACATATACGCTGTTGTAGTGTTCTTCGACATCTTCTTTGGTACGAGTACCAATGTGTTCTGCGATCATCTGCCAATTTCCAAAGCCTTCCTGAGATATCCCCTCGATAAGTAAGAGTTCCCTATAATTACGTTTCAGATGGAGCGATGAGGAAGGCATTGCTAACTTACTCATCTGCTCCCCAGTCAGCAGAGAAAATTGGATACGAGTGAAGTTCCTAGCATGCTAATCAGTACAAGAACGTGCATCAAGCGTGAATATGTCATACGATAACTCGGTATGCATGACCTGCTTTATGTTTGGCGAACTCCTTGCCAGCGCAAAAGCAGGCGGGGCATATATCCACGCCATCACCTGGCTCACAGACAGGATCGGCGCACTTGATACGAACGGAATGCGTCAAGTCGCATTGACAGCAATCACATTGAATCTGCAAGCCGGGCTCGTTTACAGCTGCACAGTTTACGTAAATGAAGCGTGAGAAAGGTATTCCATGAAGCAGACGATACCATTGGGATGGGTTGAAGGAACCACGTACTTTGGATTTCATCCGGCTGGTGTTGTCGCTTTCTATGGGAGACAGTCATCCCAGGAGAAAGGGACGGATAAGCTCAAGGTAACGGAGCTCGAAAGACGATGGAGCTCTGAGCTCACGATCTGAAACAGGTTAGCGCAAATGCAATCGTATGATCGCGGGAGAACGTACAGAGAAGTTGTATCTCAACTCTCTGCCAAAAACGAAGGTGACACGCGTCGTTGGCGACAGAAGGGGTAGAACGCGCTAGTTGCTGCGCGACGCGGAGTGACCGCCGGAGTTCTGCAATGTCGAGAAGAAATCACAGCGGGTAGTTATTGAGAGGTCAAAGGTAGTGGTCTTAGAATAAGGAATCGAAAGATGTATAAGGTCTCGGCAACGTACTGACTGGCGCCAATGCCAGAGACGAGGAGGAGAGTATTTACACATATTTGGCCTCCCCGCCCTATCCAAAAGTGGATCATTGAGCTGATTCAGCTGTGGCCGTCTTCAAGTTCGACTAGCTTCGACCACACCACAACAATGTTGAGGAAGTCTACGCCACAATAATCAATCCAGGTGTGGCCCCTGGATGCACGCGCAGATGGCCCTTACCACCGCATCGTTGACGCGGGTGATCCAACTGGCATCATACCGGAGATTGGCCCAGATTGGTCTCGGCAGGTGGAATATCGCTAAATCTGTGCAGACGGAGGATGGTTTGTGAAGATAGAGGCTTCGCCCTGTTCTGCTTAAGCATGTACGTCACGTAAATCATTATGTATATGGATATGAACTATGATACAATTATATTGCCATTTGAGTTCATAGTCAGCTTGCATACTCGAATGTAAGCACTGTGATAGGGATGGTGTTTTTGAGTCCAGTCGATTTTAATACCATCTTGCAGAAAAGTTAAAGCCTTACTATCATTCGCCATTGCAAGCTAGTGCACTGGGCTGCTCCCACCAAAATCACTTACCTACGCGAGGTATGTGGGTAGGTCGTCTATCAGAGACGATAGATCAAGCAGCAAATTCAATTTTGATGCACAAATCTTGAAGATGGCGTTGATGTATGATATCGAATCGATGTCGGTACCTAGACCAGAATATTGTAGTATTCATGTGGTCACTCATATGTTCAAAGGTCCCCCCACAGTATGCACTGTGCAAGCAACATTGAAATTTATGCAGAAGCAGCCATATCAATGATTGACTCCGAACTACGCATTGCACCATAAAACACGGTACCAAAGCTCAAGAAGAAACATAACACACTATCACGACACGCTACTCTGTCTGCCACCCCATTTGTCGGGAAGATCGCATACATGCAAGCCATGTTAAATCACACAACGCGAGGGTCAGTCATGTTGTTGAATCCTGGATGCACAAAAAACTACTCATACTCACATCCCATACATATTTCCTGCCCATGCAACTATCGTATTGTTCGCGGCATCCGGGAGGGTAATTAGCACCGACAGCCATGGACGCTGTCACAGCAATGATCACAGCGAGGAAGGAAAAATGCGTTGTTGTGCGAGGTGACGAATCCTCTAGGGTTATCTCGAATAATAACTCTGAAGCTGGTGGGACACAGTAGGAAGACGACTTGGTTTTATATCCCGAGTGTGGTACTGGAGAACTCAGGGGTTTCGATCGGTTTGGAAGAGTGGTCATCGCTGTTAAATGACATGAATTTAGGCAGAACCTGCAGGCTACAAGCTACTTCCCATGATCAGTGACGGCTTGGCTGGAATAAATTGCCAAAGTTGCATGTCAGCAGATAGTGCAATGTCCGCCGATGCTGCGTCATATCCGAGTCCCAGTGTAGTTTGAGATTGTAAGACTTTATCCTAAACAGAACCACCGTCTTAAATTGGGAAAGTAACCTTATTCGTGGATGAATTGAGATGCCGATGACAGTAGTGTCACTCACAACTCAGAAGACCTCGACACAGATGAGCACCATTGACGAACGAAAGGTGCAGATTGATAGCTGAAACAGCGAAAGTTTAGAACTCAGGAAGTTTTCTGAGAGGTCCTTCAAGTTGTCCACTAAGGTGCGTGTTCCATAAGATATCTTCATCTCTAAAAGTTCACAACAGTTGCTGCGCAGACGAAGCGCCCAGGCACGATATTGGTGCCATGTGCATTTTTCACCTTGAACTTGGCGATTTACATGTCAACACTTGACCGGTGCCGTACTTCATTTTCGTGTTCTGCCAGTCTATTTCAAACTGAATTTGTGGGACGGTGATGTAGCATACGCGTTTGTTACCCTGTCTTATGTTCCCCATTGATGCCAGGAGATGCACAGCAGAGAAACAACACCACGCAAATCCACAGCTTGGGGTTCTTAGTGCGCCTAGCCTTTTCACTAGCAGTTTCGTGGTGACGATCAATAAATCTTACCTGCACAGATATCATCGGGCTGTTTGTTCGAGGGACCAAGATCAAGCGAATGGGCTAGTGGAGAGGCATCCATGCATAACTGAGTTCAGCGATCGAGAATCTGGGGCATGCATTGAACACATGTATGAAATGTACTTGATGTATTTGTAAGTTCACGTCACGCTGAGCACCTCCAGGCAAGACCGTCCTCACCAACTGATGTGCAAATCGAGCTATCAGTTCACAGACGAACTAGAATTTTGTGAGGCGTCAATGAATATTATTCACGATAGCAGAAGACACTGAGGGATAACAAAAGGAGGATATCAAGATGAATGCGATTGTGCATGTTCTAACATCATCAATGACCATCGTTGGTGGACGGGGAGGCACAGCAGATGAACAATACAACACGAGCCCACCATTTTGGGTTCTTGATGCGTTTCGCTTTGTCGCTAGCTCGTTCCCGCCGCCGAGCAGTATACAGTGCCTGTGAAGAAAGCTTGAGACACCATCCACTGAATACACACCCAAAAAAAGAACATACCTTCTTGTCATCTAGTGCAGGGACTTCAACGACAAGAGGACTGCGACGAGAGGAAGTACTGGGTCCTGGGCATTGCTGGAGTTCGACTGGTTTATGGTTGTTCGGTTGGGAACGGTGGAAGAGTTGGGGTAGGCGGGCGAGGAGCGCACGTGGATGCAATCCCCAGGAGGGTGCAAAAGTACGGCGGCGGCGATGTAAAGAGGAATCAGGATAGAGACGGCTCGTAATGGATGACTAACAACATAGAAGTCAGAGAAAGCAGGGGAAATTGAGATGCAAGTAACTCACAGGATCACGGCCTTGCACGTTATCGAAAAAGCCTGCTGGTACTTGACGGGGGGCTGGACGGATGGGTAGACGACGCGTAGCATTAGCCTAGAATATCGATGTCACAATCAATATAAAGGTCAGAAAAAGGGTACAGCGTACACCTGATAACGACTTTGCGGGTGGGACATAAGCGTGCTTCATTCTCGAAGAGCCACAAGACGATACATACCTTCTTGTTGAGTTCAGATTTTTGTGCCTGACAGTCATTGGGAATGAGATAGAGAGTGGAAGTCAAACTAGCACTCACATCAGGTATGGTCAGGAGGTCTTCTAGGCCAAGCTTTTTAAGGATGGCTTGATTGTCCCACACATACGCGTTTTCATCGTTACAAGTTGTGGATAGCAGCTTTCCATCAGTGGAAAAGGCCGCACACTCGACGTCATTTTCGTGGCGGAGAGGTGGTCCGACTTGGAGGTTAGTGTCAAGATTCCAGAGACGCGCTGTTCCATCCCATGATGTACTCGCAAGGAGACGGTCGTTCAGAAATAAAGTGAGGGAGGTGACAGAATCCTCGTGACTGTCGAGATCGGTGATCTTGTGCCATGTGGCAGTGTCCAATATCCTAATTGGGCCATCGATCAACCCGGCAATAAGCTTCTTTGCGTCTGGTTAAATTCCCAATTGGTGAATATTCTTCCTTAAACGTTGAGAGCAGCTTGGCCGTCTTTGCGTCCCAGATTTCGATTTCATGATCATACAATTCGTTGTATCCTGATATCGCAATCATTGTCGCCTCGGGTGAGTAACTCACCGCGTACACCGACGAGTATCCCGTCTTGATTGCTTTGACAGGTTCTCCGCTCACCACTCGCTTACCATCTGGACTCCAGCACACCGATCTCACCGATTTAGCATGCTCTTTCCATTTGGCGATGACCTTTCGCGTCTCAATGTTCCACAACCTCACTGTCCCGTCATTGCTTCCGCTTGCAAGAGTCTTGCCGTTTGGAGACAATGCCATCGTTGCTGCCCCCACACCCCCTTCATCTTGCCACTGGCCACCTATCTGTGCACCGCTCTCTAGATCCCATAGTCGAAGTGACCTGTCTGATGAACATGTGATGATGCGCTGCCCTCCCGGCAAGTGCACAACGCCGAATACGGTCGCGGTATGGCCTCGCATCGTCTTGAAGGGGATTACTGCTGATATCTTTTTCATCTTAGCAGCAGGCGAAGACATGGTAGGCGCTCGGGACATCTCAATCAAGGGAATCGTGGACTATATGCGCGATAGCAGCTTGTTGGATCTTTGGATTAGAATGGGTTGTCTTGCGAAGGTATAGATTGTGGATGAGTTCACCAACTTATCTGTTTTCAACTGAATGCGTGTCAATCGATGCGCATGCGGCTTTACTTACGAGAGTGATAGAGACACGATGTGTGCAGGACGTTCTAGTTGCTGGTCCTTGAAAACTTACAAGAAGTCTCCGCGAAGATCCTTAACAGCGCTCAGTAAGTAAAGTTCCTCTTTTTTTGCCCAGCATGCAACTCACAGCAAGCACTACTTTGAACAACTAGACTCCACACAAGAACGAGAGGGATGGGCTGGTGGCTGAGACAGTGGATGTTTGCTTTGGAGTCGAGAGAGTTACACAGGTGTTGGTTTAAGCCTTAAGGCGTCTGATGAGGTGCGCGCATTACCCTCGTGTTCTACACAGCTCTCAGACAAAGTTGAAAGTGCCTCAGATCATGATTACGCCACGTGCGCCTCGCTATTTCTATTTGGACCTTGAACCCTTGAACCGAACCGAACCATCTCAGCTCACTTCATACGTGTTCCTTTCCAGCCTATCTATGTCAGATCCCACTCGAAGGACATACACTTCTCTTTATACAACATCGATTGGTGGTGTATTATTGGTGGGTGACTGCATTTTGTAGACTCACGTATTAAGCTGATGATATTGCTCGAAGTCGGTCCAAGTGTATACGAATTGCGGGTCATTGTTCTCTTGCAGAGGCCATTGCCGGTAAGTAAGCGAGCCTATCTATTATACGTTCAACTCTTATTCACAGACGTGCGTGAAGCGTTGTTCAATCTTGACATCATCGGGACAAATTCTAACTTCTACATTCGTTCCAATGTCGCAGGATGTCGTTACGACGATCCAGGACGTTAGTTTTATCTCATCTTTTATCTCACCTAGACAGTATCACTCATGGCACCGACAAACTCTACCAAAGAACGAGAGGGCCTGAGGCAGCATTCATGTGCCAAGGTGTCCACGGTTGTTGCAGTTGATCACTCGACGAACAGTATCAGAGTCTTCAGGCAAGAGATAGATGCCAGACTCGTTCTGCTGTAGTAATACTTTCTGTCGTGGGTATTTAGTATTTAGTGTGTTCATGACAGCTGGTATCCTTTGACAGACGGGTTAGAATGGAATCATGAATGAACATTAACTGGTATTGACATAGTAGCAAAAGCAACATCATACTACACTCGATAAGAGTATTTGTCTATGTTCTGCGACGTGTCTCGTCGGTGTCAGGACTGGTATCGGTACCAGGAGATACGCAGCAGAGAAACAACACCACGCGAACCCACGGTGTTGGGTTCTTGATACGCCTGGCCTTTTCACTAGCAGTTTCGTGGTGAGGAGCAACAAATATTACCTGCACAGAAATCATCAGACCCAGCAATTAGAATACACGCAGGAAAGACGCACCTCCCTGTCCCGCATTGCGGCAACATCGACGTCATGATGATCGCAGTGAGAGGAGGTAATTGGCTCTGAGTGATGTTGGAGTTCGATTGCTTCATCAGCGTTAGGTGGAGAGTGGAAGACTGAGGACAGGCGACCCATTAGTGCACCTGGACGTGAGACCGAGGGTGTTTCGGATCGCTGAGGTTCGGTTGCTTCATTGGTGTAGAGTCCAGGGCGGGGAAAAAGTGAGGACAAGTGACTGAGGAGCACCTGTGGATGTAAATGCGAAAGTATTGGGGGTTGCGGAAGTTCGGATGTTTCATTAGTGTTACGTGGAGAGCGAAGGTGTGGGGACAGGTGATTAAGGAGCGCATGAAAACGTGACTCTGAAGGCACTGGAGGTTGCTGAGTTTCGGTCGCTTCATTGGGTCGAGAGCGACGAAGAAGTGAGTAAAGGCGGCCAAGGAGTGCAGAAAGATTAGGATGGGCATCAGGTGTTGCAGAGGACTGAGAGCAGTTGTCAGGATAAGAACTAATAAGTAGAAATGTTGATGACGCACATGTGCATGAACATCGGGTTGCGTGTCGTCGAAAAAACCTGGTGGAAGTTCCTCTCTGCCCCCGAGGTGGTCGAAACCTCGCGTGGCGTCAGCCTAGAATGTCGACATTATTACCACGACTGGCGAGTTTGACAAACGCGTCATGCACCTCCAAAAATGACCTGTCATCTATGTCATGCGACGACTCGGGTGGAGAAATGTACTCTGTGTTTGAAGAGCCAGATGATGTATACAGTGTCTGTTTCAGGATTGCCAGTAAGACGGTGGGTGACATGTCGACACTCACTTACCCTGTAAGGTATGGACAGGAGGTCTTCCAGGCCAGTTGCTTTGAGGACGGATTGAACGTCCCACACGTACGCGTTACAATTATGACAAGCTGTGGATAGCAGCTTTCCATCTGCAGAAAAGGCCGCACACTCGACGTCGTTTTTGTGTTGGAGAGGTGAACCGACTTGGAGGTTTGTGTCAAGATCCCAAAGACGTGCTGTTTTATCCCAAGATGTACTCGCAAGGAGGCGGTTGTTCCGAAATAAAGTGATGGAGTAGACACCCCGCGTGTGACCCTCCAGAACAGCGATCTGTTGCCATGTGGCAGTGTCGAATATCTTAATTGAGCCCCTGATTAACCCGAAGATAAGCTTCTTTTCATCCCATGTCCAGGTTAGGCTCCAAACTGGTAATCTGTCTTCGATTGTTGAGAGAAGCTTGCCCGTCTTTGCGCCCCAGATTTTGATTCCTCCGTTGTATCCTCCTGTCCCAATCTTTGTTGATTTAGGTGAGTAACTCACCACATATACGTGCTGGTGCTCCGTCTTGACTGGATTCAAACCCCGGACGGGTTCGCCGCGCATGACATGCCATACTCTTGCTGTCCCGTCGTCTGATCCACTCACCACCTGCTCACCATCTGGACTCCAGCACACTGACTGCACAACAGTGGTGTGCTCTCTGTATTTAGCAATGACCTTCCTTGTCTCGACGTCCCACAACCTCACTGTACCGTCACTGCTTCCACTGGCAATAATTCTGCCGTTTGGACACAATGCCATGGTCCTTACTCCTGCCTCATCCCCTTCATCTCGCCACTCACCACCTACTTGTGCACCGCTCTTTAGGTCCCATAGTCGAAGTGAGCCGTCTCTCGAACATGTCACAATATGCTGCCCCCCGAGCAGGTGCGTAACACCTTTTACCCAGTCGGTATGGCCTCGCATCGTCTTGTGGGGAGTTATAGCTGGCGTCTCAGCAGCAGGAAAAGACATGGTTGACGCTCGGGGATTTCACAACAAACCTATCTATTGTCAGCTGAATGCGTGTCAATAGATGTGCATGCGGCCTTGCTTACAAGAATAATAGAGACACAGGAAAACGTTGGGATGATCTATGCAGGACGTTCTCGCTGCTAGTCCTTGAAAACTTGCAAGAGGTCCCTGCGAAGATCCTTGACAGCGCTCAGTAAGTAAAGTTGCTCCTTTTTTGCCCAGCATGTAACTCACAGCAAGCACTACTTTGAATAACTGGACCCAGATTCACTCCATGCAAGAACGAGAGGGACGAGCTGGTGGCTGAGACAATGTACGTCTGCTCTGGAGTCGAAGGAGTTTCTGAAGTGTTGGTTTAAGCCTTAAGGCGTCTGATAAGGTGCATACGCTCGTGTTCTCCACAGCTTTCTGTCGGAGCGCCCCAGATCATGACTACGCCACGTGCGTCTTCCTATCTCTATTTGGACCTTGAGCGCTTGAACCGAACCGCACCATCTCCGCCCGTACTCCCTTCCAGTCTATCTATGTCAGACCCTACTCAAAGAACACACGCCTCTCTGTTTACGACATAAATTGGTGGTAGCTGCATTTTGTTTTGTAGACTCACGTGCTAAGCTGTACATATTACTCGAAGTCACGGTCCAATTGTATGCGAATTGCAGGTCATCGTTCTCGAGTAGAGGCCGTTGCCAATAAGTAAGCGAGCCTATCTATTATCACATTCAACTCTTATTCACAGACGTACGTGAAGTGTTGTTCGATCCTGACCTCATCGGGACAAATGCTAACTTCCACATTCGTCCTAATGTCGCAGGATATCGTTACGACGATTCAGGATCAAGTTGGTTTTATCTCATCTTTTATCTCACCTTTACTTTTCTAGACAGTATCACTCATGGCACCGACAAACTCTACCAAAGAACTAGAGGGGCTGTTGAATACCTGAGGCAGCGTTCATGTGCCAAGGCGTCCACGGTTGTTGCAGTTGATCACTCAACGAACAGTATCAGAGTCTTCAGGCAGGAGATAGATGCCAGACCCGTTCTGCTGTAGTAATACTTTCTGTCGTGGGTATTTAGTGTGTTCGTGACAGCTGGTATCCCTTGACAGACGGGTTAGAATGGAATCATGAATGAACATTAACCGGTATTGACATAGTAGCAAAAGCAACATCATACTACACTCGATACACATATTTGTCTATGTTCTGCCATGTGTCTCATTGGTGCCAAGACTGTCATCGGCACCAGGGGACGCACAGCAGAGAAACAACACCACGCGAACCCATAGTTTTGGGTTCTTGATGCGCCTGGCCTTCTCACTGGCGGTTTCGTGGTGAGTAGCAACAAATATTACCTGCACAGAAATCATCAGACCCAGCAATTATGATACACGCAGGAAAGACGCACCTCCCTGCCGTGGGTCAGGACCGGACCTGCCGTCACTACAAAGTGAGCTCAAAAACTTGGGTCTGGATGCTAGCGTCCAGCGTGTTTGAAATGTACTGATTTATGAGCTCCTCCAAATACAGGACTCACCAACTGTGCAGATGTGACAGACAAGTTAGGTCCAAGGGATCAATGGATGTTATTGATGGATAGCGAAAGACACACTACGGCGAGATAACGGAACTAGATACTAGGATGAAAAATAGTTCTCCGTGCGCTACGCCCATCAATGACTGTCGTTGGTGGACGGAGATGCACAACAGAGAAACAGTACAACACGAGCCCACCATTTTGGGTTCTTGATGCGTTTCGCTTTGTCGCTAGCTCGTTCCGGCCGCCGAGCAGTATACAGTGCCTGTAAAACTTGAGAAACCAGCCATTGAGAACACATTCCCCCCCAAAAAACGTACCTTCTTGTCATCTAGTGCAGGAACTTCGACGACAGGAGGACTGCGATGAGAGGACATTCTGGGCCTTGAGTGTTGCTGAAATTTAATTGGTTCATCGACGCTGGGTCGGGAACGGCGGAAGAGTGAGGGAAGGCAAGCGAAGAGCGGACGCGGACACGATCCCCAGGAAGGCGCAAAAGCACGGCGGTGGTGACGTACAGAGGGGGGATTATAATCTTGCATGTTATCGAAAAAGCCTCCCGTTACTCGATGGGCGGCTGGACGGATGGCTGGCCGACGCGTAGCATTAGCCTAGAATGTCAATGTCATGATCGATATCAATGCCAAAAAAAAGGTACAACGTACACCTGAAAACAACTTGTGCGAGTGGGACATCAGAGTGATCCATTCTTGAAAAACCATGAGATGATACATACCTTCTTTTTGAGTTCAGATTTTTGGGCCTGACAGTGATTGGGAATGAGATAGCGAGTGGGAGTCAAGTAGGTACTCACATCAGGTACGATGAGGAGATCTTCTAGGCCAGCTGCTTTGAGGATGGCTTGAATGTCCCATACGTACGCGTTTTTATCATCGCCTGTGGATAGCAGCTTTCCATCAGTGGAAAAGGCCGCACACTCGACGTCAGTTTCGTGGTGGAGAGGTGGTCCGACTTGGAGGTTAGTGTCAAGATTCCAGAGACGTGCTGTTCCGTCCCATGATGTACTCGCAAGGAGACGGTCGTTCAGAAATAAAGTGAGGGAGTAAACAGGTTCGTCCAAGTCGTGACCGCAGAGAACAGCGATCCCCTGCCATGTGGTAGTGTCAAATATCCTAATCAAGCCATTTCCTGACCCGGAGACAAGTTTCTTTTCGTCCGATGTCCAGGTTAAGCTCCAAGCTCCCCAAGCTCCATCATAGTCTACCGGATATTCATCTTGGAAGTCTACCAAATCATCTCCGATTTTTGAGAGCAGCTCGCCCATCTCTGCATCCCAGATTTTGATTCTATCTTCAATGATTCCTCCTGTTGCAATCATTGTTGCCTCTGGTGAGTACCTCACTGCGTATACCTCCCGGTGTCCTGTCCTGATTGGATTCAAACCCTGGATGGGCTCTCCACTCTCCACATCCCACACTCTTGCCGTCCCATCTACTGATCCGCTCACCACTCGCTCACCATCTGGACTCCAGCACACCGACTCCACTAATTCAGCATGCCCTTCCCATTTGGCGATGACCTTTCCCATCTCAATGTCCCACACTCTCACTGTCCCGTCCCTATTTCCGCTTGCAAGAGTCTTGCCGTTTGGAGACAATGCCATAGTCCATACTCGCGCCTCACCCCCTTCATCTCGCCACTCGTCACCTATCTGTGCACCGCTCTCTAGGTCCCATAGTCGAAGTGAGCCGTCGAAAGAACATGTTATAATGCGCTGCCCGCCAGGCAGGTGCGCAACTCCGGATACCTGGTCGGTATGGCCTCGCATCGTCTTGTGGGGGGTTAAATTTGACGTCTTTTTCATCTTAGCAGCTGGAGAAGACATGGGGGACGTTCGGAAATCTCAATCAAGAGATCGTGGCCTATATGCACGAGAGCAGCTCGTTGGATCTTTGGATTAGAATCGGTTTTCTTGCGAGGTATAGATTGTGGGTGAGTCAACAAGGTTATCTGTCTTCAACTGAATTCATGTCGATAGGTGTGCACGCCGCCTTACTTACGAGAACAATAGATACGTAGGAAAACTTTGGGACGATGTATGCAAGGCAATTTCGCTACTGGTCCTTGAAAACTTGCAAGATGTCTCCACGAAAATCCTTGATACCACTCGGTAAGCAAATTTCTTCCACCTTTTCATCCAGCATGCAACTCACAGAAAACCCCACTTCGAACAACTAGACACAGATTCAATCCACGCAAGAACACGAGGGACGGGCTAGTGGCTGAGACAGTGGATGTTTGGTTTGGAGTTGAGAGAGTTGCACAAGTGTTGATTTGAGGCGCCTGATACGGTGCATGCGTTATCCCTTGTGTTCTCCACAGCTTTCAGGATGAAGCACTTCGAATCATGACTACGCCACGTGCGTCTTCCTATCTTTATTTGGACCTTGAGCGCTCGAACCGAACCGCACCATCTCCGCTCACTTCCTATGTGCCGCGGCTCCCTTCCAGCTTATCTATGTCGAAGCCTACTCGAAGGACACACGTTTCTCCTTATGTGATATCGATTGGTGGTGCATTAATGGCGAGTGACCGCATTTTGCAGACTCACGTACTAAGTTGTACGTATTGTTTGCAGTCGGTCCAAGTGTAAGTATATGAATTACAGGTTATTGTTCTCTTGCAGAAGCCATTGCTGGTAAGTAAGCAAACCTATCTGTTGTCACGTCACATCAACTCTTATTCATAGATGTACATGAAGCGTCGTTCAATCCTGATGTCATTGGAACAAATGCTTACTTCTACATTTGTCCAAATGTCGCAGGAGATCATTACGACGATCTAGGACATTCATTTTATCTCATCTTGTTTTCTCACCTTGGCTTTTCTAGGAAGCACCCACAGTATCATTCACGGCACCGACAAATTCTACCAAACAACGAGAGGAGCTGTTGAATATCTGAGGCAGCATTGATATGGCAAGGCCTCCAGGATTGTTGCAGTTGATCCCCAGTGAAAACCCACTGTTCTGAGAATGGCTGAGGTTGCGTGAAATTGTCTAAACTAAACGACACAATCTCGATAGAAAAATGAGACTAATAGCACATATGAAAATGTGCGTGATTGTGCGTGATTGTCGCAGATTGTTCAGATGCAATATTTGCATGTCACCCTAGATTGTGCCAGATCTGCTGACATTGTGTGGCTACAATATACTTCACATCATCCTAGATTGTGCCAGATCTGCTGGTATTGTGTAGTACACATTACAGGTAGACAGAAATAATAAAACTAGGCACATCCTGCCACTGTCTGTTCCAGCCTGCACTGAGGCTGCGCTTGTTCCAGCCTGTGCTCCATTCATATGCAGTTGTTTCTGGTCTGATCCAGAGAGGCAGTGAGATCACAAGAAGTTGGAGGGAGAGTGCTGCTGCTAACGGTGATCCTTGTGTCAGGATGATCAAGATAATGTGGAGAGGCAGAGAGGTTGCAACAAGTTGGAAGAAGAGTAATGTTGCTAATGGAGCCATTCACCAGCTGCAACCTAGTTGGAAGGATACCTGTGAGTAGGTGTAACACATTCTAGTCATATTACATACTTTCTTGGTGGCGAGGTCATCATATGACTGATTAAATACTTATGTTAGTCTGAGCTGAGGACAAATGAGACAGAAGGTGCACTTTTTTCTGTCCTTCTGACAGTCCATCATAGTAGGTCTTGAACTCAGCTGCTGATCCAGTCTTGTTATGAGCGAGCCATTCACATGTGCATAGGTTACTGTGACAGAATCTGTGAGTATGTACAACAGCAAGGAACACCACTGAAGCAGACATACTGCCCATTCTGTGCTTTCACAATCTGCATCTTCCTTGACTTCTTTGCCAGCACACTGGTCTGAGGTTTGCTAGTAGTGGAGGCATCTACCACTAGTAGAGGTACTGTGGTTGCTGTTGGAAGGATATTTAAGTTGAGCTAGTTGCCCAGTTATGTGCATCAGGAAAAAACAAATTTCATGGGAGCCCTGGTGAGAGCTATGTAGCACTACATAGCTACCATAGTTCTGTGTACCTGATGTAGCTGTGACTCAGACTATATAGATCTACAGTGGGCTACAGCAGACTACAGCAGGCTACAACGGACACTTGGAGGCACAATAGTCAAATTCAAGTCTGTAGTCAATAGTAGCTGAGTAGCAACAAAACTAATCAATAGCAGACATGCAGAATGTATCAAGGTCAATAAAGGTATTTAAGTAAAAATCACTTGCCGACTCATAGACATTTGTGCTAGTCCATCCATGGTCAACGGCTTGTCTGATCTTCAAAATAAGATGGCAAGGACAAGTGATTTCGTCGATGTGTATCACAGCTGCATTCCAGTGCAGCTGATGAGTTGAACACGACACCTGGTGCAGGCCAGATGAGCAGTCTGGCTCCCTGAGTGGTGTGAACCACTCAATGTAAGCTAAGGCTTGCAAGTAGGTCCCAAATTAACATGGCAGAGTGAAAATAACATGAACCTGTCCCACTCACATACCTAGTAAAATATCAACATGAATTTTACGACAGCTCAACTAATAGTCACTCACCTTCTAAAGTGTGTGGCTGAATGCCATTTCTTGTCAGGGCCATATCAAACTTAGCAGGAGATCCAGGCTTGCATCCATGTCCAGGAAGCACTTCAGGTGTAGCTCTAACATGCCACTGCCTCGGTGATTCACTGATGAGTGGATTAGGTGGAGCAGTGATTACTACCTGTCAAAAAATGTTGAAATGGTCTTGCAGACCAGGGGTAATGATAGCGTGCAGCATGTGGTTGTGCAGAAACAACTTAAGGGCTGGGAGGAACATGGATGCACCATGTGCAGTGACAAGGTGCTGAACTGAACACTGAGGGTATGCAGGTGTTTTAGTGAGAAAGTGGACTGTTTGTTGCTCAGGGAGGATGGGAAGTGTATTGACAGGGACAGCGTCTGGCCCTTCCATCTCCAAGTCCAAGTCCAAGTCATATCCACAGTCACAATGAGTGAAATCAGTTGGTGCCGACTGAGACTGTTCCAACAGCCAGCTAAGGTAGGAACCACACAGGAAGACTGCCTCCTGGCACTGGAGCCATAAGGCCATTTGTTCTTCATAGTCGTGCTTGTTACTGGCGCGATACACTTCTTTGGCAAAGTTGATGTGCAATCGTTCTGGAAGTTCACTGTTAAAGCCGTCCATAGTGCCAAACAATAAGATAGACTGAACATAGTGAGAGAGCTGATGTAATTTGGGAATATTAAAATGCTTGTGAACATTGAGTTCTTGCAGGGTGTCCTTGTTGGCATGAAATATCGCCAGAGTGCTTTCCAGGCCATGGAGGGATTCAGTTGAGTGAACTCAAAGCTGTGCATAGTATGAAAAATCTAAAATTGCTTGTGCAACTACTAACACTTGGCTGGTAAGCAAATGAAAACAATCACATCAGCACCAACCTTGTGCTTAGCAACAATTGAAGCTTACCTAGGGACAGCGCCAGCAAGTAGCCCAACAAACACTCACTGCATCTCTTTGTGTTCTGTCCCTGTCCACTGCTTTACCATAGATATTCCCTTCTTGAAATGCTGAAGACCAGGATAATCAGGCATCACTTTGAACTGTGCGTCCATTTCTTCTCCGCCAACAATATCAAGGCACCACTTAACTAAATGGTCCTTGAAGATGCCTTTGTGGAGTTGGTGTAGGAGGTTGGGTGTAAAGGCCAGGAAGATATTAGAGTGTGGGAGATTAGCCCAAAATGGAGCATAGACATTGCATAGTCCAAATTCCTCAAATTCAGCAGGATGGTGACCAGTCTTTTGCTTCTCTAATATCCCCTTTATCACTGCAGGTTCCTGCATCGGCGAATCCAGTGGATTGCCTCTTTCATCCACAGCAACTACACATTTCGGACAGTGGTTTTCCTTGCAACATGCAACCAGACACTGCTCTGGAAAGTCCGCTACATATGCAGCAAGGATCAGATACACTTGATGGATCAATGAATCAGCACACACCATTTCAATGCCATCTTCACCTGCAGTAATGAGGGGTTGAAGGAGGAGGGACATGCAATGATGGAATAGTCAGTAGCTGGTGAGGGAGCATTCATCAGGTGTAAAGCAGTCAAGCTTTCCTGAAGGTAGGTAACCAATCAGGACTGTTGCTCATGCTGATGTTTGCTGCCATTTTTCTTTAGCGATGTTTCCAATAGAGAGGTACACAGGATATGCCAATTTGTCACCTTGGAATTGCGACAGACACATTTTGTCTGTTGCAAGAATAATTGGTGTGATGGTTGCTCCTTCTGGTAACTTTTTCTGGACAACACAGGTCAGTGCTTGTCATTTTTGATGTTTTTTTGATGTGGTGCTTACTTGCATGTCACACCACCAATCTGCAGTCCACATATCATCTATCACTCAGTGGAGTCCTGCAGAGTCCATGTATGCACAGGCAGGTGTGTACACCATTTGATCCTTGAACAAAGGATTTCCAATCAAGCCTTTGATGCACTCTATGGGATTGCACATCCACAGTTCAACATCTTCATGCAACAGTTCACCTTTTTCATCTGTTCTATTTCTCTGAATGCTAATCTTCTTACAGCTCCAGGCAGCTCCATGTGGGAGTTCATCAACCTTCTTGAGGAATGATCAGTTGTTGTGGAATGAAGGTTGCATTCGGTTTTGTGTCTATCACACTGGTCAGTACATTTTTTTCGGTGCTCAATGCCAAACTTACAATCAGTAACTTTAGAAATTCATTGGTTCAAGTCTGCCCAAGGCTTTTTACAAGCCACTCAGTGAGACCCCACTCTTCCCTGGCAGCTAAAGTCAGGCAGAGGCTATAACCATGATAGGGTACATACTCGTCACAAAATGGAGCCCACTTGTCCTCACCAATGCCTTCCTTGTACTTCCAGTACCTTTCAAATTCAGTTTCCCCTTCCCACAGTGCCCATCCACCATCAGGACATTGCTTGAAATAGTGCCCACCACCTCCCACTACCTCACCTTCGTCAGCAACATCCTCAACTGTCACATGCTGACTTTTTGGTGCCAGTGGATTATGTTCATCAGCCTTGAAAGAGTTGGACTGTGATGAGCGGCGAAGTGGGGAAAATGAGTTGCCAGCATTGTGGTTCTCCATAGAAGGTGTGTTGTCTTCCAAGTCTTTTTCTTCAATCATTAACTCCCATGCCCTTCTGCATTTAGGCCAGTTAGCTATGTGTCTCTTGATGCCCCCCCTTGTAGGGAACTCCTTGCCACAAAATGCACAGCAGTGTGACATAGTAGGTGAGTGTTTCACCCTGGTCTTGTGTGACTTGTCTCATTGTATGCCCTTTTTTTTTCAATGGCCTGGTCTAGACTTAAACTGGGTGCAGTTACCAGGCGCCGCACCACAACTTGATCTGAGCACCACACCACACCACCCTGATTTTGGAAAGTATGGCAAGTCTTGGCTGGTTTTGTTGATTGGGAGGGGTGTGCTTACCCTGATCTTGCAACCAGATGTGCCCTCACAAAGTGCAAGAGGGACTTATCCCAGTCTTGCCACCAGACGCACCCTCACAAACCTACAGATTATGGCCTCATTTAGACTCAATCCATGTGCCAAGTTGCAATCAGGTATGGTTTTTTTTTTTGAGGATGATCCATGAGGTGTGCTTACCCTGGTCATTTCGTCTACAGCAAGATAGGCAGAGATCCTGCTTACCCTGGTCATTCCATCTACAGTAAGATAGGCAGAGACCTGTGTATGTGCTCTTATTCTGATTGGTTTGAATGATACTTACATTTTGCCTAGTTCCCAACACAGTGTGTCATGAGTCATGGCACATTGGGTGCGTTGTTTGCAACCTCCATTACAATCTTCCTCATCTAGTGAGAGAAAAAGATTGAGAGAGTCAATGACCTTGTGAGTCATGGTGTGTTGTTTGCAACCTCCATTACAATCTTCCTTGTCTAGCAAGAGAACAAGATCGAGAGAGCCAATTCTAGTATGTTAAATTCTCATCTCTGATACTAGCTAATTTGATGTGCTACGCTAGTTTAGTTTGGAAATACCGTGGGCAGCCAGAAGTACCTCTAAAAGCTGCGCCTGTTTGGCTTCCTTGCACTGTTTCACCTCCACATCCCAGCACTCAATGACGAGCCTTTGCACGCTCACTTGTAAGATGCTAATAGCTGGACCTGGTGCTAGTTCTAACAGTTGCAGTTTTTTTGCTTGCTCACAGGCCTTCACTTCTGCCTCCCAACACTCCAGAATCAGTTTTCATATGTAATTCTGGGAAACTGTGATAGGGCCGGGTGTTTGACAAAACAGAGGGAGCAGGAACATGGGCTCTGCATCAGGCCTTTCGAGCTTGGGTCTGCAAGCTAGTGAGTATTTGAGTATAATGTGGAACAGCAACTCACCTTTTGACATCAATTTTCGTGTCTTCACAGCCAGCCTCTTTGCAGCTAGCGATTTGTGACATTGGGCTGCAAGATTTGTCAGCACACAGTGAGTTTTGAAGCAAGCTCCATACCGTTTTTTGACGAGTTGGGGGTATTCATAACAGTGAAAATAAATTGTGACAGTATGATCATACCTTTTTATCATCCCTCTTGTTTGACACAGCTTTCAGCCCTTCATTCTACAAATCAACAATCAATGAACTACAGTGGCTCAAAAAACTGTCTGCATGTTTTGACATTTTTCACTATCTATGATATTGTGTGAGAACTCACAAATGCCTCAAGGACATGGTTATACCACATTGTAGTATGGCTTCAGGGCTTTCATTTGAGCCCTACACTGTGGGAATCAGTGGAGATATGGTGGAGATACAAGGCTCACAAAATGGTGACTCATGTGGACAGTTTTTTGACTCAAGTATTTTACAATAATAACCAGGTATTCTAGTATTTTGTATGACCTCCCTTGGCTTTAATTACTGCCTCTATCCTTCTAGGCATACTCTCAATTAATTTCTGGCAATCCTCAGCTGTGATCTTCCCCCATTCCACTGCTACTCTCTCCCAAAGCTCCCATACTCCTTTAGGGGGTTTTCATAGGCTTGAAGCTTTTTCTTGAGTGTTCCCCAGAGATGTTCAATGACATTGACATCAGGAGACTGTGCTGGCCAGTCAAGAACATTGATGTTATGTTCTTCAAACCATTCCTTAGCTCTTCTGGATGTGTACTTGGGATCATTATCCTGTTGGAAAATGATATCTTCTTCATCAATCCCTGATTCTGCCAAGCTAGGCAGCAAGTGGTCATTTAAAATGTCCACATACTGCTCAGCATTCATCTTCCCCTCAACCTCGGCAAGCATTCCCATACCATTCCATCCCATACAGCCCCATACCATTAAAGAACCTCCTCCAAACTTGACAGTCCCATTAACCTCTCTGTCTGTTAGGCCATCTCCCTTCTTTTTCCATACATATACCTTCCCATCTGACCCAATCCTATTGATTTTGGTCTCATCTGACCATATAACATGCTTCCAGTCCTCTACAGTCCAGTGTTGATGAGCTAAGGCAAAGGCTAGTCTTCTCTGCCTATGTTTGATGGAGAGAAGAGGCTTTTTCTTCTTTGTTACTGCCTTGAGATGAGCTGCCTTGAGAACATTCCTCACAGTTTGTGAAGAGACAGGGGTAGTGATGGTGGAATTGATATAATGGGTGGCTTGGACAGCATTATCAGCCTTTCCTGTAGTGATATGTTGGATAATAGCCCTTTTGTCAGTAGAGGTAAGCTTGGATGGACGTCCTCCACAAGAGTTTTCCTTGTCTGGGTGGCTTTCTTTGATAAACTTGGCCACAGTGGACTTGCATACTCCAGTTCTAGAGGAAATTTGGCAAGCAGAGAGGCCAGCATAAGACAGAGAGAGGATATTATCTCTTTGAGCAGAGGAGATGGCTTTCATGGTGATTATGACTATGATACATGAGATATTCTGGTTTATATAGTTAGATATAGTCATAAAATAACATAATGACACCACTTCATAATTTATATAATAGTGGCATGATTTTTGTGGTGTCATAAATAATGATTTATATAGTTTTAATATACACTCAAAAAACTGTCCACATGAGTCATCATTTTATAAGCCTTATGTCTCCACCATATCTCCACTGATTCCCACGGTGTAGGGCTCAAATGAAAGCCCTGAAGCCATACTACAATGTGGTATAACCATGTCCTTGAGGCATTTGTGAGTTCTCACACAATATCATAGATAGTGAAAAATGTCAAAACATGCAGACAGTTTTTTGAGCCACTGTATTAAGGTTCAATTGTGAGTTATTTGTATGTTTCACAGTGGTATAAATTGTGCTGACCTACAGTGTACTTTGACAAGACAACCATGGCACCTCATAAGCCTACCTCCAAGCCTAAATCAAAGTGTGCCCCCTCACCACCTGCCATGAAACAGCAGGTGCACACTGCAAGTGTGTTAAGAACCATGTTGCTCAAAGGAGGAGAGAGACTGACTCAGAGGGGCTTGGCCTCAGCTCATATGCTGTGCCCCTTACCCGAGTATGTGCCCTTCATTTCGTATGAGGTCTGATGATGGTCCAACGAAGTCTGGAGGACTTCCGGAGGCTGGCTACTCTGCTGGAGAGCACTAGAGGACTTCTGGAGGAGTGCAGGAAACGTCCGGAGGAGCGTGGGAGAGTTCCCACTACAAGGTAATACTTCTACAGGAAATAGGATGGAAGGATAGGAGGTCCAAAGGTCCGGAGGATAGGAGGACAGGAGGACAGGAGGGCAGGATGATGGAGGACAGAAGGACAGGAGGGCAGGATGATGGAGGACAGGAGGACAGGACATCTGAGGGTTAGGAGGACAGAATGTCTGAAGGACAGGACATCTGGAGGTCCGGAAGGAATAGGGGCTACATCGGACGAAGTCCGATGTAGAAACAAGCAGGGGTAGACTACCCTAAGGTAGAGTCAGAGAGACAGGGATTGGACCTAAGTCCAGAAAGAGGGTAAGTGCCGGAAAGGCAGAGCTCCAGCCTAGGGAATCAGTCCCTAGGCCTGATGGGTAGGACAGACTTAGGTGGACCAAAGTCCAAGAGAGGATTGGGCAAGTCTAAGTTGATATTCAAACTAGGGAACTACAGGAGTATCTACAGGGGTTATATACTGAACAATATCTGAGGGGATCAGTAAGCAAAGGAGCAAGGCTATGTACGAGCATGTGGAAACACATTAGTAAGTAAGACAGAACATAAGTAAATGAACTCAGAGATGAAGACTCATACAAGGATCAATAAGCAAGACGGAAGAAGAGGTAACCGAAAGCTGGAAAGCAGAGAATGCCTAAATGGGGATAGGTGCAGGATATCGGACAGAGGGTGGGAATAGGTCTGGAGATCTGGGGATCTGGAAGACAAGGTGGATACAGGACTGGAATACAAGAAGGTGGATATAGTTCCGGAATCTGAGACAAGGTGAAGTCTGGATGTCTTGCTGGATGAAGTGCGCATAGGGTGGACAGGATAGGGTTGTACGGATCAGGCTAGCAGTGAGGATCCAATGGTCTGGAGCTCAGGGTAAATCTGGAGCATAGTTGATCCTGCTGAGGTGTGGAGCACAGTGGAAGGGGATCTTGGAATGAGCTGGATATGATGTGGGGTCCAGATGTAGGCTCGGAAGGCGTGGGAATATGATGGAACATGGGTCCAGATTGTGGGATATGACAAAGTGGTTGAGAGTGGTGACCAACTGAAAAAGAGAACTACCATTGTAAGTACCAGCATATTATGTTCCACTCCAAGCTCACCATCTCGTTCTACAGTCAGTGAATCCCAACATGTTATCTGTTGCCAAGAAATCAAGGAAATCCGGACAGAAAAACAGAAGAAGAAGGCCTTAAAGGCTGCCTACCAAGGGCATCCTGACATCTTCAAGAAAGAGCTGTCAGAGCTCCTTAGTGTCATATCCCACAATCTGGACCCATGTTCCATCATATTCACACGCCTTCCGAGCCTACATCCGGACCCCACATCATATCCAGCTCATTCCAAGATCCCCTTCCACTGTGCTCCACACCTCAGCAGGATCAACTATGCTCCAGATTTACCCCTGAGCTCCAGACCATTGGATCCTCACTGCTAGCCTGATCCGTACAACCCTATCCTGTCCACCCTATGCGCTCTTCATCCAGCAAGACATCCAGACTTCACCTTGTCTCAGATTCCGGAACTATATCCACCTTCTTGTATTCCAGTCCTGTATCCACCTTGTCTTCCAGATCCCCAGATCTCCAGACCTATTCCCACCCTCTGTCCGATATCCTGCACCTATCCCCATTTAGGCATTCTCTGCTTTCCAGCTTTCGGTTACCTCTTCTTCCGTCTTGCTTATTGATCCTTGTATGAGTCTTCATCTCTGAGTTCATTTACTTATGTTCTGTCTTACTTACTAATGTGTTTCCACATGCTCGTACATAGCCTTGCTCCTTTGCTTACTGATCCCCTCAGATATTGTTCAGTATATAACCCCTGTAGATACTCCTGTAGTTCCCTAGTTTGAATATCAACTTAGACTTGCCCAATCCTCTCTTGGACTTTGGTCCACCTAAGTCTGTCCTACCCATCAGGCCTAGGGACTGATTCCCTAGGCTGGAGCTCCACCTTTCCGGCACTTTCCCTCTTTCCGGACTTAGGTCCAATCCCTGTCTCTCCAGCTCTACCTTAGGGTAGTCTACCTCTGTTTGCTTCTACATCGGACGAAGTTCGATGTAGCCCCTATTCCTTCTGGACCTCTGGACCTCCTGTCCCTCATACCTCCAGGCATCCTGTCCTTCGGACATTCCACCCTCCATACCTTCGGACATCCTACCCTCCTGTCCTTTGGACATCCTGCCCTCTGTACCTTTGGACATCCTGTCCTTCTGTCCTCTGTCATCCTGTCCTCCTGCCCTCCTGTCCTCCTGTCCTCCAGTCCTCCAGACCTTTGGACCTTTGGACCTCCTACCCTTCCATCCTGTTTCCTGTAGAAGTATTACCTTGCAGTGGGAACTCTCCTGAGCACTTCCTGTGTTCCTCCGGAACTCTCCCACGCTCCTCCAGAAGTCCTCTAGTGCCCTCCAGCAGAGTGGCCAGCCTCCAGAAGTCCTCCGGACTTCATCAGACCATCATCGGACCTCATACAAAATGAAGGGCACATACTCAGGTAAGGGGCACAGCGTACGAGCTGAGGCCAAGCCCCTCTGAGTCAGTCTCTCTCCCCCTTTGAGCAACATGGTTCTCAACACTTAGTGACATTGACAGGCAAGAAGACACAATGGTATGAGCTTTTGTTTTGTTTTCTAATCTTAAATCAGCCGCTGACATTTTTTTATTCAGTTCTCTGATCACAGTGTTAATACAAGGTTATCCAACACTAATAGCCTGACATTCAGTACAGGGAAAATCCCTCCGAGGTTGCGCAACCCATCCATGCCTACAACTAAAGGACCAAAGGGTATGTTTCTACTTTATATAGCTAGCACAAGAACACTACTAAACCTCCATCAAACAGTGCCACATAATGTTGACAAGTCAACAGACAATGACAACGACAAACAGTTGCCTGCAGCTTGAGGGACCAAGTGATCATCTGACAACATGTCATATGAAGATACTGTGGTGCTGAAGGTCAAGAAAAACACTGATGGTTTGTGTCAATGCGTGAAAGCCAGCAACTTTGACAAAATCTCAAAAGAGATTCTCATAACTGCTTGCTCTGTTTATCAGTGTCTCATCATCACACAGGCACCTTTTCCGGATTCTGTTGCAGCTGAGACAAAACTGGCGAAGGAGGCCTGGTGTGAGGTATGTCAACTCAAAGGTGTTGATGTCAAACTGACCCCTTTGGCAGTGAATATGGTGAGCACAGTATTTTTATTGCATTCCTGGTCTTATTCATTCAAAGCTGTTAAAACACGCTTCACATGTGCAAGGCGAACTCAAGACAAAGATGTGTCCACTCACAGCTTCATTTCATGGCTTCTGCTCAAGTAATTCTATGGAGGTGATAAGGTCAAACTGAGATCTTGTGGAGAGATTGAAAATTGGCTCAATCTTTGTTTTCAAGGTACTCATTTGACAGTCTACATAACTTAGTGCTGACATTGAGCAATAGGACCCATCATCAAAGTCAGGCATCTACAAGATGGAGTTGCTTCAACAGGGTATCAATGGCATGTGGTTCTTGAACTGAAGTGACGAGGGTGTCATCTACCACAAATACTTCGACCCCATCCCTATCAAAACTATTGTGCTCATGCTTACGGCTGTGAGCTGTTTTTCACATTCTTACTTTCAACTTGATGACACTGACAATATCTTATAGATAGAATGTTGTGTTGATGAGTGGTTGCAAGGCATCAAAGAGGACATCAAGTTCACATCTGCTAGTTATGGGGCCATCTACAACCATCATTTCAGCTCACTGCAACACTTTGGTGAGCACACTGCACCTTACAAACTCCTCTTGAAAATTCATACCAATCTGCATGGTGCAGTGTGGTATGTTGGACTCTTATCTCACTGACTCTAAAATTCTAATGCTCGCGCTTCTCAGCTTCCATGCAGGTGTTGCATCACTCATTCCATTGTCAGCTACATCCCAGGCCCACATTGATGATGCAGCATTTGAAGATGCTATTCGAGAGTACCAGCATGAGGGGAAGGATGTGGCAGTTGAGGATGAGGTCGAGGAGTATGAGTATCCTAGTAGCAAGGGTGGGGAGCTTGTAGATGATCAATAGGGATGCAGTGAGTAAGACATTCATATTATGCTAGTCTGTATTTCAGGTGCTTGAATTTAATTGCTATGAGGTTCCTTGGTGTGCTATATAGCTGCTGGTAGTAACTTATAGCTGCATGTAGTAGCACTCCGACAAACTACAGTAGTACCTCATAGCTACTGGTAGTTACTATGGGACTCTATGGTGACTACATAGAGGGCACTTGACAATGGGGCTACTCGCGCTACCCTGACTATATAGTACTATGTAGTCACTTTGTTTTTTCCTGATGTGGTGGTACTTACTAGGTGGTATCAAGTCAGTGGCAATGGCTGCCAGTGGATTGGCACTGGGTACCATGTCAGAGTGATCTAGGGAGTGTTCTGGGGTCAGTGTGATGGAAGGCGTGCATTCACTGGTCAGCTGCATGGATATCTGTTCCTCCGCTGGGGCTATAGACTGAGTCGGTATCATATCTTCGGAGGGGGAAGGTGGAATCAAGGACTGTTGATCCGCACTAGTAGTCAGTTTGGGAGCAGTACTAGTATCAGTCAGTTCACATTTTTGAATCACAGAACATTGCAAGCAGACTTACAGCAGGTTTGCAAATTTCAATGGCCATGCATGGAACTACAAACAAGTATCTGAGTATAACATGACAGGATAGTAGAAATAAAGATATATACTCTAGCAGGGGACCTGGATGCAGGCGTCTTGTTTGAGGAACTAGCAGGCTTGGTGATATCTGTGATTGAAACTTGTATGTTGTCAGAATGGCCAAGCTCAGTGGGTTGTGACTCTGCCATTGGGGTATTCTCATCTAGTTCTGTGGCAGGTGTTTGAAAAGTGAAAGTTGTGGAGTCATGAGGAGACAAACTGATCAACATACTGAGGAGGTCACTGGTTAAGTCCATGTCATCCAAGTCCAGGTGCAGTGGTGATGGTGATCTGTGTTCAGGGACTATTCATGTAAAAGGTTAGACAATCATCAAGATAGAGTAATTAACATACTAGATATTTCCAATGACTTCTGCTTCTTGCTGGAAGTTGATGTGATGCTAAGTGGGTCAGAGTCATGAGTCCATTTTTGGGGCTTCACATCACCAGTGGCACTGTCAGTGTCATCAGAGTCTAGTGTCTCGAGATTATTGAAGTCAATGATATCTTCTGCTGTTGGCTTGTAAGTCCCTTCAAGAGCCAAGTGGTTGATGTGATTCTTGTGCCAAGAGGTATAGCTAGCAGTTGCAATGGCATCATATTTCCAGTTGCCATTGCAGTAGCCAAGCTTGGGGAAGAATGTTACCATTTCTTGGTAGTACAGCTTACTGGTAGACCCTGATGCAGCTCCCCAACTTTTGGGCGCCTCCTTGATGTTCCAGATATCCACAAACACCTGTTGGGATGTGGTATGGATTGCTGTGACACACTCCAAGGGAATAGGCTTGTTATTCTTGTCAATGATGTAATGCAGCAGGTGTGACTTTTCAAGCTGGGTTGATGGTTTCTCTTGGCACTTCTTCCAGTCTTCCTTCGTCCATATGAACTCACTCAGGAAGTCAGCACGATGGTAGGATGGGACTGTGATTTCCTTCACTTTCAGTGTCACAGGCAGACTCTGAGGGGAGAAGGTACTGAGGTTGGCTGGGTCTAGAGTTAGCGTTAGAGATTCTGCAAGCTTATTATAAGCAGCCCTATTAAACTAATTGTTAGACACCCAAGAAAGGCAGTGTTATAATTAAAAGATGTGCTGGTGTAAATCCCACTTGTGTGCCAGCATTTGTTTGTCCATCCACAGCTGTAAAATATTGTTCTGTAGGAATTTAATCTGCACATTAAGACACGTATATGTGATGAAAGTCAGTACATTTATTTAAAAAAAATACTCAGTGAGGCTTTAACCTGCTCTTTGAGGCACATATATGCACTCAACAGACCATTTCCTCCCTAATTGTGGTGTTCAATTAAATAATTAATGGTATTAACATGACCTGTCCTTACCATGGGTGCATGCTCTTGCTGCATAAGGGGTGCATTAACCAGCCTCTGTTGAAAAAATGGATCCAGGGATGGAGAAATCATGTTATCAGAATCCGATGACCCATTCAAATCAGGGGAGGGAGACATCATAGTGTCCTGCTGGCAAGAAAAAGGAGGTAAACTACCTGCAGAATGATTAGGAATATTAGGGTATGGAGTTTTGTAATTCTCCGAGGGTGTAAAGTCATTATACTGGGGGAAAGAATAAGACATGGTGGTATAAGAGAAAGATGTTGGATGCACCTAAAGATGCACTGCAAGATGCCCAAAATGTGCTCACATGACCACTGGAAAATTCCAAAGTCTGGGAATATTTCATTAAGTCCTCAACACGGAGCATTTCATATCACTCTAATCTAATACCCTAATGCCTATCATAATCGACTCTGTCAATATGCTTGAGGATGTTATTTTCCTTGATATTGACAATGTAGTTCCTTCATGGGACACATACTGCTTTGCACTGGATATCCACTCTCCTGGACACAAGGTAAATCATTTGTTATTCTTGATGCCTATCTCACACATATCCAGAGAATTGTTTTATGCTTCAGAGATGCCCAGATACTCAAGTTGAAAAATGGTAAGGATGAGGAAGACAACTCACAGGTATTGGAAGACAAGGAAGAAGAGTTGGTGGTTGAGACATCAGAAGACAACTCAGAAGAGGAATTGGTGGTCAAGAAAGAGGAAGAAGAAGACAAGTGTCCTCAGGCCATTCCTCTGTACATTTATGGTGCCCCAATTTTACTGTTTACTTACCTGTTTCTCTTGCAGCAGCGCCTCTCCATGTAACCTCCTTAGCAGGCACCTCAAAAACCCCAACCCAGATCCAGACAATCCCACTGCACCTTGGCACTACCTTGTGCATCCAATTGGTGCATCTCATCTTAGTGCCAAAGCAGAGAAAAGAGATGCTGATGAGCAGGAGCTCCAGCAGAGGTTCACAAAGCAGTGTAAAGTTTAATTTTCTCCTTGCATCATTACTTACATCTGTGCAATTTGTGCTGCCACTCTTACTTGCTGCCACTCTTACTGTACTCTCACTAATGTATTTCTTGTCATGGTATCATTAATATTGCAACACAGTTCTTGAAACATGTCAATAGAACTACTAAATGTGCGCACAGAAGGGAAATGATGAGGCCAGCGGAAGTACTCCAGAAAGCCTTTAAAACTGTAAAAGGTCAGAACAGACAGAACAGATGAACTGTACAAACAGAAAGAGACTTACTGAAAATATCTATTCATCCTTGTCAGCATCATCTCCCATCTCCTCATCAACAGACACCAAACCAAGCCCAGGCTTCTCAACCAGAAAAAAGTGATCCTCTACCAATCCTGATGGGAGTTTAGGACAATGAGGTACCATAGTGACTACAGAATGTATCATTTTCATGCTGACTAGCTGCAGTGCCTCGTTGCCATGATATGTGCATGACCAAACAGTCTGTGCTGACTTCTGCAGTAGTTCTGGGTCTGGGCAAGAATAGACAGAGACCATTGCAATGGTGACAAAGTGGTAGATTTCATTGTCAATGTACTTGAACTCCTCATCATTGTCGTCCTCATTGATGTCGTCTGCATGGACCATAACAGCCAGCTGTGCAAAGTATAAAACTTCCACAATTTCGCTCTTGTTATGGATGGAGACCTAAATTTACAATTAGTTTCTGCTGAATAGTGTGAGCGAAGACAATCACCTTTACATTGCACAACATGCGAACATTCCCTGCAAGCTTGAGTTTTTCCTTCCATGCACAGCGAGCAATCTGCCCATTGGGAAGTCACAGTCTTGCCCAGCACTTGAACTTCAGAACAGGCCCATCAAGGAATTCACAAATCAATCATGTCTCAGTCTCACCTGGACGATAATTGTATCTGTCACGAGCCCTGAGGAGAACATAACCACCCCCAAAATTGACAGAATAATTAGGAAGTGGATTGTCAGGTGGTTCTAAGTCCAGAATCATAACTTTAAGTGCATTGATCTGGCAGCAGTGAATGGTGAGGAAGGTAAGATTTGAAAATAGATTGGAAGGTTGCTGAATTTCCATCCTGAGCATACCAATGATGCATTCCATAGTCCAATGTGCATAACACACAGATGGACCAGATCGAAAGCCTTCAGCTGCTAAATGATTGCCTTGGTGTGCGCATGGCTGGACAAAATGAATTCTGTCAGCTCAACGCTGATAATATATACACTTGAACTCATACTCCCACTCACAAAAGTACCTGTGAGCTGCTTGAATGTCATCAAATGTGAGACTATGCTGACTCATGATTTGGACACCTCAAATGAACTTGCAGTAATTTTGCCAGTACTTGTTGGGCAAGACACCATAGAGAAGACCTGGGCCAAGGCCCCACAGCCATAGGATAAACTCCCAGGCTTTGTAGTAAGTATTGATCTTCTCAGTGGGATTGCAAGGGGGCCAATCAAATGAACCAGGGAGATATTGCACACATGCAGCTACAGCGGTGCCGTGTTCTGTCCAAACAGCCTTGTTGTGGAACACTGCCCAGTCCCACAACTCTTTGTTATCTGAGGCATTGCACTTCATTGTGCCACACCACAAATCAGTGAAGAGCAAACCCATATTTGGACCCTTGAAGTACATGATATCAGGGGTAAAGCACTCTGGAATGCCAAACATGCAGTTGGGCAAGAGGCCAAGCAATATACTCAGCTTGACGATACCTGTTTTGAGATGCTGTTGATTATATTGGGCTAGGGTCATAGCAGAGACAAGATGGTAAAGATTGTCGATGTAGTTGGAGCATGGTGATAAGGAAAGTTTGTTGACATCAATATCATTGTGATCGCATCCAGAAACAGTGTAGTCAAGAGGCTTGAGAAGCATGGGATAGTATTGCAGCTGCCCTGGCTTGTGATGTCCCTTGAGACCACAGTACATCCTACACCTGTTCTTCCCAGTATGCCCAACCATGGAGCTCAAACAAAGTAAGCCAGGGCCATCTGCAGTTCCAAATGCGAAAAAAAGATTCGAGGTAAAAAGTTTGTCCCTTGACACATCCCATATATAAAGCCCTTCTTTCTGCACAGCAACAAGATGGTGTAGACCAGGGAAAAGAAATGATTCAATGGATTTCAGCTTCTTGGGACCAGGTATGATTCTGCCCAGGAGAATATACTTCTTCTTGTAGCATAACTCTGGAGAAAGATTGATGATGATCCAGATATATATCCAACAATCCAACTCCTTGCTCTCATAGAGTTGGGCTCCATTGATGGATAGCATAAGAACAATATCATCCTCCTGAATTTTCCTGCCATGAACAGCTTTCAGATATTCTGTGCCCATAATGATATCATTGTATATGGAAAGCTTGCCATCACCAAGTTCAAGTTCTTTGAGGATACATTTTGTGCATTCATCACGATAGCGCATGTTGGCTGCTCCACTAGGGTCTTGGTAGAGTGTCTGGAGTTGCAGACCAAGGGGGATGGTGTGAAACACCTTGACAGGTGACTTGACTTTGCCATTAGAGGCATCAAATTTGATCTGGTCATAACAGTGTGAATGGCATTCCAGACAACAATCAAGGTGTGCATATTCTCCTGTGAAAGCTGTGCAGCCCTCTACACACATGTCATCTATGATAGACTCAATCCCACTCATCTGTGCAATGATGCGCTTGATGTCATGGTGGGATGGGAATGCTGTGTCTGGATAACATCACAGGATGGCTTTGTGGGCATTGCTGTAAGCCTCCACTGCAGAATGTTCCAGCGCAAGGTAGGTGTCAATAGCTAAACAAACATGGGGATCTTCAATTTTGAGTTGAAGCTGAGGAGGGTTTCAAAGACATTCCAAGGCATTGGGATCTAATGGTGAAAGGTTGTCATCTAAAGTTGAGTGTCAAAGGGCTTGGATGAACGAGATGGATTGTAGTATACCCTCATGACAGCCAATGTTGGCCAGACATTGAATTTCATCAAGGTCAATATCTTCTATTGTGCACTGGTCCTCATTAGCAGCATGAAGGTTTGGTTCAGGCACGTGCTGGTCCTCATCACCAGGGTTAGGCTCTGGTGGAGGTGTAAGAGGGTCTCATTGTTGGAGGCAATCAGGTGCAGCATGCTGGTTCTCATAACCAGTAGGAGGGTCTGGAAGATCATCTGTATGGTCACCCTGCCAATAGAGGTCGTCGTTGTCATGGAACTGTAAGGGAGATTCTCAATAAATCAAATTATAATTGAAATAAATGACTTTACCTCATCTTCTGGTGTGCCCTGATCAACATTCATGCCCATATCATCACTTTGAATTGACGGACTCGGAGACTGCTCTCTTGTTGGCTCGACTGACACACACCAATTAGCACATTAATATAGTAGTACTAAACATAAGTTCTTAGCTTACTAGTACCACTGGTGCCAGCAGAGGCGCTTGATGAAGCGATTGGAGCAACACTAGCTATAGTACTAGTAGCTGCGGCGCTGTGTGCTCGAGAGACTAATAGTGCCTGAAGTTCTGCGGTTCGCGTGCTTGCGCCATTGTCTTGTGCTTTTACACAGTAATATTGTGCTTTCGAGACAGTCTGCAGACGGCCTTTGCGCATAATTTGATACTCTTTCGCAGGCGGCATAGTGAGTGTGAATGTTGTAGCTATAGAGCAGTGGCACACTGTTACTATGTGCCGGAATTATATGCAAGGGGCAAGGCCGGCAGGGTATAACACGAGAGCCAGTCAATTTCGCACAATCCCAGACTATTATTGCAGGCTGTTGCGTGCTGGATGCAACGTGCAGTGACGACGACAGCAGATATGCGCAGATAATTGATCTCGCACAAATTCAGGCAAGTGCTATTATTAGTATTAACTTCGCCAGCCATTCCCTCAGAGGCTTCTCAAAATTACACGCAACCTCGGCCATTCTCAGAACAGTGGGTTTTCACTGGGGTTGATCACTCAACAAACAGTGTCGGAGTCTTCAGGCAAGAGATAGATCCCAGACTCTTCGTTCTGCTGTAGTACTTTTTGTCGTAGGTATTTAGTGTGTTCATGACAGCTGGCATCCCTTGACAGACGGGTTAGAATGGAATCATGAATTAACTGGTATTGACATAGTAGCAAAGCTACATCATACTACACTCGATAAACATATTTGTCTATGTTCTGCCATGTGTCTCGTCGGTGTCAAGACTGTCATCGGCACCAGGGGACGCGCAGCAGAGAAACAACACCACGCGAACCCACGGTTTTGGGTTCTTGATGCGCCTGGCCTTTTCACTAGCAGTTTCGTGGTGAGGAGCAATAAATATTACCTGCACAGAAATCATCAGACCCAGCAATTAGAATACACGCAGGAAAGACACACCTCTCTGTCCCGCATTGCGGCAACATCGACGTCATGATGATTGCAGTGAGAGGAGGTAGTTGGCCCCAAGTGATGTTGGGGTTCGATTGCTTCATCAGCGTTGAGTGGAGCATGAAAGAGTGAGGACAGGCGACCCATTAGTGCACCCGGACGTGAGACTGAGGGTGTTTGGGATTGCTGAGGTTCGGGTGCTTCGTCGGTGTAGAGTCCAGGGCGGGGCAAAAGTGAGGACAGGTGACGGAGGAGTACCTGTAGATGTAAACGCGAAAGTATTTGGGATTGCGGAAGTTCGGATGTTTCATCAGTGTTACGTGGAGAGCGAAGGTGTGAGGACAGGTGATTGAGGAGCGCATGCAAATGTGACTCTGAAGGCACTGGAGGTTGCTGAGTTTCGATCGCTTCATTGGGTCGAGAGCGACGAAGAAGCGAGTAAAGGCGGCCAAGGAGTGCAGAAAGATTAGGATTGGCACCAGGTGTTGCAGAGGACTGAGAACAGTGATCAGGATAAGAACTAACAAGTAAAAATGTTGATAACGCACATGTGCATTAATATCGGGTTGCGTGTCGTCGAAAAAACCTGGTGGAAGTTCCTCTCTGCCCCCAAAGTGGCCGAAACCTCCCGTAGCGTCAGCCTGAAATGTCAACGTTATTACCACACGAGGTTGACAAGGGTATCGCGTACCTCTAGAAACGACCTGTCTTCGATGCCCTGCGACGACTCGGATGGGGAAATGTGCTCTTTGCTTGAGGAGCCAGATGATGTATACAGTTTCTGTTTGGGTTCAGCTTTTGATGCCTAAATGATATCAGGATTAATATTGTTGATGAGACAGTGAGTGACACTCACGCTATCAGGTATGGACAGGAGGTCTTCTAGGCCAGCTGTTTTCAGGATGGCTTGAACGTCCCAAACATACGCGTTTTTATCAACACAACCCGTGGATAGCAGCTTTCCATCGGCGGAAAAGGCCGAACACCTGACGTGGTCTTCGTGTTGGATAGGTGAACCGACTTGGAGGTTGGTGTCAAGATTCCAGAGCCGCGCTGTTTTATCCCAATACGATGTACTCGCAAGGAGGCGGTCGTTCTGAAATAAAGTGATGGAGGTGACATCCGATGTGCCATGAAGAACGGCGATCTGCTGCCATGTGGCAGTGTCGAATATCCTAATCAAGCCATTCAACAACCCGGAGATGAGCTTCTTTTCGTCTGATGTCCAGGCTAGGCTCGTAACTGATCCATCGAGTTTGACTGTGTTGAGCAGCTTGCCTGTCTTTGCATCCCAGATTTTGATTCCATGGTCCGCCTTTCTCCGAGCTGGCAAGTTGTCTTTGACTGCAATTGAGAGCACCTGAAAGTCCGAGTACCGAACTGGATATTTAATCGCGTCCCAGATTTTGACGTTCCGGTTGAATCCTCCTGTCGCAACCATTGTTGCCTTGGGTGAGTAACTCACCGCCCACAGCACAGCGTCTCCCGTCTTGATCGGATTCAAACCCTTAACAGGTTCTCCACTCTTCACATGCTTCACATCCCACACTCTTGCCGTCCCATCTACTGATCCGCTCACCACTCGCTTACCATTTGGACTCCAGCACACTGACTCCACAGCTCGAGTGTGCCCTTGCCATCCGGCGATGACCTTTCCCGTCTCAATGTCCCACAACCTCACTGTCCTGTCCCTATTTCCGCTCGCAACAGTCTTGCCGTTTGGAGACAATGCCATAGTGCCTACTCCCGCCTTAACCCCCTGATCTCGCCACTCGTCACCTATCTGTACACCACTCTCTAGGTCCCATAGTCGGAGTGAGCCGTCCCATGAAGATGTGATAATGCGTTGCCCATCGGGCAGGTGCGCAACGTTAGATAATGGATCGGTATGACCTCGCATCGTCTTGCGGGGAGTTACTGCTGACGTCTTAGCGGTAGGAGAAGACATGGTGGCGCTCGGGGATCTCAACCAAAGAAGTTGTTGGTAGGGTATAGCACGGGTATATCCGCGGGTCGGAAGATCAACACCGTACCCGTACTAACCCGCGGTATAGCAGCTTACCCCGGTGTTGTATTTACCCGCGGGTACACACAAGAAATAGTAACACTACGTAGGTCCAATAACCTCACCCAACACTCTCGTCCTCTCGTTTTCTTTTCTTCAGAGACTTCATGATCTTAGTAAGGTCCTCTGGTGTCTTTGTAACGATCTATGTACTCTTCTCGGACGAGATTTTCGGCATCTTCAATCCACTCATCTTTCCATTTTTTTAGCCAGAAGCGTGGGTCAGCACAAACCACCCATACAACTGACGACTTATGCTCACTTGTTGCAATGCGATACGTGTTTGAGTCATTAGTCATTTTCCAGTATGTATCCATTTTCTTGCGAGCAAGTTTCATCGTGCTTTGGATGGTTGGTCAGAATTTCTCTTTCGTCTCGACATTGTTCATGTGGTTATCAAGTTTGTCCATTGCAGGTATGACTGCATAGACACTGGCCGAGTTGCGCGAAAAAAGAGCGTAGCCTGCTTGTAACGCTTGCATTGAATCGAATAAGTCCTGAAAATAACTTGATCAGAGGCTAAGTAAGCTGCCTCCAGTACAGCGACAAGTTCCTGGACGGAAATGAACTAGACGTTCATCGTGATACTGGACAGTCACAGCATCAAGCTTAAAAAATGAATAGACCACTGAACGCCATGTCTTCTTGAGTGCGTCTGTGAGTGAAAATTAATCCAGGTTTATGCAAACGCGAACAACAAGTTCACGTACTTAGATCAGCTTCATCATCCTGTTCAGCGGCAGGACATTATTTTCATCAACATCGACATCAATTACCTCCGGAGCAGCGGATTGCAACTCGGAGGGGTTACTTTGGCCTGTGGAAGGACAAGCTTAACACGTTTTACAACATTGTCCGCTATGGGCTGCAGAGATGACGATAGCATCTGAACACGTTGAGGTAGACTTAGCAATAGACCGATTAACCACAATGATGGAATAGATGGAGTATTGAGAAATGTAGAGTCTGCATACCTCACTTTATACTGTTGAATCACCGAGTTGTAATCAGTAATAGTAATGTGTCTCCGAGACGGAAGAATGGAACTGGTAGGAATATTGAAGCAGCGAGAAATAGGATCGAAGCAGTGGGTCACTGTTGCAGTCAACGACCCTCCGAAAAATAAGGATCGTAGTGAGTGGCGAATCCTTGTTATGTCCAACATATAACACCACGGAGAACATTCGGAGATAGCGCGGCCGGCTACCCGTGAACATACCCGTATACCGCGCTGACGGGTACGGTACGGCCACGGGTAGCACATCTCGACACCGTACCCGTACCCGCCATACCCGTGACCCCCATACCCGCGGTGTGGCCCATACCCGTGCTATACCCTACTTGAGCGCTTGAATCGGTCCGATTTTTCTCCGCTCTCTCCACATGTGCTCCCTTACAGCCTATTGATGTCAGGGCCCTACTCGAAGGACACACGCTTCTCTGCATAAGACATCGATTGGTGGTGCAATGGTGAGCAGCCGCATCCCAGATGCATACACTAAGCTATACTCACTGCGTGAAGTTTGTCCAAGTGTACACGAATCACGTGCTGTCGTTCTCTTGCAGAGGCTGTTGCCAGTACCTTAACAAACTTATATTTTGTCATGTCACAAGACGTGCATGAAGCATTATTAGATCCTAACATCATCGGGACAAATGCTTATTCCTAATGTCGCAAGAGATCGTTACGATGATCCAGAACCCTGGTCTGATCTTATCTTTTTTTCTCACTTTAGCCTTTCTGTGATGTTTACGCCGTACGACTCATGACACAGAAAAACTCTACTGAAGAATGAGAAGGGCTGTTGGATAGCTGAGATGTCATTTAATCTGGCCTTCAGGATTGGGCAAGTATTGTCGTGTGATCACGCAACCAAGAGTATTCGAGTATTCTAACGAGCCATGAATTCCGACAGCGTATCTTATTTCTGCTTGCCCGGCGCTCAACCCATGTTCCTTAATACTTAACTTTTTCTTTTTCTTTACCCCGAGAGGTATAGGCATCCGGTCCAAATCGAATTCACTTTGGCCTCAGCCGTGAGTGAATACAGTTGATTCACCGAGACGTTCCTCTAGACCTCCTCCTTTCTGTTGAATATCGTACTTTCACGCGATGGACAGCAATAGATGGCTCTTTGGATGCTGCATGGCTCAGGGCGGCCGAGATTCTTCATGTGTTGCGGCCTATTATACCGAGGCACTGCCATCGGTGTGCAATCACCCAGTCCAATGGCACAAAGCTGGCAGCGAAGGGGTGAGGTTTGCCCGAGGGCACAAATCTACTGACTCTCACGTTCAATCTTCGTGGGTAGGTAGTTTGTAATAAAGGAACACACCAAGGACGCATGATCAATGCTGCCGACAATACATGATCATTGAACAATCCATGATGAGTGATGTGTTTCAGGGAAGCGATAAGTACACCTTGTATTTTGGAAGCGGTGATAGTGCATCATCGTGACGCGCGAGAGGAGAGATGTGCATGTGTGTCATCACCGTCAAGACACCACAGAGATGGCAAGCCGATCAGTTCCATTTCATTGCGGCAGCCAAACTGAAGCACATTCCAAGAGTAGCCATTCTGTCGAAATAAATTCGACTATCCAGATCAGCCACTGCGATAACTGTCAGTTTCAGACACGTCAAAAATTGTCCTATTCAAGACCCAGCTGAATACAATACAGGGAACGAAACAAACTGGGTTATGAGGCTGAAAGTGAATGGTGAAGTGATCGGATGGGTGACCTTGCTAGATCGAGTGTATATGGACAAGTGTGAAAGCGTCATGAACTAGGACAGCACAAAGTATGTAGAGCAGGGTAGAGATTATTCATTGAGGTATGAATATGATAACGGTCAGAACACGGCAGTCAATAATGCTACAAGCGCATACTGCATTCATGTAGAATTTGTCTCGTCCGTGATGGCTTCGGGCTGGAACGGAGTAGTAAGTGATGATATTGTATGCTCAATGCCCTTCAAAGCCCCCCGTAGAGTAAGGCGAAGTTGTGGTCATCCCAAAAAAGAATACTTAACTCAATTCCGACCAGGTTAGAAATGCGCAAACTTCATGTTGAAAAGAAATTAAATGTGCAGGAGGGTTAGCACCTTGTGGGTTGTTCGTTCGTGGGCGAGTGAATCGTCTCGCGTTCTTCAGACAAGCATCCACGCATAACTAAGTCTAGTGCTCGAGAACCTGGAGAATAAGTTAGGCACGTATATGAAATGAAACGTACTTGAGGTATATGTAAGTTCACATCATACCGAGCTCCTCTAGGCTAGACAGTCCTCACCAACTGATGTCACAGTGCAAATCGACCTATCTTCTCACAGACGAACTATAATGCGAGGCGTCGATGATTGTTATTAATGATAGCAGAAACACTGAGAGATAACAAAAGGAGAACATCAAAATGAATGTGATTGTGCATATTCTAATACCATCAGTAACCGTTGTCGGTGGACGGAGACGCACAGCATATAAACAGTACAACAAAAAGGAGGATGTCAAGATGAATGTGATTCTGCGTGTTCTGACACCATCAATGACCGTCATCGGTGGACGGAGATGCACAACAGAGGAACAACACAACACGAACCCACAATCTGGGGTTCGTTATGCGTTTCGCCTTGTCGCTAGCTCGTTCCTGCCGCCGAGCAGTATACAGTGCCTGTAAAGAAAATTTGAGACACCAGTCATTGGGAACATAACCCCAAAAAGACGTGCCTTCTTGTCATCTAGTGCAGGAACTTCGACAATAGGAGGACTACGACGAGAGGAAGTACTAGGTCCTTGGCGTTGCTGGAGTTCGATTGGCCCACTAGCGTTGGGCTGGGGACGACGAAAAAGTTGGGGTGGGCGAGCGAGGAACATATTTAGACGTGATCCCCAGGAGGGTGAAAAAGGACGGCGGCGGCGATGTACAGAGGGAGTATCTTGGTCTTTCACGTTATCGAAAAAGCCTGCTGGCACTCGACGGGGGGTTGGACGGATGGGTGGTCGTCGCGTAGCATTAGCCTGAAATGTCGATGTCACAATTAGTGTCAAGGTTAAAAAATGGCGCAACATACACCTGTCAATAACTTGTGCGAGTGGAACATTAGCGTGTTTCATTCTTGAAAAACCAAAAAACAATCCATACCCTCTTTTTGAGTTCAGATTTTTGAGCCTGACAGTGATTGGGGATGAGATAGTGAGTGGGAGTGAAGTTGGTACTCACATCAGGTATGGTCAGGAGGTCTTCTAGGCTAGCTGCCTTGAGGATAACGTGAATGTCCCAGACGTACGCGTTTCTATCCTCACAACCTGTGACTAGCAGCCTTCCATCAGTGGAAAAGGCCGCACACTCGACGTGGTTTTCGTGTTGGAGAGGTGGTCCGACTTGGAGGTTTGTATCCAAATTCCAGAGGCGTGCTGTACAATCCCATGATGTACTCGCAAGGAGGCGGTCGTTTGGAAATAAAGTGATGGAGAAGACAGCATTTTGGTGACCGTCAAGAAAGGCAATCTAGTGCCATGTGGCAGTGTCGAATATCCTAATCAAGCCATTACTCAACCCGGAGATAAGTTTCTTTTCGTCCGATGTCCAGGTTAAGCTCCACACTGGTCGATCCAGTGTAACCGTGTTGAGCAGCTTCAACTTGCCCGTCTTTAAATTTGCATCCCAGATTTTGATTCCATTTTCGTTGTGTCCTCCTGTTGCAATCATTGTTGCCTTGGGTGAGTAACTCACCGCGTACACAATCTCGTGTCCTGTCTCTATTGGATTCAGACCCTGAACGGGTTCTCCACTCTCCACATCCCAAACTCTTGCTGTCCCATCTTCGGATCCACTCACTACTCGCTCACCATCTGGACTCCAGCACACAGACTCCACAGTTCGAGTGTGCTCTTTCCATTTGGCAATGACCTTCCCCGTCTCAACGTCCCACAACCTCATTGTCCCGTCATTGCTTCCGCTGGCAACAAACTTACCATCTGGAGACAATGCCATGGTCACTACTCCTACATCATCCCCTTCATCTCGCCACTCTCCACCTATCTGTGCACCACTCTCTAGGTTCCATAGTCGAAGTGAGCTGTCCAAGGAACATGTGATAATGCGCTGCCCTCCCGGCAGGTGCGCAACGCCGAATACGTACTCAGTATGACCTTGCATCGTCTTGCGGGAAGTTACTGCTGACACCTTTTCCATATTGGTAGGTGGAGAAGATATGGTGGGCGCTTGGGGGTCTCAATGATCGAGGGAATTGTGGACTATATGCGCGAGAGCAGCTTGTTGTATCTTTGGATTAGAGTTGGTTGTCTTGCGGGGGTATAGATCGTAGGTGAATTCACTGGCCTATCTGCTTTCACCTGAGCTCATGTCAACGGAAAGCCTGGATGGATTGCTCACGAGAGGTCCTATCTAGCGTAATTCAATCCTGACTCACAGGACAGCTTCGGGACGATGCATCCAGGAGATATCCCTCAATACCAGTTGGTGAGTGGTCCTATCTCTTCCTCACTTCAGCCCTTTCCTACTCGAAACAACCAGAGTATCACTCACAGCAAAGCCCCACTTAGAACAGTCTGAACCAGATTCACTCCACGCAAGATTGAGAGGCGTGTGCTGGTAGCTGCGACAGTGGGTGTTTGCTTTGGGGTCGAGAGGGTTGCGAAAGTGTTGGTTTAAGTTGCCTATTAAGCTGCACATTCGCTGTCCTCGTGTTCTCCACAGCTTCACAGTGCTGTGCAGGCGAAGCGCCGCGTGCGTCTCACTATCTCTATTCGGCCTTTAAATAGTCCGATGCATCTCCGCTTTCTACATGTTTTCTACCAGCTTGTCTATCGCACCCCTGCTCGGAAGATGGTGTTGCACGCTTCTCTGTATCGCACAGAGGACTTCGATGGGTGGTGCAATAGTGAGCAGCCACACTTTATACAGTTATGCACTACGCTATCTTGCTCAAAGTTCAAGCATACGTGAGTTGCGGATTGTCGTTCTTTTGCAAAGTCCGTTGCCGATAAGTTGACATACATGTCCATTGTCCCATCAACTCTTATGCATACTATGTCCATAGACTTGTATGAAGCATTTTTCGATCTTGACAATGTCAGGACGGTGCGTGCAGGAATTGCTCACTCCTGCGTTCCTACAGACTTCGCCAAAGATCGTTATGACAATCCAGGAGTGATCTAGCTCTATTCTTTTCTCGCCTCAACTTTTGTGGAACTTGTACTGTATCACGGCAGACAAGCTCTACTGAAGGGTGCCTAACTCAGACGTCGTTGGGTTTGTCCTTCAGGATTGGGTAAGTTTTATCACACTATCATGCAACGAGAATATCACAGTCTTCAGGCAAGCAATATATGCTGATAGCGTGTCTTATCTCCGCTTGCCCCATGCTTAACCCATACTCGTCAACACCAGATGGCTCTTTCTTTTTCTTACCCCGAAAGAAGGCGTTGGCTATGCCGGAGGGGCGAAGGAAGCTGTAAGTTTTCATGTGAATCATCATCGATGCATCGTCGCTGAGCGTTTCTAAGAAAATACAACTTCTGGCGAACTATAGTGGATGGGCAATGCCCAACCAATTTGAAACGAGATATGCATGAATTGACTGAACTTAGGTACTATTAGTCACCACCAGTTCGTGCATCCCCACATCTCGTGCATGTTGAAAACATTGTCAGAACCTATAGCTACTCACGTGCACTTGAATAAATGCTACGACGAAAATATTGCCCAGACCCATAAATCCTTTACAAGGGTCCACTGCACAACACCACATACCAAGACAAAAGTATGACTGAATAAAAACGAATTCTCCTGCTGCTCCCTGCAGGGCACTAGACAACCATTGGTTCCATCGAGTATATCCCGTGCTATACACCATGGCCAGTCGATATATACACGCGTTCCTGGAAAGCGATTGAGGTCATACCAGTTGCTGCGTCGGAATTGGCCACGAGCTTAGCATGATATTCTCGAACCCCAAGGATCAGGCGTGGTCCTAGCACAAACATTTGCACGACCGTTGAAATCTGAATCAAGCCATAATAAATCTGAGTTTCCAGGGAATTTTGGTGCTATAGAAATGATGAATCGTGGTTGCATGCAGTAGTCAGTGAAATATTAACATACCGCCAAGAGTGTTGGGTCCAAGTTAAGAATGAGGTGGAAGCAAGAAACAGCAACGAAGCTGGCATGTCCGATCCATTAGTGGAAATGGGAATCGTATTCACAACATAAGCTCACCTCACAAAGTAAAGCACGTGAGTTTGAATCAACACCGTGAAACAGTCCCCGATAATCCCTCCTGACGAATCTCGTCGCAGTTCACGGAAGTGTTTGACAGCAATCCAGATTGCGAGAAATAGTGCGAGGACCTCCCACGCGGTGCCGAGTATCCAACTGATGGGACCCAGAAGTGAGATATTTCCCACTGGCAGGTAGCTAATCGAGCACTGATAGGTGCCGGAAAGAATGAGTTCCTCTGGTATTCATCAGTGTGATCCATATCTTTTGTCATCCACAATTAAGCGTACCTCCTGAAGTATGCATTGTTGCCATTACGGCAACCACTACATTGAAGATTTTCTCAGCCAGGAAGGTGACGATGAGAAATATCAGGATCTTTCTGGATCCGCGATACATGGCATGTAACCGAGTGATGATGATGACTTGCGCAATGTTTCAGTCAGGTCAAGTATACTGCAAGTGCCAAGCGCACCCCACAACATTGCAAGTACCAAAACAGTCGTCCAGTTCCATACAACGAACAGTATCCAGCCTAAGGAATCCAGTCATTGATCAGACTTGGGTAGCACACACTCCAAACCGACTCACATCTGTGGCAGTCATTGGTGAACCAAGAAGTTAGTAAAGAACCACACCCACTCCTACAGGGCACTACGATTAATTGGAGGGGAATAGCAAGCATCTGTACAGAAGACTGACCGTATCTGTTAGCAAGATGGTCGGAATACTGCCTGTACTATGCCGTTGGTCAGAAGAAGCGAGTGTACTGAGGAGACATACTCAGCATGTCCAGGCTGATTATGGGAGATAAACGTTTAAACGATTAGCACAACACTGATTGTTTAGCCGAACATACGCAGTAAATAGGATCCCAAGATAGCGCGCCTAGGATACTTTCAAGTCAGCATAACATGACAACTGTGACAGGCAAGCTACACACACTGAGATACAGAATTGTCATTATAGACCAGCGTTGCCCCTGGAATCAAATGTACTTTCATATGTGTTCCTCTGATATGAGACTCTACTCACCCAGATCAGTTCGACCTATAAAATCATTCTTAGTGAAATGACTGCTCCGACCATCACATCAACGTACCTCCTGTCCGAATGTAAGTGCTGAAGATATTTGTAAGATATCAGCAGTTCTTCAATATTATCATGCTCACCCCAATCATACGCAACTCCAACAAGGGCGGCAACTGCGGAACCACAGTCAAGGTTAAGTCGAGACGTCAGCTTCAACATCCGGCTGCTATCCACGAACCAAAAAAATAGCTGCGGAAGTGATATGCATTGATGACTGGCCACGCAGTGGGATTGTTTGAGATTATGGTCATACTGGTAGAGAATGGGGGTACGGGTGAGAGGCGAACTTGGTGGACGTATGGCGATGACGTTCGTGCTAGATATATCACAATCGTGTGCATCACCAAAATGATCCTAGCGCATCTTCTTACGGTTATCGGACTTTCGTATCATATAGTAAGGACGCCAAAAATTGCGAGTGCAGAGTCTTCAATTTGGAAAGTGGTGTTAGTGTGGTGGTGACAGGCATCGGTTTGCACAGCCAGAGACATCCTACTTGAGAATCCGTGATTGATATCTGGTGAAGATACAGCGCCATCCCTAGATTAAAATAGCGCTGAGAGAGGACATGAAAAAGAAGACTTGGGCGCGCTGTTGTGACCACATGAAGCCTGACTTGTTGGTCTTCAAACTGATGTTGTAAAACCTGATCGACGAGCCTCAGCAGCATCTATATCCCAGGGTGTGATAACTCACCCCAGCAACATAGCTGCCAAGGCACAGCCCTCGATGCTAAATCAACTAAAAACCAATGGAAAACTTGGTCTTACAGCGGCCTAGGTGTGTGATCTGGGCTCAAAGAAGCTTGGCATCTCCATAGAGATGCTCAGTTCTAAAATGCCCCTGTTGTTTGCTGTTCAAACACAAGTCCGGTCGGCAGCACTCTCCAGCCGCTTAACCGGAACACTGCGTTATCAACCCTAATCGAGTCAACGACCAAACGTTCAACGTCGAACTACCCTCAACATGCCTTGCGCACAGCGACATAAACATGATTATAGGGACATCCTTACTTTACATTCCATCTTAGCCAGTACACTGGCTGTATGCAAGCATTCACAACACAGGTCCTCTCCTCAGATCGTCACCATACGCTACGCCCATTAATGACTGTCGTTGGTGGACGGAGATGCACAGCAGAGAAACAGCACAACACGAGCCCACCATGCGGGGTTCTTGATGCGTTTCGCCCTGTCGCTAGCTCGTTCCGGCCGCCGGGCAGTATATAGTGCCTGTAGAGAAAACTTGAGACACCAGCCATTGAGAACGTATCCTCCCAAAAAACATACCTTCTTGTCATCTAGTGCAGGAACTTCGACAACGGGAGGACTGCGACAAGAGGAAGTATTGGACCCTGGGCGTTGCCGAAGTTCAATTGGTTCATCGATGTTGGGTCGGGAACGGCGTAAGAGTGAGGGAAAGCGAGCGAGAAGCACACGTCGACGCGATCCCCAGGAGGGTGTAAACGCACTGTGGCGGCGATGTAGATCGGGATCGGGCTGAAGACGTTGGGTAGTAGAGTATCAATAAAATATAAATAAGAACAAGAGCTGCAGGAAAATTGAGATGGACGCACAGGACCACAGTCTTGCACGTCATCAAAAAAACCTAGTAGGCGATGGGGGGCTGGACGTTGTTGCGTTGCATTAGCCTAGAATGTGAATGTAAGTGTGTTTCATTCTTGAAAAGCCATGAGATGATACATACCTTCTTTTTAAGTTCAGATTTTTGTGCCTGACAGTCATTGGGAATGATATTGCGAGCGGGAGTCGAGTTGACACTCACATCAGGTATGGAAAGGAGGTCTTCTAGGCCAGTTGTTTTTAAGATGACTTGAATGTCCCACACGTACGCGTTTTGATCATCACAAGCTGTGGATAGCAGCTTTCCATCAGTGGAAAAGGCCGCACACTCGACATGATTTTCGTGTTGGAGAGGTGGTCCGACTTGAAGGTTTGTATCCAAATTCCAGAGACGTGCTGTACAATCCCATGATGTACTCGCAAGGAGGCGGTCGTTTGGAAATAAAGTGAGGGAGAAGACAGCATTTTGATGACCGTCAAGAAAGGCAATCTGGTGCCATGTGGCAGTGTCGAATATCCTAATCAAGCCATTTCTCAACCCGGCGATAAGCTTCTTCTCATCTGATGTCCAGGTTAAGCTCCAAACTGGCAGTTTGAACTTTTCTCTGATTGTTGAGAGTAGCCCGCCCGTCTCTGCATCCCAGATTTTGATTCCATCTTCGTTATATCCTCCTGTCGCAATCTTTGTTGTCTTTGGCGAGTAATTCACCACGTACACTTGCTGGTGCCCTGTCTTGATTGGATTCAAACCCTGAACGGGTTCTCCGCTCTCAGTATGCCACACTCTTGCAGTCCCGTCCCAGGATCCAGTCACCACTCGCTCACCATTTGGACTCCAGCATACTGACTTCACAAATTCGGAGTGCGCTTTCCATTTGACGACAACCTTCCCCGTCTCAACATCCCACAACCTCACTGTCCCATCCTGGCTTCCGCTGGCAATAGTCTTGCCATTTGGAGACAATATCATTGTCCTTACTCCTGCCTCATCCCCTTCATCTCGCCACTCGTTACCTATCCGCGTACCGTTCTCTATGTCCCATACTCGAAGCGAGCCGTCGTCCGAACATGTGATGATGCGCTGCTCACCGGGCAGGCGCGCAACGCCTTCTACTCGTCCGGTATGGCCTCGCATCGTCTTGCGGGGCGTTACTACTGATGTCTTTTTCATCTTAACAGCAGGAGAAGATATGGTGGACGTTCGGGGATCTCGATCAAGGAAATCAATCCTGACGGCTTCGGGACGTGTGTATGTTCGCTGTTTGAACTATACGAGGATGCAAGACGCCAGTCAGCAGGTAGGCTTTAGGCTTTCCTTACCTCGACCTTTCTTGGGAAAGAGTGTTACTCACGGCTCAGACAACTTTGACAAGCGCCACTGAGGATCGAGAGTTGCAGATTGATAGCCGATATAACCAATGTTTTGTTTGGAATTTAAGAAGTTGTGCAAATGATCGTTCAAGTTGTATGTTAAGGTGCGTGTTCCATTCGTCATCTTTGTCTCTACAGATTTATAGTACTTGCTGTGCAGATGAAACGCCCAGGTACGACAATGTTGTGATGTGCATCTTCCACCATCATTTCCCATGCCAGTATTTGACAGATTGTCGTACTTTACTCCTGTATTCTGCAGGACGGTGAGGCATGTTCCTGATTGGTATTTAGTGGTCATCTTTTCATTTCGAAGTTAATGAGCTGTCCAAGAGTGCTACCAAGTATGTAGAATAAGTCATCGACCGACTCCTCTCTGCCCTCAGGGTGAATAAAACGCATCACTTGTGCGAGATGATGTAGAATCTCCCAAGGGGGATCTTGAATAACAACTTTTAAGAGTGGGGGTACACTGTAGGAAGACGGCCGGCCGAACGCCCTATATCCCAAGTATAGAAGTCGGGAATTCCGATCAGTTTGCTAGGTAATATTTAATACAGCGATGGAGTAGTCGGAAAAAAGAAATAAGTGATGAAAAGAAAATAGTTGTCTATGTTCTGCTATGTGTCTCATCGGTGTTAGGACTGGTATCGGTACCAGGAGATACACAGCAGAGAAACAACACCACGCGAACCCACAGTTTGGGGTTCTTGATGCGCTTGGCCATTTCACTAGCTGTTTCCGGTTGGCGAGCAACAAATATTACCTACACAGAGATCATCGGACCCAGCAATCAGAATACACGCAGGAAAGACCCACCTCCCTGTCCTGCATTGCGGCAACATCGACGACACGACTGCAATGAGAGGAGGTGATTGGCCATGGGCGATGCTGGAGTTTGATTGCTTCGTCGGCGTGGGGTGGAGAGCGAAAGTGTGATGATAGGTGACCTATCAGTGTACCTAGACGTGACCCCAAGGGCACTGGAAGTTGCTGAGTTCCGGTCGCTTCATTTGATCGAGAACGACGAAGGAGTGAGGAAAGGAATGCAGAAAAATTGGGACGGGCACTAGGTATTGCGGAGGGCTGAGAGCACAGCGGTCAGGACTAGAACCGATTAGTACAAACACTGATGACGCACACGAGCAGCTGTGTGGTGAAAGAATCTTGGTGAAAGTACATCTGAGGCCTCGAACTGGCCAAAACCTCGCGTAGCATCAGCCTGGAATGTCAATGTCATGATCATTGACAAGGTCGACAACCGCATTACGTACCTCCCAAAACGACTTGTCTTCCATGTCCTGCGCAACTTTTGGCGTCTAATTAAGAGCAAATGATATCAAGATTGTCAGTAAAACGGTGGGTGACATGTCGACACTCACATTAGGTACGGGCAGGAGGCCTTCTAAACTAGCTGCTTTAAGGATGGCTTGGATGTCCCATATGTATACGTTTTTATCAGCACAACCTGTGGATAGCAGCTTTCCATCAGCGGAAAAGGCCGCACACTCGACATCCTTCTCGTGCGGGAGAGGTGGTCCTACTTGGAGGTGTGTGTCAAGATCCCAGAGACGTGCTGTACAATCCCATGATGTACTCGCAAGGAGGTGGTCGTTCGGAAATAAAGTGACGGACTTGACAGCATTTTTGTGACCCTCAAGAACGGCAATCAGTTGCAATGTGGCAGTGTCGAATATCCTAATCGAGCCTGGACCATTCCTCAACCCGGCGATAAGCTTCTTTTCGTCCGATGTCCAGGTTAAGCTCCAAGCCCACTCCTGTTGTTTGATTGTCGAGAGCAGTTTGCTCGTCTCTACATCCCAGATTTTGATTCCATTCTCGTTGTATCCTCCTGTCGCGATCATTGTTGCCTTGGGTGAGTAACTCACCACGTACACCGTCTCGTGTCCCGTCTTGATTGGATTCAAACCCTGGACGGGTTCTCCGCTCTCGACATCCCACACTCTTGCCGTCCCGTCCCAGGATCCGCTCACCACTTGCTTACCATTTGGACTCCAGCACACTGAATACGCAACTCGGGTGTGCACTTCCCATTTGGCAATGACTTTCCCCGTCCCAACGTCCCACAATCTCACTGTCCCATCACAACTTCCGCTGGCAACAATTCTGCCGTTTGGAGACAATGTCATGGTCCTCACTCCTGCCTTATCCTCTTCATCTCGCCACTCGCCACCTATCTGTGCACTGCCCTCTAGGTCCCATATTCGAAGTGAGCCGTCAAAAGAACATGTGATAATGCGCTGCTCGCTGGGCAGGTGCGCAACGCCGCTTATACAGCTGGTATGGCACCGCATCGTCTTATGGGGCGTTATTACTGACGTCTTTTTCATCTCAGTAGCAGGAGAAGACATGGTGAGCGCTCGAGGATCTCAATCAAGGTAATCGTGGCTTATATGCGCGAGAGCGGCTTGTTGGATCTTTGGATTAGAGCGGCTTGTCTTGTGGGGGTATGGATCGTGGGTGAATTTACTGGCCTATCTGCTTTCACCTGAGTTCATGTCAATAGAGGCGCCTGGAGGGACTGCTCACGAGAGATCCTATCCTGTGGAATTCAATCCTGACTCACAACACAGCTTCGGGATGGCGTATCCAGGATATCCTTCAAGACCAGTCAGTAAGTGGCCCTATCTTTTCCTCACTTCAGCTTTTCCTGCTATATACAACCAGAGTATCACTCACGGCAAAGCCCCACTTGAAACAATCTGAACAGATTCACTCGCAAGAACGAGAGGTGTGTGCTGGTAGCTGAGACAGTGGATGTTTGCTCCGGGTTCGAGCCTACTGAGGTGCGTATTCGTTGTGCGTGTTCTCTCCACAGCTTCACGGTGCTATGCAGACGAAGCGCCACGTGCGTCTCCCTATCTCTATTCGGTTCTTCAAATGATTCAATCATCTCCGCTTTCTACACGTTTTCTACCGGCCTGTCTATGCCGATAGGTTGGCAAATATTTCTATCATCCCATCAATTCTTATGCAATGTCCATAGACGTGTATGATGCATCTTTCGATCTTGGCAGTGTCACGATGTATGCAAGAATCGCCCACTTCTGCGTTCCTACAACTTGAAACTTCACAGGAGTTCATTATGACGATCCAGGAGTGGTCTAGTTCTATTTTTCTCGCCTCATCTTTTGTGGGACTGATATCATATCATGGCACAGACAAGCTCTACCGAAGAGGTGCCGTTGGATCACTCAGACGTCATTAGGTTTGTCTTTCAGCATTGGGCAAGTTTTATCGCTCTATCACGCAACAAGGAGCATCAGAGTCTTCGGGCAAGCAATAGATGCCGACAGCATGTCTTCTACCTGTTTGCTCCATGCTCAACCCACACTGGTCAACACCAGATGCGGTTCTTTCCCAAAAAAGACGTTCAACTATATCGGAGAGGTGAAGGAAGATGTAATTTTTCATATGAGCCATCATCGCCGAATGTTTCTGAGAGAATACAACACTTCTGGCTAACTAGAAACGAGGGATGAGAAGATCGGCATGATCTTTCTCAGATCCGCGAATATCTTTGGTCTCTGCATCGAAAAGAACGTGCACGAGCCAGCGGCTACATGGTTCGCCCCACGGCTCTTGCGCATCTTCAGGGACGCTTTAACTATCCCCGCACCACTCTGCTCAGGAATATTCCCTCTCAGATAGGTCAGCTCATTTTTGTTCTGTTATTTGTGTTGTTTGAATGGCTCAAGACACTGGCGTCATGCCTATGTCCTGCAACCTATGCATTTTGGCCTCGAATTGAAAGACGGCACAAGCTGCTGTCTTGTGCTCTCGATGACTGGCTAGTAGTCTCAACTCTATTCATTCATGCGTTAGGTTACTTTATTCGAAGTCAAACGTTCATAGAAAGTGTGCCGATTGTAGGAGAATATCTCTATTTCATTTCGCCTCCCCAGTTCTCCTCCGTTTCATCTCCTCGTCCAAGACTGGTCTTTACTCCTGGCAATCACTCAAAAACGAGGGTCGAAGCGAGACAACATGATGCTCAAGCATCGCATATTTGAATGTGCTGAACGTCTCGGGTGATGTTGGGTCCCTTCAGCGATACGACGCCGATGTCGAACCGGAGCGTATACACGTTGGTTGGAATTTAAAGGGCAACAGGACGACTCTGACATCGATTGGGGTCAACTACGTCGAGGTTCATTCGTCACGCGATGAGCTCAGTCCTAGAGCTAACTTCGAGACTTGAGTCTGCGAGAAATCACGCTCGACAAAGCCAGCGACAGATATACCTTTCAGATAAGACGTCTAATAGTCCATCCCCGTCATGAAGTCGAGAGAACGGTGAGGCATGCTACCTTACCTTGTGTTCCTGGTCGGTGGTTAGTAGTCATCTTTTCATTTCGGAGTCGATGAACTCTCCAAGAGTACTACTAACTATGTTGTCGGCTGACTCCTCTGTCCTCGAGGTGAATAAAACGCATTACTTGTGCGAGGTGACGTGGAATCTCCCAAGGGAGATCTTGAATAACGACTCTTAAGAGTGGAACACGGTAGGAAGACGGTTGGCGCAATACTTCACATCACGAGTACAGCAGTGTGTAGCGCTCGGGTGTTTTGATGAAAAATTCGGTCGACGAAGAGTGCAGGCAGTAATAAGCATAAATTAAATACTGACAACAAACAGCTACATCTAAAATACGGCTTCTTGTTCTTGTTCATCTAGCTACTAGCTGAGATACATAAAAGACAAAAGAGTCGAAGATAGGCGTTCGCTTCGGATTAGTATGATACAGGATGTGTATATACACGGAGCAATTCCGAGCTTCAAACGAAAATGGCGAGGTGTAGCTCGACAGGAGCACAACACAAACGAAAGCAATATAGAGAATACTGATGACTCTACCGATATCATGACATCTCCTCATCGTCCGTGTCCGATATGATTTCCTTGCTTTTACTGGCGAAAAAGTTAGCAAAAGCTCAAGAGATCTAGATGCCTCACGTACTATTGCTTTTTGCGTGGTCCTCCGACGGCGTCCTGATCGTCATCATCCCTGACGACACGTTTTTTCGGGACACGCTGATTGAAGGAGCTCAGTATTTCGTAGTCAAGGTAGATCAGAATACCATACCTTCTTTGCTGGTTTACTGTCGACCTCATCATCGCTGAAGAGCTGCTCGTTGTCGACATCCTGATCAACGGCTTTTTTGAGTTTGCCTCCGCTTCTCTTCTTCTTCTTAGGTTCACCCCCCTCATCTCCACTATCCCCTTCGACTTTGACCTTCTTAGCGGCCCTCTTGGATTTCCGTTCACGCTCTTCGTCGCTCTCCATCTGAACCTCCCTCGTCCATTCCTGAGCCTGTTCCCTCGCCTTACGACGCTCTTCTGCAAGCTTTTCCGCTTGCCGGCGGTGTTCCTCGATTTTTTCTTGCTGCAAACGTAGTTCAGAGACAGGACGTGAACGAAATCCGAATGCAACGTACCTCAATAGCCTCCAGCTTGGCCCTCTCCGTCTGTCTCCTCAGCCTAGCAGCCACGAGTTTCGCTTGCGCTTCGGCTTCGAACTCCTTTTGTGTTGCTAGATGCTCGTCTCCTCTTCTTAGCATACTCTCACCGTATTTCCTACGTTGATCTGCGATATCACGGCTGTAGGGTACGACAGAGGCAGAGTCTGCGGCAAGAGAAGCGAACAATCTGACGATGGTCATTTAATTGAATCCATGACGTCGTTAATTGGATGATCTCACCGTTGCGCATGCCCAGCCTGCAATATCGCCCACTCCAGATCTTTCAGGGTACGCTTCGATGGGTTGAGACCGAAGAGCAGCTCTGCAGATTTTTGTTGAACCATGGCGATATTGTACAGGATGGCCTTGTCGCTCGGTTGTAAGTGGAGAGCCTATCAAAGATTAGCTTCAATGAAAGTGAGATAGAGATGTCATCATACCTTTTGCGCATATTTGAGCGCTGTACTCATGGCAACGAAAGACTGATCTTTGCTAGCCTTTGCATACCACGTTCGACACAAACATAGGAGCACAGAAACATTGTGGCCACCATAAAATCGTACAGATGCTGTCTCATACTAGGACGCGTACATGTCAGTTACTGTATAGTAATGAAAAAGATCATGGAAGACTTACACTTTCAATAGCCCGATCAAATTCGTCTCGAGCATAATAGCAATGTCCCATATTCAGGTACACGCTGCCATCGTTGAGGGACTCCCTTATCTTGGCAAAAATGTCGAGGGCGTCTCTTGCGTTCCTCATTCGCTTTTGTGGATCGTCTCCACCAGAAGTAGCTGGACCACCCCCAAAGGACCCGAGTGCATCCTCCGCAGTCACAATGGCCAGTCCTTGAGCAGCAAAAGCACAGAGCGGGTCCAAAAGTAAGGCTTTGTCGTAGAACTCGGCAGAGCGCTGGAAACCACGTCTTCGCTCTTCTAACCCCTTCGGACTCGGATCTCGACTTTCCCGGCTTTGGTGATATTGGATCCAGCCAGCGGCGCATAATGAATAGACATCATGCTTGTCGTGGTCCTTGAGGGTAGCAAAGACGAAATCTTTGGCAGGTTTCGGGAGATTGCTTTGGATGAGGAAGTAGGTGTAGAATGCGCGGAGATTGAGGTTGTTGTTTTGCGAAGCCATGGCTTGTTTTAAGAGATCGTGCGCTTCGTTGGACTGATTGAGATCAGCTAGCATCTGCGCTTGTCGAACTTTGGCTAAAGGACAATCAGACAGAGACGCAAGTGCTATTTACCTGCACTCACCATCGACGTACTCCGGATGTCTTGCTAAGAGCTTATCGTATGCTTCCTTCGCCATTGCAACGTCGCCACCGTCCTCGTACACTCGCGCGAGGTTGTATAACATCGACGTTGACATTCCCTCTCCGACATCCGGACCCAAGTTAGCTGCTTTAGTGAGTGAGTCTTCGTACAAGGCCCGTGCCTCTGCTAGGTTGCCTTCCATATGCTGAAGGGCGCCCATATTATTGAGCAGCCGCGGGTCGATCTGTTCGTTCGCCTCGCTTAGCCTCAACGCCTCCTTAAGGGCACGCGTTGTCCGGTCCAGAGACTCTTCTTGCCAAAGCCGTGCAATTTCAACATGCATATCCAAATCGTCGTTGATATAACTGGCTGTGTGTTGCGGGACGTGACCATTAGCTGTACGTGAATCGTCTTGCTCGAGAGCTTTGATAGCGCGATCGAATAGTTCGCGGGCTTTAGCTTTTTCTTGAGCAAAGTCTGAGCTCGAAACTCCTGGACGCGGGTGTGCACGGAGAGAAGCGAGCATGACCATTGCTTCAACGGAACGCTGAGGATTTGGAGGTTGCAGAAGAAGATCAAGAGTATGGATCGCCGCAGCTATCTCATCTGAAACTGAGATAAGATACTTTTTCTACTTGTCTGTTCAAGTCAGCTTACCGTTCTGGATCTGCATCTGTGCCATGCCAATGGCGCCTAAAACGTGTTTTGGTTGACCATCTGTGGCTGTCATGTAATACTTGGTGGCTTCTTTGAGAGAGCCCTCTGCATGTAGCACTCGAGCAGCTCTGAGGTTTCCTTCTGTTAGCAATGTAAGAGTATCTGCGAACTGAATAGTGCGCTCCGCGAGCTTCAAAGCCTAATGACGTGATATGAAGTGCGTTCTCGAAGGGAGACGAAGGGTCACGCACTCGTTTATAGCTATTCTTCCTGAGGAAGAGTTCGCATAGTGCATTGGCGGCGGCAGCACTCTTTTGGTTGGCGTTGAAAGCCTTCTCTATGAATTTTGTACCGGCAAGGAACGCTTGCGCACGGTCTTTCTCGCTGAGATTTTCGGTCTTACTCGCATTGATGGACTCGAGTCCAAGCAAAAGCTGCGCCGGCCAATCTGTCGGATTCTACGGAATTTGTTGAGCCGTGTAATGCTACCCCACGCTTGGAGCCAGTACTTACAACTTCTAAACTTCGTTGCCATGCCGCTTTCGCTTTTGATTTATAGTCCATTGCCCATAGGCACAGTCCGATACCAATGCGTGGATCAGGGATGCAGCGCGGGTTGAGTTGGAGAATTTGCTGGAATAGTTTGAGCGCTTGAGGATAACTCCTTCGAGCATAGAGAATTCGAGCCTGATACCAATATGTCACCAACTACCTAGGTTCATAAGGCAATAAACCTACTTTACCGAGGAGTGCCACGACATTAGTGGGTTTCTCAGCTAGTACACCCTCAAAGGAGCGCATGGCATCATCCATAGACCTCGTCGCGAGTTGTTGTATCCCTATAAAACGTGGTAAGCTACTTAGTGACTGGATAAAAGGAGCGCAATACCTCGAGTCAAGAATGCCAAAGTTCCGCCCACACCCTCACCACCTTCTGCAGCAGCCCTCTCACCAGTGTTGAGATACTGAGCAGCTTCGCGGTAATATTCTTCCTTTGGGCGCACATTTGTCAGTTTATCCTCGCCTATGACATGTTCAGTGGCGCCTCAGACTAGAAATTGGCGGAACCCACGAGCTTCTGAAAGAACCAACTTGGGGGCCTTTTGAGCATGAGCTATCTGGATATTTGCAAGAAGTGCGTATATTGGAGGAGAGGAAGCCGTCGTTCCGTTTGCATGTAATGCTGTAGATACGTTCAGGTAAGTTATACGACGAACTTGAACTGGGAGACGCACATTCAATAGCGGAATGAGCTATCCTTTCGGCGGCTGCTAGGTAACCCCTTCGCCAGTACTCGCCAGCTAACTTTGTCCACACAGACACTCTGCACTGTCCCTCCTTCAAAAGGTCCAATACATCTTCCGGATTCGGATCGAGGTTGTCAAGATCGATGGTGATGACTTCTTGTCCCCCAAGTTCGATGTCGATTGACCTCCCGCTGCCGACATATGTCACATCTTCCATCCTTGGAAAAATCTTCAGTTATAGTCGAAGAATGAAACGAATGACGCTGCTGCCGCAGCTTGAGTAGTGGAGAGCAAGCTAATGACGGTCCAAAACTCGACAGGTAAAACATCCGAGGCACTGTGGATGCAGTGGTCACGTGCCACGCGGCTATCAATTTAAAAATTAGTTGTCTGAGTCCACTTGCAGCGACGACGATGCCCCCTCGATCCCGCAGCTTATGCCATGTCTGTAATGAAACCGAATCAAAATATACATGCGCAAAATGCAGAGCAATCGTCTAGTACGTTAACCCCGCATCATCGCATTTCAAAGTGTTTGCTCATACCAATGATGGTTCAGCTGTTCTGTTGGATGCTACAAACGCCATAAAGGTATAACAAAAACACACGCGAGATAGATCTCATCCAAAAAGTCACCTCACAGAATCTTGCGGCTCTACTGAAACTTCGGTCGTGACTCGCGAAGGTACATTTCCCTCCTTCCATCCTAGACCCGTGCTCAAACAGAGGATCAGCATTACCACCTTCATCCGCAGAAGAGACTCTCGACGATCCAAAGCCATTACTGCCCTCTCACTTCTCTTAATTGGCCATACGTACCCGAAGAATCAGCATATCCCGACCCATTGAACCGTGATGACCCACGGCCAATACAACTTCACCAATACGAAGCCATCGGTATGTCCGTCCAACAACTGTTCCTTCCTGCGTTTAACATTGTCTCCATTTGTTAGCTACTTCCGCTACTGTGCGTCACGCCCTAGGAGTCGAATCCTCGTCTACCAGAGCTCCTCACATCCATAGACAAACTAAGAGGTGCAGATAGAGAGGATGCCTTACATCGCGCTCTTGGAGTTGACACTAGGCAGCTCAAGAACGATTTATTAGGACCTCAAGAGTTGGACGAAGACACCAGGGTGCTGAGACAACTCGCAGAAGCCGTAGAAGCTGCTGTACGAGGAGGAAAGGAAGGAGTGCTGGGTCTCGACTGGGATGAGTGACCAACAAAATCAAATATACCAGCGTAGAAATGCATGCACAGGGAAGGAAAACCCGCCAAGAGACAGCAACCAGATCCAAGTCTAACAAGTTCATCCCTTGTATTCACTTGACTCCCAAAAACAACAGTCCTCTCTTCGCCTTCTCAACTTCTTCCTCCAGTTCCCGCCCATCAGTAGCTGTCCACCAATCTGCCTTGTCAATATCTTCGGCCTTCTTCCCGCTCCTAATAGCGGACTCAAATGCCGATTTCCTGGCATTTAGGCTGGCCATCCGTCGGGGATCTGAGTGGCCAGTGAAGATGATCAATGCGGTCCGTGCAGGGAGGGATGTGTAGAGGGTGACCAGCTGGTTGTTAAGAGTTGCTTGGGCATTTGCGAGAACGATGGGTGATGGTTCTGCTGGGGTGACAACCGGGGTCTCTGCGGCAGTCGCCTTTGGCGTTAGCCCTAAAAATCGTAAGTATATATAATGGGGCGAACAACTGTACGGTACTCACAACCCAGTGCATCTGCAACGCCGGTAAATCGTCCAAATGCGAACTCGTGTGCTGGAATAGCCTGTAACAACCCATTCAGTACTTCCTCATCGCTAGTACACGGCACATTCGAGCTGGCTTTTGAACCATGCATCACACCAGGGTTCCCGTGGTCCACCACCACGCTCCGTACAGACCCCGGTCCTCTCCTCCCGCTCGCCCTTCCCATACGCTCATATATACTCTCAAAATCAGTCTTATACTCCCCATAGGTTGGGCCATATTTCAGCTTCGCCCGCAGGAGGTCAATACATGCCCGCGCATCCTCCTCCGGATCGTGTCCACTATCACCCCGCGTCTGGATTTCACGATTCAGCCATTTTTTGGTGAGCCACGCAAGTCCCGGTTTCAACGGTCGCCCACGTGGGTGATGGTATATGACCGCGGTATCGATACACCTCGGGTGGCAAATCCGAAGGGCGCGGAGGTCAGATTCAAGGGAGTGTCCGACGAGAATGGATATCGGTCCATCTTTTGGTGCGAGGATAGGCATGATCTGTGCCTGGACTTCAGCTACCGTTGTCGTAGCTGATGCAAGCAAAGATTCTGTGATGCCTGACCATCTAAGGTGTCACAATTCAGAATCTGTACCCGATCGTGAGATGTTAGATCCCGCTTACTTAGTCATGTAGTCAGTGACTGGCTTTGGAGGCTTGACGAGTTTGTCATACACGACTATTCCGCTCCCGTAATCGATCATGCAAACCCGGGTAAGTTCTTTGCCGTCCTCTGTCAAGCACTAGGGTTTGGTTCGAGTTAGCGACCCAACACCCAGCTGTGTAGCCACGCACCATTTCACAGTCGATAGCATATATTTTTGATTGCATCTTATCTGCTGGAAGTAATAACAATGATTCTTCCGATACCTGTGGAGTTTCGATCCAACCGGGACCCTTTTCGAATACATCAGCCATGTACGAAGGAACCGGATACTCGTTATCTATCATTTCTTTCAACGTAAGCATGTACAATGCTGGTGTGCTATCGAAGGCACGTTGTGCTACACGAGGCCATCGTCAGCCTTGGCAAGAATATCATAGATAACATACATACTGGCCCGCTGTGCCTGTCTCTTGGCCTTCTCTTGTGGTGTAACCTGGCACTGGAAGAACTCGCTGAGAACGGAGTACATCCGAGTTTGATCGCCGGGAGCACGAGTTGGGCATGCATGGCTGTAAGTAGATGCGATGAAAGGAATGGGAGTATGAGATTCTGCAGGAAGTGGGATTGATAGTGGAACATTTGGATTGGCAGTGGCTGAGGTCGGGAGAGGTGGAAGAGCCAAGGTTGAAGGAAGAATTCCAGGTATGAGGAGCGCTACGACTTTTTCGATCGATCGGGGGTGCTGGAGATGAGGATCAAAACAATGATCCAGAGATGAAGCTTGAAGTCATACCTCGACCTTGACCCAGTTAGGCGGAGGTGCATCTGCGACTATGTGCAATATCAAATCTCGAACGTCCTACAACGTTAACGCAACGTCAATCCGCCCTATACTCCTAAAGACAAAGAACTCACGTTTATATGAACTGCATCTTTTCTCTTTACGATCTCACCGTTCACATACATGAATCTGGGCATCAGTGCCTAAAACCAGAAAGAAAACGTATATCTCATTCAAAAAAAAGCTGCAGACAACAAAGGAAGGCACTAATAAGACACACATCGTGTTTGGCTTCGACCTTCTTGTTCTTTTTGGCCTTGCGTTTTTCCACGCGGGTCCATTCCCCATCACCAGCACCATGATCATCCTCGCGTGTTGTGTTCGCGTGATGGACTACCTGGTTAGGCGCTACCTTAGCTTTTTTGTGCTTGGATGATTTTGAAGGAGACGATACGGTGTCTTGGGATCTTTTCATTGTGGATTAGTACTTAGTGCCTGTGCAGACAGGGTTTCATGAGCCAGGGATTTGGATGTGATGAATGGGTTTGACAACCGTCGAGCACGCGTTTGATACACGCAGCAAGAACCTTCCATATTCGATAAATGGAGGGTCGCGTATCCTTATTTAGTCCGATCATTATTACCGTGACCCCTAATTTGTGTCGTGGGGTCCTTGCTGGGAACATATGACTACCAGTAGAACCATTAGTAGACCATGAATACAAAGACTGCGCAGTCGCGGTAGATTGCAGGTATCATGTATGGGACGGCCAAAAAAGTTTGAAAGCAACAATACGGGCGAGAGATAGTACAAATTGAAAAGCGAGATGCCAAGCAATGTAATCGCCGGGAAATTCGCAGCATGTGTTCGACCTGTAATCCGACATGTATATACATGTGTCGCTGATTCATCGCGAGATGAAAGGAACGTTGAGGGGACTCACGAAACGTTGACAGAGTACGGATATAACGTCATAGCAATAAAGGCTTAGATGACAAAGAAGAAACCAAAATAATGATCACCCGGCTCCAAAGTTATTCTGGATCACAACGTTAACGCGCGCGCGAGAGAGAAATGCTGATAAACAGGACAAACAGAGAAGTCAAGTCAGGGTTGGATTGAATTTGGGCAATGTTTTCCTTGGGATGTGATGGAACGGGGACTGAAATTCATGAAAAGATCTAGCAACGGGAATGAAAGGACTCACGAAACGCTGATAGAATAATGCCGACACGTGCACGTTGACCTTGATAAATAGAAAAAACAATTAATGGCATATCGGTGACTGACCGCACGGTGAGCGGGCTCATAGTACGTCCTAGAGCGTATGTTGCCTACAGCTGGGCTGTGTACCAGCAGTTGTTGCGCGATCATGACATATCATTGTGCCATCTGATACCGTGACGATGCTTTGTATGGCGTGTTGTAACCGCGTGGGGTTAAAATTAAAGTCCAAGGCCTCCAGCAGTTCGAGCACCCTCTGTCATTAAATCTGCAGCATGACTGACCTTTAAGTTGATTATCAGTTTGAAGCATACTTGAAGTTGCTTGAAGACGATCAATCTAATGAGAAATTCCGTAGTGTTGGGTAGAAACCTCTGCTTAACGAAGACCGCCGATGTCTACACCGTCCGTCCGGCCAAAAGTACTGTCCAAATTGATTGCGGCAGCAGGGTGGCAGTGTTGCGGTGGGCTTCCGCCCGTGAGAAAATCAGAATTACCCCCAGGTAAGGGGGTTTCTCAAGGAACTGCCCCAGGATAACCCCGGATGGGTGGGAACATAACTTTAAGCGTGTGATGCCAAGATACACTGTGAGCTTTGCACAGCCCTGCACCGCGCAACCTGGTAGGACAAGTTTTCTGTTTCCTTGTAAAATTGACTCACGCAAGCTAGCCTTGTGTTTAAATACTCTCTCTCTCTTTTATTCTCTCTCATAGCACGTTCCGCGATGATTTATCTACCTCTTGTGGCTGTCGCACTCCTTCCATTCACTCTCGCTGCTCCCCAGCCAGATGCAGGTGTTATTCATGTCCCAATCGTCAGACGTAGTCGAATAAACAGAGTCGCAAACTTACCGAAAGCCGTGGAAGCACTGCGGACGAAATATGGTTATCACCCAACAAATGCCCCATATTCCAAGCGAGCAAACACTGCTACAATTGCGATCACCGATGAGGTTTGAAATTTGGGCTTCTATTTAGTTTGTGGAATAATAATTTTATTAGGAAAACGATTCCAGTTACTCAGGTATTGTAAGCATAGGAACTCCGTAAGTTACAATGTTGAAGACAATATTCACAAATACTCATCGTCTCCAAGGCCGCAGGACTTCAATCTTATTCTTGACACTGGTTCTTCCGACCTTTGGGTTGCAACATCCTCGTGTACCTCTTGCGCATCAACTGAGTTTATTGCCTCAAAATCCTCGTCATACCAGTCATCAGGCGCTTCCCTGGAAATTACTTATGGCTCAGGATCGGTCAAAGGGACTACCTCCCAAGACACGGTCAGCTTCGGTGGCTTCACCATCACTCAGCAAGAACTCCGTATGTCTAACCCGAATCGAGTCAGATCCAGACTTATTTTTTGTCCCAGTGGCTGTTTCTTCACTTACATCTGGCTTGCTTGATAGTGTCCTCTCAGGTATCATGGGTCTCGGGTTCAACACCATTTCTGCCCTCAATGCCACTCCTTTTTGGCAAGCCCTCTATAATGCCAACCAGCTCTCACAACCCTTGTTCTCTTTCTATCTTGAACGCTATATCGACCAAGCCATTATGGACAATGCCCCGGGTGGTACCCTCACTCTCGGCGGAACAAACTCGAGTTTGTACCAAGGCTCTATCGAGTATTTGAGCCTAGCTGGTTCACCATCGTATTGGTTGCTCAATGTTAACTGTTAGCTCCTTCACTTTGTTATACCATCAGCCTACTGATCGGTCACAAATATGTAGCGCTCTCTGTGCAAGGCCACACGGTTAGTGTCGGATCCAGTTCTCTTGCTGCCATCGACACAGGCACTACCCTCATCGCCGCACCCAGTACCGTTGCCGCAGATGTTTGGGCCCAAGTTCCAGGCTCCGTAGCGCTTACGGGAGAATACGAAGGCCTATACGCATTCCGTCTGTATCATTTGTACATTGCAGGACACGCAAAAGACTCATCTACTTCTAGCTTGTACCACTGATGTCACAGTCACCATATCTTTTGGCGGTTCCGCCTGGGCGATCAACTCTGCAGACATGAACCTCGGTTCTGTCCCCAGTTCCATCTCGGGTACTTCGAGTGAGCTGTGCGCTGGTGGCATCTTTGACATCGGCAACAGCGTTGGCAGTGGCTCTGGCGTCCCCACCTGGATCGTTGGTGACACGTTCCTCAAGAACGTGTACTCCGTCTTCCGTGCCAATCCCGCTGCCGTCGGTTTTGCAGAGCTTGCCAGTGGCGTAAGCACTTCGACCGGTACTTCCACCTCGAACCCTGCAAAAGTGTCTACGACAGCTACCCCAACCAGCAGCTCAGGCAACCCCCTCCTCGGCACTGCATCTACCAACACGAATATTGCTGTCTCACTCACCCTCCTCGCATCTGTGGCAGCCTGCTTCACCCTCTTGTTCTAGAGAAAGAGATTACATATACCACGTACCACGCAGCATTACCCACGCCTATTATTGTGATACCATACACAGTCTTGGTACTTACCCAACTCGGATACTCATGCACATTCGTATACTAACTTATTTAGGGTCTGACATCGCTCGTTGTCTGGATATCGTCACGTATTTATGTAACACTGCGCTTTCACGTCCGTTCATTGATTTAGATTTTATTTAGGTAAGTTGTACTTACTATGATTGGTTCTTATGGTATACATACTGGGTGGCTTGTATGTGTTGCATACCATTTGGATCGCTAGACATTCATCACGATCAACAGATGACTCTCCGGTGAATAGACGAAGGTGGGATGTCCGAACGCTGTAAGGACAAACACACCACGTCGCGTTAGAATTTACAAGTATTGATAACGAATTCTGACTCACATCTCAGTCTCTTCCAAAGAACTGAGATGTCCGTGCGCTACTAGAAGCGCTTTTATAGTAAGTACGTTGCTAACTGATTATATCAAAGAGAAACATGAAAATAATGCAGGACGCGAGCCGACGTCAAAGCGTCGCTCGCCTTAGTTCGATTTTGGCTTGTGCTCGTATCTCTCTCCGTTCCTGTCTCGGATTCGTCGGTCTTCTTCGACTCGAATCTCTCGGACTCCAACAGACTCAAGGTATTTTATTCGCCTCTACCAGCTCAGGGTTCATGATAAGAAGCTTGCACGTATCGCGGATGTGGAGGTATTTGATTCGTCTAGCGTTAACTCAGCGCAACTTGCTCGTACATGTGCATTCGCTGATTATTCCTCACGATCAACGGGTTTTGAAGCCTTGCATATGTACACGTGTTGCATGAGATTTGCAATCGCTGGCAACCGGTTATTCCTCACGCGCACGATCAACGGGTGGGGAGATTCGTCTCTAGCAGCTCACTGGCAGCACTCCATAATGGTAGGTAACTAAGCCCATGTATTGTCGATATCGCAATGCATTTGTGGTCACGGAATGTTCCTCGCCTGCACGATCAACGGGTGTTGAGGTATTTCCTACTATTCGTCTCCAGTAGCTTGATTGATCAGTTATCTTCATGATCAGAAGGCAGTTCATTCATTCTTCTATAAATAGGGCTGGAGGTTCGAGTTCTATGTACCCCACTTCTACACGATGACTGCGGATTGGTCAAATGTATGTATATTTGTATGTATGTATTCAATACATTGATGACCTAAGATTAATTATAGTGGATTACATATAGCGCCGCGCATCTGTTGCCAGTGCCCCTGGAAAGGCACTTGTGCTCTCACTGAGTCAGAATACTATTCGGCGGGATATCTCTTACGATTTTACAGTTGGTTCGAGTTGGATGAATCAACTGAAAAATCTAGGGATCAGCTGCAAATATGATCGTGCGTAGCGTTCCGCCGGCACGGCATCTGTACCATGATGTCAGGTATCATGATCGTCCGACAATATTGTGGGGAACAAAGTGACATAGAAGGACATTTGCGAAGTTCTTGTTATCTTCAACAGTCTTGAAAATTTAAGCCATTCGGTAATTGGCGACCTTCAATCTACCAGGGATGAACAACATGTGTATTATGATCCGTTTATAGGGTTTTGATAGCAGGATGTATGTAATTCCTATGCCACATAAGTAGATGCCATGCCTAGAGATATAGGTTCTCGTAATTCACTTGCGCACTCAGCGCAAGAAGTTGAGGACTCCTGACGAAAATCAAAATTCCCGAGGAAATAGGAAGCGAACACCCCTGTGACCGACAGATACAGGTGTAGATACCTATCAATGACAATAAGCCACGACGTTGCGAATGCGGTAACATACCTCCCGCGAAGAGGCATTTGAAATGTCCCCACAATATTAATAGTCATAGCGTGCTGGCAAAAGATCCGCAAGACAAAGAACTCGAAGCTCTCATTATATTTCCGAGCGAGATCAAAACAGCCTAACAAGCACGGCGTACGAGATAGGAAAACATGCGGCACCGAACGTCTTGAGGTGTAGAATTGCCACTGTGAGAGTTGATGTCAGTGGTCATGTCAGGGTAAATGCTGAGCAGGGATTTCAGCGAGGCAAAACCCGGGGTTGAATGAGGATTGAGGTCTTATCTATTGCTGGCTAGGAGAGAACGACTACTATAGGGTGCTCAGGGTATGGCTGTATTCGTGACGGCGATTTAGTCCCCGATCAATGTCACCGGAACCGAATGTATCGAGGAGGATGGGAAGTACTAGTACATAGTGCGAGGTGGTATTCAATGTGTGCACGGCTCCGAACGATAAAGGCACTGCCCGTCGTGCGAGCTTGATAGCACGCGGCGATACGGTTGTGATTGTGGCACTGGACTAACTGACCTTGGGACGAAGGTACGCAATGTGCGCTGAAATGTAGTGCGGGCAGAAACGCAGAGGAACGAATGCAGTATCGTGCTGATTCGCGGCCCCAGACATGTACTGGCGAGGATAATGTTGGACTCAGAGATCCGAGACGAAGAAGACCGAAGGATCCGACCTAGGTACGGAGAGTGAGTAAGTGAGGTACGAGCACAAGCCAAAACGGACTAAGGCGAGCGACGTATTGACATCGGCTCGCGTCCTCCCTTTATTTTATGTTTCGCATTCATATCCTACAGTAGTCAAGCCACTCAGCTTAAAAGGGCCACTAGTAGCGCCCAGACACCTCAGTTCTTTTCAAGAGACTGAGATGTAAGTCCAGATCGTCACCTGTATTCACAATGTTCTAACGCCCTAGTAGTGTACTTGTCCTTATAGGTAGACCTACCATCAACAGAGTTCTTTTCAAGAGACTGAGATTGTACTTGTCCTTATAGACTCCTCGTCCCTCTCGCTCGTATAATCACCGCAGATAACGTGGTTGTTGTCTAAACGCTAAAGAAATGGGGATATTGAGTTTGCGTCCGAGGAATTGAATGTGATAGCAATGACGTATGGGATGTAGATGGGTCCTCGGGGAGATAAGACACCTGCGCCTGTGCGCTCGAAGCTCAGTTCACAAAGAAGGTGGCCAGGGTAAGTAGGTTGAAGATTTGAGATAAAAAATTTCGAGGCAGTGTATATACCCTGATCCTCAATGTGAATGATGGGGGACAGAAATATAGTTTCTCATTAACGGGCAAAAGACAGGTCAGACGGAAGGGCGAGTCTGCAAAGTATCGTCAAACCTCGAGCGCTCTCAGGCTGACTGGCCAGTGCAAGCTAATGTCGTCAAATTCAACATCTTACATCGGCAGATATAGTAGTGCAACATGGTCACAATCAGTCTCGGTCATAAATTATGCTAGAGTCAGTGAATTGATCAAAGAGCTGTGTAAAGCCATGCAATGAACAACGGAGCCTCGAAATCTGATGACATCATCAGGGAAGAGGATAATCCCGGTAAAAAAAGTTACCCGCGATCATAACTTGCTTATAACAGCACCGGTTATGAAGGGCAAGATGACCATGATACGGCAGAAGGCGAACGATATACTGGAGTGTCGTAGCTTATGCGAACACGAGGATGGCAGGTTATGCGGGGGTGAAGGCACACCATCAAACCTTAGCCTGAGCGCTCTGGCACAATTTCAAACTTGGTGCTGATTCAATATCATCTTGCACTGGACTGAGGCGCACCTTATTAACAAATCTAGCAGGTGTCCCAACTTGAACCGTTGATTATTCATAAGGCCAGTACATGACATTGATATTGATGGTTGACGTATCACGGGCAGTGTACAATTCATGATCGAGGAAGAGGGCTGATGCAAGCTACCGATCAACAGGCGTTTGATATAAAGCGCGCAAGATCAAACATATAAAAGTTGAACATACTGTATCATAAGGCATGTCGACCAACGTTAATGGTACGAAGTCTGCCTTCTTTGGGAGCACGGGGAGGAGAATCTCCAGCAGACACGCAGATACATTAGTACAGCCTCTGACAACATGACATCAAATAGCTGCTGGCTTAGCTTTGACAATTAGCTTGAATTCAAGAATCAACGGGACGAACAAAACGTTCCAAGGCGCTGTTTGTCACATCTAAACTTTCAAAATTCCGTCCCATTGCGGACCGAGAAGATGAAAGGACCGATGAACACGATATTAACGAAGTGACCTGAGAGATCTAGTAGAGAAGGAGATACTGGGATGTCGTAAGATGGATCGTCTGCACAGATGTTTTAGCGCCACCCAGTCCGACATGAAGGGAGGTCAAGATGAGTTGAAGAATCAATATTGCAGGGTCGGTTGTCTGAATTGTCCCAAAAACGTAGGTCGTTACCCATTCCGCGGGCATGTCCAGAAACAACGTGGCGAAGATGGTTGACCCTGCTTCATTCCGTCGGGTGACGAATAACCAATCTGCCTTGGCGGATTTTGACAGCCAGAAGTCAGATAATAGTTTCGCGCGACTCGTCACGCTTGTTTGCGAGAGGAGATGGAATTTAGTGAAAGTACTACCACATTGCTTTATGCGTACCTACTTGGTACCTGCCGACTAATGGCATACGGTCGGATTTTATTCAAGTCCGTACTGTCTGAATGCCGGGTGACATTGACCTTGTGAACCAAAACACAGCACAGACCTTCGCTAAGTTCTGATAGCATTACCTGGAGGTTCATGAACCTCTAAGGTGACGGAGACGGGATAGGAAGACCGCTGTGAGATTTGACCAGCAGACGATCCTAATAGAAACAAACAGCCACCAAAGACCGCCCAAGCATATGGATCATCGAGTTTTGTCGGGATCGTAAAACCTCGGAAGTTTCCTGGATCTCCGGCGGAACTAACCAGTCAAAGGTTTGTCCGACATCACGCGGGCTCTGCTATCTGATCAACCAGACAAGCCACGGCTGCAGGAACTATTTGAGCACACACTGTTCATGTGTTCTCAGTAAATTATTTCTAGTTCTCGTCACCGCCCCCTACTAGGTCTCCCTTGTTCACTTCATGCCTGGAGTACTCATACTCCTTCTCTTTCTTCATCTTTAGCGTCACATCCTGACAGTTCCTTGGTGCGTCTGACAGTCTTCTTCATGCCTGTACTCCGCAGCTCATTGATGCGGTTTCACCCATTAGATCCACTCTCATTCGTGTATATTTAGTATCCGTTCCCATAATGGCCAGTAATCAGACCACCACGCCTCCGCCAACTCTGCAGAGGGGGAAAGCATGCTTGCGTTGCAGGTATTTTCTCTACTCCATCATCCATCAAAAGTCGTTAACCATGCTCAAACGCGCCTTGTCCAGAAAAAGGAAGATGGTAAGTCATCGTCTTATGAGGGAGTGTCAGTCACTAATGAAGTCATCAGAGATGTGACGGGAGCAAACCTGCTTGTCAACAATGCGTGCGTGCAAAACAGCATGACGCTTGTCAGTACGACGATGGAAAGGGAAAAACGAGAACTCAACTTCTTCGTGAACATATTGAGCGTTTAGAACAGCGTATACGAGAGCTCGAGGATCCCGAGTACACCTCACCATCCGTTACTCTACACGATCCACACCGTCATGGCCGCTCAGAAAGCTCGTCGTCTTCCCTTACCGGTTCTCCGGCAAGTACAGGCTTCTCACTTTCAGTGTCTTCCTTCTCTCCTTCCGGTGTGTTGATCCGTTGTGATCATCTTGCATTAAATCTCAAGTATTTTACAGCAAATAACTCCCCCCAAAGCTCCTGGATACAGGGCATTCCCTCGCCTTCGCCCACGCCATTTACGGATATCTACCACGAGGAACCACAGCCCACAATAGAGCTCGCTCAGACTCTCGTAGACGTCTTTTTTTCGCATTGTCGTCAATCCCTCCTGGGTCTGCACATGGGTCGACTACGAGAATCGTTCACTCGACCTGTCATGGAGCAGCATCACCCTGTCCTCACCAATGCCATCTTTTTGTGGGCATGCTTTATCTCCAGACCTGGTCCTCTTAGTACGCACGAGTCTCATTACTTGAGTCGAGCCCTCGACTCTCTCAGCGATGCCCTCCAGTACCAAAACAGGTTGCTTGATGTCATCCAAGCATCCTGTCTTCTGTCTGTGTACTTTCTATCAAATGGAAGGGCACTAGAAGGCAGTTACCATGCCAACGCTGCCGCATCACTGGCTATTCAATGCGGCCTTCACGGAGCAATAATTAATCGATCATCATCATTTGAGACCACAGCCTCCATTTCACCCTTCAAACTTGACCCCCCGAAAGACGCTATCGAGCAGGGCGAGCGCATATTGACGTTTTGGCAGGTATTTGCCCTGGATCGGTGCTGGTCGGTAGTACTTCACAAGCCAGTGACCATACCGCATGGTTCAGATGGATACCCGTCCATCATATTGCCGTGGCCGCAAGATATGGAAGAATATGTAGCAGTACGTTCCGTTATCATTGGGTAGATCATAGGCTGACTAACTCTTCCCAGGGTCAAATCGATGATTTGCACAGCTTCCATACTGTTCGGAGCTTCTTTGACCATCAGGTCACAAACGTCCGCGGAGGGTTTTCCCCACTGGCCCTCCGTGTCAAAGCATCCGCTCTGTTCGAACGTGCGCACCACCTCGCGTCAACCTGGGACCAACGTAGGCCCATTTCCTTCAGACTAGTACCACTTTCTGATCAACATGCAGCTTTAGCCATGTCGAGCGCATTTACCGACGACTTTCAAACTTTAGAACACACAATCGCCCATTTTATCCCAACCCTTATTCCAGTGCATCAACTTGACGCCACAGTGCCTGACGAGAAACACGCCTACATTGTGACACACACACTAGCTCACGCTGCGATGATAAATCTGTATTATCCATTCGGCGCCGAAGACCCTATCTCATATGACAAATGCCTTCGAGCTGCGCGGTGTCTTGTGTCCATTATCAAGCACATTGCTGACGCAGATTACGAGTTTCTCGATCCCATCATCGGTGTGAGTATCTTTTCGGATTTGCTACAGAATGATTTACTAATGATAATCCTTCTCTTTCCCGACGCAGCCCTGTTGGACGTGCGCTGTGGACACGTTGATTCGGGAACTCAATGTTATTGAGTCTTCGTGGCCGCTCGTCAGCAGCTCGGATGTCCGTAGTGAAATCGGGACCATGCTTTACGCCATGAACAACCTTAGCGCATGCTTCCCCCTGCTGGGATATTCAGTGGCCAAGGTACAAAAGCGGCTGTCAGGGCTGTAGCCTACTTAGCGACAGCGAATATGCTTGGTCCATGTGCACACTTTGGAAAAAAAAACCTTAATTCCCGGCCTAACGGACTCTTGGCTCTCGTGAGCTAGTATATTGACGCTTTCCCCACCTAGCCTTGTTTCTTACTTTTGACCTTACGGACAGCGCTTTTTGCATTCTTATGTTACCGTTACGCTCACGTTCGTTACGAACCTTCATGGACTCCTAGTACTCTTCGGACGTTGTGATCCAGCCTGGACGTTATAATATTCTCCACGGACAGCAGCGCGGACACTAGACCTTACGGACTTGAAACTCGCATTACCCCATGAAGTTGGACATTCCTCATTCTCATTCCCCATCACCCCGAATCGTAATTGTCACTCTAGTTGATATATTTGTATGTCGTGCCATATCTCTTTGCTTTCGTTGTCTTTTGATAGACCCTTGTTGAATAGTCATCTCTGTTTTGAAAGTCTTTTTCGCGTACAATTAGTGTTGAGCACTACCAAGTAGTTGTCGCACCGTGTCTGGCTCTTGTTTGTTGTACCGTTACGTAGTATATTGAAGAAAAAATTGGTGGACGTCTGTGTTGGTGGCTTGGTATGCTTGGCAGTTCGGAGTTCGGGTTAGTTGCACTCAACCAGATCCAGCGAGTGTTTGGAGTTCAGTTCATGTAGACAATGTCATGATGCATGATAAGCCTCAGTACTGCTTTCAGGAGAAAAATGTGGGCGATCATTATTGGCGGCCTTGTTGTGCTATGGCGGTTTATGCATTTGACCAGATGCAGCGAGAGTTTGAGTGTCCATGTGGATGCATATAATCAAATATTATGCATGATGGGCGTCGGCTGCGCAACTGCTCTAAAAGCTCACGAGAGGCCGCAGTTCGAAAGAAATGGAAATAGAAATACAGCGAGATACAGACTACCAGGCACATGAAAGATATCCAAATGTTGGGAGCTAAAGTTAGCAGAATCGATACACGGATCAAGATCAGGCTGACTGCTGAGGACTATTGATCGGGAAATCTGCTCTATAAGTAGGAGACGAGGGAGCATGTGGCACATGGAGGCTGAGTTGATGTTACATTTGTCTTGATTTGATTTGATTGAAGCAAGCAGAAATGATGTTTTGAGGGGTTGACGAAATAATAATCAAATAGGAAGGGATAGTGATACTTGGTGAAGATTGAAGACTGCATGGGCTATCTCGACACTTGTCAGCCGATCCAGACTGGCGATGGTGACGCAGATCCATTATAGAGCGACCATCATAACAAGAATTGTGGACTACAACCAGCATCCTCGTGCTCACACGCAGGGTGATTGCTGAAGTCGCACCCTCCGATGTGATGGCACGATCAAGAGGAATGTGCAAACGCCGTCAACCTAACGCCAGCAGAGCTCCTTCCTGTCGGGAATTTTGCCTTTAGATTCAGCCTGAGCTTTCCACGTATGTAGTTTCGACCATAAGGGGGGAAGTAAAAGGAGCGAATAGCCATGAATCTCTCGAAATTGGAGAGTCAGTTACGGCATGAGCCCACCCGCTGTCTGATTGTCTTGTCGAAATTAATGATTTTAAAGTGAGATGGGGTGACATGTGCGTAGAACATGGTGTTGATGTAATTTCCGTAAGCATCAAGCTCATGTGTTCGATGAGGGAACGCGAAGCGATATGCTCACGCAAGGCCAATCCAACGCAGTGGCGACAGTCGCGGATCCCGAACCTGCGTAGATGTCGGAGAGGACAATGTCGAGGTTAACGGGCTGACCGGCGATAATGTCGTCCCACTCAAAATACGGTAATTCAGGGCAGTCAAGGTGATTAATTAATGAACCGCTGCTTGACCTCCTGGACATTAGGGACCTACAATGCAATAATATTGCAGGTGCACCATACATCAAGGGAGATGTGACGATGCAAATTATTATCGGGGTGGTCAAGGTTGGAAAGATCGGGTTCTGCTCGTCGTTTCTTTGCTGGTGATCCAGGGGTGTCTTCTTCGAGCAGATGAATATTCCCCTGACAACACGCTTGCTGGGAGGTTGCACCACGACGAGCCATTCACTTTGCCTCACTGCCAGGGGCCCGTCTCGGGTTCTACTCGAACTGTTGTGACAAGGAATTCTGCCGGAGTGAAGGCGTTGCGGCGCTCACCCTCGATGTGGTCCAGTATCCGCAAAAATGGATCTAGCCTCCTGCGCCATTCCGTACTCCCCGGAGAGTCGTGGTTTGCTGCTTGAGCAACGCGGCATGCTGTGTTCTTTGCAATATCTCTTCGTTTGAACCACTCGACTATGCTATTGCACTCGTCGGCGAAGCATGAGGGGACCTGATTGATGGACTGAAGGAGGACAGCTGTGCTAATAGTAGGCTGAGCAGAAGATGTCGATGAGCTGGTGTTTCTTTTATGAACCATATGTCACAGACGACGGACAAAGTCAAGAATGTGGGATAGGAGGTTCGATTTGGCTCGTGACGCGGCCGCGGAATTTGCATGTTGCGATTTGAATGATGCTGCCTGCCGTCCTGCCTGCATGCTATGTAAAGTCAAGTCATAAGTAGCAGTGCAACAAAATAATTGGTCAATGGTAGGCTAGGCAGGACATATTTGAAAACATCTCAAAGACGTAGTGAGACTGGCTGCAAGTCTAGGTTAAGGGTACTGGGCCTGCCGAGCTCATCTTAATATTGTTCGGGTCCATGTTACATAAATACTCTCCACCCGAGTCGGTTCCGGGTTGAGCGATTGTGCCAAGCCACTAACTAGTTCCGGGCGTGTCATATAAGTAAAACGTCGTGGGCCAGCACTAGTGCAACACGTTCACTTTGACCACTACCACGCCTTGTCCATATTGAAGACAGTTACCCCAGCAGGTTTCCAATAGGCTGAGATCGAAGCTTGAAGCTTGAAGTCCATGTGACATAATGACATCTCACGGGAACAACTCACAGGATGACCTTCTGTATTTGTCTTTCCACAGTGATGCACCAGTCTATCATGGTGGTGCCCATTTCGTTGGTTCTCCTGGCCAAATCAGCCCTACAGGAGAGCCTAATTTCCCACATATGCGCCCGATTCCTTCTTATGGTTCTCTTCCATCGTCCACTTTACGTCCAAGCCTCGGACGGAATCGAAATGTTTCCCTCATTGTCGCTCATACGCCTCCTCTAGAAGTTAATATGGCTAGTGCTCAAAACCTTAGGGAGTCCCTTGTTCGTCTGTCCCGTGTCAGGCCCCCACCACCGGAATCACAATGGTCGCTGTTCGAACAACTCATGGAGAACGAGGGCCAGCTTAGGAGCCCTGGGACACGTGACAGACGCCATCTTGTAAACTCCTTTCACCGCTCCGAGCACTCTTCAGCGGGACCTCTGACTTCAGAAGCTACATTCACTGACTGCGATCCATTCGACAATGTCTTCCAATCGCATCCGCAGGAGCGCAACACCCGAGAGACGTCGTTTAAACAATCCAATGGACATCACGATCCCACTGAATCAGAAGACCAGTCCGAAGCCTGCTCCGACGGCTCCTCAGCTACCTCTGTCCCTGCATCGACATCACGCCATCGGTTTCTTCCTTTGCAAGTACCCACGATACCAGTTTTGTGGAAGAACGTTCTCAAATGCGCGGTGGCATATCTTATTGCCTCTCTCTTTACATTTTCATCATATCTCTCTGGATTCCTCAGTGATATTTCCACACCGGGAGCAGGGAATGGCTTCCCATCGCCCACTGGTCACATGATAGCTACTATGTATGCGTCTTCCTTCACCCCTTTTTAAACGTGACGCTGATCGTTCGCAGCGCTATTTACTATAACCCCGCAAAAACCATGGGAGGAATGATGGAGGCTGATTCATACTGCTCGATTGCGTTTCTTTATGCAGCATTTGTTTGTCTGGGAAGCATGTCCATGTTCTGGTCCCTCGAGGTCAGACCAGGATGGGAGTGGCTTGGTGATGCTCTTGTCATTTCGTGGGTCGGAGTCAGTATGTGGGGTCTCACTTGGATGAGAGTGTGGATGGACAAACCCACGTTCAATTCGGGTATGTTAATCAAAGGCTTTAACTCGTGCTTATACTTACTATTTATCAGCGTGTAGCATGGCTGCCATAATATTATCTGTTGTGTAGGCCATCATGCGTCATATTCGGAGCATATCACTTATATATTTTTAGAATCATCAAGGAAGGAGGCTGGGAAACACTCCTGCAAGTATTCTCTGTCGTGCTTGTCGGCACCTTAATATCAAACATCGTGTGTTTCACGTTATGGCCCCAAAGCGCCACAGACAACCTCCAGTTGAACATGACAAAGACCTTGGATTCGTTTGCCACCCTCCTTGGCATGCTTACAAACACCTTCCTCCTTGAGGAGCCCATTCACCAGCCTAGCCAGGATAAAATACACAAGGCGGTCGATAACCATCAGGCAAGCTTTACGAGTCTTAAAAAGAACTTAGAAGAAGCCAAGTCGGAATGGTTCAGTGGTCTGCGTGGACAAGAAGGCAAGGTGTCCAGACAAGCCTATGAGGATGCGGTTGATAGCCTCACGCGTCTTGCTCAACATCTCAATGGCTTGAGAAGCGGCACCCGATTGCAGTACGAACTCACGAAAGCCCACAGTGAGGGACGCTTGACGTTGAGGCGACACAATCAAACAAACGGAAGAGAGCGCGAAACAAGTGGGTATCGTTCTCCAGCCGGGAAGGGGAGGACGATGTCCAATGGCGGTTCGGACATGAGGGATGACCCAGATGAAGTCCTACTACAAGCTGCGGCGGACATGTTCGGCGATCTAGTCGATGATCTGGGTCCACCGCTGAAGGCGTTGACAGTGAGTCGAACGCCATCTGTACTTCGGAAAGGTATTCACAGGTAGTTGCAAGAGAACCTGTACTGCAAGTTTCAAACGTCTACGTGAGGCATTTGCGCAGAGCAAACATGTCCAAAGAGAAACTCCCTTTCAACCTCATGATTTCCACGTTTTGATTGATGAGATTGAGCGCGCACTGTTTACTTTCGAGAGCACCTCGAACCACGCTGTTATGCGTTTATACAAACGAAGCGATTTTGCTGCCCCGTCTATGGGGAGTTCATTGGATTCTCTGGTCCAGCAGGACAATGCCATCCTCACGAACAGCGAACACGAACACATATTTCTTCTCTATTTGTAAGCTCTCGATAATTTCACTCGAGAAGTTCCATACTCAAGTTGTCGTGGTTCAGTTTTATTTTCACGTTGCAGGAATTTTCTGGAGAGCTCATTTCTCTCACGGACGCTATGCGCAGAATATATGCGGTCGAACAAGTCAGAGTGGATACTCAGAGCTGGTTTAACCGATATATTCTACACGGCCCGTCAAATCTTTTATCTGCAATGCGATTGCGTCGACGCAATTTGGCTTATGAAAAATCCAAGCGGTCTAGACTGCGCCGACTCTGTCAGTAATCACTTTCAAGACTGCTTACAATCTACTGACATTCTGCTATGAAGCATCACTCTTTACTTCCCCCCATCGCAGCAAAGTTTTCTTCCCAAAAGTCCAACCTCACGCTCCAAACACAATACAAACGCCCCATCCCGCGAATCTCCCCTTTATCGGTCGTATGAAGCGAGCACTTTGGGATTTTGGTGGGATTTTGAAAGAGCCCAAGTTGAAGTATGCCTTCAAAGTGGGAATGTCTACTGCTGTGTTGGCTGCACCTGCGTTCTTTGATGCTACGAGACCAATTTTTACGGACTATAAGGGTGAATGGGCATTGATTTCCGTGCGTGCAGGCGTCTTTTACATTGATATGCATAATTGATTTTTTCCTCCAGTTCTTTGGGGTCATGTCGCCTACGATCGGAGCTGTATGATGGTTTTTATCGGTCTTGTGTCTTTGCTGATTCATTTGTTAGACCAATTTCCTTAGCATTCATCGTGTACTCGGTACTCTGTACGTCGTCTTTTTTGGTATTTCGCTCCTTTTGTTCTGACCGCTCGAAGTTTCGGAGCTTGCGCCGCAGCTGGAATTTACAGCCTTTTCCCGGAGAATGCAATTGTGTTGTCGATCTTCGGTTTCTTTTTTTCGATGCCTTGTTTCTACTACATCATTGCGATTCCACGGTATGCGACAACGGGGAGATTTGCTCTTTTAACATACAATTTAACGTGCCTTTATTCGTACGTCGGCTGAAACTTTACCGCTTGCGCAGATTTTTGATCCACCCTCCCTTATCATCTGCAGGTACAACGTTCGACAAGCCGACGTATCTGTAATCGATATTGCGTTTCAGCGCTCGATTGCGGTTATCGCTGGTGTCCTCTGGGCTGCGATTGTATCTCGTTTCTGGTGGCCTTCAGAAGCGCGAAGGGAGCTCAGTCGAGAGCTGGGAGAGTAAGTCTATCTTTGCTGAGCATGTCAAGTATTGACCTGTTGCACCTAGCTTTTGTCTGAACATCGGATGGCTATACACCCACTTGGTAGCAGCCAACTCAGGCGCGCCTCGCGTAGAGGATGACACGGATGAAGACGAAACCGAGACGCAGTGTCCGGATGAGACGGTGTCGCTTTTGCCAAAGTCTGCTAAAGCCAGGCTTAGTAAATCCATTCAGGACTTCATGGCTATGTTTGTGTGGGCTTACTATGCATCGACCGTCGCTAATTCGAACTCTGCAGGGAATTGCACCTCCAGAGGAAGCTCATTGAATTGCAAGGTCTTCTGGCTCAGACGCAGCATGAGCCCCGGTTGAAGGGACCCTTCCCTATAGCACTCTACCGGGCGATATTGACAAGTCTCCAGACTATCCTGGATAGGCTGCACAGTATGCGTTGCGTCACTACCCGAGAGGAATGGATTACGGTAAGCTACATTCCTTCATAATGGATTTGTTTTAATGTAAGATCGTTCAGTCTGTAAGGAGGGATTTCATCTTACCCGTGAATAAAGAGCGAAGAGATTTAGTCGGTAATATCATCCTTTATTTCTCCACGCTCGCATCCGCCTTTCGCTTGAAAGCCCCATTACCTCCGTACCTCCCACCAGCTGAGGAATCGAGGGAGCGCCTGGTACGTATCCGAAATCCATTAAACATCAATCCGATAGATACCCTATCCTTTTACAGGTCAATGCAATCCGGAAATTGGATATAGTCAGGAACAGAGATGTGAAAGCGTCCCGACAGCTGCTTTTCTTTGCGTATGCTCTTACTATGAAAGGCGTCACTCAGGAACTGGAGTATCTTGGGCGTACGCTGCAAACCGTTTTTGGTGTGATTGGGCATAATCCGGAAGAGTTTGAGGCGTTGTTTATGGAGCCGGGTGGGAGTGTAGATGCTACGCATGTTGTTTGACGCTTGGTGTTATTATACTGAACTTTATACTGTATGGACATGCAAATAATGATGCATTGTAACTGTATGAGTGTCTCCGAGTACCACGACAGAAGACTGTTAGGCAGACAGGAGGCATATACTTTATGAAAAATAACTTGCAGGCGCTCTGAAGCTTTAGACTGCAGTTTTCCATGCTGTAAGTATAATATTATGCACCTTTCACTCGGAACATAGTATTTCTTAAGGCTCATAAAGTTCTGGACCAAACTCCTGCCTGCGCGACACACGTCCTTGTGAAATCGCCACACACGCCTGGTTCTTTAACGGAAGTGTTCCCAAGCTTGATGTGATATCCGCTTGTTCGACAAGAGCTTCTTCAATACAGTCATACATGTATACCGAGTCTAGAAGCCATACTGGAAAATTTACAAGCTACTAAGAACCTTCGAATTACTTGGGTGCGTTATGCATGCGCGGGCGGAATCCAAATGAGAGCATGTCATTTGCTCCAACAAACATGAGCGTTCGTCATGTCTTGCGTATCCTCCCGGCGATCACTGGTGGCACTGCCTCAATATATATGGCTAGCAGGCGCAAGCAGGGATAAAGCCTCAAGGTTTGCTTGTGCTTCAAGAGGTGTCGCCTGACAAGTCGGGCGAGCTACTTCCGCGTCCATCTTCTGTGATCGGCGCTTTGATACGTTTAGTAGAAATCCTACCAGTGATTGAGAAATAGAGGACATGATACATCCTGAAAGGGTCCTATTCCTTTCGCGGTCATCGTCTTTCGAACGAACAATAGACTCCTCAGGAGGTGATCGTTCTGTCACAACGCCCTTCTCTTCCAAATCTCGGTGATGACATGCCGCCATACTATACTGGAGGTCGCCGAATGGATATGAATGGGCGTATTGCGCCAGGACAAACTGAACCGCGATCATATAAAAATCAGCGAAAACAAGTCATACCCGCTAATCCCCACAGCCTGCCACTACTATCGAAACTAGTTGGGATACTGCCACGACGCTATGTCAAACAAAACACCATCCCAGGACGTTTCTCCAACCACTGAAGTACCTGATATGTCATCATCAGACGACGATGATTCTGTCCATCCGCCGCAGTTGTCGGTCGAGATCACTGGTGCGCCTAGTTGACTGCAAGTTCGAGCCGCTATTGATGACTGGTCGTAGACATCAAAGCAAGCGGGCTGCCAGAAAAAATCGGATTATTCAGTGGACAATTTTACATCCGCATAAAGGGAGACAAATTCACGAAGCAATCGAAGACTACCAAGTACGCCAAAGACGGCGAGTATGTTGCCGTTTGGAAGGATAGTATAACCTTGTATGCCCTGCAAATGTCTTGTAGGCTGAGACTGATGGGGAATTAGTGATGCCATGGAGTCCTCCACGATTGAAATCGAGGTCTTCGCTCGCCGTTGCTTCTTCAGCTACAAGATCATCAAGAAGACGGAGAACAATCAAAGTCTCGGTGACCTCCTCGAGAACGCCAATGCAGGTGAGTCAGAACGTATTCAAACGAGTTGTACTTGGCTAACAGACCCTGACAGCAGTCGGACTTGAGTTGCTTGGGAACGGTGAACCTGCGGGTAGAGTCACGTTCCACATTTCTAAGAGCAAGGCAGCCACGTCCAAAGGGGATGCGTAGGAGATATACCATCAGGTATGAAGTTATACAGTAAATGGATAGGGTTGGCCACGGTCAAAAATTTTTGAAGACAAGGACTCTTACATGCTGCATAGATAAGTACCATATATGCGCAATCCCAGATATCGTTCTGTAGCTGTTCACGTGTAGATTAGTAGTGAGACACCGTAGATAGGATACCTACAGATAGTTATGGCAAGCTAGCTCTCTTAAAAATAAATAGCATGCAGTACCCATTCTTGTCGTCAGCAGTTACTGTCAAACTATCTTCACACTGGAACAGATCCGTGAAATTTGGGCAAGTGGATCATTTTCAATTAGGAACATTGTCATTGATGATGATACTGCGCGCCGCAGTTCGTGTGTATGTTTAGAACGAAAGCAACACAGCTTGGCTGTGGCAGCGCTTGGCCGAGGGCGGAGTTTCAATGATGACTAACGGCAAGAGTCACTGCCATCCACATCACAGCACACACCACCACCACGTCTGAATCATCTCCCTTATATTCTTCAAAGAAATCTCATTTTGTGGACGCCGTTGTCTATAGCCTTAGTTTCCAGCTTAGACATCTAAATCTTTCTGAGAGTAAGCCGAATGCGCCTCTCAATACTTCCCATCCTTGTTGCAGGGGCTGGTATTGGTACGTTTCACTTGAGCGAGCATGTGATATCTTACTGACGAGTCGAGACGCCATTACAGTCAGCCAAGTCAGCGCGGAGCCCCTCCGTATCTTAGTTGAGAGACCCTCAAATGCCAATGCAAACATTCGCTTCGGTCATGCGCTTGCCAATGCCAACGTGAATGGTAATGATGACTCCGACAATATCGCCCGCTTGGTGCGCCCGAGCATCGTAATGACCACCTCCACCGAAGTCAAAGGGAAGCATCACTTTTGTGGCGCGTCCCTGAAAGCGAAGGCACTTCGCATGTCAAACGCATTCCGACATGCTCTTGGCCTTCCTCTTATCGAGATGGGTGATCATGACGCATTCAAGGGCGAAGTCGCCAGCAACCCCGGTTCAGTTTCTGGAGAACTTCATATCCTTCCCATTCCCTTGTTCGGGCAACCCATTACACCAAGCGTTCCCACCAGTTCCTCTGAGAACGACAATTCAGGCGATGTCAAGGAGCTTCTTCCTGATGAGCCCGTCGTACGGGTCTATCGCCAGCATGAAGCTGAATCTCACCGTCACCACCACGAAGCTGGATCACACCGCCATAACCATCATGACATGAAGCACAAGAAAGCTGGATCTTTCCTCATGCGTGTTCATCGCGCTATCATGGCCCTCGGCCTATGGGAGGGTCGTGCTGTTGCGTTCGTTCTTGGTGAGTGCTTACCTTGTATCGCTAAAATATCGCTAATGTCCTTGGAAAGGTTGCGGAATCGGTGTTTTGCTTCGCATGTTCTGGGTGATGTCTGTCCTCGTGTATCGCACCGTCAGAGGTGAGAGACCAGAGGAGGTCAGTCACGGATACATCATGTTCGAACATGATGCAGAGAACAACTTCGTCCCTCCTCCTGAATACACTGACGAAAAAGTGAAGATAGCCGAGGTCGAGGTTCAAGAGATCGAGACTCGCGTGGAGTGAATGACACCGATCCTTTCCCCTTGAAACACCACCCACATGCCTATGAATATCTTGATCTCGTTCGCGTACTGTGACCACTACATATTTACACCCAGGTTCACCTCTGTTTCCTTCTTCGCCTGATGCATAGCGGTCGTTTTGAAATGCCTCGCGTCTGTCTTTGACGGACTCTCACACTCCTTTGTCACTGTGCACATGTTGTATTTTTTGTTGCCTGGTGCTCGTAGTAACACGATTGATAAGATTGCCTATAAGACCAATTGAAAATGACCAGCATACAAGAGAGAGAATTTATATTTGTATAGATCGCTACAAACAAAGGAACTGTTTAGACGCGCACGGCGTCCAAGGGCGCTATGGGCTATGGTAACGAGTAAAAGTTGAAAATAGGTATGAATAGCGGTGGGGTCTGCGTATGAGATGATGTGTTGGTGCGTGAGTTCGTTCGGCGCCCAGGACTGTCCCGTTCTGATCATCCACCACGTCGCGGCATCACTCAATGGCAGTCGTCCCGCTCCTGCCTTTCAATTGACTTTACCACTACCGCGTGGTCGAATTGCACATCAGCCAGCACTATGGACCCGTATGAGAGTACTCATGCTTCAGACCTCTGGTCAATGTCCTCGTCGAGGGGTTGAACCATACGGGAAGAGCTTGAAAGTTTTCATGAGAATAGAGTGCCAGCCCTGACACTGTCCTCTTCGCAAGAAGGACAGATGAATCAAATTGTCGATTTCTTCCCATATCCGCGAGGTCCACAAATCGCCCACTTGAGTCTTGTGGTGGGTTCCGATTGGCGGGATCGGTGGCTGGATAGGTTAGCAGCCTTCGCTTGGTGTTCTACTAAGCTCTTATTGTAGGGGGCACTTAATGTGCAAATTTTGTGATCAGGTTATGAGTCTATGGGTGATGGTTGGAGTCGCGAATACTGATCTAGTTCCTTTTTGCAAGACTCAGAAGGTAGTTATGCCACATTTACTGTTGTTCCAAGCTCCACGCTGGCATTTCTGGGGTACATCGAATGTGTAACAAGCCCTAGCTGCTCGACCGCAAGTAATTGGTTCCAACCAAACTTTATGCACCGCTCATATCAATTACGCATGTTTTTCACAGGACTTGACACATTTCGTGATTCCGACTTGGAAGACACATACTCCAGTGACAGGTTACTATCTACTGGCGTTCTCATGTAGGTTAGCCAGTGTCACTGTTTAGGGTCAGGTACGTGCTCCAACACCGCTTCAGATAAATCACACAATTTGAACTGTTTGAAGGTGTCTGATGATGACAACTTTTTACGACAGTGGTGTCGATATCCTATCGGGGACATGCAACATCACTGTCACAGCCTAGGAGTTGTTGAGATTGCCCCTTGGTATGGATATCATCACGTGGTGAAGCGTCCGAGTGGTGTTAGCTTCCAGACCAACGTCTCACTAGTTTATCATCCTAGTTGGAACTTGCCCGCTGTCAGGGAGTCAAAGGGTTTCCATGTCAAACTTACGCAAAAATTGGACCCTAAGTACTTTTGTCGTCGTGGGTTCATATTACTTCCTGGACTCTATCAAAAGTTTAACAGACTTTGCCATCACGCATGCTATTAGGTGACCGATCACGTACATGACGGATCCTCCAGGACACTTCCGTTTCCGTGAAACTGTAACGCAAGGTCTGCAAATGTAACTTTCTTACTTTCTGGTCAGCGCATCTGTTCATTCTACGACTATCTGGCACCTCACCACAGTTAACGTTACGTGTCTTCAGCCACAACGGACATGAACTCGCACCTCTTGTCAACACTATCACCCCAGCACCACAGGGTCTTCCCGAATGTCCATGTCATGCCACTGCTTCGGATATTTTACGTCAACACAAGCTTCGCTTCATCACTCCCTGGTGCTCAGCGGCGTTCCGTTCGGACCTTCTCAGTTCAGGAGCGAATCAATATTTGTGGTAAAAAAGTATTATACTCTATGGAGGATAGTACGTTCGTCTGAGGTTCCCCATCATCCTAAATTTGCGAATGCCTTGGTGTAGGATGTACCCCGCCAGTCTGCCGTCTCTGCCGACCGTTTTAGATGCGCGATTCGTCTAAGATGAGGCGACTTTAGATATGCGTGCGTTGGGGTTATCAGTAGGACTGCAGAACGCGTACTAAGCGAACCAACTGTCTGGTATGACCCCAGATTTCTCAGATTTTGATTCAATGATAATGACTGCCGCAGCAAACAGTCAACCTTTTACCTGTGGGATACGCAATTCAATGACAGGATTACATTACCTGCTTATGATTCTAACCTTCTTAATTACAGAACCCGATATGACATTCCTTGGGGCAGCGAGTCGCACCCATATTTTGCCTTCTTGCTGCCAGTCACATAAAGTGAATTAGACAGTCAATAACATCACATTCGCTCCTGCATTGTCGAACGATAAAGCAGACTAGATGAAGATGATGTCATTCGTTCCTGTCAAGGCACGAATACATACCTAACAGGGTGGGTGAGCATTTACTCGTTTGCTTGAATACTGTGATGTGCATAGGGCGAGTCTGAAAAAGGCACCAGAAGAGTCTGATAAACAGTATGCACGCAGATGTCATTAGGGTCCAGGACGAGCAGCTAATTCATAATCTAGCATAGCCATGAGAAGTTTGAAACTTATGTTTCAGCGCCTGAAGCTGCGCTTGAGGATACTTCGTTCTCTCGCTCGATCCCACGTCAAAGTCTTCACGGCACGTTGCAATGTAGGTGATTAAATTAATATATCAACCCTTTGTTACCCTCGTCTTTATCACTTCACGTAAAAGGATTTCTACTTACCGGTGTCGCAGTGTGCCGCAATCGATCCATTCTTTCTCCCGGGTGAAGACTCTATTCCGAGACTCTATCACATACGACTGTTTCTTCTCCAGAACTAACTACCCTGCCAGTTATTCTCACCGCTGCCAGTGCCAGATATTAGGACACATCTTCCCGACATCCCCTCAGATCTTCCCAATTTTTCGGTCATGTCCTATACCCCACAGACAGATCTGCCGCTTGAACGGTCTCGTCTTATTGGAGTGATTTTGGGGGGTGTATCATATGGTGCGTTTGCGGCCCACACACGATAATTCGGTGGTTGACCTCTGTACCATAATAGGCGTATACCTTCTCCTTACTGTACAAGCGGTGATTGCTCTCATGCAACGTCCCCGAAATGGGCAGAAAATTGCAAATAATCGCCGCACGCTTCTTTGTTACACCCTCATCACGTTCGCGCTTGGGACGATAAGCCTTGCTGGCAATACAAAATATACGGAGATGATTTGGATAGACCTTCGTGATGCACCTGGTGGCCCCGTTGCGTTGATTAAGAACGTAATGAATTACCGTATCAACTTCATGGCGATATGCTGGTAAGCACCTTTGGCTATCCATCTACACAGCGTTGACGGTCTCACCCAGTGGTTACGTCACGGAGTGGTTGATGCAAGCACTGCTTGTGAGTTGAATAGTTTGTTGTATGTGCAAGCCTGATGCTTGAAATACTCAGCTTTACCGATGTTTCGTGATATGGAATTGGGAGAGATGCGTGATGGTCCCCATGGTCGCCCTCTATATTGGCATGATTGGTGCACTTACATTGATTACCAAACGGTCGTAGTCACTGACACCTTGATCAGTAGCAGCTATCGTCGTCTTGGTTCAGGCGGGTACCGGGACTCCATTTTACAGTATCAACGCCACACTTGCATACCTCGCCTTCCAAATGGTGCACACCACGCTTTATACCATTCTCGTGGCAAAACGTTTGCTCTCCATACGAGGCCAGATGAAGATGGCGTTGGCTGAATATGATTCTAGCACGTATGACACCATTATCCTCATGGTCGTCGAATCTGCCATGGCATACAGTGTTTTCATCATCATCTATATAGTTGGATTTTCTGTGCATTCAGACTCTGTCTCCACGCTATGTTTCTTGTCTATTAACCAAGTTCAGGTGAGCAGGCAGAAACCTGAGTTATCCGTCTTTTTCATACTAGCTTATTTCGTTTTTACAATAGGGCATTACGCAATTGTTCATCATCATACGTGTGGCACGAGGGAGGGCAGTTACACGTGATTGGTCGACCCGAAATACTCCAGCAGCACCTACGACTTTAGCATTCGCAGTGACTACATCGATTCCAGCAGAAGGGACCAACGTGGCACAGGCGGCTGGGTCAGGGCAGGACAGTGTCAGTGAGTCGCATTCCGTTTCGGCGAAGTTGGCGGAAGCAAATGCGTAGTGTCGTATCCTATTTATTCTCTAAGTTTATTTAATCGTAACGGCGCTGGAGCCAGCCCTCGAGTCGCTTATTCCTGACATGTTTTGTGTCCATCGAATTCAACGCAAACTAGCCTTTTTATTTCATTTTGCGTCGGCAAATGGCTGCTGATTCCACGTGATTCTACTACCAATGGATTGGCACGCAGGCGGCCACCTTGATCAAAGTGGTAAGCATGACAGGACAAAAATCTGTTGCAGGTTCGAAACCTACTCAACCATCTTTTTCTTGTTATTATGCCTTGAACGTTCACTCATGGATGAATCCTTCAAGGTTCATCTTAAGTAGTTATAGCCAAATAACACTCGAACAGATTGGAAACCTGCTCTCTTAGGTGGTGCGGATTCAAAATCTGCCGACAAATTACTTTCCTTCTTATCAAACCTCGATATTCACTCATGATCGGAGGTTCGCCTTCACTTTGGAAGTGGCCTGGCCAAAGTGACTACCACAGAATCGAAATCTGTTGCCCTTGAACTGCGCAGGTTCGAAACCTGTTGATGACAAGGTACATTTTTAATCGGAATACACCTTGACATTCATTCATAGATAGTTTCATCGGAAGTTCATCTTACTAGCTGCTCTTAGCCAAATGGTTACCCCAACAGAATCAAAATCTGTTTCTCCAGAGACTAGATGGACTGCGCAGCTGCGAAACCCGCCGAACCACATGTTTTTTTCATCGGAACATGCCTTGAAGATTCGCTCATGGATAGTTTCGTCGGAGGTTCCTCCCGACTTCGTCCTGTCCAAAGTGGCTACCGCAACAGAATTGAAATTTATTTCCCTTGGACTACGCAGGTTCGAAACCTGCTGACAACAAGATATTTTTCTATCGGAATACACCTTGACATTTACTCATGGATGGTTTCGTTGGAGGTCCCTCTCATCGGTCTTAGCCAAGTGGTGATCACAACGGAGCCAAAATCTGTTTCTCTTGGGGATGATTCGAAACTTGCTGACAATATTTTTGCAGTGTATAAATCCTCGGAGGTCCATCTCAACTAGGCCCAGTCATTGCGCCGGAACCCTTTTTGTTTAATACTAGTCTGTCGTCCATGAGAAGGAATTCACCTTCACGCCCTGCGAGGGTCGTCTCAGAAACACAAGATATATCCCCGAGGTATGTATATACCAACCTAGACAGTCTAACAGAAACTGTCGAGATTCACCACCAAAAACAATAATGGGGCCAGAAAAATGCATGCAAGCCAAGGACAGATCCAAGCGAGTCTGACAGTTAGGAAAATGATGTAACCTTCCAGCCCTCATCGATGGATACTCCTTCGGTCGTTGACTCTTCCAATGCGACCGAGAATGATTTGAAAGCTAGTGGTGGAAGAATTGAATGTGGCAGACCGAGCTATATCATCCTGATGAGTGTGTGCTTCTGTTTTATTTTATGTCGATTCCAAGGCTGAAAAAATGGTTGACTTTCAATTGCCGTGGCAGGACTGGGCACTAGACAGGAATGTCAACAGAGAGGTCAACGCGAAACTCTAGAACATCCCATAACGGAAAGCTCAAGACACCATGCAGGAGTAACCTACCGAGGCATGCATAACGGAAAAAAGGGGCTTAGCGAGAACTGAATGACAACTTGGTAAGTCCAACACATAAGGTGGTTACAACCTAAAAGGTCTGAACACGCCGGATGTAGCTGGCAGAGGTTTTGAGAGATAAGAAAACGATCGTGCTCGACAAGAGCCCTCCACTAACATTGGGAGTTGGATTGTCTGCATTACAGCCTCTTCGTAATTTCATGGTCATTCGCTCAGTTCTAGCTCATTACCACTTTACTATGATATGCGGTAGGTAGATAAAGTACTGTCCACAGGCACATCTGTCGTAAAATATCTTTGGCGAGGACCTGAGCAGAGTGGTGCAGAGTTAGTTAAAACTTCTGCGAAGATGTGCATGAGTCGTGGGTGGACCATGTGGCCATTGGTCCGCGCATCTCTCCCTCGGAGAAAACAAAATATATTCGCGAACCCGGGAAAGTATCGTATCAATCGTTAGATGGCCCGAGCTTCTAGTTAGTCAGAAGCCCGGTCATTGATAATGATGGTTCGCATCATGGGGCAAGCGGAAATAAGAGATGCCGACGACATCTATTGCTTGCCCGAAGACTATGATACTCTTCGTTGCGTGATAGAGCGAAGTACTTGCCCAACCCTAAAAGACAAACACAACGATGTCTGAGTTATCCAAAGGCACCTCTTCGGTGGAGCTCATCTGTGCTGTGATACGGTGTCGTGAATCACCCAAGAGAAGCGATGCAAATTGCGAAGATCCGGCCTTCCGATTGCCATATGAGATAGCGTGCGGTGGTCCAAAGGGAGCAGCGAGGCGGAAAAGAGCTCAGCAATTTCTGCGATGGCGAGTATGGTTATGAAAAGAGGTGCTGATGCTATTTATTGCGTGCCCGACTCTTATACTTCTCCAAGTTATTGCACGATAAAGCAGTAAATTCTAAGGGTCAAATCAAATGATATCTCAGCTATCTAATAGCCGATTCATTCTTCGATAAAGTGAGACTGTCAAGGTTTCTTGAGTGGCACGTGTCGTGAGTCTAGTGACATGCGGGCCCTTCCAACGTCCAGAAAGAGTTGAGGTAAGAGAGAGACAACCTCCGGGATCGTCGTAACGACCCCTTGCGAAGATAAGAGGAATGCAGGAGTGAGCAATTTCTGCATACATGACGTTGTCAGAATCGGACAATTCTTCATGCACGTCCATAGACATCGGATGGGTTGATGAGGATAGCATTACTAACTTACCAGCAACGGTCTCCGTGACAGAACGACAGCGCCAATTTGTGTACACCTAGACTGACTTCGAGCAACATGTACAAATTAGTGCGTGGGTCTGGAAAACGTGCCTGCTCACCATTGCACTATAGATACAATCGACGTCCTGAGCACAATACAGAGAAGCGTGCAACACCTTCCTCCAAGTAGGGTAAGACGTAGACAGACTGGTAAAAAAAAGTGGAGGAAGCGGAGATGCATCGGACCATCAAGGGCCAAATAGAGATAGGGAGACGCACGTGGTGCTTCGTCTGCACAGCACTGTGAAGCTGTGGAAAGAATACCAATATAACGCACAGGATACGAACCTTGGCAGACGACTTCAACAAACACTTGCGCAACACACACTCTAAACCAAAGCAAACCTCTACTATCTCAGGTACCAGCGCGCCCCTCTCGTTCTTGCGTGGAGTGAACCCGTGTCAGATTGTTCTGAGTGGGGCTTTGTCGTGAGTGATGCTCTGGTTGTTTTGAGTAGGAGAGGCTGAAGTGAGGAAAAGATAGGACTACTCACCGACCGATATTGAGGGATATCTCCTGCATATAGTCAACAATGTCTTCCACTGCTGCCAATATGAAGAGGACGTCAGAAGTAACCCCCTACAAGACGATGCGACATCCCTGGCACGTATCCGGCGTTGTGCACCTGTCCGGCGGGCAGCGCATCATCACATGTTCATCTGACGGCTCGCTTCGACTATGGGACCTAGAGAGCAGTGCACAGATAGGTGGCCAGTGGCAAGATGAAGGGGGTGTGGGGGCAGCAACGATGGCATTGTCTCCAAATGGCAAGACTCTTGCAAGCGGAAGCTATGGCGGGACGGTGAGGGTGTGGGACATTGAGACAAAAAAAGTCATTGCCAAATGGGAAGGGCACACTAAAAGTGTGGAATCAGTGTGCTGGAGTCCAGATGGTGAGCAAGTTGTGAGCGGACTCTCTGATGGAACGGTAGGGGCGCGGGATGTGGAGAGTGGAGAGCCTGTCAAAGGTTTGAATCCGATCAAGACGGGACACTCGTCGGTGTATGCGGTGAGTTACTCACCCGAGGCAACAATGATTGCGACTGCAGGAGGACACAACGAAAATGGAGATATCAAAATCTGGGATGCAAAGACGGGCAAGCGGCTCTCCATCGTGACAATCGACGATGTTTGGAGCTTGACCTGGACGTCGGATGAAAAGAAGCTCATCTCCGGGTTAAGCAATGGCTTGATTAGGATATTCAACACTGCCACATGGCAGCAAATCGCCGATCTGGAGGGTCATGGACATGAACCTGTCACCTCCCTCACTTTATTTTCAAATGACCGCCTCCTTGCGAGTACGTCATGGGATCAAACAGCACGGCTATGGAATCTTGACACTAACCTCCAAGTCGGTTCACCTCTCCAACACGAAAGGGATGTCACGTGTGCAGCCTTTTCCCCCGATGGAAAGCTGCTATCCACAGGTTGTATTGATAACAACGCATATGTGTGGGACATTCAAGCCATCCTCAAAACATCTGGCCTAGAAGGCCTCCTCTCCGTACCTGATGTGAGTACCAACTTGACTCATACTCGCTATCTCATCCTCAATGGCTGAGTTAGGCACAAAAATCTAAACTCAAAAAGAAGGTATGTATCATCTGATGGCTCTTCGAGAATGAAACACGCTCATGTCCCACCCGCACAAGGCATTATCAGGCGTACGTTGTACCTTTTTCCGATTTTGATATTGAATGCGACATGGACATTCTAGACTAATGCTACGCGACGTCCACCCATCCGTCAAGTGCCAGCAGGCTTTTTCGATAACGTGCAAGGACGTGATCCTGTGCGTTATCACCGCCGTACTTTTGCACTGTCCTGGGGATCGCGTCCGCGTGCGCTCCTCGAGAGCCTCTCCCAACTCTTCCGGCATTCACAAACCAACACTAATAAACCAATCGAATCTCGGCAACGCCTAGGGCCCAGTACCTCCTCTCGTCGCAGTCCTCCTGTTGTCGAAGTTCCTGCACTAGATGACAAAAAGGTACGTCTTTTAGAGGATGTGTTCTCAATGGCTGGCATCTCAATTTTTCTCTACAGGCACTATATACTGCTCGGCGACCGGATAGAGCTAGCGACAAGGCGAAACGCATCAAGAACCCCGCGTGGTGGGCTCGTGTTGTGTTGTTCCTCTGCTGTGCATCTCCTTCTGCCGATAGCAGTCATTGATGGACGAAGTATATATGGACGATCTTACTAATTCATATGCATATTTGTGTTAGGGCGGGCGTTGTTCCAACCCGCCTCCATATTTCTTCACAGTATGTTTGTACGTTCCGGTCACGGAAAATGTGCATCGTTGGGGCCTTATTGAGAGTAATATATCTTCCGTGGACCTTGCCTTTGCTCGTGCGTTTCAGCAAGTACATGAGATAGATGGAATACACACTTTGATAGACATTAACGAATGTTTGGCTAGGTCGTCCGTCAGTAGTCAACAAGTCCCGTGATGACAAATAGATATATTGAATTGCGCTACCATATCAAGGACGCTACTATATAGCAATGCTAAGCACTGAGGGTGAAAACACAGAAATCTCCAGCCTCATTCGTGGATCGCCCAAGAGAATGCGCCCGACGACTCTAATACTTCTGAGTCATTGCGCGAGAAAGGAGCAAAACTTGCCTAGCAAATACTGAAGGCCGTATCAAATAATATTTCAGTTATCTAGTAGCCGCTCTCGTTCTTCGTAGTGAGAAAGAGACAGCCTCTTGGGTCATCGTAATGACCCCCTGCGAAGTTTGGAGGAACGTAGGAGTGAGTAATTTCTGCATGTATTGTCCTGACGTTGTCGGGACCAGAAAATCCTTCATGCACGTCTATGGACATCGGATGAATTGATGGGTACAGTGTTACTAACTTACCAGCAACGGTCTCCGTAACAGAACGACAGCGCCGATTTGTGTACACCCTTCGAGCGACATGTGCCAAGTGGTGTGTAGGTCTGGAAAACGTGCCCGCTCACTATGGTACCACAAACACATAGACGTCCTGAGCACGATATAGGGAAGTTTGCAACGCCGTCATCTGAGTAGGGTTTGACATAGACAGGCTGGTAAAAAAAGTGGAGGAAGCGGAGATGCATCGGACCATCAAGGGCCAAATAAAGATAGGGAGACGCACGTGGTGCTTCGTCTGCACAGCACTGAAGCTGGAGAGAACACCAAGATAACGCACAGGATACGAACCTTGACAGACGACTTCAACAAACACTTGCGCAATACTCTCTCGAAACCAAACCAAACATCCACTATCTCAGGTACCAGCGCGCCCATCCTGATCCCTCTCTAACTCACCGCCGCCGTACTTTTGCATTGTCCTGGGGATCGCGTCCACGTGCTCTCCTCGCTCACCTTCCTCAACTCTTCCGCCGTTCCAATCCCAGTGCTGATGAACCAATCGAATCCCAGCAATGCCCAG